TTACCAGCCTACAAGGTAAATAAAGTTTATTGTTTATTGTTATAAAGTTTAGTTCATTTCTTTTGTCCAGTTATTTCAATCTCATCAATTAGTAAATTACTCCATCCATTAGAGCGATACAAAATCCTTTCATACACAAGACGAAGCCACAACATCATCTTTCCAGTGCCTTATTTTTAATTAACGGGGTTTCCGCTCGGCCCATTCTTTCCAGTATTTATTATTTTGACCATATTGATTTCATACTGGTGAAAAACATTTCATTTTAAATAACTCCCGCCACAGATGAAAGTACTTCCATAAAATGTCTTTATGAATTAAAGAACCAATTAAATTGCTGGATTTAATGCACATGCGCTAAAAACTGAACCAAAATATGGAATCTCGCACAGATTGCCTCTAGCATGTCTAGTGGGATTTTTTAAAAATCGTTTTTATAAAATGCCGATACGGTAAAATTCCGAACGGCGAAAAAAAACGAACACATTCCGTTCAGTCTTTGCACGCAATTGCTGTTTATGTCACGCATTTGGTCCAAAATATGTGTATAAATCACGCATTTGTTTCAAAAATATTTGCACCTACCCCCTCCTCTCCCGACTCAGATATCATTATATTCCCATACCAAAATGTCAAATTTGGATGTGTTCCCATACCAACCAATATAGTGCCCAAAAGCCATACCAAATGCCCAAATATGAGACCAATGCCATACCAATGCTACGTATGTCTGTTCCGAAGAAGAATATTTCTCGGGGAAAAAAGCTAATATTTAAGGTAGTTTAGAAAATACAACACCAAGAAAATGCATGCTGGTGGCTCCCAAAGGGTATACACATTTTTCACCAAGTGCTTTTTTCATCTCCAATCAAATTGCAGGATTCGATCACGTGAACAATCATGGGCACATGCTCGCTCAGTGCTGCGCATGCGCAGAGTTAAATTTGAAATCGTGGGAATGGCGTTTACATCAGTTCAACATCGTCATTTCAAACCTACGGTAATACTATTGAAGTTACTCGATCCATACTTGTAGAGAATACTCATAAAACTACAGTGAACATTTGGAGATCCATTTCAACGGCAAATTGAGGCCTGTTTATAAAATTTGTTTTAGAACGTGCTAATATGATAGGGCATCTTTGGGGAATCTCCCCCCCGGCCGACACGGTAAAATACCGAACGGCGAAAAAAGCGAACGCATTCCGTTCGGTCTTTGCACGCGATTGCTGTTTATGTCACGCATTTGGTACAAAATACGTGTATATATCACTCATTTCTTTCGAAAATATTCACATCTACCCCCCCCCCCCCCATTGACGGATTTGAACAGCGAGCGCTAACGAGCTGGAAAAATGGTGTACAAAATCTGCCAGTGTTCACTGAAGCTGTGCAAAGTTTGAAGGAAGGTGTTCAACATTTGGAAGTCACTCATGTTAGATGGTGCCAAGTTGACAGCCCTGTATACCCTATGGGAGTAGAAGTTCTGCTCGATAGCCGATTTTCAAAATGGCTGCTCATTTCAAAATTGCGGCCATTTTAGTGACGATTTTAGTACAGTATATAAAACTGTAATAGCAATGAGTTTTAAAAGTAAAAAAGTTATATAGCACATTAATTAAGCTGGACATGTAGATATTTAAGAAACACATGGCAGCCATCTTGAAAAATGGCGGCTTTTACACACAATTTTACAATTTTGTGTTCAGATATACAGGTTTTACTGTACTACAATTGTTTTCAATCTTATGGAGGAAAGTGTACATCATTCCAGAGAAATGACAGATGCACTGTATGTACAGTGGCCTACTATTAAACGTGCGTGATCAAAGACTCGACAAGATGCGCAAAATTCAAATATTTTGTAACGGTTACTTTAAAAGATTTATTTGTGTTTATATTACAGGCTACTGGTGATTCAATTAGGTTTTGTAGGCACAAGAACACCCATATGCTTTGAGAAATATATATTAGTTTGACCATTTTTCGTATATGTTATTGATTTTACGATTTAAAGATATAAATGCGATACAATATGTGTTATTTTATTTAAAAAGCTTTAAAATATCAAAAACAATAGAACATTTTTACTCTCTTTTATTTTTTATACTTAGGTAGGGTCTTGGACTTCCATTTGACCATGATGAAAATTCACGTTTCCTATACAATAACATGGAAAAAATATTTTAACACAGAAACGAATGGATCAGCCAATAGCGTGAGTTTCAACAAACCATACACCCATATCTATATGCTTTTCAAGAGAAGAAAATGGGGATCTCGCAAAATGTATGTCCAAACTGATTCAGTCAATTAAATGGTCACTGTGTGTGTGTTCATTTTGTTTCTCTGCCTAGATTTGAATACATTACCATTAAATGATATATACACTGAACCTCTAGAACCTGCTAAGTGAAACACCTCTTGAAGCGTAACACCTTACAAGTGGAACCGTTTTTTAAGTTCCATTTTAGTTCATTTATTTTACGCCTCTGATCCCAAGGTATGAGAACTATACACCTTGGCATCCAAGACGATTGTCGAATTGTAATGTAATTGTAATTGTAATAAAATATAAAATATAAATTGTATATTATCTATTTCATTGGGAAGTTAAATCATTCTTTTGCAGCAAGGTATCAGTAAGTAATGTAATGACGTAATAACCTTCAGTAGATGCCAGTAGTCAGTTCCCAGTTTCACCACGAGGTGGCTAACTTGGGTCATATATAAATGACAGGTATAAGGGAAAACTCCTCTAAGGTTCAATATTCAGTAGATTTATTGATCAATTTTCAACTAAGGTCTATAAGTGATTAGCTTGAGAATTTTAGAATTGTATGTAATCGAATGCAAAATAAACGACCAGTGGGCGTTTTTAGAGGAACTCTACAAAATGTGAAAGAAAAACCATGCTATTATCTCTAATGACAGAGTTATGTGGATCGATGGGACCGAGTAAAAGTTTAGGCTTTGCTCATAGGGGTATCATCTCAGATTCACTGGTGGACACTATTGGAGAATGAGAGTCTATTGCAATTTCAGAATCATTTATTGTCATTTCATTACTAATTGATATTCTCGTTCTATTGCAATTTCATTGGTAATTTTATTTGATTTTGTAGCAGTTGTTGAATCAGAGATTCTGGATGATTTCATTCGATTATTGTCAATCACTGAAATTGTCATGAATTCATCACTTTCTACAAGTATGTGTTTATTTATTGATTTCACTTCATTTGGTATTATTCCAGAGAAATTTCTTGTTATCATTCTAGATTTGCCTCTATTTTCAGTAATCTTTCTCATCTTCATCTCTTCTTCTTCATGATGTTCTACAAGGTGGTTTATAATGATTTGAAATTTAGGAGTTCGTAATGAAGGACAGTAAAATCATGTAAACCCAACCACTCTGAAATGCAAAGAACATATCATTAGAATCCACATGGTAAAATCACCCACTTGGCTGATCATAAATTGTTTTCATAACATCCTTCTTACTCGATACTGAAGGGGAGTTGGAACGTCTGATATGCATGTAATGTTAAGTATTATGTATATTTACCATAAGCATGTTGGTTTTGTGGTTTTGGTAATCTAAAAACAGAAAATTTGGTGAAATATACATTTTCATTCGGCGGGTTTTTGATTTTGCTTCATTTATTAACTCAGTTCAGGTATTTCGGTTTAACCAATCACTGAATCCTGTTACCAAATGAATCTTGAGTCTCTTATACAGCATATGGAATACCATCTGTAGGTAAAATGACATTAAGGTGGTAAAGAGAAGAGAAACAAACATACCTTTCCTCCGACATTTCGAATTTTGCGCATCTTGTCGAGTCTTTGATCACGCACTTTTAATAGTAGGCGATCACTGTACATACAGTGAGGTGACACACTGTTATGGGAACTGGTCATATCAGATGTTCCCACGCTTTTCGTCCAGAAGAGGTCATTTCCCAGGATTATAGATGAACCCTTGGCCAATCAATGATATAGTTTACATAAGAGAAGTATGGGCTGTATGAATTCTGGGATATTCCTGTTTTGTTGAGACAGGTGAGAATAAAATTAACCCTTTGCAAATTTGATCAATACTGCCTCAAAGAGGCACTATGACATAGGAAAGCACAATCAACACCCCTCTGGACTTTTTTGCATGTTGAGGTTCACCACATATATACCAATCTACTTACCAAAGAAAAAGTCCCAAATCCCCCTCTTTCAGTGCTAATTTTGCGATTGTGCTGGCCGATCTAATTATTTTCGAAGAAATTAATTCAATCTGAAGTTTGAATATACCGGGAAAGTCCTCCTGTTATCTGATTGGTCGTTGAATTTGTTTATCATAAACCTGATTGGCTGTCTGTTTCAAGGCACTTGTGGGCGCTTGTGTAACTCAATGGGGATTCCCCTCGCTAGTCGAGGAATCGATTGTGTTTAATTCAGGAGTTTAGTTGTTCTGTTGATTATTTCCGATATTTCGGCAATAATATACCCAAAACTTATTCTCAAGATATATCCATGGTATGTGAGATATTATATGAGCAATAACAATAGGACATCATTGATTGTCTGGGGGAGACACCTATGGCATAATGCATCTTTAAGATTTATATTTGAATTCGATAATAACATTTAAAAATTAAATGTGTAGTAGTAATACTCTAGTACCTCTTATTGATTAATGTATAATATTACAACATACATAATGATGTAGGCAATTTGTTTCATAAAAATCTAAAAGTAAAATTCATAATTGAAATTTACCCTCTGGGAGCCCCAAAATTTTAGAAAATGCATTTTCTTGGTGATGTATTTTCTAAACTACCAATATTTAAACTGAAGAAGGTCCCAAGAAGAAGGCAATCTCAAACGTTCCAAAACAACCTTGAATAAAAAAAAATCTGTAAAATTACTAGACCAATGCTATACCACAAGTGTGAGATATTTTCCATGACCATTTCCATGACCATTCTCATAACGCAATTTTTCAGGCGAGTATGGTCCACTCATTAATGGCGGCATATGGTTTGATAGAAAACCTCAAGATGGAAGCCCCAAAGATGGCCACCACTGAACAGTTAGCGACCTTTCACTCTCCCGATTACATCACAATGGTACAACAACTGAGTCTCAGAGATGACGATGAGAAATACACAGAAGAAGCTGAACAATATGGATTAAGTAAGAAAATTCCTTGTTTGAAATGGATTATTTTTGAATGGCTCCAGAAAGTATAGCACCGTTTTTTTAGTCAGTCTTGAAAACTTGTGTGTATCAGAAATTCTAATTCAGATGCAATTTGAGTTTCATCTGAGTCATGGTAATTTAAAGTTAATTTTAATGCAATTTTTAAACTGATTTTCAGGGTAATTAGAGTGTAACAGTAACTTTCACCTTCAATGTGATCTTCTGTCTCAAATGACTATTTAAAAATGAGTGATTGAATAAACAAAATATAAATAAGAACTTACAAAGTGTATTAAATAACTTCCAATTAAAAAAAATATTGTTGATGGTTATTCAATTTTAGTGTTGAATTTCAGCCTATGAATGTCCAGTTTCAAGGAATACATTTAACTATGCTGCATTGGTGGCAGGTGCTTCTATACAAGCTGCCCAACAGCTAATAGATGGCACCTCTAGAATAGGAATCAATTGGTATGGTGGTTGGCATCATGCAAAAAGGTGAGTTGGAGGATGTAGCCAGGTTAAAAAGGTGAGGCAAATGTAAATAGGTGAGGCAAAGTTGAATAGTTGAGGCAAATGTGAATAGATGAGGTAAATATTAAGAGATGAGGCAAAAAGGGTCTAATAGAGGCGAATTAGAGCCTTTGGACTTCATTTCCAATTTTACTTCTCTGTTGGTTGGCGTTCAGAGTTCAGCATCTGTAATAATTTGCAATGACTTACAGGATGGTGAGACATACATACATCTTGTTTTCAAAATTCCAGGAAAAGTGCAAATCTGTTCAACTTGAAATATCTAGGATGTTTGGTAAATTACTAAGTGGTCATTTAAAATTTTCAATAAAAAGTGTGATATTCATTACTGTATGTCTTTTTTTCAAGGGATGAGGCATCTGGGTTCTGTTACTTCAATGATGCTGTTCTGGCCATCTTTAAGCTGCGTGAGAAATATGACAGAGTACTTTATGTGGACCTCGACTTGCATCATGGGGATGGTGAGTTTAAGACTGATTTTTGGCCCATATTTCTGGCCATTGCCAAAGGCCTCAATTATCATGCAATTTTGGTCTTTCAACAATGAACAGAATTACATTTTCAGTCATATCACGCCTAACCATCAACGACGTACAGTGACAAAATATATGGGTGTATTTTATGTTTAATTTCATGTGCATGCTCTTGGCAAAACTTTCTAATTACGCTAGCAGATTCTCAAGCAGAGCATGAGTTTTTTCTAGGAAAAGTTAAAAGTCTTGCCAAGGGCATGCACATGAAATACTTAATCATATACCTTAGATAAATCTTTTAAAACCTACATCACAATTTTTGCTTCAAACATGACAACGTACAGCCAGATATTTTGTCACAGTATGTTGTCGATGGTTGGGCGTACAGATTGCACCATAAATCATAGAATCAAGATCTTTGTTACATCTGTTTGTATTTATTATGAAATTAAGTGGTCATTCATACGCGATTATTGACCAGTAAATCAATCAATCAATTCGAGTTATTGTGACGTCACATATCATATTAGAATGAGTATTACACATGTACATGTTATCATTTTTTGTTGTCATGTACATGTTGTGATATTTTACATTTTTTGAAATTTTTATGTTTTATTTTTTCAAATTGAAATAACTATTGAAATATTTGAATTGCATCTTGATGTTTCTACATACACTGTATCATGAAACGTTCATACATTGTGATATTTCTATTTTCTACACTCTTACATGTTATTATGAAATATTGACGTATTATGATATTTTATTCACAATTTGATATTCAAATTGATATTTCAACATGTATCAATATTCCCAATTGAATTAATATTTCTATATTTAGGTGTTGAGGATGCGTTTTGTGCCACTTCTAAAGTGATGACAGTATCATTCCATAAGTTTTCTCCAGGATTCTTTCCAGGTAAGCACACACGACATTGTGATAAAATGAGGCTTATTCTATATGTAACCAACTTTCAGTTTGCTATATTGATGCAACAGTACGGAGGCATTAAAATAATCAAATGTAAGCAGTTCAACAATGTTACTGTTAAATGATTACATTTAACATTCTCATATACAGTAAAACATATCTTAGTGAACACTTCTCTTTAGTGAACACCTGTGTTTAGTGAACACTACTTCAGGTTTTATTGTATGTACAAACAATTTAATATTTAGATGCATGAAGTATTCTTTATTTCTAAAACTAAAAATAAAACTAAAAATATTCATATTTAAGTCATGAAAACAATTAGCACATTTTATTTCTAGATATTCTCATATACAGGTTTTATTCTATACATACAGTATAAGATTTAAATTATAACTCCAATTTTCTATCTAATTTGCCCATAGGAACTGGAGATGTGACACATGTAGGACTTGGAAAAGGCAAATTCTATTCTGTCAATGTTCCACTTAGAGAAGGCATCCATGACAAACAGTTTATATCACTAGTAACACAGTAAGTACAGTTTTTATTTCACCACCACCAGAAGTGGTGACATATTGCTATAGTCTCCAACTTTTTTTTGGACAGCAATCAGCATTTGGCGGTTGGTGTTCAGCATCTTTGACAAATTCTTTTCTTTTTATAACTTACAAGGTGGTGACATTTTGTCATGTTAATGCCTTGTATGTTAATGAAAGGGTGTAGCGTTAACAATCTTAATTTTGGGGTGATATACTTTTCAAAGAAAACTATTGCAAATGCATTATGCTATATTTTAAATGTTAATCTCAATAACCCCCTCCCCCTTACCCTCCCTTCCATCCCCCACAAAATGCAAAAACGTAAAGGTACTAAAAGAATTACTGAAATGAAGATGATCATGAAATAACAATATACATTGGAATTGTAGGGTACTATCAGAGGTCAAATCAGCCTACAAACCCCAGGCAGTTGTATGTCAATGTGGGGCAGATGGCCTAACAAGGGACCCAATGTCGTCATTCAACCTCACATTAAAATCCCTTGGAGAGAGCGTCAAGGGAATCTTGGCTTGGGATCTTCCCACTTTACTTCTAGGTGGAGGTATGATTATTTTAGTTAGACCACTGTAAATATATTGTTTGTTTATGATTAAGCCTCAATGCTGCAACTTAAATATTTGTTTAAATGGTCAATTATTAATTCCTTTGGTCACAATTATTTGCTCAATTTCTCATAATTTTCATTCATTTAGAGATACATTTCTCGATAAAAATAATTCAAACCCTTGTTACTTGTCAATTTTTTATTTTGTGAATAAAATATATTATCCGAAACACTAGATCAAGATAATAAATACACTTTTGTTTCCTCAACTGGGAACTATAACCCAGTTAATAAACTAATAAAGCATATTCCACTTGTGTAAAATGAAAAACGTGTTCAATAGACTACATGCAAGTAGAAAAAAATCCTGATTTTAGTCATTTGATGTTAAAAATTTAGGCAAAGTGTATTTGAAAGCTACACATAAAACTACATCTAAAAATGGTTTTGAAAATTTTAAAAACATTTCTGTTCTCTTCAGTAACATTATCCATCTCATTCACTTTAGAGTCTACTATGAAATGAACCTCTCCAAGTGGAACACTTTCAAAGTGAAAGACCATTTTCAGGTACTGAATAACTGAATGTGTTCCACATACACAGGAAGTGTATGCAGTTATTATTTGCACAATTCTGACAACAAAGGACTTCCTTATTTTCAAAAATATATAAGTGCAATCCACTTTTCAAGCGGGTTTAAGCCTAGGTGCATCTCCTACTTGTTTCAATGCTGGGAAAATTACTGAATTATTTTTAGGAAGTATTGATGACAATAAAATGATGGGAAATAAAGTATGATAGAAGATCATAGATATTAGATATTTATGTGATATAATGTTTATTATATACAAAATGTGAACTATCAGTCTATCATACCAAGTCTACAAAATATAATAGTTTCATCTCTAACCCTTTACACCAATGGTTAAAACTTCAAGAGACCCTATCTAATCTGTGTGCACAACTAAAAATGTTCTACAGTGAATGCTGTATGGAATTGCTAAAATCATTTAGCTCTATTGGCATCTTCATAAGATAGAAGTCAACTGGATTAGAAGTGTTCAATTTTTAATGTTGCTTTATATTAAAAAGTTCTTAATTTTACTGTGATGTGATTAATTTACATATTCAATGTAAATGTCTATGGTTCTCAGTATGACTATTAAGCCATGTATTTTATGAAGTGGAGGTCTCCACTATCAGTGCCAACCAGCAGGTCACCATTGTGATCTATGGCAAGTACAACTGGGCAATTAACATTGTCCTCTGGGGTCAGGAGATACTTGATAAACTTCCCTCTTGGATCTAACATGTGAATTCTACTGTTGTGACAGTCAGCTATGATAATGTTGCCTTGCGAGTCTATACTAAGTCCACATGGGTAGTTGAGTTGATGGTCACCATTACCCTTGGTGCCATAGCTTAACTTTAGGTCACCTTTCCTGTTGAACATTTTTACACAGTTTGCTTCATAGTCTGAGGCAATGACTGCATACGTGCTGTTGGTTGCGAGATCCCTTACAGAGTCTAATTGGCCTGTGCCTATTGTAGCCAGAGTGGATCCATCGTTGTAGTCAACAATGTACATGCATTTAGCTTCAGGGTCACTGATGATCAGCTCTCCATCAGAGTTCACACATATTCGGGAAGGATTCTCAAATCTCCAAATACTTCTCTCTTGTACCAAGTCTTCATTATAAATGGCAACACATTTGTTCATTTGACCAGCTACAGCGTAGTAATTGTCTTTCACAGAACACACTCCATTGCCATTGATTTCTTTTGCTGTGTGTTTGTTCAATGTTGTACCATTGTTTACGTACATTACAATCCTTGACTCTTCATCATTTGGCATCTCACTGACTACAATTTGTTGACTTTTACCAACACATAAACCCTGAATAGCAGAGAGTTCACTTGTATCACTAATGTCTACCAAATGTTCAGTTCTGTATACCTTTGGAGTACATTGCTTTGGAATAGCAGATAATGTACCATTGTCTTCCAAATTCTTAGTTCTGTGTAAGTTTCGAAAACATGTACATAGTTTTGGACTTCTCTTATGTTCCATTTTTTTCCTCTTATGTTTTATAGATGTCACTGAGGCCCTATTAGTATGTGCATTATCAGTTGTTGAGATAATATGTCCAAGTTTAGTTGTATCCAAGCAACGATGTTTATATCGAACTATTTGTATATCTTTTTCAAGAGCGTCTAAGTCTGAAGTTGAAGATATTGCGCTCCAGTTTTGAAGTGTTTGTTCTACGTCAGCTCTTGAGTTGATGATTTCAATGGGATGTCCATATTTCTGTAGAGAAGTTATGTGATGTAATGTACTCTCAGTGACACCTTTCTGGTGTTCTATGCCACTTGTATGAGATTTTATCTGTTTTACAGTTTTATTTTGCAAGTCTTTTGCATCACTTTCAAGTTTCTTAAAGTGTTTATTGAGTTCATCCTGTGCAGCCCTTCGATCAGATTTAATGGAGCGAAGAAGTGTTTTGAATTTTTCTCCTTGGATTTCGGTTAGATTAAACGCTGTTCTGAGTTTACTTTCAAGCAAGTCTTTCTTCTGAATGGCTAGTCCAATCACTGTAGATATCTTGTGCAATTCTTCCTTTGCCACATCTTCAATGTTCACACATGGATGCCCCGAATGATCTGTCATACAACAGTCTCTGCAAACAGGGGTTTTATGTGTCTTACAGTAGAACTTGAGTGGCTGGTCAGTATGCTTTGGACATTCAATGTTTCTGTGAACCAGGCTGTCTATCACAATCTTGGAATCTTTCTCCAGATCACCAGTCAATTTTATGCACTTATGAGATTTTGTTGATCTCATTCTACCATGATACTTCTGACAGGTTTCACACAAATATTCGGCACATTCAACACATCTGGCAACAGCACTTGAATGCTCTTCACCCTGCATACATGTGTCACATTCAATGTCTTTCTCATCTTCTTGTTTGGCCTTTTCTAGAGCTTCAGCCATTGACTTCATGGTGAAGTTGGTCATATACGATCTTGCACCTTTTGCAGGAACGGCATTTTTACGCTTACATACTGGACAAGGGTATGTCTTTTTTCGATTGTCCTTTTCATCTTTGATCCATGTGCCCAAACATCCTTTACAGAATGTATGTAGGCATTTTAGCGACTTTGGTGTCTTTACTGTCTCCATACATATAGCACACTTCAAGAGTTCAGTATATTCCTCGATGAATGATTTAGCGACTGCCATTGTGGGTGATTTATTTCTTAAATGGGTGTCCTAGATGGATCAAGAGAATGTCATTGACAAACTTTAAAACACAGTCTTGATAAGATAACAAAAGTATCTCATTGTCCCACTCTACTAACGTGCTTACATGCACGTAGGACACAAGCATTCATTCAAGACATTTGAATAACTTCACTCTCCAAAAAATCACATAAAAATTCTGGCTCTCGTCCTCATCTTTGTTTACATTTAGCACATTTTAGATGAAAAAGATACGACAGAGTTAAAACTTCAAATCAAAAAATGGATTTTACCTATCGGTAGTTGTCAGTTTGAAGAGTTTTGATGAAGTTTGTAACAATGTTACTGTTATTAACTTCGAAAACAGGGACCTGGAGAATCATGTAGCAGGTCAAATTGCCTGTGTCAAAGCGTCACCAAAAAGTGTGAAATGTCATGTATGTCACTGTCAGTGTACTTATTGATTTTTATGTCCTGTTTTTCTTACTGTTTATGTGATTTTCCCCCATTGTGTTTGGATGTTTAATTTTAAATTCAAGTTGGTTTTAAGAATTTTCAAACTAAAATAATTATTTAGTTTTTATGTAATGCATTATGTTATGCTTTATAATAGGATTTGCTATGTGTGTAATCACCCAAGTTTCATTATTTACAAATCAAGTTGTTGTAGTGCATGTTAATTAAGGTCTATGTATTTACTTCCACACAGGAGGTTACAATATAGCTGATACTGCCAGATGCTGGACTTACCTGACCTCCATTGCTCTCCAGGAAGATCTGCCAGATGATATTCCTGAACATAGGGTATGCTTATCTTAGATTCCTTATTCCAGAACATAGGGTATGCTTATCTTAGATTCCTTATTCCAGAACATAGGGTATGCTTATCTTAGATTCCTTATTCCAGAACATAGGGTATGCTTATCTTAGATTCCTTATTCCTGAACATAGGGTATGCTTATCTTAGATTCCTTATTCCAGAACATAGGGTATGCTTATCTTAGATTCCTTATTCCAGAACATAGGGTATGCTTATCTTAGATTCCTTATTCCAGAACATAGGGTATGCTTATCTTAGATTCCTTATTCCAGAACATAGGGTATGCTTATCTTAGATTCCTTATTCCTGAACATAGGGTATGCTTATCTTAGATTCCTTATTCCAGAACATAGGGTATGCTTATCTTAGATTCCTTATTCTAGAACATGGGGTATGCTTATCTTAGATTCCTTATTCCTGAACATAGGGTATGCTTATCTTAGATTCCTTATTCCAGAACATAGGGTATGCTTATCTTAGATTCCTTATTCTAGAACATGGGGTATGCTTATCTTAGATTCCTTATTCCTGAACATAGGGTATGCTTATCTTAGATTCCTTATTCCTGAACATAGGGTATGCTTATCTTAGATTCCTTATTCCTGAACATGGGGTATGCTTATCTTAGATTCCTTATTCCTGAACATGGGGTATGCTTATCTTAGATTCCTTATTCCTGAACATGGGGTATGCTTATCTTAGATTCCTTATTCTAGAACATAGGGTATGTTTATCTTAGATTCCTTATTCCAGAACATGGGGTATGCTTATCTTAGATTCCTTATTCCAGAACATAGGGTATGCTTATCTTATATTCCTTATTCCAGAACATAGGGTATGCTTATCTTAGATTCCTTATTCTAGAACATAGGGTATGTTTATCTTAGATTCCTTATTCCAGAACATGGGGTATGCTTATCTTAGATTCCTTATTCCAGAACATATGGTGTGTTTTCCTTATATAACATATGCCGGAACGTATGGTGTGTTTTCCTTATATAACATATTCCAGAACATAGGGTATGCTTATCTTAGATTCCTTATTCCAGAACATGGGGTATGGTTATCTTAGATTCCTTATTCCAGAACATAGGGTATGCTTATCTTAGATTCCTTATTCCAGAACATATGGTGTGTTTTCCTTATATAACATATTCCAGAACGTATGGTGTGTTTTCCTTATATAACATATTCCAGAACATAGGGTATGCTTATCTTAGATTCCTTATTCCAGAACATGGGGTATGCTTATCTTAGATTCCTTATTCCAGAACATGGGGTATGCTTATCTTAGATTCCTTATTCCAGAACATAGGGTATGCTTATCTTAGATTCCTTATTCCAGAACATAGGGTATGCTTATCTTAGATTCCTTATTCCAGAACATAGGGTATGCTTATCTTAGATTCCTTATTCCAGAACATATGGTGTGTTTTCCTTATATAACAAATTCCAGAACATATGTTGTGTTTTCCTTATATAACATATTCCAGAACATATGGTGTGTTTTCCTTATATAACATATTCCAGAACATATGGATTGTTTTCCTTATATAACATATTCCAGAACATATGGTGTGTTTTCCTTATATAACATACTGTAGAACATCGGATGAATTTTCATATGGAGAGGTGCAATAAACCATGGGCTTTTAAGAGGAAAACATTGCTGAAACACCTTTATAAAGTTATTTTGTTTATACTGTTATCTTCATAAAGATTTCTCTAGGAAAGTACACCGAGAAAATGTTCAAAATATATTAATAGGATGATCACACACAGTTGGTTGTGTTTCATAAATCATTGTTGTGTTTTAAGTCTGTTTCTTGATTAAATAGCTCCTCCCAAATATGACCAGCTAAGGGGCACTTGATTACATTGAATATCTTTTACTATATAACTATTCTTGTCTCCTTTCAGTACTTTACCAAATACGGACCTGAGTTTGAGCTCCACCTATCTGCAGGATTTAGAACTAATAAAAATGATGCTGGTTATCTGCAAGAAATAACAGATGAAATAATGGGTAAGCAAATACACATTTATGTAGATTATAATAATTATGTGTATGTATTCCAACAATGGGCAAAAGTGCCTCATTGTTATAGTCTCCAACTTTTTTGTGGATGGTGTTCGGCAGTTGGTGTTTAGCATTTGGCGGTTGATGTTTGCCATTCTGTCTGTAATGGCATTCGGATTGTCAAGTAAATGGCAGGTGGTGACATTTTGCATGTTAATGCCTCGTAGAGTTAATACCCTTTCCATGACTTTGACCTAATTTTCACCATAAAGGTAATCTTTTGCATGGCTTTACTTTTATTTTATTTTAATGTATCAATTAGTTCTCAAAGGAAAACTAATTTTCCCCTGTTATTAACACAGAAATAAGTTATGCTAATCATGGGTTTCAGTTTATTTTGGTCATCAAATTTCTTTATTCTTTAGGTGGCCGGATAAATTCACTTTTCAGGTTTGATAAAATAAATCATGTCATCAAACACAGTTTAATTTTGCATTAAACATCGTGATAAAACATTGCCTTTTTGGTGAATATTAGGAGAACATTTTAAAAAAGTATGTTGATGGGTTGATTACCCCTTCAGGGATCTTTATTTCAATTTATTTATCAGATCTCAAACTACTGATGGGTACATACTTTGGTATTTTCTGTATATGTATTCATGTTAAGGAATTGCTACATGTGTGACATTGTGTCAAGGTCATATTATGTGAAATAGTGTCAAGGTCATACTATGGTAATGTTGTCAAGGTCATATGTGATATCGTGGCAAGGTCATATTATGGGGGTTCTATCATTTCATTTGATTTTAATTTAGTGTTATGATTCTTAGAATAATTAATCTTCAAATGACAACTTTTATTTTCAGAAAATCTTGAGGAAATTAGGTGACACAAGCAACAAACTGGACTCAGAAATCAATAATTATATTATGTACATTGAATAAGAAATGTGTTTGCCAGTTTGAACATTTTTCCAAATATAGTACCCAGGACATTATGCTGTAAACCACTTAATGAGGAATATGTCTCAATGTATTTTATGTTTATATTGAATTCAAATACTGCTGTACATGTATATGAAAATAAATTCCTCATACTGAAACAAAGGGCGGATCAAAATACTGATTGTCTGTAAATATTCCATCCATTTCATTGTTAACTGTAAATTCATAATGCTGTACAGCAGAAGTACCCATAATGATGGCTTCTTATAAGAGAGCATGTGTTAAGATTGAATTTAACTTGATGAAATGACTTGAGTTTAGAAATGACATTACAATATCAATCCCTGGATGCAGGCATAAAAATGTGTCACAGATTTGAACAATGCAGTTGTTAAACAAAAATCAATCATTGATGTTTAATAACGAACAGTAAAGAAGCAATCTGATTGGTGGAGATAACTCTGTATTTAGCTATGGTCAAATTGTCCAAAATGATAGAAATACATTATAAATTAACAATTATAACAGTTCAAATATATCACAGTTTAAATGTAAAAAAAGTCCAACAACACTCTATCAAGAGAGCAAGGATTGTCCAGAACACTACAGAACAAATATATAATGAACATTTAAGAGTTCCAAAATGACTGCATTATGGACTGAGAGTCCATAATGCTGTAAATACACCCAGTAACAGTGTAGCATAAAGAGCAGGTTTAAACGATGGCACATCATTGCTTGATTGCTGGGCTGAGGCAGCTAACCTGTCTTTTGTTCTTGAGCTAGTTCTACGATTTCTGCCATATTCTCCATTAATGGCAGCTCTGGAAGAATCAAGTTTTATTACACGTACATGTACAATAAGTTATATTGAAATGTATGAATCCAATTATTGTATTCACTTGTAAATATGTCATGTAAATATGTCTTGTTGAAAATAAATGCATGTTATTTTTTCAAAACCAGTTAATTTCATGTCTTGTATTATGTTAGTCCATTTTATATTCAGGGTCTTATTATCCCAATCAGCTATGTTCAGCCATTTTAAAAAGTGTAAAGCTCCTCATCTCCCCTTTTTTCTGTTCCTCCACATATTTTTGTAAAAAGTTGCGAAAATGATGAACTTTAAGTATGGATTACTTATTTGATTTTACTATAACCCCTGACACATGTGACAATTTAGTGTTATTACATTAATAATGTTATGTGACAACCTTTAATGATTCTTGAGTAATAGAAAGAAAAATGGGTCAAAAGAAAGAGGCAAAGGATTAAATCTGCCAGAAATTGTAGGCACTTGTTGCAAAAAAAACTGAAATCATATTTTTGAATTTGTTAATGAATTTCTACAGAATGTATTGAAACTGCTGAATAATTTATTTAAACTGAATTGGCACTAAAATTTGGTACTAGGTTGGTACCAAATATTAGTTCTAAATTGCTATATAGAAATTTGGAATTGAAATAGCAAGCAACAAATTATAGAAAAGTACTCTACCTGTAGCCTTTGATCATGGTTTCAAGACCTTTTGTAATGTTTTTGCCTGGTTCAAAATACACCCTTGATTCCATGGTTACTTCTGTTATCATGTTTCCATCCAGGATTTTTCTACTGTTGTTTCCTGGCATAGTGTAGATCTGGAAATACAAAATACATTTTTTCATTCACTACCTCTCATACTCATCATGTTGCCACTCAGATGTGTGTCAGATGTTGGGATAAGAAAAGAAGGTCCGTATGAGGACTAAAACAGAAATTCACAATTTCCCTGCCTGTAATTACATAATGAAATTACTAATCAGTGATCTCCCCAGCATTAAAGCAAGTGGGCACAGCACCCATCTGAGATTTTAAAAACAGGCTTGCACCCACCTGAGATTTCATTTGCACCCATTTAAAAATGAGAAAAATCATGTAAAATTGGCATATTTTGACCGATTTTGCATTACATTGTGAAAATGAGAATTTTGCACCCATTTGAGAAAACATCCTGTGGAGAACACTACTTATACAAAATAACTCAAGTTCATTTACTTCAGAGAATAATGACTTATTTATTTATTGATGAATCTACACAGAAATTACTTATACAGTTACTTACTACATTGTCTTCTTTTGAGTATAGTATGACAATATCTTCCTGGCACATGCCATATTTCCACAACATGCTCTCTAACTGGTGACTGAAGTAGGCTGCATGTTTCAATTTATCATCAAAGCTCTCAAAATCACTATAAATGAGAAACAGTTTCAATCAATCAATTTAAGTTGACTGAAATTGATGCTTTTGTTTTACAATTGAGGGGTGCCTTAAAAATGGTTATTAAGTTTTCAAAAAGAATTTCAAAACTTACAACATTGAAATGGCTCGACTGAAAAGAGTCCCCTTCATAACAGATAACTCAAAAATATACTTAGATTTTAGAAATATAACAACAAATATATATAGTTTTCACAGAATTGAGAACTAGCAAGCAACTTGTAGCAAGCATTGCTCAAAGTAACAACTACCCATGTCTGGTGGTGACATATTGTTATCGTCTCCAATTTTTGTGTTTTTGGTCAGTATATGGTGTCTGTAAATTACAGGTGGTGACAATTTGCAATTCCTTGTCATAATTGTGTCTTTTTCCCTTCCCTGTACATACCTGTATGGCTTCATCTTGTTCATCAAAGCTATTGCAATGTGGTAGCCTTTGTTCTTACGTTTACACTTCTTAGGGCAGGCACACTTGGTTTTCTTCATGAAAAAATTGATCATATCATCCAGGTAGTTGGCTGAAGATAGAGATTTTTTAATATTAGGTGCTTGGCTCACATGATACTGAATCAGACCATTCATCCGTCTGTTCTTCATTCCGCTTTTTTTTTATCATTGTATCATCTTATGGTCATTCAAAATAATTAAAAACATTTTTGTAAAAGTACTGTCCTCTATAATGTGTTCTACTGATTCATTATGGGTGATGACCCATGAGATTGATCAAGCACTCTTACCTTCATTATGGGTGACGGTGATGGGATTGATTGACCACTCTTACCTTCATTATGGGTGATGAGATTGTTAGGATCACACACCCAGGATGTGATCCCATTCCTCCCACAATTATAAACCTGTCTCTGGGGGTTAGGGTAATCCTCTACTGTCCACTCCTTTATGGCTGGGGGTGGGGTGGGAGGGGGTCGCCTGATCCTTCCATAACAACTAGGTGTTAACCAGAGTAACGCAGTGCTTAACAGCAAGTAAAAAAGTTGTACATCCATTCTGGAAATAGAATATATATTATGATTTAAATTACAGCATACTTGCATAAGAAAGGCTGTAATTTAAAATGTTAAAAAAGCCCATTTAGAAGGTACAAAATGATTTGAATAAAAATTGCAAGTTAATGTTTCAAAGGCTCATGAAAAGTTTAAAACACTTTGCCTTATGTTGTAGTCTAATCCGATATCATCAAAATGTAATAACTTTTTTTAAAAATTTATAACAAAAATAAATAAAAAATCTATTTCTAGGGTTTTCTGAGTGGCAAAAGCTTAAATACTTATCAACGAAATTATTTGATAGTGTCATGATTATGAATGATTCAAAAACACCAATTGGATCAATAGAACAAGCCTAAGCTAAAATTCCAAGTGTAAAGTTCTATATTATAATTATATACCACCAGGCTACTCTTTGATAAATCTAATTTAATTTTATTGTTCAATAATTTATTCTAATATAAATGCTAATATTGTTCACTGATAAAATACAGATTATATAGCCTAGCAGAGATTTCTGAAACCTCAACTCACCTTTGGAAAGGTCCGTTGCTTACTAATCATGCTAGCATGTATACAATATTCTGTTGTGTATTTCATGTTATTTTTACACCCAATAGTAAACATATAACTTCAGTTTTGCTCATTTCCTACAACATATCTGCTTTTAGACAGGTGGTTCAGCCAAGAACACATAAATCAACATGATTTTCCTCATTTTTCCAACCCTTTGTAAGAGCTTGAATAATTTGTCTATACTCTTTAGATAACAGATAATTCTTTTGATCTAATCAGTCATTATCTTGTCAGAATTGCTAATTAGAAGGAAATGTTGAAACTAGACATTCTGCTTATTCATAAGTAGTTGATATTAATTTTACTTTCAAATCAAAATAAGATGTCAAAAACCATTTGAGATTGTTAAGATTGTAAAATCATTCGTAGCAGTCAGAGGGCAGTGTATTAACTTGTCTAAACAGAGAGCATTGCAATCTCATGGATTAGTTAGATAACATTATTCTATTAAGTCCTTAAACTGACTCGTTTAATTTAATTCTCTAATTTAAGAGTGTTGATGAGGTCTAGCTCTTCTAAAGGGTTGATCTCAGAGGCTATGGAAATGATATAGGCTATCTGGTGTTAACCATGACTTGACATTTATACACCCTGCAAAGTGCATTTTGCTTTTCTTGGTTGTGATATTTTCCTTGGAACAGGAGAGGTGCAATATCTAAACTAGAAATCAGCAACTCCACGGAGTAGCAAATTCAATGAACACTATATATAAACTATAAATCATGAATCTGTACAGTTACAATGTATTTATTTACCACCTAACTTTTACCCTCGATACATTTTTGAGATCATTGTAGTATCTCTTTGCAAAAAATTCCCACCATTTTTAAAGCGGCGGCCATCTTGATTTTTTTATGAGTAAAACAAATCACCAATATACATCTTTTCACCAAATATGAAGAAAATCCGTCAACTAGTATTCAAGTTATCTTTCAGATGGAAGGATGGACTGACTGACAGACGGATTGACGGATTGACAGACGGAGGGCTTCTCTATATCCCTACCGAACCTCGTTCATTGGGATAACTAGAAAAACAGCAACTCCACGGAGTAGCAAATCCCACCGAACAAAACATATTATGCTTATTATAGCTCGTGTAAATGTTGAAATGTTTGTGCACTTTGTGATAGAAGCATGAAATTTGGCACAAAGTTAGTTTATACCATTGTGAACTAGGCATCATCATATAAAATTTGAACCAAATCCGTTCACTGGTATATGAGTTATCAAAGATTACGTTTTTTACGAAAATTGGCTGCCATCTTGAAATTCAGCGACCATTTTGAAAATTATTTCTTGAACAGAGCTATTGTGTCCCTAGGCATAATCATATAAAATTTCAACCAAATCTGTTCACTGGTAGTTGAGTTATTAAAGATTACGTTTTTTAAAAAAAATTGCCGCCATTTTGAAATTAAGCGGCAATCTTGAAAAAATTTTGTCGAACATAGCTACTGTGTCCCCAAGCATCATCATATAAAATTTGAACCAAATCCGTTCACTGGTATTTGAGTTATCAAAGATTACATATTTTTACGAAAAATGGCCGCCATTTTGAAATTAAGCGGCCATCTTGAAAATCTCTTTTTGTGCGAAACTCCTTTGTCCCCAGGCATCAGCATATAAAATTTGAACCAAATCTGTCAACTTGTATTTGAGTTATCAACGATTACATTTTTTACGAAAAATGGCGGCCATTTTGAATTGAGCGGCCATATTGAAAATTCCTTCTCGAGCAGAGGTACTTCACTCATAAGGCATAAGCCTATAAAATTTGAACCAAATCCGTCTACCGGTATTGGAGTTATCGCCCGGACACACGGACGGACGGACGGACGGACAAACGGACGGACGGACGGTTCTCTATATCCCCCTCGAACTTCGTTCGGTGGGATAATTAAGGTACTTGGGTACTGAGCAGGCAGAATGGGTATTCTCACTAATTATCTACACTTACACAGGAGGAATCCATTTTAATTAGTCATAAGTCAAAATGTTGTTGAGCTGTTTGACTTGAGCATGTTTTCTACCCGTGAAGCATTCTCCTTTGGATTCAGTCTCTGTATGAGTAAGCTGTAATAGCCCTACTTTCGGCTCTGCAAAGGGGAATGCCTGAAAATAAATGGAAAAAAATAAGTGACAAGCAGGTTTCATATTTGACAACAATGAATTGAGAGGTCAATGGAGTAAAATGAACAGTTTAATATGCCCTCCACATACCTTTTGCAATTGTCTATACTATTCACATGAGAGATAGTTCTTAGACCTGACCTTCATTCAAAATGGATCTGTACACTTTCTGCATGAAAGTAGAGATGATACAATTTTCATATTGAAACTCCCATATAAGGCCAATTGAGATCATTAAGATGTTATAATCAGTAATTAGTACTTTGACCCGACCTTCATGGTGTAACGAACGGCTCCAACCTCCGTGGTAGTGTGTGTATGGTGTTATGATTTGGAAAGTTGGGGTTCGTTTGTTTTAAAAAGGGGTGAGACGTCTTTGGGCGTGTCGGGGTCGGTTGACACTTTTACTGCAACCGAGTCTACTGCCTCTAAATAATAATGACAAACACAGTAATTCAGTTTACTTATGAAAAGAAATTAGCTCTATTTAGGCTGTTATTAGCCCACGAAGTGTTACAAAAATAAATCGAGAATGTCTCTAGCTTTGTATTGATTGTATCTCTAATGTATCAAGTATCTTGCATCCAATGTCTATATCTGCTTCAATAATGTCTATGAGTATATGGGTCTCTATATCTCTCCAAATGTCTATGGCCGTGTCTGATTCTCTGTGTCTGGCTGGTTTCCTGTTATAAAGGTCTCTTACTCTGTATCTGTTCCTCTCAATAATAAAGTTCTCTACTCGATGAACCTGAAATTACAATCCCTGGAAAGACAGGTCTGGAACAGAAGCTCTGAAATAGAATGCCTACAAAGCAAACTCTGAAATGGAATGCCTACAAAGCAAACTCTGAAATAAAATGCCTACAAAGCAAACTCTGAAATAAAATGCCTACAAAGCAAACTCTGAAATGGAATGCCTGAAAAGCAAACTCTGAAATGGAATGCCTACAAAGTAATCTCTGAAATGGAATGCCTACAAAGTAATCTCTGAAATGGGATGCCTACAAAGCAAACCCTGAAAATATATAGAAGGCAAACCCTGGAAATATATAGAAAGTACACTCTGAAATAGAATGCCTACAAAGCAAACTCTGAAATGGAATGCCTGAAAAGCAAACTCTGAAATGGAATGCCTACAAAGCAAACTCTGAAATGAAGAAGGCAAACCCTGAAAATATATAGAAAGTACACTCTGAAATAGAATGCCTACAAAGCAAACTCTGAAATGGAATGCCTGAAAAGCAAACTCTGAAATGGAATGCCTACAAAGTAATCTCTGAAATGGAATGCCTACAAAGCAAACCCTGAAAATATATAGAAGGCAAACCCTGGAAATATATAGAAAGTACACTCTGAAATAGAATGCCTACAAAGCAAACTCTGAAATGGAATGCCTGAAAAGCAAACTCTGAAATGGAATGCCTACAAAGTAATCTCTGAAATGGAATGCCTACAAAGCAAACCCTGAAAATATATAGAAGGCAAACCCTGGAAATATATAGAAAGTACACTCTGAAATAGAATGCCTACAAAGCAAACTCTGAAATAGAATGCCTACAAAGCAAACTCTGAAATAGAATGTCTACAAAGCAAACTCTGAAATAGAATGCCTACAAAGCAAACCCTGAAAAGTAGAAGGCAAACCCTGAAAATATATAGAAAGTATACTCTGAAATGGAATGCCTACAAAGCAAACTCTGAAATGGAATGCCTACAAAGCAAACCCTGAAAAATAGAAGGCAAACCCTGAAAGTATATAGAAAGTATACTCTGAAATGGAATGCCTACAAAGCAAACTCTGAAATGGAATGCCTACAAAGCAAACTCTGAAATATAATGCCTACAAAGCAAACTCTGAAATGGAATGCCTACAAAGCAAACCCTGAAAAGTAGAAGGCAAACCCTGAAAATATATAGAAAGTATACTCTGAAATGGAATGCCTACAAAGCAAACTCTGAAATGGAATGCCTACAAAGCAAACCCTGAAAAGTAGAAGGCAAACCCTGAAAGTATATAGAAAGTATACTCTGAAATGGAATGCCTACAAAGCAAACCCTGAAAAGTAGAAGGCAAACCCTGAAAATATATAGAAAGTATACTCTGAAATGGAATGCCTACAAAGCAAACTCTGAAATGGAATGCCTACAAAGCAAACCCTGAAAAGTAGAAGGCAAACCCTGAAAGTATATAGAAAGTATACTCTGAAATGGAATGCCTACAAAGCAAACTCTGAAATGGAATGCCTACAAAGCAAACCCTGAAAGGTAGAAGGCAAACCCTGAAAATATATAGAAAGTATACTCTGAAATGGAATGCCTACAAAGCAAACTCTGAAATGGAATGCCTACAAAGCAAACCCTGAAAGGTAGAAGGCAAACCCTGAAAATATATAGAAGGCAAACTCTGAAATGGAATGCCTACAAATCAAACCCTGAAATGGAATGCCTACAAATCAAACCCTGAAATGGAATGCCTACAAAGCAAACTCTGAAATGAAGAAGGCAAACCCTGAAAATATATAGAAGGCAAACCCTGGAAATATATAGAAAGTAAACTCTAAAATGGAATGCCTACAAAGCAATCTCTGAAATGGAATGCCTACAAAGCAAACTCGGTTGTCAATCAAAGTCGGTCACCACCTCTGGAAATACACAAAAGTCCTGAAAATACCCCAAATTCTCGGCAATTGCACAGACTCTGGATCACCTCTAGAATCTTACAAATACTCCCAAGATCCGGATCAGCACCTAAAAATACACAGTCTGTGTGAATACTCCTAGTCCAGACAGCATCTGAAAATACACAAAGTCTCTGCTCTGCAAATACACCTGGTCCGGACAGCTCCTGAAAATACAAAGGTCTCTGCTCATACAATGAGTCTGGACAGCATCTGAAAATATACAAAGTCTCTGCTTTGCAAATACACTTGGTCCGGATCACCTCTGAAAATATACACTGTCTACACGACTACACCTGGTCTGGACAACATCTGTAAATATACACAAAGTCTCTGCTCTGCATACTCTTGATCCGGATCACCTCTGAAAATATACAAAGTCCTGAAAGTATATGCAAACTGGATTGCATCTGCAGACCTCGGAATCTCTGAAAGAACAGCTTGATTCATCTGCAGGGTTTACCTGAGAGCAACAACAATCGAGAACACACCTGAAAATATACAAAGTCTGTGCAACTCAGCAAAATCTGGATCACATCTGAAAATAAACCAACTCCAGTTCACATCTGAAAATACACAAAGTGCTAAAAACAAAGTCCTGAAATAAAATCCCTAAAATAAATCAAAGTTCCAAACCAAAGTCAACTGAAATAAGTTGAAGTTAAATTCCACTAACAATTGTTATCCAAAATATATCTCCATAGAAGTATTTCTATTCCAAAGTAAAATAATTTCAAAGTACCTGCGATCAAATCTCTTGATTGAAATCACTTGAATTTGAAAGAACTCAATTCCACAATTCTAAAAGTATTGACTCGTTCCTCAAACGTGTGTACTGAACCTGAAAGAAAGACTGAGCTAAGCTCACTGCTTCCCGCCTTATATAGTCCCTGTAACAAAATAGTTCGCCTTCCGCGGTAGGAAAATATCACTCCGCCGGTCATCCAAGTGTTTTGGGCTAAAAACATATAATTTTACAGTGGCCGGGATAGATTGGAACGATAAATAACTCTAGAATGTTTTTATAAAAGATAGGAGCTTGAATAATGTCGATAAACTGCAAAATATGAGCAAAATTACCAACCGGAAGTTAAATTCGAAACGTTTTCCAGTCGAAATCTGACGAAGCAATTCCCTATAATTTCTAACAAATGATAAAGATTTGGACCTTGAAAGGTATCTAATTCGAAACTCTACACCTCTAACTTAGTCTAGGACGGCTAAAAGTGAAGTAACTTAGCTTATGTGTTGAGAAATCGAAGGGTTAAAATATAAATTGGACTCGTTCCTTATATGGGCAATACTAAGATGGCAGCCTCCATTACGTCGCCAAAAATAACCCCAGTTCACGAAAAATGAATGAAATTTCTGTAAAGTCTAATAATCTACCTGTAATCATCGTCTAAAGGGACAATATGTTAACTCTGGCAGGTAAGTACCACTCAATCAATCACACATAGGGATGAACTGGTTTAGCATCGAATGCCTGACTGGAAATTTCGTTACACTTCTCCCCTCTTTTACATTTGGTGTGATAACACCAATGGAAAACCAAAAAATAAAAAATAAAAAACGAAATTTCACAAAAATATAACTCTATTATCTAAGTATCTTAAAGGATACAGTAAAACGCTCTAAAATGAACGATGATGCAATATTTTCGTTGCATCTCTTCTAACGAGTACTAGGTAAGTATCAAAACTCAAAGTTCAGCGTATAAAAAATATATGAATCCACTGCTTTCTCATATCTTAACTCTGTGGATAGTATCTGTATGCAAATTATTTTATATGATTCTATGAAAATATCCCTATATATGATCTCTCTTTTAATTATCCTCACTGTCCCATGCAGCTATGTTTTGTAATATATATGTCTATTGCTCTTGTTGTAATATGAATCACCATAAAACACTGTGTAAAGTTCTTTGCTAAGGGTTTTACTGTCCATACCGTGTCACCCAATGGCAGTCCTCGATGACCTCTCCTGTGCGAGAATAATATCTGAAGACCAATTCCATCTTTATGGGTCGTTTCGGGGTGCCCTTCATAATGATTGTGCTGTCAGACTCCGGTGACAGTTCTTCTGGGGATTGTACTGGTCGGGGGGAAGCCAGTCTCTTCCCCCTTTTGTTCTTCTTGCTCTTCCTGGCCCTTTTTGTCTTCGGCTTGAAGGAAGGTGACCCACAATCCGGCCCTATCGCGACTTCTACCCATTTATTCCCTTTATACGTTTTTGTTTTCTTGCTTCCCTTGCCTTTAGACTTAAGCGGGGAGGTTTTCTTCTGCATCGTCGCTTTTGGCAGGGAGGCTGCAAGAAGAAAGGTCCTCATTGGGGAGGGGTTTCCCGCAGCTTCCAAAATTACCTTACGGGGAGGTGTCATGACAGATTCTGTGGTTTTGGATTTGGCTTTGATGGTAAACATGCTCTTCAGAGATTTGGGACTCGTCCGTCCAAAGATAAAGGGTTCACTGGACGTTTCCATCACGGCTCTGGGTTCAGGGGTTTTCTTTAATTTGGTACCTTTGGGACTGGACTTGGGAGTGGTTTTCTTGGGGGTTGTAGATCTGGGTTTGGGAGTCGCAGATTTCTTTGTTGAAGCGTGGTCAAGATTCATGGGTTTTCTTCCGGGGGTGGCATTCTTGCGAGTTTTAGGGCTAAGCTTTTGTTTTGAAGTTTTAGGGGTGGCCTTTCCTTTAGTAACTGTGGAGCTCGGCTTGAGTTTGGAAACTTTAGGAGGGGACTTCTTCATAGGGCTGGGAGGTTTTGGACTGGATTTCTTCACGGGTGTCTTAGGGAGGGGCCCCTTCATAGGGCTGGCAGGTTTTGGGCTACATTTCTTCACTGGAGTCTTAGAGAGGGGCCTCGCGCTTGAGCTGGGTTTGGGGCTAGAGTCCATCATTAGTCGCTGAGGAGGGGGTGGGGATTTTTTCAACAGCCCTAGCTGTTCCTGCCTTCTCTTCCTCATGATATCATCGGCCACCTTCCTAGCTTTTGCCATGGCGGGTGTTGGTGCCTGAGGGCTCTTTTCCACAACATCTAATGGGACATTATGAATGATTTGTGGCTTGCCGAAAATGAAAATATCCTCTTCATCGCTAGTACTGGCATATCTCTCAAATTTCCCTTTCTTCGGCGGGGATGGGGACTTCTGTGAGGGTTCTTTGTCCCATCTGCTCTTTCTTTTCTTGGTCTCCATCCTGAAAGCACACAAAAAGAAACCAAACTCAATCAATTGAATCTAACTCTATTTTCTGAAATGATACTATCCCGAAGTTCTCTCTCCCTCATGTTAACTGAAAAAGAACAAAATCTGAAAATACAAAACATTATTAAACACCCACTCTATCCTTTCTAGATCTATGTTATGACTGCTTCTCTCTCTGTGGATGATCCAGGTTATGGTCAAGAAATCAATTACATCTAACTGTCTTTTTTCTGTACTGATTCTATCTAGTAATACTCTCTCAATGACGCTAACTGAAATGAACAAAAACAAAAATGCGAAACAACATTATTAAACACCCACTCTCTTCTATCTGGATCTGTGTTTACTACTTTTTCTCTGTCTGTGGAGGATCCGAGTTATGGTCAACACTACCCAGCAAAAATGTATGGACTGCTTTGATCTCTGGGTCCCTCTGAATCCTGTAGTACTTCTTAAGTATCAGTTCAGATTTAATATGTTGGCCTTGACTTAGCTCCGGTACTCGGAAGGTATATAATTGGGGCATAGAAGTTGAAGCCAGTGGTCTTTCTGCTGACCGCTCAATTCTACCCTGTACCCATGTGCCGGGTATACCTCGACCATCCGAAAATTCAATGGAGGAGGGAGGAGTAAACCTAATGGACGCGGTAGCCGTTGGTGTATTGCTCTCTCCCCAAGATTGACTCTGGTTAGTAGGAGGCCCTTTTCCAACACTCAGATCGAGAGGTTTTTCACCCTGGTCTGTCGGTTTGGCTGTACCTCCCCCCTGAAACAAATCTGTGGTAGTCTTTTTCCCTTGTGTCCTCTTGTGAGGTGTGAAGCGCCTAGGTCTAGATTTTGTCCTCCTACCGGCTTTATTTCCATCTGCCGACATGGACCCTTTTTTCAGCAAAGGCTTTGGACTCTCCTCAATCTGGAATGACACTTTTGGTTTTTGCCGTCCAATGGCTCTTACAGCATCTTCACTGGACCGGTCTAGTTTATCTACAAATACAACAGCATCCTGTAAAGGAATAGAACCGGATGAACTTGTAGTCATCAGTTGATTGTCCTCATGCGTTGGGTTTCCTTCCCCAGATTCAGCCTTCTCTATCTCTGATGTATTCCTGGGAGGTCGACTTTTCTCGGGCCTCAGAGCGCACACAACTCCAGTAACATCCTCAGGATGATTGTGGCCATCAGGGATTCTCATCCCCGGGGTTTGTCTTTTCTGGAAAACAGAAACATTTTTCACTCCTAAGTGGAAAGCTCTTCTAGTGAAATCTAGAACAGCACTTGCTCCCACTAAGTAATCCATACCAAGGATTCCCGGGTAGTCAATCCTGGCTACCACAATTTCTACTCTCATTTGGTGTTCTTTTATAATCAAAGGAGTTCGAATCACTCCTAGTACTTCTATGCTACTCCCATCTGCTTGTATGAAGGTGTTGTTCACCTGATGGAGTGGAGGACGTCTACTCTGTGCTATGGCATTATAAGCTTCCTCACTTATCATAGTCCGGTTTGTACCTGTATCAATGAGAAAATCCACAGATATACCACCTATTTGGCCTTCTACTGTCATCATGGCCATCTTGCGTAGTCTAAAAACTGTTTCAGCAAGGGGTGAGCTTGGTAAGTCCTGTTCTTGTAACATGGTACAATCATAATCCTCCAGTCTCCTTGGCCTTTTTCGACTTCGTCTCCCCTCGGAGGGTGGGGTGCTTGAAGAAGGTGCTGGGATTTCTGTTGAGTCTGGTTTATGTTTGGTTTCTTCTGAAAGAAAATTCAAACAGGAGTCTATCAAGCCCTTCACTAGGCTATCCGCTTCTTGGGACTGTGGTTTCTCTTCTGGTAGGCTTTCTCTTTCTGGAGTCTCGACCTTAAGTGGATCTTTGGTACCCTCTTCATCCTGTGAGAATGGATCCACTTTAGCGGAAGAGTTGTCCCATTGTTCTAAAATTCTCCATTTGGTGGGTAGTTCCGCCTCATAAGGTTTCAGTTGGTTAAAGTGCACTACCTTTGGCTTGGCTCTTGATTTTCCCCATTCTATAATTCGGTATGTCACATCAGATATCTTCTTCAGTACCTGAAAAGGGCCCACCCATTTCGTCTGGAGCTTTGGGGAGACTCCTTTCTTTCGAATCATATTCTTGTACCACACTGCTTGGCCTCTGGAATATTCTTTGCCTTCAAGTCTTCTGTCATATGCAGTTTTCTGTAACAAAGAGGAATTTTTCAAAATACCCTGTGCTCTGGCGTAAACTTTCTGGAAATTTTCCTTCAAGCTTGTTAGGTAGTCCTCTGGGTTTCCCTCGTCATCTAGATTCTCTACTAGCAAATCAATGGGGGTATTCAATTCCCGGCCGAACAACATCATGGCGGGAGTCTCCCCGGTAGACTCATGGACAGCTGTTCTGTAAGCAAACAAAGCATAGGGGATTTGCAAGTCCCAATCTCGCTGGTGTCCATCAGGTTGTAGGAGTTTAATCATGGTTTCCCTCAAAGTTCTGTTATATCTCTCAACAAGACCATCACTTTGAGGATGGAAGGGAGTAGTTCTTGTTTTGTGTACACCTAAAAGAGAACAAAGTTCCTGGAAAACATTCGCCTCAAAATTCCTGCCCTGATCTGAATGTAGTTCCCTAGGGGCTCCGTAACGGCAAACTACCTCTTCAACCATCTTGTTGGCAACGGTTACAGCCTCTTGGTTTGGAAGTGGGAAGGCTTCCACCCATTTGGAAAAATAATCAGAACAGACCATAATAACCTTGTTCCCTCTGGGAGTCTCTGGAAGTGGACCTACAATATCCACAGCAAAGCGTTCCATAGGTTCGCTGATCCCCTGTACTTGCATAGGGGCCCGTAGTAACTTCTGTGGTCTCCTCATCGAACCACACACATGGCAGGCCCTAACCATTGTTTGAACATCTCCCCTCTGCTTGTACCAGTAGTAACGTTTTCGGCATTTATCCAGAGTCTTTCTTACTCCAAAGTGTCCTGCCAGTTTGTTAGCGTGACTCATCTCCAACACAAGACTCTTGAGTGGAGTTGGCGTAATTAGTTGAGGTTGTACCACCTTTCCATCTTCACTCTCCCATCTTCGGCACAGCACTCCCTGTTCTACCATCAGGCGATCCCATTGATTCCAGTAGCATTTGGTGGCGGGTGAATCATAACTAATGGATTCCCACGAAGGTCGCTGTTCACTCTTGAGCTTAGCTGAAAATATAGGAGCAATATCTAGGTCTTGCTGTTGAGCTTCGGCTATGGCAGATAAAGTCCATTCGGGTCTACAACCAATCAGCACAATATCTTCCACTGAATATACCTCTTCAGTGTCAGCTTCGGTATCTCTTTCATCACAATGATTGCACTGCTTACACGGAATTCTAGACATCATGTCAGCATTGGCATGTTTAGGCCCTGGTCGGTATTCTAGCTCAAAGTTAAATTGTTGAAGTGACTCTAACCATCTCGCCAACTGTCCTTCTGGATTGCGAAAATTCGTAAGCCACCGCAGTGAACTGTGGTCAGTTCGAATCTTGAATCTCACCCCAAACAGGTAGTTCCTGAAATATTTAGTATAATTGACAACTGCAAATAATTCTTTGCGGGTCACACAATAGTTCTTTTCATGGGAGTTCAGTCTTTTGCTGGCATAATGGATAACCCGCTCTTCCCCATCCTGGATCTGAGATAAGACAGCACCTATCGACTCTCGACTCGCATCAGTATCTAAAATATATAAACAATCATCTCTTGGATATGCCAAGATTGGGGCTGTCACCAGCTTTTGTTTCAGTTCTTCAAAAGCAGCCTGACATTCTGTTGTCCAGTGGAAGCGACTGTTCTTTTTAGTTAGGTCATGTAGAGGCCCAGCTGTCTCTGAAAAATTTGGTATGTGTTTCCTATAATAGGATACTCCTCCCAAAAACTGCCTAACTCCTTTCACAGTGGTGGGGGTTGCATACTCCTGGAGTTTTTCCACTTTCCTTGGATCTGGTCCCACTCCAGCGGAGGATACGACATGACCCAGGTATTCCACCTGTCTCTGAAATAAACAACATTTGCTAGGCTTCAGTTTCAAGTTGGCTTCTCTAAGTCGTCCAAATACCTGTTCTAGTCGATAAACAGCTTCTGTATAACTTGGAGCGAAGCTAATCACATCATCTAAGTAGACCAGTGTTCCTTCCGAATGCAATCCCTTCATCACTCGTTCCATCAGCCTACAAAAGGTGGAAGGTGCATTGGATAGGCCGAAGGGCATAACCACCCACTGGTATAATCCTCCTCGAACAGCAAAGGCAGACTTCTCTCGGGCATCCGGATCAAGCTCGACCTGCCAATATCCTGATGCTAAGTCTAATGTACTCCAGAACTCGGAACCATCCATCATGTCCAGTGTCTCGTCAATACGAGGCAATGGAAAAGCATCTTTCTTGGTCACCGAATTCAAACGTCTGTAGTCCACGCAAAATCTCCAACTGCCGTCTTTCTTGCGCACTAACACTACTGGAGAAGCCCATGGACTTTGTGAGGGTTCAATGACTCCTTTGGCTAACATTTCTCCTACAAGTAAATTAACATCATTTTGTCTACATTGGGGAAGCCTCCGATACATCTGTCGTATAGGTTTGGATTCTTGTGTATCAATACTGTGTTGGACCAAATCTGTTCGGCCTAAGTCCAAATCTCCATTAGCAAACACATCAACATTTCGTATCAACATTTCTTTCAACTGTCTAGTTTGTTGCGTATTTAATTCCCTGGAACTCCTGTCAAATAAATCATGTAAAAATGCAGGAAGTGTTTTAGAGTCCTCTTGGTCAGATTCCATCAAATGGGACTCATCGCTCCTGTCTGACCCCAACTTGGTTTGATCATCTTCATTTGAACTGCAAGACATTGCTTTCTCTGTCTCTTCGTTAAGTGTTGTAGCTGACAACTGATAGGTTTCTTCCTCAACTGCGGAAAATACACCAATTTCAGTGCCTCTGGGAATCTCCAATTCCATTGAAGTATAATTATGTATTTCTACCTGAAAAGAGATTTTGGGATCAACCAATGTAGGGACCACCTTCACTTCTGTCATCCCCATGATCTCTTGTGATTCTATCAAGCCTTCGTGAATTATCTTATCAGTGAGCTCTGCCTCAACACTGATTTGTGAGTATGGCGGTATCACCATCATCTCTTTATTACTGCTGATGCATATGGATCTCTCGGTAACAATATCCTCTTGGCCTGGGGACTCCGCCATTTCCTCTGATGAACTAGTGGAGTCCTGCAAAAGAGAATCAAGAAAAGATTGCTCTGGTAACCATGTCATCTTTGTATCCTCATTTGTAATCTCCCATTCTTGTGATAAGCAGTTCTCCTCTGCTTCTTGTTTGTTTAAGACTTCTTCTATCACGTCTGCAATTTCATCTACTGGGCTAGATGGGGCTGTGGAGAATTGATCTTCTTCCAGTGAATCTGGTATAATCGGTTGGTAACCGAGATCAAAGCGTACACTACGTGATGATGGCGAAGGAGTGTCTGGTACAACTAATTGTAGTGCTGTAGGGGGTATCTCATTTGGCCCTGGAGAGTTACTTTGGCTCTCATCTTGCCCTGAAAATAAAATTTTATAATGGAGTTTCTCTGGGTCTGGTTCCATTGTAGTCCCTATCGATTCACTCCTTTCTGGTTGTACATCTATGTCAGCTGGTTTTAATCTTTCCTCCTCTTCAGAGTCTGAAAATAAATCTGGTGTCATCATGTAACAGTACTGGCGGTAGCCTCAACATTTTGTGGGTCACATGACCCAGTTCAATCAAAAAAGTGGGTCAAACTTGGAAAATGTGGGTCAAATTGAATTATGATAATAAAGCGTCATTTTCGGATAATCTAAAGTACAAAAATAAATGTGCTGCAATGAGACTTCATGTCTTAGAGACTGACAATCAGCTTAGGCCAAAAGGTTGGGTGAAACATAAACCAAATCAATGGATAATGACCAAATAGCAGTGCGGCGCAAACTAGGGGGTTCTGGGGGCATGCCACCCCCCCCCCGAAAATTTTGAAATTTAGACCCTCTCTTTATATAAACAATAAGAAAAATTGTGTTGTTTGAAAACTTTATTTTTATTTTTTCAGATAAATTATGCAGATTTTTGAACTTTTTTTGAAAACATTTAACCATAAGATCAAATCAGTATTTACCTGTCACTAATATCAAACTGTATATAAGCAATTGATCTCAATGAAGCAGATCAATACATAATTGATTATAATTAATTTTTTTCTTAATTACTTTGTTTTTCAATGTTGCCCCTTGTTCCTCTTCACTCTGGTGTAAATTAATAAACTCAATATTCCTTTCTGACACATTATAATATCAATCTCAATAAATATAAGGATCAACACTCTGACTTGTAATATTTATTTGTTTTCAAATGTTGCCCTTTGTGCTTCCTTATGATGTAAGATAATGCCAAGAAGATCAATTGTGTTAATTAAAGAGTTTGTTTTCAAGTTTATGTTAAATTGTTAATAATAGTATCCATTGAAAGTTGGCAGGACAGTGATAAAGGTTTTTTGCTACTGACCCATTAATCTCAAAGCAATGACGTTTTGGTTTTAGAGGTCAATCAAAATGGTGGCCGGATTACAGTAAGATAATTATCTCAGTGTTTCTCTAAAACACTGCTGATTATCTGCCTATTATACTTAGATTTTGTCTTCACAAGGTAGGCCAATTTATATTCTTTCATTGATATGTTTAAATTAATTGAAAGCCGGAGATTTTCGTCTGAAAGCCGGAGATTGAATCTGATCGGTAAGATATCGGTCAAAACCCTGTTTTTTCTTGTGCTAGGGCCTATTCTTCCCGGGAAATAGTGTTAGTCTACCTGGGGATCAAAGTGCGTCAATGAAACGCAATTAGTTGTCAATTCTGCGTCAGACTTGATCAAATGTGCGTAAAAACGGTAAAAAACGGCGTTAACGCCAGCTCTGTGTAACGTGACCTCATGTTTGCTTCATGCTCTTGAGAATCCAAGGACCTCTTTAAATTATCAGTTGCTTCACTGGCATCCATAGAGATATTTGTCAGCTCTGACTCTTCCATGGGGTCTTCTACTGAAATTGAAATAGGCAAAGAACTATCACTCTCTCCTGAGTCCTCTGTCATCTCACTGTTTGTCTCAAGGGAACTCTCTGACACTACTGGTGTTTTCTTCTCTTGGACTTCAGGTTTGGAGTTAGTCCAATTTTCATCATCACTGGTCTGTTCTCGGACCACTGCAACTGTATCCTCGTCGAAAGTGAAGCGGCCCGTGCGGAAATCAAATTCAGCGCCAACTGCAGACAAATAATCACATCCCAGAATTCCCTCGTCTCCCATGTGTGCTACCACAACATCTAAGGGGGTCTCGTGTCCTTCAAGACAGATAGTACACCGAGCAACTCCTAAAATTCCCATTGCGTCTCCACCTGCATGTAGGAACACACTCTCTGCGGGACGAAGTGGTGGTCGCCAACTGGACGGAATGCGCATGTAGATTTGTTCACTCATCATGGTCCGCCCTGCTCCAGTATCTATAAGAAAACAAATAGGAACACCACAGACTTCACCTTCAGCTATTAACTTGCGGACCCTCTCTCCAGAGCGAAGTTTTCTCCCAGACTCCAATTCTTGTCCGAATTGATTCAAAACCTGTACTCTTGCGGACTTTTCTTGAGAAGTACTGTCTGTGGTTCTCTGGTTTGTTTCATTTTGTCGTTCTTCGTTCCTCTTCCTGGAGTAACAATCTTCAGCACGATGTCCAAGTTTATGACAATAAGTACATTCAAGCCTTGGTTCCTCCCTCCATTTCCTGGCAAGGCAATCCACTAAACGATGCCCTGGCTTGCGGCAATAAAAACATTCGAGGTTGGGCCTCCCAGTCCTCTCTTTGGTCACATCAAGTTGTCCAGATAACTCCTTTCCTAATTTGGCAAAATTCTCGTTCATCCCTCTCTGGAAACTCGCCGTCAATTCCTTCAGGGTCTGTAAGGTGAGCTGTTGGAATTCGTCTTCCGTCGTCTTAGAGTCTACAGCACTAACTCGATCTTTGACTCTGGGTTTCAATCCCTTCCTCATCCGCTCGGATTCTATATAGGATTCTTCTTTTAGAGACACTTCTATCGCTTTGTCTAGGGTACCACATTCTTTGAAATGTACTGCTCGTTTGATATCTTCATCGGGTATGGCTTGTTCAAAGGCCTGTCGTGCTAATCTATCTTGTGCCAATCGATTCATCTCTGGGTAAGCAAGGGCAGTAAGTCTGCGAATATCTTGCCCTAAAGTCTGTAAAGGTTCTCTTGGTTTTCGGATTCGCCCCATCAATTCTGCTTGATACAGTTCAGCTTTCCCCTCGGGTCCGAATCTCTTGTTTAAAGCTGAAACAAGTTGAGAAAAAGAATAGTCTGGTTCCATTTCCAGAACCATCTGTTGGGCCTGGCCTCTAAGGCTTGTAGCTAAAAACTGTTTCTTCTCTCTCTCACTCCAATTGTTGGCATCCACACACATCCTGAAATAAGCAAGATAATCAATCCAGGGAGTAGTGCCATCATAGGTATCCGGTTTAATCCTGGTCTTACTTTGTGGTTTGTCTCTCTCTCTTAATACCAGTTCAGCCAACTGAGAGTTTTGGTCTGTCATCTGTGCAGCTTGTTTATCATTTTCCAACACCTTTTTGGCCAAGTCCGCCATCACTCTAATTGTCTCAGTCAACACAGGCGATGCGGTTTCAGGTGTATTCTGATGTGGATTTCCTGAAGAAGGCTCATCCTGATCATACACATGTGGCTTCTTTTCTGAAAATAAATCTTGTGAGGGTCTGGAATCCCTTATCTCAGCTTGACTTTGATCCCTCTGTGGCAAGAGAGTTCTGCGACAGGGTGTTGAGTCCAAGCGAGGTTGGCGTCTAAGTGCCCAAGGTTTTGCAGCCTTCTGAGACTCTGCCTCTGATTCATCCTGAAATGAACAAGGGGGTTCAACTTCCCGTTCTTCTACAGGGAATTGTTCACGAAGATTTGGTCTAGACCCAGGTACGTCCAGACCAACTGGTTTAGGGCTCTGTTGTCCTTCCCTCATAGCTTGACAAAGAGTTTGCGTCATATTCATCATCTGTGACTTCAAGGCACCAATCTCTCCTCCTATATGGGATTGGATGGCCTCTGCATTAGTCTCCATTTGGTTCTGTAAAACATTTATGTTACCAACTATTTGACTCTGTAAAATACCTGTATTGGCCTCTATTTTATTCTGTAACGTATCTGCATTGGCCTCTATTCGGCTTTGTAAAACATCTGTATTGGCCACCAGATCAGACTGTACTTGTCTAACTTGTTGTCCAAGTTGTTTTATATCTCCTGCCTGCATACTCCCTTGTTCTCTCAGCTGATACTTGATAGTATTCATCTGTTGCTGCAGGTCATTTTGTCTAGTTTCCATGCCTGTAAAACTTAATGTCAGGTTCTCTGGCTTCAACCTTTCTGGAACTGGCATAGGATAAGCTGAGTTGGGCCTCATCATAGTTGATGTCCGGGGCTGCTGAACATCTCTAGGTCTCTTGTAGCTTTGTTCCATCCCAAAGTTGAAAGAATCCATCTGGCCTGCTCCAGTCCAGTATCCTGTACTCTGGGGTACCTGTCTTTTCAGCCCTGGCGGGGATTCGAACATCTGTTTCTTCTGGACCGCACCTGAAATTGGAAAGATCAATGGATCCTTACCAGCTGGGTTCGCACCCAGATTTGCAAGTCTTTTTGCAGCTGCTTCTGCTTCTAAGGAGCTAAGCTCAGATCCCACGGAACTCTGCGAGGTTATGTCATCTGTCCCTGTCTTAGGAACTGTTATAGTGTCATCAAAAGGTATTGGGTTCTTTCCTCCTTGAGGATCCTGTTCTCTGAAGACCACTGTCTTATCTGGCGTTCGTGGTGCAGTTTCTCTCAACTGATCTCCGGCTTGGTCATCTTTACTGGCCATGTTTATGAAATATCACCAATCTACAAAATATAAGCAAACTGAAAACTGCACTTGACTCTGCTGACTTTATCTATGTATCCCACCACTGCCACCAGTGTAACGAACGGCTCCAACCTCCGTGGTAGTGTGTGTATGGTGTTATGATTTGGAAAGTTGGGGTTCGTTTGTTTTAAAAAGGGGTGAGACGTCTTTGGGCGTGTCGGGGTCGGTTGACACTTTTACTGCAACCGAGTCTACTGCCTCTAAATAATAATGACAAACACAGTAATTCAGTTTACTTATGAAAAGAAATTAGCTCTATTTAGGCTGTTATTAGCCCACGAAGTGTTACAAAAATAAATCGAGAATGTCTCTAGCTTTGTATTGATTGTATCTCTAATGTATCAAGTATCTTGCATCCAATGTCTATATCTGCTTCAATAATGTCTATGAGTATATGGGTCTCTATATCTCTCCAAATGTCTATGGCCGTGTCTGATTCTCTGTGTCTGGCTGGTTTCCTGTTATAAAGGTCTCTTACTCTGTATCTGTTCCTCTCAATAATAAAGTTCTCTACTCGATGAACCTGAAATTACAATCCCTGGAAAGACAGGTCTGGAACAGAAGCTCTGAAATAGAATGCCTACAAAGCAAACTCTGAAATGGAATGCCTACAAAGCAAACTCTGAAATAAAATGCCTACAAAGCAAACTCTGAAATAAAATGCCTACAAAGCAAACTCTGAAATGGAATGCCTGAAAAGCAAACTCTGAAATGGAATGCCTACAAAGTAATCTCTGAAATGGAATGCCTACAAAGTAATCTCTGAAATGGGATGCCTACAAAGCAAACCCTGAAAATATATAGAAGGCAAACCCTGGAAATATATAGAAAGTACACTCTGAAATAGAATGCCTACAAAGCAAACTCTGAAATGGAATGCCTGAAAAGCAAACTCTGAAATGGAATGCCTACAAAGCAAACTCTGAAATGAAGAAGGCAAACCCTGAAAATATATAGAAAGTACACTCTGAAATAGAATGCCTACAAAGCAAACTCTGAAATGGAATGCCTGAAAAGCAAACTCTGAAATGGAATGCCTACAAAGTAATCTCTGAAATGGAATGCCTACAAAGCAAACCCTGAAAATATATAGAAGGCAAACCCTGGAAATATATAGAAAGTACACTCTGAAATAGAATGCCTACAAAGCAAACTCTGAAATGGAATGCCTGAAAAGCAAACTCTGAAATGGAATGCCTACAAAGTAATCTCTGAAATGGAATGCCTACAAAGCAAACCCTGAAAATATATAGAAGGCAAACCCTGGAAATATATAGAAAGTACACTCTGAAATAGAATGCCTACAAAGCAAACTCTGAAATAGAATGCCTACAAAGCAAACTCTGAAATAGAATGTCTACAAAGCAAACTCTGAAATAGAATGCCTACAAAGCAAACCCTGAAAAGTAGAAGGCAAACCCTGAAAATATATAGAAAGTATACTCTGAAATGGAATGCCTACAAAGCAAACTCTGAAATGGAATGCCTACAAAGCAAACCCTGAAAAATAGAAGGCAAACCCTGAAAGTATATAGAAAGTATACTCTGAAATGGAATGCCTACAAAGCAAACTCTGAAATGGAATGCCTACAAAGCAAACTCTGAAATATAATGCCTACAAAGCAAACTCTGAAATGGAATGCCTACAAAGCAAACCCTGAAAAGTAGAAGGCAAACCCTGAAAATATATAGAAAGTATACTCTGAAATGGAATGCCTACAAAGCAAACTCTGAAATGGAATGCCTACAAAGCAAACCCTGAAAAGTAGAAGGCAAACCCTGAAAGTATATAGAAAGTATACTCTGAAATGGAATGCCTACAAAGCAAACCCTGAAAAGTAGAAGGCAAACCCTGAAAATATATAGAAAGTATACTCTGAAATGGAATGCCTACAAAGCAAACTCTGAAATGGAATGCCTACAAAGCAAACCCTGAAAAGTAGAAGGCAAACCCTGAAAGTATATAGAAAGTATACTCTGAAATGGAATGCCTACAAAGCAAACTCTGAAATGGAATGCCTACAAAGCAAACCCTGAAAGGTAGAAGGCAAACCCTGAAAATATATAGAAAGTATACTCTGAAATGGAATGCCTACAAAGCAAACTCTGAAATGGAATGCCTACAAAGCAAACCCTGAAAGGTAGAAGGCAAACCCTGAAAATATATAGAAGGCAAACTCTGAAATGGAATGCCTACAAATCAAACCCTGAAATGGAATGCCTACAAATCAAACCCTGAAATGGAATGCCTACAAAGCAAACTCTGAAATGAAGAAGGCAAACCCTGAAAATATATAGAAGGCAAACCCTGGAAATATATAGAAAGTAAACTCTAAAATGGAATGCCTACAAAGCAATCTCTGAAATGGAATGCCTACAAAGCAAACTCGGTTGTCAATCAAAGTCGGTCACCACCTCTGGAAATACACAAAAGTCCTGAAAATACCCCAAATTCTCGGCAATTGCACAGACTCTGGATCACCTCTAGAATCTTACAAATACTCCCAAGATCCGGATCAGCACCTAAAAATACACAGTCTGTGTGAATACTCCTAGTCCAGACAGCATCTGAAAATACACAAAGTCTCTGCTCTGCAAATACACCTGGTCCGGACAGCTCCTGAAAATACAAAGGTCTCTGCTCATACAATGAGTCTGGACAGCATCTGAAAATATACAAAGTCTCTGCTTTGCAAATACACTTGGTCCGGATCACCTCTGAAAATATACACTGTCTACACGACTACACCTGGTCTGGACAACATCTGTAAATATACACAAAGTCTCTGCTCTGCATACTCTTGATCCGGATCACCTCTGAAAATATACAAAGTCCTGAAAGTATATGCAAACTGGATTGCATCTGCAGACCTCGGAATCTCTGAAAGAACAGCTTGATTCATCTGCAGGGTTTACCTGAGAGCAACAACAATCGAGAACACACCTGAAAATATACAAAGTCTGTGCAACTCAGCAAAATCTGGATCACATCTGAAAATAAACCAACTCCAGTTCACATCTGAAAATACACAAAGTGCTAAAAACAAAGTCCTGAAATAAAATCCCTAAAATAAATCAAAGTTCCAAACCAAAGTCAACTGAAATAAGTTGAAGTTAAATTCCACTAACAATTGTTATCCAAAATATATCTCCATAGAAGTATTTCTATTCCAAAGTAAAATAATTTCAAAGTACCTGCGATCAAATCTCTTGATTGAAATCACTTGAATTTGAAAGAACTCAATTCCACAATTCTAAAAGTATTGACTCGTTCCTCAAACGTGTGTACTGAACCTGAAAGAAAGACTGAGCTAAGCTCACTGCTTCCCGCCTTATATAGTCCCTGTAACAAAATAGTTCGCCTTCCGCGGTAGGAAAATATCACTCCGCCGGTCATCCAAGTGTTTTGGGCTAAAAACATATAATTTTACAGTGGCCGGGATAGATTGGAACGATAAATAACTCTAGAATGTTTTTATAAAAGATAGGAGCTTGAATAATGTCGATAAACTGCAAAATATGAGCAAAATTACCAACCGGAAGTTAAATTCGAAACGTTTTCCAGTCGAAATCTGACGAAGCAATTCCCTATAATTTCTAACAAATGATAAAGATTTGGACCTTGAAAGGTATCTAATTCGAAACTCTACACCTCTAACTTAGTCTAGGACGGCTAAAAGTGAAGTAACTTAGCTTATGTGTTGAGAAATCGAAGGGTTAAAATATAAATTGGACTCGTTCCTTATATGGGCAATACTAAGATGGCAGCCTCCATTACGTCGCCAAAAATAACCCCAGTTCACGAAAAATGAATGAAATTTCTGTAAAGTCTAATAATCTACCTGTAATCATCGTCTAAAGGGACAATATGTTAACTCTGGCAGGTAAGTACCACTCAATCAATCACACATAGGGATGAACTGGTTTAGCATCGAATGCCTGACTGGAAATTTCGTTACAATGGTTTGAATTGGAAACAGTAAGACTTCAACTGAATGTAATTGTGATACATATCTTGTTATTAAAAATATGTATGTATACATACATACATACATACATACATACATATTAAAAATATAACCTTTAAAATTCAACTATAATGTTGTTCCTTTTTTTTATTTTTAGATAAATTTTGCTTAATTAAAAACATTTTTGATGGGGTCCATATTTTAATTTCACTTAGAAAATTTCAACATGCATTGTGCAAACCACAATCGTGGCTACTTTAAGTCAATAAAGAACAATTTGAAAAATAGTGAATATTATGTTACAACCTGGTAAGTTACAAAAGTGTAACAATCGTTACAGACAAGGCGTTGACATGACAAAATGTCACCACCTAGTTGTTCACAATATTATGAGTTCAATTTTAAGTAAGATTTGAATTTCTGAGAACTTGTAGACGATATTGATGAAGCAATTTGAAAAAAGACTCTTTTGACCTTGAGGTCATTGAAGGTCAAATCTTATTTGACCTTGAGAATTTCATTGAAGGTCAAGACCTGTTTGACCCTTTTCACCTGAAGAAGGCCATTGAAGGTCAAATCTCAAATCTATAGTCAGATTTGAACTTCTGATAACTTCCTCCTGTCTAACGTAATTCGAGTCAGTGTTGTTGATGAACAATTTTTTTAGTATTTCCTATTGCTGTTTATACATTTCATCAATAGTTGTTGTTTGAATCAATTTAAACGGCCTGACTTTCTTGGTATATCTTTCTTATAACAGGAAATGCGGGGATTTTGGCAACTATTTAATTTGGCATTTTTTCAATTCGCCCAAATTCGCCAATTTAAAACACTTGCCAAATTAAAGACATCAATTTGAAGCAGGTTGAAAAATATCTTTTTGTCCCTTTTAACCTTTTTTTACCTTGAAATGGTCATTGATGGTCAAATCTTCAATGTAAAGCCAGATTTGAACTCCTCAAAACTCTCAGATGATTTTGAAAAAAATGAACTTGGCCTAAACTGTATTTGTTAAGTTATTGGAAGTTGCAAGAATTTAAAACGCTCGCCAAACTAAAGACGAATACAGTAACTTGAAGATGATTTTGAAAAAGACCTTATTGACCCTTTTAACCTTTTTTTACCTTGAAAAGGTCATTGATGGTCAAATCTTCAATATAAAGTCAGATTTGAACTTCTCAAAACTTTCAGATGATTTTGAAAAAAATTGAAGTCAGCCTCAACAGTATTTGTTAAGTTATTTGAAGTTGCAAGCTGATCGCCACCTGACAATCACCAACCACCGATCATTAACCACAAACCGCAGTCAAAAAAACAGAGACCATAACAATATGTCACCACTTTTTGGTGGTGACATAATAACTACACAATAACTCAGGTGTCAGTAGGTGCTTAGTTACCAACATGTGGCTCACGAGAGTTGGACAAAAAATTAATTAGTAGATTCAGTAGATCAATTCTCATCTAACCTATTTGAGTTTCATTATAATGATTGCATTTAAAATGCATTCAATAAATGAATTTCAAAATAAGAAACTATATGAGATATCTTATATGTGAAGTTCATGCTTTTTTAACTTGGGTTTATATTGGGAATCTACCCTACCTTAAAATCACATTCTCAAAGAAAATTAAAATGTCAAAGTTGATAAGTAATCCTTAAAACCACCTTTTAGAACAAATTTTGTATAACGATTTCATTATGATATCACTGATTAAATTTGGAATATTTATGATGACAATCAAGAGTGCTTCTATTTGCATCTAATCTATTGTATTCAAAATACCTACACCCCCCTACATAAGTTTGGCAACTGGAATTTCTCTTTTAGATCACTTATTAAAGACTGTTTTTGTTTTGCGACTAAAAAACTGTTTTGATATGCTAATCAATAAAACTTCCAGTTGGCAAACCTATAGAGAGGAGTGTATTTATATTTAAGATATTTTGTAAAGTAAGTTAATATTTTACACTTGTTAAATATTTCTTATCAAAGTTTTGCAGTCAAAGCTTAGAGTAAACAAAAATTGCCAGGCTGGAAGCTACAAAATGAATCACAATATATGAATCATTAACTGATCCCTATATACAGGGTGTTCCAAAAGTAACAGGACTGGTGCTGGCATTTTGTTAAATATGCACCAATCGTCTTCAAAATTTTACATAATGTACGTTCATGTATAGTTACTAAGACTGCAAAGTTTCGACAAAATATATGAAACTCGGATAGAGTTATGGTTGCTATAGTAACATGACATCGCAATACCCGGGGCAACATTCCATGCAAAAAGTTACAGAGACATTAAGCCTTTTGTACATGCCATATCATTTTGTATATGCCATATCAAAGTTGAAATGCAACAACTGGTGGGAATTACATTTGTTTCACATCATTTGATATTCCTATGTATCCTCTACTTTGAAAAATAGGCTCCTCTTTGGTCAGTACAAGAGTACTACTCTGTATCCATGACCCAAACGCATGAGTGAAGCCATTAGAGGACATGTCACGCAGGGTCGATTGGACAATTTGGAGAAGGTCATTCTCATCTTTAAAGGTCTTACAGCACTGATTAGCATTCCGTTCTCAATATAAGTAAACATAAGATATTGCATGATCAGAGGAGTAGGTGCATGGTTTTAGACCTCAAGACCTAGCTCCTCTATAGCTGCATGGTCTTTTATGGTGACCTGGGGGTAGGCGCGCCATCAAAGTAGATGACTGGCTTCAGATTGGGTCATTTCAAACACCCAAACGTGAATTGTTCAGATTGTTATATATAGTGATATTCCAGGAAATTGAATAAATATTATTATCATTATGAAATTATACTTGAATCTGAGTTTTATAGCAACACCTTTACAACAAAGCAACTAATAAAATGAACAAAAAAAGTTATGTTATAATAGGTGAATTAGCTACTTTCTTCAGTAATACAAAAATGTTATAGATTTCACACTTTCAAGAAAAAAGTTGCCCCGGGTATTGGGATGTCATGTTACTATAGTAACCATAACTCTAACCGCATTTCATTATTTTTTCTGAAACTTTACAATTGTACTTGCAATACTTCAAAGTACAATTTGTGAAAATTTGAAGACACTCAGTGCAAAATTGACAAAATACCAGCACCAGTCCTGTTACTTTTGGAACACCCTGTATGTCATGCATTGTGGGCATGCTGACCTATACTATATAGATACTCTAGTAGCTCTGGTAAGTACTGATTTTTCTTTATACTCTACACTCATTTATCACTATCTAATATATACTTTCAGATTTGCACACCTTTAATTGGGGGGGGAGAGATCACAGGGGCTTAATAACCTAGACTAGACTATTTACATGCATTTTCATTTGGCCTAGGTTCTTAATGCAAGCTTCATCTTCTCTGCACTTATGGTAACATAATGCATTATATTGGAAATTTGGAATGCATTGTTTTTTATTACAAAGGACTTTTCAACATGTCCTTCTTCAAGACTATTGATTATGGATCATATAGTAACTTCATCCACACTGCCTTAGGGATTTTTGAAAATATCCTATATCTGGATATGTCATTTTCTGGTACTAAATAGTACTAAGTATGAAGACATGGGCAGACTTTCTTATTATCCCATCGAACGAAGTTTGGAGGGATATAGGGAACGCCTCCGTCCGTCGGTCCGTCTGTCCGTACGTCCGTCCGTCCGTCCGGGCAATAACTCAAATACCATTGGCCCGATTTTATTCATATTTTGTACACATATACCCTATGGGGGTAGAAGTTCTGCTCGAAAGCCGATTTTCAAAATGGCCGCTAATTTAAAAATGGCAGCCATTTTAGTGCCGATTTTACAGTAATTTAGGTGCAATATGTAAAACTGTAATAGCAATATGTTTTAAATGTAAAAAAATTATATAGGACATTAATAAAGCTAGAAATGTAGATATTAAGAAAGCACATTGCAGCCATCTTGAAAAATGGCGGCCTTTACTCGTTATTTTACGATTTTTGCCGTAACTCGAAAAGTAGTGGAGCGATTTTGTTCATATTTGGTAAGTGAATACTATAGGCATGGCACACTGTCTAATGACACTTTTGGTAGAAGGCGGCCATTTTGAAAAATGGCGGACATTTTGAAAAATGGCCGCCATTTTAACTTATTTTACTAAAACTCGAAAAGTAGTGGAGCGATTTTGTTCATATTTGGTATGTGAATACGTATAAGCATGGCACACTGTCTAATGACACTTTTGGTAGAGGGCGGTCATTTTTCAAAATGGCCACCATTTTAACGTATTTTACTATAACTCGAAAAGTAGTGGAGCGATTTTGTTCATATTCGGTATGTGAATACTGTAAGCATGGCACACTGTCTAATGACACTTTTGGTAGAAGGTGGCCATTTTGAAAAATGGTGGACATTTTGAAAAATGGCTGCCATTTTAACTTATTTTACTATAATTCGAAAAGTAGTGGAGCGATTTTGTTCATATTTGGTACGTGAATACGTATCAGCATGGCACACTGTCTAATGACAGGCGGCCATTTTTCAAAATGGCCACCATTTTAACATTTTTTACTATAACTCGAAAAGAAGTGGAGCGATTTTGTTCATATTTGGTATGTGAATATTATAAGCATGGCACACTGTCTAATGACACTTTTGGTAGAAGGTGCCCGTTTTGAAAAATGTTCGATGGGATTCGCTACGCTTTGGCGTTGCCGTTGTTCTGGTTTTTTCTGGAAAGCATCCTTGTTGCATCTTGTTTTATAGTGAATTAGATATGAATGGTAGTCAATCCAGTGTTGTTGAGAAACTTAGAGAAGAAGTAAAATTGAAAAGGTGGCAATTTTCTTGATATATCAACATTTCCTGGAGTTACAATTGATCTCTTACCAGATTTACTAAAAGAAGACAATGTAACAAAACGATAATTTCTTGAAAAAAAGAGAAGGGAATACACACATGCATCCATGCTTTATTCTGTACCATGCAGAAAACAACATGGGCAGCATTTTCAAAAATGTTTTCTTGAAGCATCACCTTAATTAAATGGCATATTAAGTAATTCAAAGTCAGTTTATACTAAACTGTTTATATTGGCCTATTTAGACTAAATATATTATCCGCTTGAGTCTTAATTTCTTACTTGCATTGATTTAATTACTCTCTACATTACATAATACTAATAGTATAGTGTATGTTGTACTCCTGACCCTGTAACCTAAATAATCACACTTGATAAACTGTGATATTTCTAATCATATAAAACCTTACAGTAGAATTATGCAATAACAGTATAAAGAGCTGTGCTAGGTGGTATAAAGGTATGTGAAATCAGGAGCTATACATAAAATAACAGGACTATAAAGGTATTTTCTCATAAAGGAGTAGTGAATATTATGGAAGTGTACATGAGTGGTAGTATACATATCTATATGTAAATGTAATTTATATCCATGGATTCATCATTTTCATTTCCAGGTTCAAGATGAATATACTTGGTCTGATTGAAGTGTCCAACACATTGTTGTTTGTCGTCTGTATTATAGTGGCACTATACATGTAAGTATGCAGGTTTATATAAAGTATGCATTATTTAAGTATTTAAGCTCTCAGACTCGGTGCAATGTGGAATGACCATTCTTTGGAGGTATTGCTAAATCCATAATTTGCACAAGATGCATGTCATTGAGTGTTAATTTTAGGAAACAATGCCTGAAAGGAATGGTCATTCAACAATGCATTGAGTCTTGGGCTAAAATTCTTTTCACACTGCAAAGTATTTTCTACAATATCACTTAAAAGATAAATAATCACAAGTTGGCAAAACATCAATTTCAATCTGTAGGGTTAAGTTATCACATTGACAACCATATAAGGAATTACCTCGGATGCAATTTTCCATTTTTATCTATAGCCTACCTAAAGATGGAACTACTTTCTTTGCATTTTAGCTACCTAACATGGACTCACAGTATCTGGTCTTCCCAAGGAATAAAGGGACCTACCCCTTATCCAGTAATAGGGACATTATTACAAAACCTAAAAATGGTGAGCCTCTTGAAGTTGAAACTAGAGCTGTCACTCATTGGGAAGCTTAATACAAAGGGGCATGGGACGGCAATGTGTAGCCATAAGCAATTATCAAAGCAATACTACATAAAAAACATATAAAAATATTTGGTATCACAATGATTTCAAAATGTTACATGACACCATTATCTTATATTAGAAGACTAAAAGTGTAGAAAATCATTCAGAAAATCTATCAATAGGCTATACTGAGCATGATATTCTATTTATATTTCCATGTTTTATTTTACAGGGGCTTCCTATGGGAGATAAAGCAATTTATGACAAGTTTGCAGATGAAAAAGTTGTTGGGTAAAATGCCTTCAATCATTGATTAATCATGATGGCCTCATGCTTTCCATGGTGAAAAATAGACCTTTAGAACCTTTTTGGAATTCAGGAATATCTATTAACTAAATGAAGTTTTATTTATGATATCATCAGGAGTTTCATAGTTACAAGTGGATAAGCAGGTTTATCAATTTAATCCTGAGAAATATACCCCTGGTTTGAAATAGAATTGATAAGAAGCTGAACTCACAGAACTAGATCTACTTTATTGAGCACATTGCATATATGGTTCTATTTACTCTAATTTTATTGAAATATTTGTTTCTTGGTCACTTTGATTAGTCTATATTCATATGGGGTATTATTTAGGCTATATTTCATGCAAAAAGACTTATTGGGATCTTCCAGAAATTGAACTTACTTTATAATTTCAGATTGTATGATGGTAGGAAACCAAACCTGATGGTAAAAGATGCAGAACTATTGAAGAAGGTTCTTGTAAAGGATTTCCAATATTTCATCAATAGAAGGGTATGTTGGTATGTTAGTTAAAAGACAATAATTAAATGGCTTCTCAAATGGCCTTTTGTGGGAAATTATCTGACACTCTTGGCATACAAAGGGTTAAACATACCAAAAGTATTAACTAAAGCAATAGATAATGCTGTTTACCAATAAACTAGATGCCAGTAAATGGAGTAGAAATAATTTTCAAAATTCAGTCAAAGTAATATCATATCTGAAATAGACATGTAAAAGTACATCTAGAAATGTGGTTTTAAAAATTGTTTCTCAACTTTGAATATTTAATTTTCTTTGAAAATGTGACTTCTAGGTTGAGAAGATTCCTCATAGACCCCATGTTATAAAATCATAAAAAGCGAAATATCTTTTCTTGTATTGAACGGATAATATTTTCTTTTACTGGACATATTTTAATTTGTATAAATTATTGTGTCAACTGATCTCATAGTTTATGGAAGACTTTTTATTCTAAGGCAGCACCCCCACTACTGATGGCCTTCAGCCTCATTCGTAAATCAATTCAATTAACCGCGAAGACATTTTCTCAACCAATCAGTTAAAAAAAAATGCCAATATCACACCGGAATACCCTGACAACGGTAAAGTCAGATACCGTTATCACAGCGGACGTAACTGTCGCTTCAACTCTTTAATCACTCTCATTTCATGGGACCTTATTGTCGCTGATTCTGTGCATGTATTAAGCTCTTGTGATGATGTATTATATGAAATACCAATTTTGATCAAATGTGGTTGTGAATCACCTCAATATACCATCTTCCATATCGTCAATGACAACGGAATCTGAATTTCAAATAATCAATTGTTATTTGTATTGTATAGATAGATTTTTATTTCCATTCTACCAAAGGAATTTAATCTAGATGCTCTATTTAACATGCAGTTAATGTAATGAAAATCGAATCAAATAGGAACCTGTAGCCGCCATATGTGACAATGACAACGGTATCTGACTTTACTGTTGTCAGGGTATTCCAGTGTGAATATAAAGAAAATGTTCCCTCTTTCAAGGTTTGCTCTGTAGGTTTCTCTTTAATCTTTAAAGAAGCTAGGTCAAACAAATCCAAAGTGTAACATATGAGTGAAATTACATTTTTGAGATCTTCAGATTGATAACACTTCATTTCATATGTATTGGAAATATCAATGATTACAGTACATATTATCTTTATTGGTTTGATGTTTTGCAGGATATGGGTGGTCTTGAATTAGGAAAAGAATTCAAGAGGATGCTTACAGGTCTTAAGAATGATGAATGGAAAACTGCTAGGAGCATTATTAGTCCAACATTTAGCAGTGGCAAAATTAAACGAGTAAGTTCAATCAACATCAAAGAAAACACATTTCTATTGCCTAAATAGACGTTATTTAATAGGAGGGATGGAATATTAATTTTATTCTAAAGATGATATCGGCTGATACTACTACTTGTACAGTAGATCTGGTCCAAGATATTTTGAACATAAATTCTATATTAGTACTTTGGAACAATATACTTTATTATAGTATAATCATGAATTATTCAAAGTGTGTGGAGCACCTGACAAATACATTTGTCTTTAGCAGGTTGAATTTCAGTAAAGGATCACGAGTTATACAAAGAATGAATAGGGGGGGGGGGGGTTAATGCATTTTGCTTGTTTTTACATCTTTAAAACAGTAGAACACAATAATCCAAAAATATATTTCTCATTTAATAAAGATCTTGGACAAACACATCTCTTGAAAGCCCATGATAAAACATTTCATTGTATATTGATGTTTTTATTAGCATCAGCAAAAACTCCACCATTTATTCTACATATAACTTGTTGTCCTTTCTTAATAATTCAGCCAACATAAAAATTCTTCAAAAGGCTGTATCATATAAGATGTTAGAAATCCCAGAATTCCTTGCAGTGCAACATGTAAACCCCATACATTTATTTCAAATTTAGATGGTGGCACAAATCAATGCAAGTAACAATGGTTTGCTAAAAGTATTGGAGGAAAAAGCGGCTGCTGATGAGATGTTTGAAATAAAACAGTGAGTTGACTTATTTTACTTCATATGAGGGCTGGTGAAGTCCAGTAGTTGGGTTTCCAAATGAAAATTTGCCTTTTCATAGTTTATTTGGTTAAGGCCCCTTAATGCTAAAACTGTTAGAAATGTAAAATAAATATAGAATGAAATAAAAACATCTAACCAGGAAAATTAAAAAAACATGGCAGAGTCATGTAAAACCAAGACAAGAGTTACATGATTTTGCCACATTGTTCCTGTTCTGCCACAGTTTGCCCCGTGTAAAAGTGGAGTAAAATCAAGAGTGCCATCTCTTGTTTTTACAACAACATGCCACGCCACACATGGGGCAAAACGAAGCGAACTAAAGTGAAGTAAAGTAAGAACATGTGCTCTTTTTCGCCACGCATGTAAAACATGGGTTTTTTCCTAAGGGCAAAAACTGAAAAAGTTCAGGCATTTCGTGGCAAAGTGTGGCGGCTAAATGAACAATTGCCAATTAAGAAAAAAACAAGCAAACAAACTCAGTAGGATATTTTGTTTAAATTTTGCCATTTTAACATGTTAACCTGCAGTATGAATGTGCTCAGATTAGAAAATAATAAATTGCTATATTTAGAAATAAAAAACAACAACTTTTTCTTGTTCCAGTAGAATTATTGATCAATAATTGAAAATGTTTATTTACATAAGCTTGCTTTTAAGATTGCATTTGTTTAGTGATAGTTTTCTGAATAAAGTAAATCATCATATCTTATATGCAATATGGATTAATAGAATTACAATTCCAGTACCTATATTATACCAGTGCTAATAGAGTATCATTCAGAATTAAAACAGATTTCTGGTACAACAAACGCCGAATATGTAAAACCCTCAACCACGGGTTCAACTACAGGTTCAATTTAATTACATGTTCAACTATAGGTTTAATTTTCAACTAAACTGACAAACTACAGGTTCAATTAAATAACAACTTAGCTTCGAACTACGGGTTCAACTATAGCTTCAATTTTCAACTAAACTGACAAACTACAGGTTCAACTATAGGTTCATTGAATAACATATAAAACTCTCAACTATGGGTTCATCTATAGGTTCTATTCAATTACATGTAAAACCCTCAACTACGGGTTCAACTGTAGGTTCAATTCAACTATATGTAAAACTCTCAACTACGGGTTCAATTCAATTCCATGTAAAATAGAATGAAATAAAAACATCTAACCAGGAAAATTAATGAGCAGAAGTTAGTCCCTCTATTTTCTCTTAAATGTACTACATTTCATGTTAATTCATGTAACCACAATTATCCATACTTATACACAATGGGAAAAACATGGCAGAGTCATGTAAAACCAAGACAAGAGTCACATGATTATGCCACATTGATCCTGTTCTGCCAAAGTTTGCCCCGTGTAAAAGTGGAGTAAAATCAAGAGTGCCATCTCTTGTTTTTACAACAACATGCCACGCCACACATGGGGCAAAACGAAGCGAACTAAAGTGAAGTAAAGTAAGAACATGTGCTCTTTTTCGCCACGCATGTAAAACATGGGTTTTTTCCTAAGGGCAAAAACTGAAAAAGTTCAGGCATTTCGTGGCAAAGTGTGGCGGCTAAATGAACAATTGCCAATTAAGAAAAAAACAAGCAAACAAACTCAGTAGGATATTTTGTTTAAATTTTGCCATTTTAACATGTTAACCTGCAGTATGAATGTGCTCAGATTAGAAAATAATAAATTGCTATATTTAGAAATAAAAAACAACAACTTTTTCTTGTTCCAGTAGAATTATTGATCAATAATTGAAAATGTTTATTTACATAAGCTTGCTTTTAAGATTGCATTTGTTTAGTGATAGTTTTCTGAATAAAGTAAATCATCATATCTTATATGCAATATGGATTAATAGAATTACAATTCCAGTACCTATATTATACCAGTGCTAATAGAGTATCATTCAGAATTAAAACAGATTTCTGGTACAACAAACGCCGAATATGTAAAACCCTCAACCACGGGTTCAACTACAGGTTCAATTTAATTACATGTTCAACTATAGGTTTAATTTTCAACTAAACTGACAAACTACAGGTTCAATTAAATAACAACTTAGCTTAGAACTACGGGTTCAACTATAGCTTCAATTTTCAACTAAACTGACAAACTACAGGTTCAACTATAGGTTCATTGAATAACATATAAAACTCTCAACTATGGGTTCATCTATAGGTTCTATTCAATTACATGTAAAACCCTCAACTACGGGTTCAACTGTAGGTTCAATTCAACTATATGTAAAACTCTCAACTACGGGTTCAATTCAATTCCATGTAAAATAGAATGAAATAAAAACATCTAACCAGGAAAATTAATGAGCAGAAGTTAGTCCCTCTATTTTCTCTTAAATGTACTACATTTCATGTTAATTCATGTAACCACAATTATCCATACTTATACACAGTGGGAAAAACATGGCAGAGTCATGTAAAACCAAGACAAGAGTCACATGATTATGCCACATTGATCCTGTTCTGCCAAAGTTTGCCCCGTGTAAAAGTGGAGTAAAATCAAGAGTGCCATCTCTTGTTTTTACAACAACATGCCACGCCACACATGGGGCAAATTGAAGCGAACTAAAGTGAAGTAAAGTAAGAACATGTGCTATTTTTCGCCATGCATGTAGAAACATTGGTTTTTTCCTAAGGGGCCCGGTGGAGAGCAAAACATGTTAGAAGCTATCTTTAATGTTATATTGCCATTTTTTTCATGTACAAATGTTGAGGTCTTAGATTTAGCATATGACTTACATGTTTATGAAAGTTTAGTATTTAATCCTATGGATTTAAATAGATTAATTGGAGAACCTCAAGATAATCCACCTGAAGAGCATACGCCAATGAGAAATATTATTGAACAATGTAATTATTTGAATTTAGATCAGCTTAATATTAACCTGGATAAAAGCAATGGTCTTACATTTTTACACTTAAATTCCAGAAGTCTTCCAAAGAATAAGTGGAAGTTTGATCTTATGCAGTCATTAACAAAACATTCCTTCTCTGTTATTGCTATGTCTGAGACATGGCTTAACACGGAAAATGAAGCCAATTTTCAATTAACAGGATATAATTCTGTTTTTAAATCCAGAGTTGGTATTAAGGGAGGTGGAGTTTGTATATATATTAAGGAAAATATCATTTTCAAAGAACGTCATGATCTTACAATGAATTTAAATTCCTGTGAAAATGTAACAATTGAAATTACTCCACCTAATGGTAAAAATACTTTAGTATCTGCTATTTATAAGCCTCCAAATTCTAATTTGGCTATTTTCAATGATGAATTTAATGAATTCTTAAATAAAGTCACATCTGAAAAAAAGCCAAGTTATTTATTGGGTGATTTTAACTTAGATTTACTTAAAGCAGATGAACATAACTTGACAAATGATTTTTTATGCCATCTATATGAGAACAATTTTATGCCCTTAATCTATCGACCAACAAGAATAACTCATAACAGTGCAACTTTGATTGATAATATATTCACGAATGTTAATAATGTGACATCATCAGGTGTTATACTTTATGACATCTCTGATCATTTTCCAGTATTCTGCACCTCTTCACTTGAAAAACCATCTTATAAAAAAATCAAAATAAGTTATCGTTCATATTCTGATAAGAACTTAACCAGATTTAAAGATGAAATATGTCTCATGGAATGGACTGATTTAAAACAACAGGACAATGTCAATGAAGCATATTCAATATTTATTAACAAATTTACTGAGGTGTACAATAGATGTCTCCCAATATTAACTAAAACTGTCAAAACTTACTCTAACTTAGAAAGACCATGGATATCCCTGGGTATTATTACTTCAGCTAAGAGGAAAAATAAACTATATATTAAGTTTAAAAAATGTCCAACTGATGAAAATAGACTCACTTACACTAATTATAAAAATAGACTTAATCATATTATCAGGAATGCAGAAAAGCTTCATTATAAGAAAAAATTTGAAATTAGCAATGGCAATATAAAAAAGACCTGGGATGTAATAAACTCTATTTTGAAACGTAAACAACATAAGAAGATCCTTAATGATAATTTTATCCATGAAGGAAGAAAAATTGATGATGGAAAATCCATAGCAGACAATTTTAATAATTTTTTTAGCACAATTGGTGAAAAGCTAGCTAATGAAATTAACTCGGATAAAGACCCACTTGATAATGTTAATAAAATCGAACGTAATATTAATTCAATTTTCTTGGCACCTGTTGATGTTAATACTGTCCAAAATCAAATCAAGAACTTAAAGGACTCAGCCGCAGCCATTGATGATATTAAACCAAAGGTTGTTAAAGTATTACATGATCATATAGCTGATCCTCTTACTTTCATTTATAACCTCTCTATGACCACAGGTATTTTTCCTGAAGAACTTAAACTTGCTAAAGTTATTCCAATTTTCAAAAAGGGGGAACATGATAAATTCACAAACTATAGACCAATATCTATTTTAAGTGTATTTGCTAAGATGTTTGAAAAAATAATGCATGACAAAGTATCTACTTTTTTAGAGAAATATGAATTATTGTATTTACACCAGTACGGCTTTCGGAAACATAGATCAACTTACATGGCACTCCTAGAATTTATTGAAAATGTCAGACATTCATTAGATAACAAAGAATATTGTATCGGAATATATTTGGATCTATCAAAAGCTTTTGATACTGTTAATCATGCAATATTACTTAAAAAAATGGAACATTATGGTATAAGAGGAATTGCACTTTCATGGTTTTCATCTTATTTATCAAATCGAAAAATGAAAACTGAATACTCTAAAAGTTTATCCGAGAAATATTTGTCTGAAGAAGCAATCGTTAACTGTGGAGTACCCCAAGGGTCTGTTCTAGGCCCCCTCCTATTTATCATATTTGTAAATGATTTCTATCTAGTTTCTGATAAACTCAAACTGGTGATTTATGCGGATGACACTAATATATTATGTAGTGATTCCAATCTTGATAATTTGACCACAACCGTAAATTCTGAACTGTGTGACATCAATGATTGGTTGTTGGCCAATAAACTCACTTTAAATGTTAAGAAAACAAAATACATGGTCTTTGGAAATAAAAGAAATATATCTGTGAACAATGAAATAAAAATTGCAAATTCTAACCTTGAAAAAGTAGATGAGATAGGATTCCTGGGAGTAATTATTGATTCAAAATTATCTTGGGCTCCCCATATCAATGCTCTTCATAGAAAAGTTTCAAATGTTATAGGAATGTTATATCGAACAAATTATGCTCATACTTTAAATTCAAAGATGATAATATATAACTCTCTGATTTTTTCTCATCTTAATTACTGTAATATTTTATGGGGAAATGCTTTTAAGAATCTATTAAATAAACTACTGATATTGCAAAAGAAATTTGTTAGATTAATAACAAATTCAGATAGATTAGCTCACACATTCCCAATTTTTCAAGATCTTAAAATACTTAATATTTATCATATTCACACAATCCAAACTGTTTCATTCATGAAAAAAGTTATAAGCAAATCTGTACAGTTCCCTTCAAAATTATACGATCACTATTTCAAAACTAGAGAAAACATACATCAACGTATAACTCGATTTGGTCATAACTTAGATATTCCTAAACATAGAACCAGAATTGGTGAAAATTCTATTAAGGTCCATGGTTCATATATATGGAATTCCCTCAATGAAGATATTAGAAATAAACCATTAAATTCACTCATATCTCGTTTGAAAATTGACCTCCTGAGTACAGAGTAACCAAAACATTTATTTCATTTCTTTATTGTCTCATATTATTGTATTTGTTTAATATGATTAAAGCTAGAGGATTAGGCATACGTTATGAAAATGCTTATGTTCCCGCCTTATTATTTGCAGACGATATAGTATTGATAGCTGACTCAGAAGACGAACTTCAGGAAATGCTCAATACTACATCGTCCTTTGGAATAAAATGGGGGCTTAACTTTAGTAAAAAGAAATCCAAGGTCATGACGATAGGGAAAAGAATGAATACTAACAAGCAATGGTTTCTTGGTAATGCTGCAATTGACGAAGTAAAAACATACAAATATCTTGGAACCTTTGTTGATAATCTACTCCATGACACATCTCACATTAAAGATTATGTTTCTAAAAAAGCATGCAAAATCAATTCTTATATGCGATATGTACTTGCCAAACATAACAATGTCAACAGGATCAACTTTGGTCTAAGTATTTATAATTCTATGTTTACACCAGCCATTACACATGGTTGTGGGGTATGGTGTGTTAATAAGACAACTACAAAAATACTAAATTCCCTCCAATATAATGCTGGAAGGGCAATTTTGAATCTAAAGTGTAAACCGGCTACATGTGCTCTTTTGGCAGAATTAGGCTGGGAACCATTAACTACAAGCATTGAAAACAAACAGATCAATTATTTTAGCTACCTTGTAAAAAATGATAGGAATGATCTTTTAAACATTGTTTTTCAAAGTATGTTAGAACACCATAGGCTTAATAAAAATTTGTGTTGGCCATATATGAGAAACATCCACTCAATTATGAAAGATAGAGGACTGGATGATGTTATGTTCAGACCTAACACTTCCTGGATGAAGACATATAAAGCAATCACAAATAGCCAAATGAAAACTGATATATTTGAATCAATAAACGTAAAATCCTCACTAAACGTTTATAAACATGTTAAAATGAATTGGGGTCTTGAACGTTACATGCACATTTCAAACGATTTTAGACTTGCTGTTTTAAAGTTTCGAGCTAGGACAGGATGTTTCATGGTTGGTGCAGATTTGAAAAGATGGGGCCAAGGTGATGGATTATGCAAATTTTGTAATTCAGGGATTGATGATCTTTCCCACCGCCTACTGTTATGCCCATATTTCACCTCCCATCGTTCTGTCTTATTTTCTAACTTAAAGAGTGCACTTGAAGGCAATAATGAACATGTTTTTAACCATTTTATATCTCTTAATGTTCAGAGTAAATTACAATGGCTACTGGGCAATGATATACATAGTGTTTATGGGCACGAGATTGAAGTTTTAGTAGATAGATGTATCAAACAATTTTTATCTAATGCATTTGTTTCACCCTAATCTCAATGAATATGTTTTGTATTTTATGTACATTTTTGTAAGAGCACCCAGTATTGGTGTGCCACCGTTTTAAAGGTGTAATAAATAAATAAATAAATAAATAAATATTGTATTTATATTATATTATTGTATTGACCTATGTACCACTTTAAATGTTCACAGTTTATCATGTTTATTGTAAATTTAATTATGGGCAGTCATACACCCCCTGGGGTGTCATAGCCTGTATAATGTTGTAATTTTTGTAATGAAAACTGAAATAAATTATTTTGAAATTGAATTGAATTGAGATAAATTGTGGGTTAGCACAAGTGTAAAAGAGGAAAGGCCAAAAAGTATTACAAAACACAGAAAGCAAAAGAATTACCAAAAAGCACAACCAATCATAAGAAAATACAATTCTTATATCTCAAACTGTGGTGTAGGCCTAACACAAAAAGAAAAAAAACCTTTACCACACTCTCCACCATTCATGGTTCATTATCACAATCCAGAATCACAATACATTTCAATCATATTTTATGAATTAAGGAACCTAGCTGACTGTACCATGAATATGATTGCATCTGTCGCCTTTGGAATCAAGATGGATGGAGACAGTGAATCTGATAAGGAACTCAGGGAACAATTTGCAACGATTTCTGGCAGATTCAGCAATATACCTAAAAGAAGGATCTTTGTAATAATAGGTATTATTTTCTTCTATCCAACTTACCAAATTGTATTTTGAGGCTGATTAGAATGTCATTAAAGCTGGACTACGCTCCGAAACGCAATCTTGGGTTGTTTCGGGGGTGAACTTTATAATTTTGAGCTTAATGAAAGATTATAGAATGATGAACAAATGGGGCAAATCTTGTGTAGAAATACTTACGATAAATGTGTCATTTCAAAGATTTTTCATTGAATTTGCTTCGATCGGTGCCGGCGATATGATTTTGGAAAGGTTTCTAAATGAAGAACGTGACGTCACTTCCGAATCATAGCATTCAAAATAAGTAGCGTTTAATTACTTCCTCCTTTCATAATAATACGGTGGTGTAGCGGGTAGAATCCTCGCTGAGCACGCGGGAGGCCCGGGTTCGAATCCCGCCCTAGCCTTTTTATTTTTTTAACTAAATGATTGTTCTTTGATATTACGCAGAAAAAAACAATTTTTATTTACATAAACTTTATATTAGAGCTTGAAAATGTAAAAACAATATATGTCAACATATTGCGTTTTGGAGCGATGTGCAGGTTTAAGAGAATTCATGAATTTAGTCAATCCTCAATCTATTGATGTAATTATAGATATCTCATGTTATTTTAAAAGACCAAGGGAATGGATTTTAGGAATTCTTAACTTTATACAAACCTTACATCATCCTAGATGCCAACCTTAATTTGTGTTATATGTATTTTTGTGATTTATCAGAGATCTCGAAGTTGAAATAAATTTAAAATCATTCCACAACAAATTCAAACACATGAAGGAGTGGGAGGCTATAAAATGTAAAACAGCAAAGAAAGGATGGTAAAAATTCCCAGAGGTGTACATGTATGTAACTGATCATCAATATTTACCTAATTTATGTATCATTTTCAGTGGCATCCATACTGCCAGTTTTTAATCCTATCATAAACTATTTTAAATTGGCTCACATGGAGGATGGCACTGTTGAATTCTATAAAGAAATCCTTGAACAGGCCATGGCAAACAGACAGAGTGACACAAGCGTAAGTAATACACAGAAGCTTTTAGGCAAAACAAATTGAAAACATGGTTGCTAGGTTGCAGTTGCAGCAAATAATATCCATGGGTTGATAAGCAACCCAAGTCCATTACTATTACTAAGAAAAAAAGGTTATTGCCATTAGCAAAGGGGAAACATGACACACGAATGGTGCAAGCTAGAGCTGGGCTGAGCTGGGTTGAAAATATGAGAGTAAATAGTGAAAGTGTGTAGTGACTCCATAAATGAAAAATGGATTATATGTCTCAAAACTCATTTTTTTTGTTTCAGAAACATACAGACTTCTTACAGTTGATGATAAAGGCACAGTCTGAGGTTGATGATGCTAAAAGTAAGATATATAGTACACTGATCTCCCCAGCATTAAAGCAAGTGGGTGCAGCACCCACCTGAAATTTTGGAAATAGGCTTGCACCCACCTGAAAATCCATTTGCACCCACTTGAAAATGAGAAAAATTATAAAAAATTGTGAAAATGAGAAATTTGCACCCACTTGAGAAAATATTCTGTGGAGATCACTGTAGTATATATTTGATACTAATGTAATGTCATTTCAACATGCAGTTAGTTAAAACAAGGGTGAATTAATAACTACTTAGGGGAATGAGAAAATAAAAAATAAAAACCCCTTTCACAAAAACAAAATGATGCAAAATCTTACACAATGAGTGAGGCATAGGATATTTTTTAAAAATGTCACATAGTATATGAGTTGTTTAAAAGATGAATTATAGACAGATACATTTGCTAACAATGTCTTGCTTTTTTGGACCCTGTTTCTGGATTGATAAGATTCGACATATTAATATTTGTATGTTTTCCTTTATAAAGTGTTGCCTCTTTGGGTTCTCTCTTGCTAGGTTTCACAAATGATGACATCCTTGGAAACTCGATGTTATTTTTCCTGGCTGGTTATGAGACAGTGTCTACTACTTTGATGTGGGTGATATATAACATGTCAATTCATCAGGAGGAACAAGAAAAGGTTTATGAAGAGGTCATGGAGGCAGTAGGTAATGAGGTGAGTTATCAAATTCTATAAGTTATTGTGTTATTCTCTCCTCAACTGTTCATTTGGCTCTGTGGATAGAAATAAGAATTTTATGGTGCCATAATTTTCTCCAGGGAATTTTCTTAACACGGTTGTTTTTTTATAATAGTTTTGGCACTGCTATTTCAGAAGTGTGCTCATAAAACGTTAAACTGGGTGGCAAGTAATTTTCAATTTTTCAATTGGGCTGGTGAAAAATAAAGCTCAAATCATAGTTGAATAATCTATATTACAGGATGAGATTTAAATTACATGTATTGTAAACTATTCTATACTACAGGGTGAGACACAAGTTATTGCAAATTATTCTATATTAAAGGATGAGTTAACGTATGACATGTTGTCCCAAATGACCTACTTAGAGATGTTCATAGAGGAGTCAATGAGGATCTTTCCACCAGCTTCCATGTAAATAATATTCAAATAGTATTGAAACAGTTATCTTTTAAAATTAAAAAAGGTGTTTTGTCATTCATTCAGATTTGGTAAGAAAAGAAAATAATTGTACAAGTCTGTTGATTGTGAAAGAAGCTGTTTTTGTTCAATACAATATATTAAGTATGATCTGTAAAATGAAGCCCTCTGATTGGTCAGTTCTTGCTACTGAGATGAACAATGGGGAAAATCTCGGTAGCAATACAGAAAATATTGGTAAGGAAGGGACAATCTCAGTAACATGGCATTAACATGACAAAATGTCACCACCTAGTTGCTCACAATATTATGAGTTCAAACTTAAGTCAGATTTGAATTTCTGAGAACTTGTAGATGATTTTGAAAAAAAATTTAGTCAATTTGAAGCAAGATGAAAAAATACCTTTTTGACCTTTTTTGACATTGAGAGGGTCATTGAAGGTCAAATGTCAAATCTAAAGTCAGATTTGAATTTCTGAGAACATGTAGATGATTTTGAAAAAAAATTTAGTCAATTTGAAGCAAGATGAAAAAATACCTTTTTGACCTCTTTTGACATTGAGAGGGTCATTGAAGGTCAAATGTCAAATCTAAAGTCAGATTTGAATTTCTGAGAACATGTAGATGATTTTGAAAAAAAAATTTAGTCAATTTGAAGCAAGTTGAAAAAAGACCTTGTTTAACTTTAAGAAGGTCATTGAAGGTCAAATGTCAAATCTTAAGTCAAATCTAAAGTCAGATTTGAATTTCTGAGAACACGTAGATGATTTTGAAAATTTTTTTTAGTCAATTTGAAGCAAGTTGAAAACAGACCTTTTTGACCTTTTTTGACCTTGAGAAGGTCATTGAAGGTAAAATGTCAAATCTTAAGTCAAATCTTAAGTCAGATTTGACTTTCTGAGAACACGTAGATGATTTTGAAAAAAAAATTTAGTCAATTTGAAGCAAGTTGAAAACAGACCTTTTTGACCTTTTTTGACCTTGAGAAGGTCATTGAAGGTCAAATGTCAAATCTAAAGTCAGATTTGAAGGTCAAATGTCAAATCTAAAATCAGATTTGAACTTCTGAGAACATGTAGATGATTTAGAAAAAAATTGAAGTCAGTCTAAACAGTATTTGTTAAGTTATAGGAAGTTGTAAGAAATTGTTACAGACGCTGGATGCCGGACGCCAACCACCAACCGCCGTCGCAAAAAAACGGAGACCATAACAATATGTCACCACTTTTGGTGGTGACATAACAATACAGAGAATACAGAATATTTCTTAGGGATCCTTAAGTAAAATGTAAGATCACCAATAAAAATATTATTGAGTGATTTGAAGTGCAATACAGGATATATTTTGTCTTGATATTCTGTATTGGCACTCAACTTTGTCTCATACCAATACAGAATTTCTCGAGCAGAATATATCCTTATTGCACTTCAAATCATATAAATCGTTTAACCTTTATTTGACCAGTTCTCATCTTTCATCTTTCAGATTAGAAAGGGCAGTAAATGAAGATGTGACAATAGATGGTATTAATTTCCCCAAGAATGCAACAGTCACAGTTCCAGTTATTGCACTACACCATGACCCTAAGATCTGGCCAGAACCAAAAAAGTTTATTCCTGAAAGGTGAGAGTCATTATTTTAAAAAATAAATGTCAAAATACAGTACAGTATTTGTATATATTAAAATGCAGGGTTCTCTCTACATTAAAATCTGTGTTAAGCGCAGCGCCCACAATTTACAGTAACAATTATGATATATCCATCTTAATGAAACATCCTAACCTGTAACACATATACATAAAGTGTATGTTTATTAAGAATTATCAAAATCTTACAACACAAAAATCATCTTTACAATGCATGAAATAGTTTATTTAGGTGACTCTTATTTTCGCGAGAAAGAAATTACATATAATGTCAAGACATGACTTCTATTATTAATATGTATTGTAACACAAAGATTTGTTTAAATAACTAAGTTTTCCTGGAACTGAAACTCTGGACTTCCTAGATATTCCTAGAAAATAAATAGCCTAACATGTTTCAAAATTAATGTAACAATTGATTGTACTGTATATCTACTTATTCAATCTAGCTCTCCCTTTAACAAATCATATTACAGGGTGTACAGGGTAAACAATGGCAATCAATATTAGAAATAATTCTAGAATCAAAGGTATTAAAGTAAGAAACAAAGAAGTCAAAATATGTCAACTTGCAGATGACACCACTCTCTTTGTTCATGGAAAAAACTCTATTAATATAGCTATTAAAGAAATACAGCGTTTCGGAACTGTTTCTGGTTTAGAGCTTAACTTAGAAAAAACAGAAGGTATAAAACTTGGTAACTTTAAAAATGATAATAATAATACTTTTTGTAATATTTCCTGGAAACAGGAAGTAAAATCATTAGGTGTCTACTTTGGAATAGATCAAACTAAATTGCATGATCTTAATTGGAATAGTATAGCAGATAAAATGAGAAAGTCATTGTCTTTGTGGAAAAAACGCAAGATTACTCTTTATGGGAAAATAGTTATCATTAAAACACTTGCATTATCTAAACTGATGTATTTTGCAAAAAGCATTGACACACCAAATGAAACTTTTTTGAAAGAAATTACTTCAGAACTTTATTCATTTTTGTGGGATGGAAAAAGAGATAAAATTAAAAGATCTGTCTTAATTAATACTTTGTCTAAAGGTGGACTTTCAATGCCTGACTTAAAATCTAAATTCAGGGCCTTTAAAATTAAATGGATATTAGACATTGAGTATGGGAATAAACATGCAAGTTGGAATATTCTAGCAAGAGAGATATTAAGTAAAACTGGACTCCCAGATACTTTGATATTTAAATCTACTTATGGAAAACCAGAGAATATTTGTAATTTTAATATCTTGCCTCAATTTTACAAAGATTTACTCCATGCTTGGAGTATTCTTGGAGGCTCAGAATCCAAAATTGATAACATAACATTTGCAGAAATTAGACAAATGGTGATATGGCACAATAAAGACATAACTTTCAATAACAAGTGTTTGTATTTTGAAAACTGGATAAATTCAAATATATTATATGTTAATGATCTTATGTGTACCCAAGATGAAATTCTTCATAAGCTTAAATCTAGGGTCAATTGGATGGCAGAATATATAACTGTTAAGCAATCTTTGCCATTTCAATATAGAGTTAAAATATTTAGTGAGGCAAGCAGATGTACATATGTTAATACAAATGTAAGTTTAAGATTTTATGACAGTAAATTGAAGCATTATAGATTTTTGGATAAACATGCAAGTTCTAGAGACATATATTCAATCCTGTTGGAACATATAGCAACTAAAACATATTTGGAATCATTTTGGATTAATCTTTGTGAAATTCAAAATAGTCAAATGCTGTTTCAACAGACTTGGATACTTTTAAAGCAATCCAAAAATAAAAAAGTGGCCAATTTTAAATACAAACTTTTACATTATATTTTACCATGCAAACAATTACTTCTAAGATGGAAAATAAGTGTTAACGACAAGTGTGATATTTGCGGACAAGTAGAAGACTATAAACATTTGTTCTTTCAATGTCATAGAGTACTTAATGTAATAGACCAACTTGAAAATTATATTTTAGATCATTTTAAAATTGAATTAAGCTTGAAAAAGTATAAAACTCTTGTCTTTGGCTATAAGGTACAAGACACTAACTATACTTATTTTAATGAATGGTTAAACAACTTATGGTACGTTATATTTGTAAACTATTGTAATAATGTTCAAGAATTGAAATTATATCATTTTTCACAAATATTGTAATATTGTAAAATGACCTGATGTACTTGTATACAAAGTTATAAAATGAGAAATATATACATGATTTAAAAAAAAAAAAAAAAAATATTACAGGGTGTCCGGAAAGTAAAGATACAAATACTCTTATTTTAAGAAATTTGGGTTTTTTGAAATGAAATTGCTACAGATTGAAGAGGAACAATATTACAATATATCTACCAATTTTCATCACATATAGTCTAAATATGTTCAAGTTACGGTTGTTATGGTTACGGATGTGAGAGGTATGCGGAGCAGTTCCAGAACAACGCTAAAAAGTGAAAAATTGCTAAAAGACAACCATTTGAAACAGTTTTTTTTGTTGTATTGTTCATCATTGTATTATTGCTGCCATAGTGTTTTCTTTTATTTAATGATGTCATTGCTACATATCAGAACTATGTTATGTCACTAACCAGTATAATGAAAGATATATTATACAAGTGCCTAGAAGAATGGTCCCTGGCTATTAGTAGGAAAGTCAATATTGCATCTCCACAATGCACCAATTCACAAAGCAAAAAACAAATCTTACAATGGAGTGTCTTGACATTAAACCTTTCTATACAATGCCCCATATTCACCTGATAAAGCCTACTTTAGACTTCTACCTTAATGACGATTTGAAAGCAATATTTGTAAAAAGGTCAACATACAAATGAGACTCAGCTGGAAGCCAATGTTATCAGCTATCTGAGAGATGGACAGCAGCAGTTTTGTCAGGTCTTCGAATCGCCGGTCAAGATGCACCAAGAATGTATAGATAATGGGGAAAAAACTGAATATTCAATGATAGTAGCAATATGAATAATGTCAAATAATGTTACATTACTAATCCCTATGCTGTTGTGGTACATAATTTGATATAATATAGGAATAGATGGTGGAGTGCCAAGATCATATGAGCAGGAAAGAGATTTGCAGAACACAGTTGTGACGTTGCTCCACTTACCCTCGACTCCCGTTACCATAACAACCATAACTTTTTCATTTTGAAACTGAAAGTCATGACAGTTGCAGGATATATTTTTATAATGTCATTCTACATTCTGGGGCAATTTCATCTCATAACAGGTAAATCTCTTGAGATTAGAGCATTTGTATCTTTACTTTCCGGACACCCTGTATATTGATGATTTTGTCTTTTAGTTCACAAAATGAATAAATCCATTTAATAGATTCACAGCAGAGGAAAAGGCAAAGCGCAACCCATATTACTACCAGCCATTTGGACTTGGACCTAGGAATTGTGTTGCCATGAGACTGGCTCAGACTGAGGTTAAATTGTGCATAGCAAAGATGGTTAAAAGTTTCAAGATCCTCCCATGTGAAAAAACTGAGGTACTTGCCTTCATACAGTGCTCTAGAAAATAATGAATTTGTTTAGCCTTAACATGAATAAAACAATTCTTCAAATGAAAATAATTGATCCGAGAAAACCTATACTAGTAATTCTTATTTACATAAAATATGGTGATGAAATTCATGATTCTAAATAAAAAATCTTACTTTAAAACAAGAATAATTTGATTTCAATTTTCTTCAAAAATTATATACAATTATGTATAATCAAGTGAATAAATTGCTAAATGAACAAGCTATAATTCCGCTATAGCTCCCTATTTGCTCAACCTGGGTCCTGAGTTGGAAGACCTAATTTCAGTATACTCCCTCAACAGGGTAGCCAAAGTTTGGATGTCCTATAGAGGCTAATAAAATGTATTATTTTGTAGGATCCAATTGAGATAGTGAAGAGTGGGGCAATGCATCCTAAGAATGGAATGTTTATCAAAGTCGCTAAACGGTAAAGACAGTAATGACGAAGCTATGCATAGGGACATTATAACATTCTTCTTATCCATCAAAATTGAAGTAAAAGATGAAATGTTTATGAAATATGACATTATGTGAAAATGCATTTGAGGAAAAAATATATACCATAGCAAAGGAAATCATTTACATAATTTTATCTATAAAGGTGCCATGCAATATATTGCTAGATGTACATATTGTTATATTCTTGTATTGAAATTATGTATTGATTATTGCTTCATACAGAAATACATATTTTTCTAAATCTAAATGAGTTAAAAAGCACTTTCTAATTGTTAATTAACTCACTCATTTTTATCCAGTAATATAAATATATGCTATGATAAGTATGATGAAAACAAGATTAAAGTTAATCCAGATCTTTTATACCACCAATAAAATACAGAAATAAAGATAAAAAGAACAAGCCATGCAGAAAAAATTACAAGCTCATGTGTTTTCAACAAAAATAGTTCATCCAAGCGCACGTGTACACTCACATAGTTCTTTTGAAAGGCATCAGGTTTATTGCAATCGAACTCCTGTTTCTGCACTAGCAACGAGGCGATGCAGTTGACACACGCGGTTAGCCGAGAAGTTTGACCCATCATAATTAGCGGTGTCAGTGCGCTTACATCATCTGTTTTTGTTTGAAACGAGCGACCATGAAATTGGCACCCCGGGGGCTTATTGTTCTTTTTCATGACACCTAGGGGAAAACTTATCAAATATTATGCAGTTGACTTGCACCGCGGGTAGTTAAAAAACGCAGTCATCTAATTAAGAATGATTAAACTTGTGGAGTTTTTATCCCATCTGACTGTGTTGACATCAAATGGCCGTGACGATAGAGTATGTGCCTAACTACTATGTAATGTATGGACAATACCTGGCAATAATTACATGGCATCTATCACACCTAATGACAGTTGCAACTCTTCCCTTAATATGAAGTGATATCGAAGAAAATGTGAGAGCATGTTTAAAATGAAATAGAAAGATGTGATAAAGATCAGAATTCTTATTTAACCATGATTTGTCATGGCTTATGATTAGTCAGAGTAATCAATCCATGCTATTTATTACATTTTACACATAGGCTACATGCACTGTGAAAAATTCAAAGGAAACGTTCTAATACTCTTATCAACCTGGAATTTAAGATCAAGTTGGAGAAAAAAAGTCGGGAGATAAATAGCGCAAGATTTGAGAGAGAGAGTCGTTCAAAACAAACTACAGTATATTTTAGCCTCATGTTAAGTATGTGATCGAAAATGGATGTTATTTACAAGCCGACTGCTTTGTCTTTACATGGACATGGTTGAATAATAAATAATCTACTGAGGGCGCAAAGGAAAGATACATGCACTGGGAAATTGATAATCTAAAATGGAATGTTCTAAGATGAGCTTCTGCACATATTGGGAGCGGGGGGGGGGGGGGTCAAAGGCTGAATGCAAGACCATATAGTAACTTGGACTTTGCAAAAATATCTCAAGATTTCACTATAGAAAATTGCTACTTAACATTACCAAATACAGACAGGTACTAGATATCCATAAGTATCTCTGAAATGTAAAATCAACCCCACCAACTGCATGGCAAAGATATTACATACAAGATTCCAGCCAGAATAAAAAAAATGGTAATGTGAAAGAAAAATCCTGCATAGATTCAGTCTCTAAAATGCTTATCATTTGGAAGGTATTGAAAGACTTTGGACATACATGTATAAAAGTAAATAAAGAATAGTGAACAGAAGAGCTCCATTATATGATATGAAAAGCAGTCGAACATGCTGATTGGTGATTATTGCACTTTGAAACTCCTACATAATGTCTTTGTTTGGTTGCTGTGATTTTGAGTTAGGAAGTCACATTTGTAGTTGGGAAAGTCAAATATCTACACAACTAACATATACATCTTCCTATGTGTATACGTACCTGGTTTTACGTCACAAAGAGGCAAAAGTACACTATAGTATTGTTGTATATAGTGTTACATACTGTTTGGAAAAATACATTCATATTTTAGATGCAAAATGTGTGTTTATCTTGGATTGCCACATGTGTGGCCTGTTGTATTTTGATTCTTCTCTGACATGTTCATTTCGAAAAAATTAACATACAGGGGTTTCATTAGCAGCAGGCAACAGGTGATTTTTACCAGTTGTGAAATGAAATGAGATTACATTCAGAAGATATCTCATAGTTGATAGTGTACTTGAAAATAATTCCCGAAATTGATTGCAGACATTTTGAAACACTGGCCAATTTAGATTGATGTGGGACTATGTACTGCACATAAAGACGCTCACCATAAATAAATGACACCTTGATTTTCTATCACCATTTGTTAAGACTTCAAACTTTCCAATAACGTCTAGAAACACATCCCTTAGTTTTGTATATTTTACATTTTGTATACTCTCATCCAATGATGTATAGCCTCTTGAAAATTCTCTTATTTTTAACATGGGAAATCCTCACTTCAGCAAATCTCGGTGTCATTTATTTATGGTGAGCACTCAGAGGAAGAATAACACCAGAGTTCAAAGATGACATACGCTTATAATGTAAACCTGTATTGAGATGACATACACCTCTGATTGGTCAAAATCGATAAACAAAAATGGCGGATTCAAAATTTTCTAATAACGCTTCGAATAATATAACATTGATTCCTGGCGTATTAACCAATATCATATCCTGGTTTTTCACATCAAGATAAAGAAATATGTACAGTAGGGGACAAAAATAAATCTCAACCCTCAAAAGTTGTCACAATGAGCTAAATTCTAAGTTTTGTGTCTCAAACTCTTCCAAGAGGTATAAAAATAATTCCCATTCACTTTAAGTAGCACAATAAATGAATCCAAAGCTTCATACCTGCAAATGTTGGATAAATCCCTACCAAATCGAACGGATGTTTTCATGAATCGACATGTGTTTGTAATCCAAGGAGGATTGACTCCCAGAATGCAACATCAGGTAACCTTATTTACTCGTGACAGATTTCAAAATGGGGGAACAGCATTTTGAAAGTTGACACTTGTCATGTTGTCACTGAGGTAAGAATTTATTTCATGTGTGACAGCATGCAATTTCCATAGCTTTTGTAATTATTTATGTCCCCCACTGTAAGGAATATGTTTACATCGATTGAAACATCACGACGACGCGCTGTGTTCGAAAATTAACAGGTGAGAATTTGTGTAAACGAAGGTGGTACGCAAGAGACGTATTCCAGTCATCGCTAAAGCTCTGGGGCTTTCCCTCCACTTGTGAGCACTGTGGGTCAATATAACCTACTTGAGATTTGTTTTGCTCATCGTATAGGAAAAGTAGTACTTAATACACTAGTTCGCTACTTTGTAGATGTATGGCACGTATATGTGTACATGTATTGGCAATTAATGTTTGGTGATAGCTAGTAGGAGTGTCAGGGACCGCTGACAGATTATTATTTTGAACCCAAAAATTGAATTATATTTTTGGCGGTCTCAGTAAATCAATGGGGTAATCAGGTCCTACGTGCTTTTTACTGGCCCAGAAATCAATGCTCGCTTATAAATGTAGCAAGATCTTTTTTCGTTCGTGGGATATTTTTTTCACCATATAACCGAACGGGAAGTTTTTGAATAGGACTACATGATCTGAATGGATGCGAGGATTCGATGGGCTGGGATTTGAGAAATTATGATTTGAACTTTGCCAATTTTACATGTATTCCAATGGGTGAAAAAGTAAGTTGCTTTCTACCTAATATCAACCACATTTATTAGTGAATTTCGAGAAATATGTCGAATTTAGCCATATTTCGCATATCTTTCTATGGAACCATTTAAAGTTTTGCAAATTAACCCCTAAAATTCTGGAGACGACGATCTAAATTTTGCTGAGTCAGCAATTTTCGTTTTTTCATTGAAAACAGTACTTTTCAGCCTAAATTGCTACATTTCTGCTCTCTTTTCAAGTAATTTGATGCAGTTCTAGCCAAATTAAAGGAAACATACCCCAAACGTTCCACAGTGTGTGAAGTTCCAACATTTTGACCCTTTAAACCCACGAAAGACCCAATTTTAAAGGGATGTATTCAGTAAACCTGCACAAAAGACAATGCTACTTTAACTAGCCATCAGAAGTTCATGAAAAACGAAAAATCAATGATGTTCAGTTTAGTAAAGTAGCAAATAGTCCTACTTATGAGAGAATATAAATCACTTAAGCAATTTGTACAACTTTAAACAGCTGTTTTAAGTAGATTAGTATCGTTATGGGCAAAAATCCCCCAAAATGGCCCAAAATTTGTCCAAAAATTCAAATTTTTCATGCTCAAGGCTGAATTATTTTGCCTATTTTGCTACATTTATCAGTGCAGTGACAAGAAGTCTTGTGGATAGCGCAACTTTTCCTGAACGTTTCTCTAATAAGATATTTTAATGACAAAATAACTACATTTAGTCTGGAATAAATTGTCACAAAATATAATGACCCCAGGGGTCAAGAGAACCCTATAAAATCAAAAGTGCTGAGGGGATTTGAGCAAAAATGTACATATCACTTCATTAAACCCCGAACTTTAAAATTCATATTGAACAAAATGCATATTCAGTCAACCATGACACTAATAGGGTCAATATAACCTACTTGAGATTTGTTTTGCTCATCGTATAGGAAAAGTAGTACTTAATACACTAGTTCGCTACTTTGTAGATGTATGGCACGTATATGTGTACATGTATTGGCAATTAATGTTTGGTGATAGCTAGTAGGAGTGTCAGGGACCGCTGACAGATTATTATTTTGAACCCAAAAATTGAATTATATTTTTGGCGGTCTCAGTAAATCAATGGGGTAATCAGGTCCTACGTGCTTTTTACTGGCCCAGAAATCAATGCTCGCTTATAAATGTAGCAAGATCTTTTTTCGTTCGTGGGATATTTTTTTCACCATATAGGGCGAAGGGGTGTAACGTCGACACCGTTTTGGGGTAACTTCGACATGTGGGGTAACTTCGACACCTTGTTATTTATTTGCTCTAATTTCCGATCTAGGGGGAAGCCATGTTTTTTTTCTCGCATGGATCGAGATCTCGCGAGATTTTAATTTTTCCAGAAATCAAACATGGCGGAAAACGGAAATTCTACTTCTAATACGTAAGTGTCGAAGTTACCCCGTCCATTATGTCGACATTACCCCACACGTCGACATTACACCCCTTCGCCCTAACCGAACGGGAAGTTTTTGAATAGGACTACATGATCTGAATGGATGCGAGGATTCGATGGGCTGGGATTTGAGAAATTATGATTTGAACTTTGCCAATTTTACATGTATTCCAATGGGTGAAAAAGTAAGTTGCTTTCTACCTGTAGGATTTTAGCCTATCTGGGCGATAATAGAGTAAAATACTATGATGATACACAATGTATCTAAAAGTATAACTTTAATCATGCATATACTACGTTCAAACGATTCTTAGAGTATGAAATTATAACTGGAATTGTTGAAAATGATCCTACTTACCATAGTTTGTCAGCTATTCAGATTTCTTTGGGGAGCAGCGAAATTTTCGAAACAGAAGTTGTATTCACGAAAGGTGGCGCTTTGAAAACTTCGTCTGTTTCCAAAATGGCATCCGTTTGCAAACGTCTTGTTTCTGTGGGCACTTTCGGTCGAAATATACGCTTACATAGTCGTATATTCTCCACTTCACCAACAGCAAATGCTGGTGAAGACTCTTCGGATCCTAAAAAGCAGGCGAAAGAACAAATCTACCATGTACGGGAGCGAGGATACCAGCTTCTTCGAGACCCAAGAATTAACAAGGTGAATTCAAAGTCAAGTTCCCTGGAAACTGGAATATTTAGACATCTGTTTCTTATGTTTCATATTTCCCCTAGAATACACTTATTTTGTGAACTTGAGGACATTGATTTTATGTACTCAATCTCAAACGCATTTGAATAAGCTTAGAAGAGATAATATATCCATACCTCAGTGTTCTCATGTTCTAGGCTAGCACAGAGTTGTAATGTCAAAAGAAAAGGCTTTGTTACTTTGTATAAAAAACCTCCTACATACCCACCTACCCACCGACGTGGGGCATGATACAGTCACTGAAGGGTTCAATTTTAAAGATTTTTAAATCTCAAAATAGCTCTAATTATTAACATTTCTACAATTCCGGCTTTAGTTTATGACAAGACGGATGACATATCCATAAATAAAGGCATATGGGTGCATTGTAATGTGTAATGACCAGAGGGCACCCCAGGGGAATAACTAACTAATGACCGCGAGTTTAGGTCCAACCAGCAAGATAAAGAAGTTAAAAAAGTCTGCTAAATTCGATGCCCCGAGTGGGAATCAAACCCAGCTGGGCTGTAGTAGCAACTTGCTATCAAGGGTCGTTACAAATGCATCTATAATTCATCATAAACTAAGATTTAATAAACTAAGATCTTTAAAATTGAACCCTTCAAAGACTGTATCATGTCCAACGTATGTGGGTAGGTGGGTATGAGGTAGGAGGTTTTTGCTTGCATATTTGCTTATCATGTAAGAATAGGTGGATATTTTAGCTTGAAACTTAGCATGCATATAAAGAACAAATTCTTTTTGCCAACCTGTATACCTTGCATACGAACTGGATGAGAAATATGCCATTCGCAAAGTTATGAAAGGGTCTGACGTGCTATTAAAGTTACGAACGAAAGCAAACGTGACGTCATTTTTTCGTAACTTTGCGAATCGTTCGTAACTTTGCGAAATTTCTGTTAATGACCCCCAAAATTCCACTATTGTTAAAGAGATCAGGTCTCCTAAAAACACAATAAGAGTAACCCCCTGATTTTTCCGTGTTATTTGATGTAAAACAAGTTTGTTTATCAACTTATCAATTCTGAGGCTTGAATTAATTCGTTAACAGTATCAATTCGATGATTGTTCCTTGCCATGAATTTCCACTGAAATCAATAGAAATTTAAATTTAAAAAGCCCGCTCAAATTTTTTCCATTCTGATTGGCTTTTTCCTTCAGATTATTTTGGCTTAGAGAAGCCATATTTATTACTTCTAAGGGTTTACAATATAGATAAATCTCCCCAAAACATTGTATTCTGTTTTCGACTTATTGCGTTCAATTCTGACAGTTGGTTGTTCTTTTGGTTGTCCTGTTGATATCCTCAATATATTGTCGATATCGTGCTTATGATTTGGTCTCAAGATATATCTAAGGTATATATGATGTTTTATGAGCAATTATATTGGGACATTACTGATTGTCCAGAATAGAAATCTGGACGTCTTGATCTCTTTAATATCTTTGATGTTTTATGATTTTCATGTTCTTTTTTATGATAGGAACTCTGATGGATAATAATGAAAAAATGGTTAAAAATATTTTTTCTGGCTTCCAAACACCTTCAAGTTCACCAATCATGGGCATAGCGCTACTTTTGTGAGTAGTACGCCGCCATGGGAATACAAGTTCAGCGAAGCGGAAAACGAGCATTCAGGGGTTTGGGTTTCTACCCCCTAGATAATTTTGAAGTTTGGTTGTATTTGGAGTGTATTTGCAACCATCTGGTACACCTGTATGTGCTGGGCGCTACGCCTATACCAATGATTCTATTTTCCAATATATGCATCAATGTTCCGTCAAAAACCACTTTTTTACCGATCTTTATTTTGATAAATCGGAAGTAAACTTTTTCATTTTTAGAACCAGAGAAGTCATAATGATTAATGAAAGATTGTAAAGACGCATATTAAATTAATAGAATCCAATGTTAGTTTATTGACAATGCATGTTAGAGAATGCACCTCCAGATCTATTATTAGAGATTTTATCAGATTTTTTAAACTTTTTTTGTTTAGCCTTATATCTGCTTAAGGTGCCCTGCTTAAATGTGGTATGTTTATTTGTTTTTGTTGTAGAATCGTAAAATAGGTGAGTACATAAGTATGTATTGGTCTTTCAGATTCAGTCCTGGGGGAGGAGGGGTGGGGGTTGTGTTGGATCCAGTATCCCATTTGATTGTAAAGTATAAGTGCCAGAGCTTATACAATTTTTTATTGTATAAGTGTGAGCTTATACAATAACATGTAGATGTAGATATGCATGATTATATTTGATTTTAGGAAATGGCATTTACACTGAAAGAACGCCAGCATCTAGGAATTCATGGTCTATTACCACCAGCTCTGTTAGATCCTGACACACAAGTTTTGAGGATGATGAAGAACTTCTATAATCAGCCAAATGACCTAGATAGATATGTCCTTTTATGCGTCCTTCAAGACAGAAACGAGAAACTATTCTATAGAATTGTCTCGGAGAATGTTGAACTCATGATGCCTATTATATATACACCAACAGTCGGTCTTGCCTGCCAGAAATATGGCTTGGTGCAGCGATGCCCAAAGTAAGTGAAAGTTGTTAAGCAAGCTTTTTTGATTTTCAGGGTATGTCATTTTCTTTGAAAGAACGCCAGCACTTAGGAATCCATGGCCTTTTACCCCCTGCCCTACTGGACCAAGATGCCCAAGTAATAAGGGTTATGGAAAACTTCCACAAAAAGGAAACAGACTTGGAAAAGTATATCTTACTTTGTGGATTACAAGACAGAAATGAGAAGCTATTCTACAGGGTATTATCTGAGAATGTTGAGATGATGATGCCCATTGTGTACACTCCCACTGTTGGGCAAGCATGTCAGCTTTATGGTATGGCCTTCAGGAAGCCTAAGTAAGTTAACCTTGTTTGCTTTGCCTGTGCTTACTCCCATGTAAGTGTGTTTTCTTGTGCTTATACAATCTAACATTATACTAGTTATTTAATGATCATGGATACAACTATTTTCAACTCATTTTTCAAAATATGGGTGGAAAGTTGACCAGCTATCATCAAGTTCAATGACAATACACATAAATTTCCAAACTGTGATCATAAAATGACATTCTTATCACTTTTGAAAGATGTATTGATTTGATATGAACTTTAAAGCATTTTTATTTTCGCAAGAACAGGTTTATTAACATGTATATGTTCATAAGGATACTTCATTATTATTAGAATACAATGTAAGGGTAATTACAAACAAGTATAATAATTTCTTGTAAAATACATCTTTTACTGTTTACACCCAACCTTTCTTAGCACTCCTTTGGTATCATAATAGAGGGGGTTTATTGAAGAACACCATTGTGATAGTCATCCTTCTGATTTACTAACTGCACATCGGATTCAAGGCAACACAAACCAAATACTTACTGGAAATTCAATCTGTATCATAAGAGTAGAAGCATATTAGGTAGTATTGATCAGATTTCATTTCCATACTGTAGCACTCGTTGAACTGAATTAGTTATATCTGCTCAGGGATACAGTTAACCTTTTACTAAGTGGTAAATCTTATGCATCTTGCAGAGAATTTACAATAGGATTAACCTAAATCTGACCTGGGATGCCCTTGTAATTTGTATCCAGTATGTACTGTAGAGTAAAAGCTATCAAATAATGAACATAAACACATTATTGGCAAATTCAAGGCTATTTTCAATTGTTCTCCTGTCAGCTTACCCAGATATGTCTACAGTAATGGAAGCAATCTCAAAGTATTTTCAGTTTATAATATGTGTTTCATTTCTTTCTTCTGTAGATTCTCGATTCTGGTGAGAATTCTAAATGCTCTGTTAGTCCCCAATTATTTTTTGTCAATCAATCAATGAAATGAAGTGGGTTGAACAAACATTGCTAGAGAACAAATTGCAAATGAAAGATATAATTTCTCAGTTTCATCTTTCAAGATTTTAGGGAAACTGAATCAAATGGTGCCCTTAGTTGTAAGAATTAGAGAAATACTTATTTACACTTCATAAGGGTATAAATACTCTGTTATATGCCATTGAAAGGTTTTACTGTATCCTGAAAGTGGATTCCATGTATTATATAACTGCTTAAATACATAGTAGATGTAGAATTAAACTAAGAATATTCTGCACGATTAAGGATAGCCACTGTATAGCACCTAGTTTTTTGCACATTTCACTATCTTCTAATAACTTTCACCTTGGTCCATATTTACACCAAACATATTTTTCTAGAATTAGAGAAGACATATAAATATAATTGATGTTTATCTTGTTAAAGGGGCTTGGTCATTTTTGGCCAATCAAACTACTCGAAAATGAACACACCTTTGTCCCAGAAAAAATGTATGATACAAAAAAGGTTTGTCCATACTAGAAGATGAGTTTTTGTAATGTAGTATGTATATTTGCATTTGAATATTGTCAAAAATTCTATAGCAATCAGCAGGTATGTTAAGAATATCATATCAGCCCTAAACTCTTATGAGTACTTGAAAGTTTTATCAAAGTCAAATTGACACAAGAAATAACATAACATTTATCTTATATAGGGCTATATATGTGTGCTCTTGAATGATAAGAAGTACACTTATAAATTATGTGTTAATTTTGATTAATTTGCATGTCTACATATAGTTTTTTAAGGTGATCAGGATGTGAACAGAAAAAATGAAAAATATTCAAGACTGAAAAGTTCAAACTCTTTTTTAAAATTTTAAAGCTCATTTGTTTAGGGGGTGTATAAAAGTGACGTTCAGAGTAATTTTTAAAAAATTGTCCAGGGACTTCTCCCACAGTATTGTTTTTCTCCATTTTTCTGCTGTATTTTGTGAGATAAAGTCATCCTAAAAGACAAATTTTGATGTCAAAATATACAGGGTGGTCCAAAAAATGGGACACTCGTATTTCAAAATAAATATTAATTTTATCTATGAAAATATGTCATATTGTATATCAATAGATAGGGAATTTACTTATCTTTAATTTGATATATCATTTAGGTCAAATTTATGATAATGTCTGTAAACCAGCGTCCATAATGTAAATGGTGTCATTTTCGTTTCAAAACAGGTTCTACAAAACTTGCAAAAAACAAATTTTATATTGTCAACTTTATTTACATAAACAGACATTCAAGATATCAACCACTTTGATCAATTTTAGCCCTCAATTTTGGCCTAAACTGGTCACTTTTTATTCAGTGATATTAGGCATATAATGTTATATTTTTGATTGTTTTCAAAAGAAAGGGATAGCTTAGATGTCATATATGTGCATGTATGTAAAGATACAGGGTATTCACAAAATATTGGCTTATCAGAATGCTTGAAATTTCTCCATTCTTAAATAAGACTCGATTCTATTGTCAGTATATCTGTATTAAATGAAATAAAGATAGACCAAGCAGCTGACTTAGCTTCTCATAGAATTGTGCTAAAGAATTATATTTCATGTTTTTCAGAGGTCTTTTCATAACAGTGCATGATGCTGGTCACATATATGAAATACTTTGCAACTGGCCTGAACCCAAGATTAAGGTAAACCCTTTTAAAGTTAAGGTTACTTCAGTTATTTAATTGAAAGTAATATTATTCAAAATATTTAAATATGGCAAAGTTGTTTATATGAGAGGTTCTACAATATTTGATGAATAAAAAAATTCAATAAAATCCATACTGTTTTTGTCAAACTTTGGAAGAATATTGAGACAGATATTGAATTGATATCATTTATGAATTATGATCCCAATATTTATCCTTCTCTTGAAGATCTAAATACAAATGTAGAATTGAAAATTCCCATTTCTTTCAGTCTATAGTTGTAACTGATGGTGAGAGAATCCTAGGACTTGGGGATTTAGGAGCATTTGGTATGGGAATCCCTGTAGGCAAACTATCATTATATACAGCACTTGGAGGGGTTGATCCATCAACTTGTCTTCCTATTGTTATTGATGTGGGAACAAACAATGAGGTAAGAATATTAAGGAAACAAGCTGGTTGGAGTGGCTGTGCAGCGATGCATGAATCAATGGTGCATACTTTTTTCAGTCTAAAAATGTTCTGGTTCGCACTCGCAGTATATCCTCCTCTAGAGTATGTTCAGGAATTCCAATCAATGAATGAAATGAAAAAAAATATATGAGCAAGAATTTTGAAGCTGATAAAGATATCCCTGAGTATATAATTATACAATTCATTTTTTGTTTTCAGGCTCTTCTTAATGACCCTTTGTACATTGGATTAAGGCAAAAAAGAGTAACAGGCAAAGTCTATGATGATCTTATAGATGAGTTTATGGAGGCAGTTGTGAAAAGGTACTTAAAGATATGTTACATTTAGCCAAATTTGTATATCACTCTTAAAAATTTGGAAAATGATTAATATTATGTAAACATTTTTAAAAACACATGTATTATGGATACACCACACTGGTATCATACCCTGACATGTGAAACTGATGTAAATTAGTTTTGTAATATGTAGTTGTAGTTTGTAGTTTTTTGTACACTGTAGTGACTGATATGTCATTTACGTGACATGGTTATTGAGTCAATAAAAGATATATATTATGAACACATGAGTAAAAATTCAATTAAATAAAAGACTTCTTTGAATAGGTTACTCAGAATTTATGTGTATACTACTTCATCCTCAAAGACACATTCTCATTCCAGTTGATATCACTTTTTTAAAACACACTGTAGGAGCATTTTTTTCTTATAAGAGAACAATTTACAATTGTGAAACATATCAGATATTTTAGAAAATTCGAAGATGTGTCTCATGCATGTACGATGTATATTAACATTCCAGATATGGTCAGTCAACTCTAGTTCAGTTTGAGGACTTTGGTAATCACAATGCCTTCAGATTCTTGGAGAAATACAGAAACAATTACTGCACCTTCAATGATGACATTCAAGGTATGTAGTGTTACCCATATAATGTGGTATCTGCAAATTGATGTTTATAGTATCTAAGTCATTTCAGATAGAAGAGAGTGGATTTACAATGTCATTTTGTATATGAGACATTTAAGGCTTAATACTAGGTTTGTAAATCAAAAAATGTAGCCTAGTAGGAACTGAATAATTTTGAATAACATTTGAATAATCAATTTTCTGCAGATGTAAAATTAAAATTCCATGTACTGTATTTGTGGAATATTGGATTCAACATGTATTGTTGTTCTTTTTAAACATGTGTTATTACTTGATTTCGTTTGCAATACTGTTTTCAACAACCATTAAACATTATCTCTATGTTAAGCTAATCCAACTGCAAGCTTATAATAACATTGTATTCCAGGCACAGCTGCAGTTGCTGTGGCAGGCATCCTAGCCAGTACCAGAATCACAAACAAACGTCTCTCAGATAATGTCTTCCTCTTCCAAGGGGCTGGAGAGGTAGGTCCAGTTTTGATGATGACTTCCCAGTGTCTAACAAATCCAATCATTCATTATACATACATAATACAAACATACACAGCATTATTTAATGACTTATTTCATTAGTGTTATGTACATGTTCCAGTGATGAAATTCTATCACTTAAGAATGAGATCTTGTAAATGTCATTCTGTTTGCATTATTTTATGATCTTTGACAAATCAATTTGTTATACATTATTGAAATAATGTAAATATGTTATTTATATGACTGGTATATGTATAAGCTGAAATAAGATGAATTATGTTGCCTATGAAACTATGAAAATGTGTAAATATTGCAGGCCTCCATAGGTATTGCTAACCTGATTGCCATGGCAATGGTGGAAGAAGGTACATCTGAAGAAGAGGCCATTAGCAAAATCTGGATGGTTGATTCAAGGGGTCTCATAACCCAGGTATGTTGATTCTGTATGTTGATTCAAGGGGTCTTATAACTTAGAGTTATATTTTATGTATAACCACCTACTAACTGTTGATGTTGGAGAAACTATCATGTGAAATTGGTCGTACATGTACATCAGATTTTTTATTGTGATTGTTTTATTACTTAACCATTGTATTATATTTTATTTATACTAAACAATTCTTATGTTATGCACATTTTTGATGTGGCTTGTATGTATTCATAACAAGTTGGGATAAACATACAAAAGTGCCACCCTCTCCCTTTTCATTCCATTTGAAGATTTCTTACCATTTTCAAATTATTCAGGAAAATGTCACGCAATCATTTGGGTATTGAGCAAAATGTGTGTACAAAACATGCATCTGAAATGTCACCTTTTAAATCCAGACTTTGGGGTAAATTTAATATATTTTCTGAACGAGTAGTCAAAAGAGAAAATTCTGAGTGTATTTTGGTGGGTTTATAAACTGCACAATGCACATGTTTGTTTTCATGTTATAGAATCGTCTGGCAAGTTCATTGAAGGATGAGGTACAGTATATGAAAACATGCATCATTCTCTCTTCTTATCATTCTATTGCTTATGCTGTATATAGCAAAGTGCAAACGATGCTTTTTATATATATAGGCTGGAGATTGGTTTGCCAATATACAAGGTTTCACTTTTCTGTTTGGAAGGACTGCTGTTTACTGTGAGGCTAATTGTCCCAAGCATGACAATTCCCTGCTTCAACAGAGCAAAGTCGCTAAATGACTGGCTTACAGCTATAGCTGTATATACTCAAAGCAAAAAAACAGATCATAGGAATCATCATTCATTATTTTTTTTCCATATTGCCATCAGAAATTGGGTAGTCCATGGAAAATCAGCTTGTTTATATCTGCTTAAAAATGAATCGAAATGGAATATTCTGAAATTGTTAAGAGCTTACTTACTGGCTGAGGTGTTGACATCATTTTGTGTAAGAATATTGCAGAATTAGATTATTTAGATGATATAAATGCAGCTTTGTTTCTGGTGGAGGATGTGTGATTTTGTATACAAGAAAATTTTTAAGGTGGGTTGCATGAACATGAGAAGCTGAAAAGTCAATAAAGTATATATAAAGTACTTTCACAATGACACAAATCTAATTTTTGTGGTACTTGTTATAGGATCGTCCATCAGGTGGTGTAACTGGTCATAAGGCCCCATTTGCCAAGCCCCACAAAGATATTAAAGACCTTGGGGAAATTGTCAAAGCCATCAAGCCCACTGCCCTGATAGGTAAGAAGAATAAATATATATAAAGGTGTTCATTGCATTGCTGTTATCTTATGTTTTTTAAAGAATGTAGAAATTGATATTTTGTCTAATTGATAATTGATCAACAGACTTTATTAAAACTAGCTTTCTTTGAACATATCTCAAATTAAAATAAATATCCTATATAGTAGATTTTCATTGCAGTTCTCAACCATTATCTGTGTTTTGTCATAAAAAATATATTGCCTAATTCAATCAGAAATAAATCATGTCTATTATTTAGAGATCATCAACTACATGCACAGTTTATGTACAAATCCTATTAATTACTGGCTTTTCATGTGCTATTCATGTGCTTGTTAGTTATTGCTTGCTTAATCCTGCTTCTTCCAGCCTATTATCAGCCTTCTTCCAGCCTATTATCAGCCTTCTTCCAGCCTATTATCAGCCTTTTTCCAGCCTACTACATGAAATTGTGGTACCCCTACTGGGTCAAATATAAATGTGTTATTTTTGTAAAACTAATTCTTTTGTTTGAAGAGGGGTAAAAATCTGAGTTTTGAAAGAGAATAAACAATGAACATAGTATGGAAATTTCATGTTCAATAAGAATTTATGAGCTGGAGGAGGGGAAATCATTTGTTTTCTGGAAATATTCCCTTTAGAATATGAAAGTTGTATTCTCTCTGATGAGCGCACAGTTCCAATGAGCGATATGCGATTTCCATGTTGAATATGGTTTCAAGAAAACATGAAGTTAAGTGCATGATTACACAACAAGATATTGACCCATGATTATATTTTGATGCAGTGAAGCTGTGGAGTTTAAACCTTGATGATAGCAACTAAAAAGATTATGGGCAAATTTTTTTTTGTATTTGGGTTTATTGAAATCTTTTAAATTTCAATTTTGAAACCCCACTGTGCGCTCATCAGAGAGAATATGGTATACAAGATGTTCCATATTTATATCCACAATTATAGTTTTAAAATTATTTTTTGATCTTTCATACCACACCCCCAAATTGAATTAAATACTGGAGTAGATGAATTTCCATATTTGTTTATATTTTTAGTGATTTTTAGGTGGAGTTGGGTGAATAGAAATGTCTTGGCTGCCTAAATATCCCTGACCACTCTGCAATTTAGATGAAAATGTAACGCTTCTACCTGGGATTTCAAAAAAAAAATTCAGCTTTCTAAGTTATTAGTTTTTAGATCCAGCATTTTCTGCAACAAGTCTAATTATATCAATTCTAACCAATAATATTTAAATAGTTCAAAATCTTTGTATGGGGCAAATGGTTTTGTAACAAGATGCAAGAAAATATTCTCCAGCATTCACTAGGTATTTATTACTGTAAAGGTTGAAATAACCATATTACGATGTAGCTTAATTATTTCTGTGTCTCACCACCAGGGGCTGCTGCTGTCCCTAACGTCTTTACTGAGGAGATTATTCGTGGAATGGCGTCCTGGAATGAAAGACCTGTTATATTTGCTCTGAGTAATCCCACCAGTCACGCTGAATGTACAGCTGAGCAGGCCTATAAATACACAGATGTAAGAACAATGCACACACACACTGTAACAAACACACTGTGTATAGAGAACCTATGTAGATCCTGTGATAGCATCTTTGCAGATAACATGTCACTATGTTATGTTGTTCAAAAGAGGGGGTCATTACTCAAAAATATAAGCAATTGAGATTTCTGCTTTTCGGTTATTTTTCATGTTTTAACTATTTCAATATAGATATCTGAATTCCAGAATTCAAGACATTAAAGTTAATAAAAAGTAAAAAAATGGATATGGAGTCATGTTGGAATTTGTATCTTCTTGTTTGAGGGAGAAATAATGTTGAATATTACATAACCAGAGTGACATGCTATCTGCCGAATCTTCCTCTAAATCTCGAGCATCAGATCTCATTCACTAACTACTTTAACCTATATTTCTTTTTTCTTTTTTAAGAATATAATAATATGAGATGTGAAGCCCTGGTCTTAGAGAATGTAATAGACTTGACTAACAAACCCTAACTTCAATTCCATGGTGGTCATATTTTATTCCTCAAAAATTGGAGGGGGGGGGTCAAGTGAATTTTATTCTACAAGCATATTCTAGTAAGATATTCTTTATCATACTGAGAAAATCACCTTTTTCACATTGCATGTGGTGTGCTCCCAAATCTTGGCTTTGAATTTAAATTACAAGATAAAGGAAATTATAACAGGATAGGGATGAAGGGTTAAATAAGGATGACACTTTTATATTAACACACATTGGATACACTCAGGATAAATCTATTATTGATTGTATGGTATGACCACCATTGAATATCTGAAGAAGGGTAACACTTTGATTTTGTATTATGTTTCTCACCTTCAAAGCAACTGACTCTTCAATATATCTCTATCTTGCAATAATGTTGGTCCATGATAACATGATCTTTTTAATAACTTTTGAATCCATTGCTTATTTCAGCTATATCTTTCTGTATAAGAGTACAATGACTGTTCTCCAGTACATGTTTTAATAATTTGGATTATTTTAACGAAAAATGTATTCTCAAACTCAGATATGTTTCTTGTGTGGAGAATTGAATGGAGAGCCAGTTGTTCAAATTAATAAAAAGTTTGTTGTTTTCATTTTTTATTTTACATGTTAGACTCTATACTGTTGTTATTAAGATTTTGTATTTTCTGCAGGTATTCTCCACTCTGTCATGCCCATATAATAAATATACTTTTTTTCTCATATCCACAAATATTTGTAGCTCATCTATTATATATAACATATAGAAGACCCAATTCTACCTAATTTACTTGCCAATTAGATACATCCAACCTCCCTTTTGCTGTTTATCTAAACTTGCTTTATTTAGTTTTATTGTTCTTTACTCTTTATCAAAAAGGAAACTTGATACAAAATTCTTTTTTTCAATTATTCAATTATGGAGAACTCCAGTGTTCTGTTGTAGTTATTTTTGATGTGCACCAAAAAGATTGCTGAATGGCTGGTGTATTACCTTTGAAAAGAAACATCTGTACTGTACTGTACTGTACTGTACTGTACTGTACTGTACTGTAAAGTATTGTACTATACTGTTCCATTATAGTGCTGTACTGTATCATACTGTATTGTACTGGACTGTGCTTTTCTTTACCATATCGTATTGTACAATTATTCAACTGATTTTGATTTTAGATATGACTGGAATGAATATGTGTGCACATCTGTGTAAAGTCAAGTTGCACGAATCATTATTTTTAGAGCATGACTACTCACAGTGGGTGTGTCTTCAAAATACTGTACCAGCCACTCCTTTTGAACAAGGCTTTGTTGTACCTTACAGCTTATGTGTACAATACAAAATTAGGTTACATCCCAAATCAATCATTATTTTTGGGCCGGCATGATCCTATTTTCTTTACCTTTCTTTACCTTTAGGTGGGTCAGGGTGAACTACTTTTAGACCCATTTGTATATGATATTGGTATGCAAGCTTGCTTTCATTTTAAGAGCTACCTGGCTCACCTGTCTTCAGTGTTTCAATGGATGCTATATGTACATGTCCTTCTGTGTTGTCTCAATGACCTGCTACCCTGCTATTGCTAGCATGATTGCTATGTGTATATACAATTGTATGTATGTGTTTGTTTAATCTATGTGTATCTTGAATGGCCTACAACCCTGCTAGAATGAAAGCCGCATGCCATTTCATACATGAAACCTACATGCTTCCATTTGGTTCGCTTGTCTTTTGAGAAATATTGTTTTATATAAGTCTGTGTCAAAGCTTTTTCCATTCTGCATGGCCTACCTTAAAATCAGTTTTGTATTTACGTTGCTATCCTCATTGGTACCATTGATCAAATTACTGCAAAACTTCCATTTGCATGTTCTGTACATCAGTGCTGCCTCCTTTGCCACCATGCATCCTGGGTGTAAACCCCTCTGCAAACCTCCATTGATTTACTGCCAAGTTGTGGCTAGCTATGGTCATCAAATAACCATCCTTGCTCCCATTCTTTCTGGGAGAAAGCCCACCTTGCTTACCTCCTTTGATTTGTTCATTTTCATTTGCCACGACCTACTTTCCTGTAGTACCACCAAAAGTATTTATCTTTTCCAAACCTAATCATGAAAATTCATGACGTACCACCAGGTGCCGCTGCAGTAGCAGGTGTGTTTACGGAAGATATTTTACGCAGCATGGCAGAGTATTCTGAACACCCCATAGTGTTTGCACTGAGTAACCCCACTAGTAAGGCTGAGTGTACTGCAGAAGAGGCATACACGTACACAAATGTAAGACTGTCTTCATTTTCATTTTTGGCATGTGTGTGTGGTTATATAAGGCACTCCATAGCAGAGGTGTTGGAATTATTTCATTGTAATGTTGTAAGGTGTCATCCCTTTAATTCTATTATTTGTATCAGTTTTTTGAAATTCTGTTAAAATTTTGCAACTTCTGTGAAACAGTCTTATTACTGTACACTCCCCTCCATAAGTTTGGCAACTTGATATCTTATCACACCCTGTTGATGTTTTGCATTTTAATAAATTCATCAATGTTTCATTTTCCAAATAATTGTATTGTTAGATAACTTAATTTGGCGACCAACTTGGGGAATTGCAAAAGTGGATTCAGTTATCAATACATTGCCTTCCTTTTTCAATTTTTTATCCACTTGGCTTATTTTTCATTCAAATGACGACCATTAATTCTAGTTCACCAATTTCACAGGTATTTATTTTTGCTAAATTCGCCAAATTCGCCAAATTAAATATCTAACGTTTATAAATTCAATCATTGACATGCTTTGATATTGTATCAAACTTATTGAAGGGAGTTCCATATATTAATATAAGGTTATTGTTTGGATGAGGTTTTGGATATGGGGTTTTCCCAAAGGGAATTATTTATTTTACATCCGTCATAGATAATAAGTACTATGCTCTTTATGTACTACATGTAGATGCATTGTTATGTCACGGACACTCATCCTTAGAACACAGGCCTCCAGAACGTGTACCTTGTTCTTCTTATGATGTTTGGAGCCCTGCGTTTGGAGGATGCTGACACTCTAAGAATGAGATAGAATTCTGATATCAGTTTAGCTTATACTGTATAAGTGATATGTAAAGATATATAGTGTAGTTTAGTGCACTGGGAAAACCATACATGAGGGTTATGTTATGGGAGGTTTTGGATATGGGGTATATCCTGAGGGAAATATTGATATCTTACCGAGGGATATACCCCATATTCAAAACCGAGCATCACATAACTAATTTATCCTATGACAAATTACTTTTATATATGAGACATAACATACTTGTTATCTGATGAAGCTCCCAAAGAAAGCTCGCACTGAACTCAGCTGATACTCCTTTCCATTTTCTTGGACTGCATTGACAAAAAATGAAGTCAAAAGATCATTTAGTGCTTCTGGTTCAATTGTTTCTATTGGTCTTAGCTCGCCTTTCTGTACAAGAAAGGATTTGAGAACGCCCATATTCAAAATGGTTTTCATTACTTTCAAGAAATTCTTCGCCGTTTTGGTCAAGAAAATATCTACCGCCGTCTGCTTCCATTTTGGTAGTTTCGCTATAGCGAGATATTCTAACGAATTTTGACTGTTTCTACACCGAGCGAAAACGTTTTCCCGGGAATATTGGTGCGGGAGATATATATATGTCCCGCTCCTTCAAGATATCAATTTTATTTCCCGCTGTTATGTACCTGAAACCTCCCTTGTCATAGGATAACAAGCTGTATCTAAATTAATGGATGGGTCACTTCAAGTCTAGCCTAAATATAAGGCACATTTCTCAATCATTTAGTTAAAAATTCCCTGGTCCTCTTGTTGAAGACTTAAGTAAAAATCTTGTTGATATCACCTAGCACATTCTTCTTACATTCTCTGTATGATTTTCAGGTTGAAGATCACATTTTAATTATATGCTTTGTGTCTCTATATCCTCTTTATCCATATACAGCACTATATAAACATGTATCATTGCTATTCTTGTAGTTGATGTGAATGGCTTTATTGATGCACAACTAAAATGAAATGACTTTATACAGAATTCAGTATTTATGTCATCGCCAGAAGTTGTGACATTTTGATATAGTATCTAACTTTTTTGTGTACAATATTCGGCGTCTGTAACAAATAGCAGGTGGTGACATTTTGTATGTTAATGCCTTGTTATTATTATTAATTATTAGATGGACTGTTTTCAAAAAACTTTTATTTTGTATTTGGTTACAGTTTCACAATTCTCACAAATACTTTTAAATGAACAATGTAGGAACTTTATTTATCAGTATATAGCTATTATAAAATAATAGGAATAAATTAAATTGAACTTTTTCCTATAGGGAAAGTGTGTATTCGCCAGTGGAAGTCCATTTGACCCAGTTGAAGTCAATGGGAAGACATTCTACCCAGGTCAGGGTAACAATGCCTACATCTTCCCCGGTGTGGCTCTAGGGGTGACATCATGCGGAGTTAGACATGTCACAGAAGACATATTCTTAAGATCTGCCCAGGTATTGTTCTATACTTTGATTTCATTTTAAGATCGAATATTATATAACTGGAAATAAGGCTGGATGAATTCATTATTTAAACCAATTAAATACTCTAAGTTTGACATGTGATTTTTCAATATTACTTACATGTACATTATAATTCTTTGTATTATAATTCTTTGCAATTTTTGTTTAATTTACTCAAATGAATCTCCAAGGGTGAATGGATTTAAATTTCATTTCTTCTACAATTACCCCTTACATATATGCTTTATAATTGCAGACACTTGCCAAAATGGTTACAAAGGAGGATTTAGCCCAAGGCAGGGTTTATCCCCCTCTTAGTGACATCCAAGAAGTATCAGCTAACATGGCTATTAACATTGCAAAATATGTCTACAAGAGGGGCTTGGCTTCCCACTATCCTGAACCTGCAGACAAGGCAGCATTTATACGTTCTCAGATGTATAATACAGACTATGAGCGCTTTATACCTGATACATACACATGGCCAGAACAGTAGACTAATTATTTAAATTCTGTATTGCGACATATGTATGGCTTAAGGTGGGCTTAGTAGTGTGACTTTTGGATATGGTTTTGAATGTGTATGAATGCTTACACAGACAAGTTTATAACCAGGAGTACATTGTTTAAAACATCTTTAGTAATTCCTAAGTCTGAGTTCCTATTTATGATGTGCTATTTCTGATTATTCATGATATTATTTATGATGTCATGATTTCCATGGTTACATCTACAAAAATTTCTTAATTACAAATGTTTTTCAAAATAGATCCCAGATGAGTCATTCTAGTTGGCCTACATTAAGGGGAGTCTCATGCACTATGTCTTTTGCTATGGGTAAATACTAAGTTGCGATAATGTACATACGGACACACGAAAGCAACAAAGGTAACATAAGAATGAATCTAAAATATTACAAAATTGCTAAAGCAAAATGGATTTTAATTCTACTAGAAATTCTACAATGGTCAATTACACAAACTACTGTCATGTTTTTCGTCATAAAATTAATAAAATTCTCTCGAAAAATAACATCACATTTAGCTTAATAATTGAGAGTGCTTAGTCTTAGTCATCATCTGATCATTTGACTCAGTTTTGGACTGAAGCTGTTCACAAACTATCACCAGCATGGAAAAAGCCTTTATATCTTGTTTTTCTCTCATTCTCTAATACTAGCTATAGCTAAATGGTTGTATAATTAAGCACTTTTGAAGTTGTGAATTTTTGTTCCGATATTTACACACTTATGTATAGAAGGAAAGTTTAATATACAACAATGCTTTACTTTACAGTAGTACATACATGTAGTTTTATAGATATATTTGTAATGATTAAGCCATCTTATTTATTTATTTATACATATTGTAAATGTAATTTTAAACTACAGCTGAATACTGTACTCCTGGTTAATTTCGCAAGATTGATTTTCACGAATTTTGACAAATCACAATTTTGTGGATTTCACAAGTTTATATTTCATTATTCTCTGATACCTCAAGCCATTTGTTGCAATTTTAGCACAATCACGAAAAGCGTGAAACTAAATCGCATGTGAAAAATACCGGGAGTACTTGGTCATCAACACATTGTAATACATAATGTTGATGGTAACCATATATTATGCCTGATATATCATTACTAAAAATATACAATGTTCAATAAAAAATAAGCACGATCTGCTGTGGAAACATCACTTCACATTCACAATGATAGAACATATATTTCAACAAAATGTTACAATAAATATGTTGTCCAGTATACTGAGATACAAAAAGAAATATAGTGAAATTATATAGTGAAATTACAAAAGGACATAAGTTATTTGTTTGTTTACGAGATAGGCTAGTCTCTTAATCTCACCAGTGTTCTTGATAATGATTTGACTTTGTCATTTTTAAGAGAGACCCAAGAATGCCTCAATTTAAAGATCAATACCAGTAAACACTTATATAACTAACTTAATAAAATAATTTGCAAATAACTAAAACTTTAACTAAAACTTAACTGCTGTTAGCATAAGTCTTATTATATGTGAATCTTATTTTTTTCATGGCTCTTAGGTTAAATTTTAGTACTTGTGATGCAGTTACTGTCTCCTTAAAACATTCAAACCTACGTAAAGTGAATGGTACTGGATTCAGTGAAGTCACCACTCTAAGAGATGTTCACATTACGGTACATACTATATCTAATACATCATGTACATATAACTATTAAAAGAATGAAATTCAACCAGAGGCGTTTTTGCAAGGTTTTGCAATATTTTGACCTGCATAAGCACCTATATAATTCTTTAGTTTTTCACTCAACTGCAAACTTGAAATTATCAAATTGATGAGGATAATTTTTTCAATGATTCTAAAAAAACATTCATCAGTTGTAAAACATAGAATTCATATTGTGAAGTGAGGAATAATTTCAGAAAACATAGTGCTATATTGTTTGGTAGGGTTTGATGCACTGCAGGTATTGCTTCGCTAGTTGGTGCACGCAATGTTCATAATTTACATGCATCAATTTGTCAGTGAAAGTGCAAATTGACTGCTCAGATTTATTGCTTTCTTATCATCATTCTTGTTGTAGGTCCATTATATTTTGGACCTTTGGAAGCATCAAAATTATCCCTTAAATCCCTTAGGAGGTTTACTCCATTAAGTGCACACTTGCAAGGATCATAAGATTCCGTGTGCTTTGTGTACCACCAACCACCTTTGCATGCCTTAGCTGCCTTTGAAAACTCACCTCTGTCATTTGTCGAAAAGTAAAATGTGCGATCTGGTGTATAAAAGGATTCATATTGGTTACTGGAAAGTCTGAAGCAATCCGTTGCGTTGCCTTCGCTTTTTGTTTGGAGCCAAATTGATTTTTTCCTGATAGGCTCAACAGACATGGGCCCTATTAGTTCCTTCTCCGAAATGTGGAAATAAGTTGTGTTGAAATAATCGTGCTTCTGTTTAGGTTTGTAAGATCCATAGTTTGTGAGAAAAGGTTCATGTAGTAAAACGTAGAAGTGCTTGTAGTCGATGAATTCATAGGTTCCCATTCTGTCCCAGATCTGAAACATACAAATAAGAGTCCCATACTACACTATATGTATACATTTTGTAAACACTGAACACCTCTCCTCCTAATTCCATTTGAATTAATTATACTGAATATGAGTAACATAAAATATATGGGGTTATTTCATAATAACAGGTAATAGAATTGATATTCATATATTATATACAAAAGAGTGAGTCAGAAAACCTTTAACATATAACATCTATGTCCTTTAAGCATACATCTACCTCTATTCTCAAGACAGCAATTTCCATGATGGCCCAGATATTTTCCAGTCCCCACCAGAATTCTCCTTTCAGATCTCCAAAGCCTTTTGAGTAATCTTTCCATGGTCGATCAAAGTCTAATGCTCCATCAGTGCGAGTTTGAATAACTGTCCAATCTCCTTCAGCGTCAAAATAACATCGCATTTTTACAGCAGGAAATTTAGGGTCGTATTGAATGTTGTAAACCCCTAAAAACAATATCAAGTAAGATGTCAGTCCAAAGAAACAGACTGCAAAATCTGCAGTAACAGAAATGGAAAAAGCATTTCAATTAACAACAAACTCAGTAAGGTAGTTATCATCAAACGCATTATTGTAGTTATTATAGTCACAATATATTTATAACTTCACCTCACTACGGGTGAGCCAAAAAGGGTAATGCAAACAAATGTTTAAGGTCATTTTACAAAACATGCTCCAAATGCCAAAATATGCCACGTGTGGGTGACAGATGACTGAGTTATTAACATTTATTTGGTTACCTTTTTTGGCTGGAGCTGTAGTACAATATTAGATTTATGACCCATTCCATGACCAATATATGAATTAACAACATAACGCTAAACATTACATGTTTGGCATGTTAAAAAGCACAACAACATTGTATTTAAGGCTGATCACCTTCATGTTTTGCATTGCGTGGTATCTTCATTGCTTCCCTAACTGCCTTGCAGCTCTTTTGTATGGGACGTACCTTTATTTCTACATTTTCAAGGCCCAACATCATTTGTCTTTTCCAGCTGTACCACCACATACCTTCCAAAATTCAAATATATTTTGGACATGATGATATTATAGCAGTTTCTGATTTAATTTTAACCTCTAGCAAATACACTAGGGTATTAGGCACCAAAAATGGCCATTTTTTAGATCTATACCTGTCAAAAATTGGAGTTCCACTTCTTTGAATATCCCATTACATATACAGGGTGTCCCGAAAGTATGGGGCTCCCCCTAGGCAGACATATACCAGTGTCGTCATAGTATGTATCATATATCATTTTAAAGCTCACACAAAGTTACATTGATTCACCAAGTATCATGGTTCAACTCTCAAATGTGAAAAAATCACAGGCATTTCAAAATTTAGTGTTTGGTCAAAATGAAGTTCAATTTTACACCAAATCACTAGTCAATGTGTCCTTCCGGGCCATCGTAACAGCAGCAATTCTTTTCGGGTCAGATGGATATTGAGTTGGAAAAAGAGAATGGTGAGGGTAGAAACTCTAAGGAAACTCTTCTAAAGTGCCTTAATAGGTTTTAAGAGGGTTATAAAATTCCACACCCCTATTTGAAGGGCTTTTAAGGTCATATCTGAAAATAATTGGTGCTGTTAACATGGCCAAGGGGGGACTCATTGACTAGTAATGTGGAGTAAAATTGGACTTTATTTTGACAAAACACTAACTTTTAAAATGACTGTAACTTTTTCCCACTTGGGAGTTAAACCGTGATACTTGGCACATCAATGTAACTTTGGATAAGCTTTAAAATGATATATGAGACATACTATGAGGACACTGGAATATGTCTGCCTATACAGAAAATCAAATTTTCTCATAAATTAACTCACTTAACCATGCAGAGTAAAACACAATTTATATCCAATATCCTACCTTTTATGAAAGAATGATTGTTATTACTTTGAGTTTTCTTATTCCTTTTCCTTTTATTAGTACCACTGTCCAAATTGCCATTATAACCATTTACATTCAAATCTGTGCAGTTTGTATACCACATTCCTCCTCCAAACATCTCAGCACAATTCGCATCCACAGCAAAGTCATTGTCCCTATCATGAGTACTGAAGCGTACACAAGGAGGATCAACATGTCTCAGGCCCAAAGGATCAAAATCACCAATGGTATTAACACAAAGCTCATAATTGTTGGCCTCATTTTTAATAGTTACCCCATTATAAATTGCACTCCTATAATTGTTAGGCTTATTTCTGTTTCCTTTCTTGAACCATGCCTCAATCAACATCATCATTGGCGTTGTTTGGTTTTCAAATATGTCATATATGTTGTCGTTTCCTAACCAGAAGCTTTCACCATCTTGGAAACCAGTTTTGTACGTTTGCCAGTTGTAATTCATTGATTTCGTCCCGTCATTTTTCTGGATGACCGTCCAGCCTCCAAACTTGCCATTTGCCTCAGGCTGGTCACAATAAACTTTGATTTTCCTTTTGGTGTTGTTCGTGCAAGGTGCAATTATATACCAACCTAAACACGAACCAACTTACATGTACATGATTAGTTGTCAATTTTTGAAAATTAAATTATTAATTTTTAATTGTTTTCACTGAAATCATAACTTATTTACCAGACTTTTCAATGAGCTCTTTGAGCTGATATTCCATGTTACGCACACAGAAAAAACTGTTACACTTTACAGTTTACATATTTACTTTTATGATTTTCTTCATGTATGACTTTTTTAATCAACAAACATTCATTCAACATATTTTTGTTAACTTAAGAAAAACAGTAGAACCTATCTAAGTGGAAGGCCTTTGGTATCTCTAGTAAGCGTTCCACTTGGGAAGTGTTACACTTATAGAGGTTCATTTAACATTAAGTAATTTGGTCTTTAGACTCAAAAAAGTGTTCCACTATCAGAGGTGTTCCACTTCTAGGTGTTCAACTTTACTGATTTCACTGTACCAAGTTTTTGATCATCATCTAAATTTACTCTGTGCCTGATAAATTAATGTGTCACCAAGATTTCAACTGCATTTTTAGTTTAAGGATTTAAAGGTGGATTCCCAATCCAATCCACCTTTTAATCCTTAATCATTTTTAGCATTTGATTTGTTATTTACCTTTCTCGAAATTATCATCAGGATTATTTGCTAAAACTCCTAAGCAATCCTTAGAGCTGAACCTCCCATCAGGGATGTACTTCAACGCCTTCACTTCTTTATGAGTTAACTTGAAGGTATCCTTTGTGACGTATTGATTGGGGTCAGCCATATTGGAAGATTTTGGTTTGGAGCCTCCGTCAACTATAGAAACATGACGTGACATAGTTTCAGAAATAAGAATAGGGTGAAGTACACGTAAAGTGTGAATACAGTTTTTTCAAAATGACGGTCAGTTTTGGATTACCCTAAAGGTCAGAACTTAGATGCTCCTGATCATACAGTCATATGCTAAGGTTAACTTCTTGACTAAAATCATTCTAAAATAAATACTTGGAATGTTTTTCACTCAATATATTGTAATTTGTAATCTATATGATAATTCATTGTGAAGAATTTTGTAAAATTCAGCCAGATTTGTATAGTTTCTTAATAGGTGAATAACGCTGACATAATAGATGTCACCCTTGTTTGTCTTTGATTTTCTTGGGCCAGACCTCCATTCACTTCAATGCTAGAAACTTTAAATAATCACTTAATTTCATGATTTATCAAAAAGTGTTGGTTGAATCTGTCTGAAACTTGAATGGCATACTGTTGGATGACACTGTCAAAGTATATATTGTGATTAAACATGAAAATGTTGGTTGTCATACAAATAAGCCAAGGTTTTAATGAATTTTTGCATCGCACCAATGGAGATTTTGGCCCAAAAAAAAAGTGCAAATCTCTTAAAATCCCATGAAAAAAACGAGAATTAGTGAGATTTCAAAGCTATTCAGAAATTCCTCTAGGCCTATTGGCAAAAAAGCCCAAAAGGTGTGGAAGATTCAAGTTGATTTTTACTATTTCCCCATCCCCTATGGATTCCCAGATCCATTCTTGTTTTAAAGTGCTTACCTCGATATATTAGAAGTAGGACACTGATCAGTGAGATTCCCTGCATCTTAGATTACATGTAGTGGTAACTTCATCACTGTTAAAGTGTATGACAATATGTTATAATCATAAGATATTTCTGGGACAAATTGTTTATGTTCCTATGCCAAAACATTAGTAGAACAAGGCTATATCAGTATCAGGGCCACGTAAAAAGAAATTTGAGAAGCCCAAGTTCCAAATTAATCAAATCATATCTGGTGAAGAATAACAATAATTGGTTGAAGTGTTCCCTTATCCAGAATGCCTGATTTAAAAAAGTAATCCCCCTTGACCAATCAGCATAGAGAGATCTAAAGGAGAGGTCATCAGTCAAGATGGGATAGGTCCATTTGATTCTGTAATGTAAACTTTTTCAACATGTTATTTTTAGGGATAATATTGAAGGCCATTAGGTCAAAATAAAATAAAAACAATTTAGGGCACGCTGACCAGCAATTATAGAAATAATCTCCTCCCTAACCAAATTATTCTTTGCAACATAATCAATTGTTAAAACCATGAAGAACAACAGACTTCTTAAAGGTAAAATCAGATAGTAAACAACTTTTGCAAACACTTATCTTAATAGCGGGGTCAGATGTCCTTTTTTTGTTCGGCTTTTTCAGGAAAGCAACAAACTTGGCACAGTTGTAGAATCATATGATCTGAGTAAAAAATGATTTCAGGGCAAGTGATTTGGGGTGGTCTTCATGGATTTTTTAGCCTCTGACCCCCCGCCCCTACCAGACTGGGAGGGGTATATTGTTATAATTAAATAAAAATGGTTTTAAAGTATTTTTCATTAAATGACTTCATTTGGTGATTGCTTTGGGCCTTGAAATTGTGTAAAACCCAATTGAGAAGTTGTCTGTAGCAAGAAAAACTCATTTTAACCCAATTATCTAAGAATAATTCGTTGTTTAAAGGGCCAAATACGGAACATCCAGTACTGTATTTCAAGAATGTGATGTCTGATAGTCTTGAAAAAATTCATAGTAGTAGAGGTTTAAGTGTTTATCACAGATAGAAAATATACCACGGATGGCTCATGTATTTTTTGAGAAAAAAATTCTCGAAATTTCAATTTTTAAGTGCATGCAGCTCAGGGGTAACCTTATTTTACCTTAATAATTTTTAAAATATACAATGTATGCATCTCATATGAGGTCAAAATGATGCATAGAGTATTGTTTTGTCATATTATTCCTAATAAGATGTAAAAAATTATTGGAAATTTTTCAAAAATCCATATTTTCATTTTCGCTTCTAAAAGGCCAGGGGTAACCATATTTTACCTTAATAATTTTCAAGATATGTAATATATGCATCTCAAATTAGCTCAAAATGGTGCATATAGCTTTGTTTTATCAGATTGCCCTTGATTAGATGTAGAAAAATGATTTTACATTTCTTAAAAATCTAAATTTTCATTTTAGCTTATTGTGGCCTATGGGTAGCCATATTTTACCTGAATAATTTTCAAAGTACAAGACGTATGCATCTCAAATGAGCTTTAAAGGGTTTTTTAATCTTCTTTTGTCATATACTATTTCTAGGGAATGTAAAAAATGTTTGGAAACTTGAAAAATGATATTTTCATATTAGGCCATAAGAATTAAATTCTCTGTTTTGCGTCCTGGCAAAATCCAAATCATGCAAGGGTACAAGGAAAACAAACACAAACTCAAAAAAAACACAAACTTGTTTGCTGAGAAATGTATACATTTTATGGGCATTAAAAGGAATGACATACCAATTTGCAGTGATACAAACACAGATCTATACATTTATACAATATATTTAAATATAGGTATTATTCAAGGGTAAAAATACAAAAAAATACACAATGTATGCCCAAGTAATCAATAACACTGTCAATTTTGACGCACATAAATTTATCCGCCATTTCGTCTGATTCTGATTGAATGAAATGCGATGTTACTTTCAGACCCTTGTGGTTGCTATTTGGATGTGTTTGCTTTTTTCTGATTTACTCAAAATCATGCAAGCAAGGGGACGCAAAACAAAGAAACTAATTATTACGGCCTTAGCGTTTGATGCCATTTTACCGTAATAATTTAAATAAAGATATGTCACACTTGTAACTCAAACGAGCTCAAAATGTTGATTAAAGTCAAGTTTTGCCATTTATTCCTTCTGAAATAAGAAATAATGATTAAAAAAATCATAAAAAATCTCAACATCCATTTATTTATTTATATAAAGAATCACAACATCCATTTATTCCTTTTTAGTACCAGTAGCTCAATACTGTGCTATAGTTTTATCGAGCTCTTTTCTAAGATTTGAAAATGTTTGACAGTCCAGTTTATACTGAGTAGTAGCATTGTTAAGATTCTGTGTATAATCATTTGAAAATATAATCCAAATCCATAAAACATAATCAAAACAGGTCAGGATTTATAGATTCTGACAGTCTCCCCTACGGCTACATAGCCCAGAGCAAATGAGATGATTTCAAACATTTGCATATGTTCCCTCAACACTCCTTAAACATCAAACAAGTTTTTTGCATGCCTTGGATGCAACATCTTTTGTTATTATACAGATATCCGCCTCATAGGACCTACATTTTCATATGTTGTGGCCTCAGTATCAGCAGTGGGAGTAGTCCAACCACATTCATGTGGTGATAGAAACTGTGGGTTAGAATGCATCAGAATAACAAATGACTCTACAACTGCAATGTTTCTAAAAAAAGATTCAAAGTTTAAAAACAACTGCAATAGCTCTGGGTATACACCTTCCATTCCTTCAAATCAGATGATTTAGAGAAGTAGTAGAATGCAAAGGTGACATATCAAATCCAGTGATTGCATGAAAAATTGGGAGGGCTAAACTTTGGTCATGGCCAAGTGGTCTTGTAATATTGTGGGCAGGTAGGTATTGGAAGGATTTCCCCTTACCATATGCAATCCAAAATGACATTTTCAGTTTTTCAGCACAAGTTGCCACCAGGATAAACCACATCAAAATCAACTGTTAAGCAATGATTGAAGCAGTCTCTGGTATGGAGAAATATCCTTGATGGCACCTAAGACATTGCATTACTTGGTCACTATCATCTTGCCATGTTCTTGAGGGTTTCAGTGTTGATGCCTGGAAGGAGGACAGCTCCCTCTTGTTCCCACTACATCTTGGATTGCATTTGGTAAAAGAAAATCCATTCAATAACTATCTGTGCATGATATTGCAAGATCAATTGGCCATGACCAAAGTTTAGTCCTCCCCATTTCTCATTCAATCATTCTATGCAATGTCACATCTGCATTTAACTACTACTCTAAATCATCTGATTTGGAGGAATGGAAGGTGTACCAAGAGGTGATGCAAGTGTTCTTAAACCTTATATCTTTATATAATACTTCATTGATTTATCATTTTATATCTCAGTATGAATATATGAACATATGAATATGACAAAATGCCATTTTGAGCTTATTTGAGTTGCAAATGTGACATATCTTGAAAATTATTATGGTAAAATGAGGCCACCTATAACCAGTCAAAAGCTAAATCAAAATCTGATCATTTTTTCCACCTCCTTAGAAATGTTATGACAAAACAAGATTATATACACCATTTCAAGCTCATTTGAGATGCATATATGTAACATACATTGAAAATTATTATCTTAAGTATGGTTACCCCTGGGCTGTCAAAACATCAAATATAAAATTTAGATTTTTAGATATTAGATATTTAGAAATGTTAAATTATGTTTTTATCATTAGGGGAAATATGATAACAAGACTTCTGGTATATGAACCACTTTGAGCTCATTTTAGATGCATATGTAATACATTGCAAATTATTATGTTAAAAATATGGTCAAATAGAAAATTCAGATTTTTAAGAAATGTCCAGTAATTTTCTACATCTTATTTGGGGTATGATAAAACAAGACTATATGCACCATTTTGAGCTCATTTGAGATGCATATATTTCATATCTTGAAAATTATTATGCTAAAATATGGTTACCCCTGGACCGTCTGAAGCTTAAATGAAAATTTAGAGTTTTAAGAATTATCAATCATTTTTCTACATCTTATTAGGGTTAATATGATAAAGAAAGACTAGATGCACTATATTGAGCTCATTTGAGATGGATATATTACATATTTTAAAAATTATTAAGGTACAATATGGTTACCCCTGGCCATTCAGAAGCGAAAATGAAAATTAAATAAAAAAAAATTCCAATCTTTTTTTACTTCTAATTAGCAATTTTATGACAAAACAAGACTAGATGCATCATTTTGAGCTCATTTGAGATGGATATATTACATATTTTGAAAATTATTAAGGTACAATATGGTTACCCCTGGCCATTCAGAATCGAAAATGAAAATTTGAATTTTTTTTAAATTCCAATCTTTTTTGTACATCTAATTAGAACAGGTTTCTGTTAGAGAATGGAAACCGCCACACCCTCGGAAAAGCGCCTTTTTTCAAAACGTGTTTAACAACATTGAAATTCCCTTGTCTTTAAAAAATCTTTAGTAGTAGGACTGACTGGATTAATTCAGTCTTGAAGTACAAAGGTTATCTATAGATGACTTGATTGTTCATGTATATTGCCAGTTAAATTGAGTTCATTATTTTGAGACTGGAATATTCAAGTTTTACCAACAATACTGGAATATCCAAGTTTCACTGGTGATACTGGAATATTCAAGTTTTACCAGTAATACTGGAATATTTAAGTTTCACAGGTGATACTGGAATATTCCAGTATTACTGGTAAAACTTGAATATTCCAGTATCACCAGTGAAACTTGAATATTCCAGTATTACTGGTAAAACTTGAATATTCCAGTATCACCAGTGAAACTTGGATATTCCAGTATAACTGGTGGAACTTGAATATTCCAGTATCACTGGTAAAACTTGAATATTCAAGTCTCAAAATAATGAACTCAATTTAACTGGCAATATACTTGAACAATCAAGTCATCTATAGATAACCTTTGTACTTCAAGACTGAATTAATCCAGTCAGTCATACATGTCATAAGACTTAAGATATTTTAAGGACAAGGGAATTTCAATGTGGTTAAACACGTTTTGAAAAAAGGCGCTTTTCCGAGGGTGTGGCGGTTTCCATTCTCTAACAGAAACCTGTTTTAGCAATAATATGACAAAACAAGACTAGAAGCACCATTCTGAGCTCATATGAGATGCACACATTGAATATCTTAAAAATTATTGAGGTAAGATAAGGTTACCCCTGAGCCAAATGCACCAAAAAATTGAAATTTCGATAATTTTTTTCTCTGAGAATACATCAGCTACCAAAGCAATATTTTCTATCTGCAATAAACACTTATACTTCTATTACTGTGAATTTTTTTAAGACTATTAGTCATCACATTCTTGAAATACAGTAATGGACTTCCATATTTGGCCCTTTAAATGATGAATTTCTCCTGGATAATTGGGTTAAAATGTATTTTCCTCACTAAATAGTAAATACCACTTCTAAAATGAGTTTCACATCATTTCAAGGCTCAAAGCAATCACCAAATGAAGTCATTTAAACAAAAATACTTTGAAACCATTTTTATTTATTTTTTATAATTTACCCCTCCCCACCTGATAGGGGTGGGGGTCAGAGGTAAAAAAATCCATGAAGACCACCCCCAACCACTTGCCCTGAAATCATTTTCCACTCAAATCATATGTTTCTACAAATGTGCCAAGTTTGTTGCTTTCCTGAAAAAGCCGAACAAAAAAGGGGTCATATCTGGACATCTGATCCCGCTATAATTTCAGAATTTCATGTCTTATTCAAGGAAATAGGTCTACTGCTCTTGAAACTAATTTATCTGAAATATAAATCTATTTTTCCATATAGTATTGCACTGTGTTACTTTGATTGCCCAGACATACATTTTCACTGCTTATACAAATATGATTAACTTAGGCTAATTTTAATCTTATTTTTGGTTGAAATTGATAAATCATATGTAAGCTCACACTCATTCAATTGTATCATAACAATATAAATATTTATTAAATACACTACATTAAAAATAGTAAGATTTACAAATTAATGTTTATACATAAACATGCTAATCTTTTTTGGTTCCGATGCATTGGAAATAGTACATGGATGGAAGTGACTTTTGGACATTCAGTCATAAGTAAAGTTGCTGAAATGTGCTGAAACTGTGATAGCTGATGAGTGAGTGAATATATATTTTTTTTATTCCTATGGCTTCCAAACATGACAATAGTTCACATAAAAATGGATGAGAGGAAAAACTTACTTATACTCATAAATCACCATCATACAAGCTGATACTTACTTATTTAACACTTCCTGAGCTCAAAATAGGTCATGTCTGTTTTTTAAAAACCCTATAAGGTAAACATGTAAAAATGAACTTAAAATATCCAAAAGTAAAAGCATTATAAGATATCCAATAACTTCTGATAAAACTTTAGTGTAACAATTTTTTTAATTGTTTTACTGGCTCATGTTCTCATTTGGATAAATATCAGCTATTATATACAGAAGTAGCCATCAAATGTTTGGTTGTTGCTGTTTGTTCCTTAAATATAGCATAATATCATATTTAGAATTTCCACTTCCATGCTAAACTGCCTTGGAAAGGACAGTTACATTAACCCTAGTAGCAGGGGAGTGCCCTCGTCTAATTAACGTGGATCATATTTCTCCCATTTTTCTGGCTTATTTGGCTTGGTGAAGTAAATAACCAGAAAATTTTGAACACCCTTTAAAAAACATGTATTCGAACTGGATTTCTTTAAATATGAGTATTCACCAACATAGAGGTGTTATGGGTTTTATCTTACAAAATATCTTACAATCTGAACACTCAGTATTTCTTTTCTAAGAATTTGACATCAAATTTGTTTGACATCAGAGTGCTGTTGAAGTCAGAGTGTATTTGATCAATATGATTATGACCATTTTCATTCCGTTGACTCCCATCGGTCAGTCTGCTGACCAAGGGTGTGAAGATGATTATAACTTTACTTGACATCAGTATTTAAAATCAGATTGTTAATGACATCAGAGTGTATCTGACACAAAGAGTATTAAAAATAATTGTCCTATGACTATTGAGTTGTACAGCTTAGAGCTTCTCCCATCAACTCAGCATATTTGTTTGATATGTGAGCTCTCATTGAGTCAATATCTTTACGTAGCATTTTCACGCTATGTATCTTCTGCTTCAATGTCTCAGCAGTGTCTTTAGGCTCTTTGTTCATAGTTACACTTTGACTTGATGCTGAAAGTAAACAAACATTGCTATTAGGATTACCTTAATAAGGAAATAAATCTTTGTATATGGTTTGTTCATAGACATTTGTAGGACAGAATACACATTTCTGTATTATGCCTAGGTCACATTTGCTCCGATTAATCGGGTGGTGCCCAGCCGATTGAGTATTTTGTTCAAAACTGAAGGTCAATTTAAGGTCAGATGTGAACTCCTGAGATTAAAAGAAAAAAGTTTGGTCAATTTGAAGCAAGTTGAGATCAGTTTTGAACAAAAAACTGCAATAAGCCAGGTCCCGGCCGCTGAATCGGAGCAAATGTGACCTTAAGGCATCATCATATGTGTTCATTTAGAACATGTTTCACTTTAAGTAAACATATCTATTAGTATAGTTCTTATTCTTACATTGGACTCCCAGTAGTGCAGACAAATTAGGATCTTTCCCCTCAGCTTGTTGTAGACAGATGTTGACAAGTGATTTCAGTTCCAAGAAGCAGGCATCTAGTTCTAGTTGAAGTCGCTGTTCCATTTTTTGTTTCTCCTCCCCTGTCTGCATCTCTAGCTGTTGAATCAAGTCTTGTAACATCATGTTGCGCTCCATCAGATCTTGATTCTGGTTGCTCACCTATAAGGTAAAATTGTCAATTTTATGTATTTTAAATTCATTTTCAAAATTCTTGAGCGTATCTGTTGAAATATTTGAAATATAATCTTCCTCTAAATAAAATAAACCTTATTTTATATGAGAATAAAATGCAAAATCCTTCAAGTATGAGCCATTTTTAACACCAAAATGGCATTCATAAAAGGTGCAAATCACTTCAGTAATTGCGGTGAAATTGTGATTTTACAAAATCCATTAAATTTAATAGCATCGAAGTATACAAGAGAACAGTATTTTGATAAATGCATGTACCTCTTTCATTGTCTTCTGCAAAAGCTTCATTTGCTTTTCCTTTACTTGTGAATCCTCCCTCATGGCTAATACAGAAGCTTCTTCATGGTTAATACGCTCTTCCAGCTCACTTACAATTGCTTTATTCTTCATTTCTGCATCTTTATGGACCTTATGTTTAGTTTCAAGCACCTGTATGATTGAATGAAACAAATTGTATTAAACTTAAGAAACAAAACAAATCCCACAAATCTATTTTTCACCAGGGGTATATTAATGCACATGTATATATGTAAAAGAAGCTCAGTTTCAAAACATTTCATATGTATAACGAGTACCTTTCTAGCTCTGAGAAGTTCAGACTTCATTCTGTCATTATCCCATCGCAGCTCTTCTAGTTCCTCTTCTAACCGTATGGTGGCACCACCATCAGCCTCTGCACGTTCTTTCTTCAATTTGTTATTATCTTTGCCTAAACGCTCTGTTTTGACAGACAAATCTCGATATTGGTCCTCCAAGTCTTCGATTTTTATTTTTTGATCACAAATCAGGCGTTCTCTTGAAAGAAGTTTTTGTTCAAGGTCACTTATTTGTGAATCTTTGAGACTAGATTCTTCCTTGAGAGAAGAGATGTGAAATAGGTTAAGGAAAAGACGAGTGGCATTTTCTATTCTAAAATCCTCTATATGTATGTACAGTAGGTGTATATGAATGGGAATGCATTTCAATGTTATTATATGCAAAGTTCTTGTTTTTCTGATTCTGTTAATGGATAAAACAGCTATAAAATGTAAAGCACAAAAGTGCCAAGGTCTAAGATACTAAACCATGCACACAAGATAATTCATCAAGACATTTAACTGGACAATTGTGCAAGCTAGAGCTTTCATTCTTTCAAAAGCATCATATAAGAAAAAAATAAATGTTTCTCCAACATTGACTAAATTGAATGGATGCATAACTATGGCCATAAGTATACAATGGTACTTCAAAGGATATTTTCTGTAATGACTGATTGTGCTCCTCAGCAGTTGGGAGGTCTGCCAGGTAGCGTTCAAGACTATCTAATTTCTTCTTGACTGCATTGTATTTGCCGTTCAATTTATTGTGCTTCCCCCTCCAATCGGATAACTCAGTTTCCCTATCTTCTATCTGGAAAATCAAGAGAAAAGTGTAAAAGAAATTTCTTAAAAATTAGATCTGTAGCTGTCTAGTTATCAAGTAGTATGTAAATGTGTTACCCTTCGTTACAAATTGTGATCACATTTACTAGTTTCAAAATAGAGACTTTAATGTAAAACACTCTTAAATTCAAACACTTTCAGTTTGTCTCTAAATTGTATCCTTTAGGCGGGTTTCACTGTATCTATGATTTTGGCCAAATTTGTTCAGTGTGGACAGAGTTTTAAAACCTTACTTGATCTCTAAGTTGTAAAAGTTCATTTGATTGTTCATCTGTTTGCTTCTCTGTTAGTGTCCTTAGCTCATCCAGGTCATATTCTGCTTGACTGAAAGTATATCATGTACGAGTGAGATCGGGTGTAAAATAAAGATGCGTTCCCTGCAGACAATCCCCTTTGTCAATGAAATCATTTCTAAAATCACATTTTTACTCTTCACATTAATATTTGCTTTCCAATGGTACATGGGTTAACTTCATTTTCCTATTTAGTATGTTCCTATATAATCTCATCAGATTTCATTCTATTTTCCATTTTAATCATAATCATTGTAGAATGAGCATTGTCCAAAGAGTTTTACTGCCTCTGAGATTTAGGGTTAATTCTAATATAAAATGTTACACTTAACTGATGACTGTGTATACTTTTAAACTTGTATACAAAACACATGTAAAAAAAATTGTGAAGGACCCATATGTTGAAGAGACTGACATGAAGAGTCAATAAAAGGAATATATACTAACCCTAGTTTGGCTTGAAGAGATTTGATCTCTGTGTCTCTCTCTGATATGGACTCCTTTAGTTTGGATTGGAGGCAGGCATTCTCATATTCCAACTCCTAGAGGATAAAAACCGTTCAAGATTACACAGTAATTTTATGGTTGACACCAAGGGTTTCATTTTTTCTGACAACAAGCAATTATTTCAATGTAGTGAAATGAATGGAAATTATAAACATTTGCAAAATTCCTTAAAACAGGTGTTTTTGTAAAAACAGAGAAATCCACCTATTGCTATTGAAACGCTTGACTTAAAAACACAATGCATAATGCAACTTAACCACAGACCAAAGAGAATTCTTATCTCTATTTTTTTAGCTTATTCATACTCTTGCAATATTGCTTGTCAGTTTCCTTACTTATACAGTAGGCCTATTTGTATTTTTGTATCTGTGTCATAAATAAAAAAATGTTGATTTCACATTTTCTTTTTTGATTGACACGTACCTGGTTCTTCATCTTGAGACCATCTCCAGTGCTGTTGATATTCGTCACCAGAGCTTTATGAAGCTGTGATTCGCTATCTCTACTCTGCTGCTCCAGTTGTAAGATCTTAATCTTCTGGCGCTCTATCACCATGTCTTTCTCTTTGAGAATATTGTCTGCAGCACGACGTAGGGCGCCCCAGCGATGTTCATCATCACCAATAGGTGGCATCACATGTGCAAGTGATGTGAACTGAGGTAATTGGGACATTCCGCCCTTTAATAGAGTAAAATAATTAGCTTTTCTTGTTACTTAATGATTGCTATTTCATATGATAATGTATCACATAAAGATGTGTCAAAATTTGAGCATTCTCATATATATTCTGACGTTGGTTTCGTTGGGGAAATCTGTATGAGTGTTAACATAATTTATTGTACTGACTTTCTTAGATATAGCTGTATATATACCATATTTTCTAAATAGTTTAAGGCGTAAATAACATTCTGATCTAATTTAACACGGAATTTAAATAAACTTACATGTGTTGCATCGATCTGTTGCCGTAGTAACTGTTTCCGATGTCCATACTGCCAAGATTCTAAATTCGCATCAACTGATGATGTCACAGTTTGACTAGAGGAGCCTCGTGTCCCAGTTGGACTTGTATGAGAGAGACTTGGGCCTTGAAGACTTTGGTATTCAGATCCCATGTGTCTTTGACCAGGTCCCACATGTGTCATGGAAGGGTGACCCTGGCTTATTTGTGAAATACCAGGGTGACCAGATGTGAATGTCGAGGTCAAATGTTTATCAAGGCCAATAGGTGTCATGGATGGGTGACCTTGACCTATGTGTTTAATACTTGGGTGGTGACCCTGACCCGTTGAGGTAAAGGTCGAGGTCAAAGGTTGACCAGAGTGTGAGATAAAGCCTGTGCTTCCTAGTTCAGTAGAAGGGGTAGTCATTTGATGATACTGGGGATGAATGTTTCTAGTATTAGCCTCTAATCTAACAGGATATGTGTGCAGGTTCGCTGAATCAGTGTGATACTTTCCTTGAACATAGCTCAAATCCTGATCTAGATTACTTTGAATTATTTGTCGGTGGTTTTTAGACAACTTTAATTCAGTAGTGTCAGCATCAAGCTCCTCAGTTACATAACACTCCATATTTGGTTTTGCAGGGTGACCACCATAATGCTGTTTATCTGAGATGTCATAGGGATCATCTGGTCCAACAAGGTGGGAAGGGGGCACCAATGCAGTATGGGGTGGCACCTGGGCAGTAGGAATCGTCATGGGGGTCTCAATACTGCAGCCTGAAACAACACAAAGATCTAATACAGTGTTCATATATGCATGAAGAATAATATGTCAAGGACAAGCTATCATTGTGTTAATTGTGAGGTTTCACCAAACCCAAATTGTTATGAAATAAATTATGGAGTACAAGCAGCAAAATGATTGTCAGTAATCAAACATAATAAAGTAAGCCTCAGTGGCGTAGCCAGGATTTGTCAGGGGGGGGTTCTAATATTTTCTGCCAAATATGCTTAAATTTTGCCAAATTTGCTTAAGTTTTGCCAAATTTGCTTAAATTTTGCCAAATTTGCTTAATTTTTGCCAAAATTGCTTAAGTTTTGTCAAATTTGTTTCAATTTTACCAAATTTGCTTAAATCTTGCCACATTTGCTTAAATTTTGCCAAATTTGATGAAATTTTGCCAAATTTGCTGAAATTCTGCCAAATTTGCTGTAGGTTTGCCAATTTACCTAAATTTTGCCAAATTTGCTTAAATTTTGCAGTTTTCTTAATTTTGGTCTAATTTAATTAATTTTTGACAAGTTTCTAAAATTTTACTTAAATTTTCCCAATTTTACTTCAATTTTACTTCATAATTTTTGCCCATTCGCTAAAATTAAAAATTTTACCAAATTTTCTCAAGTTTACCAAATCTCAAACAATTGCAAAAGCAAAAATAGGTAAAATATCCCAAGACCAAGTTCATTTATTTGGGCAGATTTTTTTAAATTTGGACCCGGCATACCACAAATTCACAGAAATTAGCAGACATAGAACCCCCTCCCCCCAATTTTCAATCGCTTGTACAACGAGCTTTATAAATAAATAGGAGCCAAAAATCAGTAAACAACTCTGTGTGAGTCATCTTTATACTTGCTCTCTGATCTAACTACAGCATGAAAAATAAGAACGTTGAAAGTAAGAATTTTCTAGCGTTCACAATTTTGGTGCATCACGGCCCAGTGTCATTAAACACTCACATGTTCAAAATTCTCTGCTGATTTATATCAAAAATTGATTTTTTGACGTTATGTACAACAATCAGATAATTTCAACTTGGTAGGTATGCTTTATTTGTGCATTTGAAATCTTTTTGAAGATATTACTTCAGTATTTCAGGCCTAAAGTGCAAAGAGCATACCTATTATCGCCCATTATTGATTAGAAGTTTTCTGTGTTTTTTTAAATCTTTTTTACTCAAAATGAAGCTATAAATCTCACATATTTCCATCTTGACATATAACTCAATTGTCTTTGGGTAATCAAAAACGATAAATTATTGAAAGACTGCAAAAATTTTACTCAAAGTTTGGAGGTTTGCATAATTGCCAGAAAGGGTGGGTTCGAATTTTTTTAGGCAAGATTTGGGGGGGGGGGGTTCGCACGAGCCCTACGAACCCCCTCTCCCTACGGCCCTGATAGCCTATACCTGTACATAAAAATTGAATGCTTTCATGACCTGAGCTTGAAGTAAATGAATCTAGCTGAATGAATCATGAATCACTATAGTCAAAAATTATTATTGCATATAATCTTAGGAATAATGTTAGGATCAGCATGTTTTCAGTATTTAACAGATTATATGTTAAATACCAGCTTTGGTGTCTGGAGGTCTCTTGCTGGATTTTGACTCCCTTCTTGCTCTTGTGGTTGCCATGGCAACTTTAGGGGTACCATAGCTGGACGGGTCATGGATTGGCTCTGAAACAAAAACTTTCCTTTTAACAGAATAAGCACTCTTCATGCTATATGCATGTCAGTAACTATTTGAGAAAAATATATTTACAACTTGCAACATGGTGTGCCTTAAAAAGTGGACAACTGCTAGGGATAATCTCAATTGATATGCATGCCACACACGTGCACTTAAATAAAATATCTCAAACTCTCATATTAAAATACACTTAACTTTTATAAGATGGTGCTTGGTGTGTTTTATGTTATTGTTGAACTTAATATGGAACTGTATCAACATTGGAATAATGTCCAATTTTGAAAGACCTAGAAAACTTCAACCTTCCTCCAAAAAATCACACCGTACTTAAAAATTGCAATTTTGTGCAAATCATTAACTTTTTAGCTAAAATAAGCTCCCAGTAGAGTAGGCCTATCCCCTGAAGGAAGCTGGCTATGGACATAACTCATTTAGTTCTAAAATAAACATAGCATCTACCTGTCGGTGCCCTATATGCTGGTATGGTGCTGCCATCTATTGAAGTAGGGCTTAATAATCTCTCATATTCTGAAATATAGGTGAAAACAAAGTTTAAGAAAATTGATTCAATACATATAAGAACCAGAACAACGGCAACGCCAAAGCGTAGCGAATCCCATCGAACAGCCATGGAGGGCATTTTTACAAACAAAGGATATAGCAAAAATGGCAGCCATTTTTCAAAATGGCCGCCTTCTGCCAAAAGTGTCACGGACCATGTGCCATGCTTATGGTATTCACATACCAAATATGAACAAAATCGCTCCACTACTTTTCAAGTTATAGTAAAATACGTTAAAATGGCGGCCATTTTTCAAAATGGCCACCTTCTACCAAAAGTGCCATTAGACAGTGTGCCGTGCTTATAGTATTCACATACCAAATATAAAAAATCGCTCTTCTACTTTTCGAGTAATAGTAAAATACGTTAAAATGGCGGCCATTTTGAAAAATGACCGCCTTCTACCAAAAGTGTCATTAGACAGTGTGCCATGCTTACAGTATTCACATACCAAATATGAACAAAATCGCTTCACTACTTTTCGAGTTATAGTAAAATACGTTAAAATGGCGGCCATTTTTCAAAATCTTTTTCAAAATGGCCGCCTTCTACCAAAAGTGTCATAGGACAGTATGTCATGCTTATAGTATTCACATACCAAATATGAACAAAATCACTCCACTACTTTTCGAGTTATAGTAAAATAAGTCAAAATGGCCGCCTTCTACTTAAATTGTCTTTAGACAGTGTGCAATGTTTATAGTATTCACATACCAAATATGAACAAAATCGCTCCACTACTTTTCGAGTTATAGTAAAATACGTAAAAATGGCGGCCATTTTGAAAAATGGTGTCCATTTTTCAAAATGGCCGCCTTCTACTTAAAGTGTCTTTAGACAGTGTGCAATGTTCATAGTATTCACATACCAAATATGAACAAAATCGCTCCACTACTTCTCGAGTTACAGCAAAAATCGTAAAATAACGAGTAAAGACCGCCATTTTTCAAGATGGCTGCCATGTGCTTCTTTAATATCTACATTTCTAGCTTTATTAATGTCCTATATAGTTTTTTTACATCTAAAACATATTGCTATTACAGTTTTACATATTGCACCTAAATTACTGTAAATTCGGCACTAAAATGGCCGCCATTTTGAAATGAGCGGCCATTTTGAAAATCGGCTTTCGAGCAGAACTTCTACCCCCATAGGGTATATGTGTACAAAATATGAACAAAATCGGGCCAACGGTATTTGAGTTATTGCCCGGACGGACGGACGGACGGACGGACGGACGTACGTACGGACGGACGGACGGACGGACGGACGGACGGACGTACGTACGTACGGACGGACGGACGGACGGACGGACGGACGGACGGAGGCGTTCCCTATATCCCTCCGAACTTCGTTCGATGGGATAATTAATTTTAGGAGCTTACTTTTCCCAATTATTTTTGGGTTGCTCAGTTACTTAAAACTGGTCATCATCAATCTTATTACTTACTTCCCAGCTCACCACTGATAATCTCTCATGGTATCACTCAGATTGTTTAAGTCTGAACCAGCAGGGACTCTGTAGAAATTTGGATCAAGGTGTTCAGATTTGGACCAAGGTGTCCACATTTTGAGGGGAGGTGTTCAACATTTCCAAGTCACTCATGTTAGGTGTTCCCAAGTTGACAGGCCTGAGATTTTCACCGAAGTTTTATCGTGCAAGTTAACACATGGAAAAGGCACTTTTTACCAAATCTGATAATTTTAATTATTGGATGACCCATTACAATCAAGCATTAACCAGCATTGTTTACTAACTAAAATAACAATGAAATAAACAAACCTGGTGCATTGCTCTGAACTGGCTGCTCCTTTATGGGAGTCCTATGCATCTTTCCAATGTCACGTATTGGTGATGTCACAAGAGGGTAGCGTCACAAGAGTGGCTTTTCACGTATATATATTCAGTCTCCATGACTATTTCAACTGAGTCCAACTGAACACTTCACACTTTGAAATTCACACGTATACTGAAACATAAACGCACAGTGTCAACAAAATAAAAGCGAATTATTTCTATGCCTATATCCTTCTGTACCAATCCTGTTCATCTGGACGAGATTAGAGTCCGGCTACAAAGTTCTAAACTTGCTTCTGAACTAAACAGCAAGTGGTTTTTAGTTTCCAAAACAATTTAACATCTCGAGTCTGTTCCTGAGAGATAGCATATGAATCATCATGTTGCATCCTCATGTGAACCTATTACAGCATACTCTTGGTAAGAGTTTCACCTCACCTACCCTCCAACAACTGAGATGATTCTTTACACTTTATTAGAGACACGAAGTAAGGAAATCACTACTCTACATTTTGTGCCAATAGGTAGTAAAAATCATATCATATTTAAATAAAAAAAAATGCCAAAGAAACATACATTTGCTGTTGAAGTCAGAGGGTAGAGTAGTTAGCTTTTGTGGAAAAGGGTAACTACCACAGAGCCAAATTCTGAAATATGATTCTAACTTCATGATTAAATGTGCACTAGTTAGCAATTATCCCATGAGAAAATATAGCAACACACATTCCAGTTGGGTATAAAAAATATGAAGTATATATTTGTTACATTTTTATAACGTTCAGCCAAAATCTTTTCTACAAATAGCAAGTTTATACCATTTTGTAAGGGTAAAGTACATATTAGGGAATTTCATACCAGCATATGTCTAAATTATTGTGGAAGGGCCTGCTTATTATCTGCATCTGGTTTTCTATAATTTTTCAATTTTATCAGCACATGGATCAAATTATTTCAATTAAATGAGTAATTGATGCAACTGTAATCAATGACTGTAGACAGGATTACCCTAGAAAAAAAATGGTTTTATGTTCATCAATTTTTGGAAAGGGGCTTCAATTTTTTAAAGGGGCATTGGGAGCGGAACCTGACATTTCACTTTTCAAGAAATCCAATACAGGATACATGCATATGTTTTTGTTTTATTAGTATCAATCCCTATATCAGGCCTAAATATAGTCAGTTCATGATTTTCTCTTTTTCAGCTCCAGAATAACATTTTAAATTTTTACTAATCATTTTATTTCAAAATCAAATAGTCCATCATAATCAAATACCATATGACCAAAATTCCACAAAGTTAATGCAAATAATTTTCTAAATTTTTCTGCTAGCTACATTATACTAATGCATTATGATCACATGAAGCTTGAGAATGAGCAGAAATAATATGAGTGACTGTATAAAATTAACCAGCACTGCTATAATTATAAGAATCTAATTACCAAAGTAATGGCTGTGAGTAATAAATTAATAAGGAAACATATGCCAGGGTATAACTCTTGTTTATAATGAGTCACATCATCAAAACTTCACGGTTCCAGTAAAATTTATATTTTCTCCCACTTAGAGATATGAAAATGAATAGTTTCTTTTCCAGTTTTGAACATTTCTTATAAGGCTGAATGAGCATCTAGTTGAAAACTTAACCATTCTTTGGTTGTTGCTTGAAAGTAAATTGCAATCGGTGCAAAAGAATCATGGGAACTTAATCTCAGTATTAGTGTCAGTCTAACATGCAAAATATTCCCACCTGCCATTTGTTACAGACATTGACCGCCAAACACCAACCACCAAAGACTGTCCATAAAAAAGTTGGAGAATATGTTGATTCATACTGAACATGAGCTTTATCTTGTCATGGTAAAAAGTGACTAACCATCTAGGCACACCATTGAAAAGCTATTTTGTCATTTTATAATTGTTGTTATTAATAGTACTGTAGATTGGGTTAATTTGGCGCCCGCTTTAATTTGGCGAATTTGGCGAAATTGAAAAATTCGCCAATATAAATCTTCGCCAAAATTTAGAATGAATCCCCGGGAATTATCTAGAGTATTTCGTCCAGTGTATTTAGGTCACTTCCGGTTAAATTTTTTACAAAAATATGAAAAAATGTCTCTCATAATTTGGCTTAGAACTGGTCAGTCACTCATTAATACTCAGCGAAAAGGTGAGGTATAGTAGCAGCATCGATCGAGGTGCAAAATGTAAAGGATGATCTCACAAAAATGTACAAACATGGTGAATATCGCCAGTGGTCCTCAACTTTTGAGGACTTTAAAAGAATGAACATAGCCAAACATGCCCATTTACATGGTAGTTCACTAATAGCGCAAGTATAACGTTGTATTAACATTTTTTTTCATATCCGCCAAATTAAATAGCCGCCAATATGCCAAAAATGGCAAAATCGCCAAATTAAGTAGCGCCAAATTAACCCAATCTACAGTAATTATTTAAAAATACGGACCAACGATATAAGATTTTTTGTGGATGTTTTTCATTCTGATTCAAACGCTTTAATCACGATCTTGAGAAGCTACTGGTGTCATTGGATTCTTAGTTTTTAGTTTAATTTTCTTTCTCTAATTCTGCATTTATCTCTGAGTAGAAAATGGACTGCTGACGACTAACAGGCTGTTCGTGCCGACTCCCAGTGTCCATAATCGCTACTTGTTTAATTCCATTTTAAGCCGCTATAGCGAACATTATTACAACTAAATTTGGATGTTCACAAAGGAAAACACAATATGAGGGACATAAGTATATATAAGGAGAGATGGTATTCCAAAACAGTTTACTGATTTTTTTAGTCAACACGAAGATCTAGATTACATATGACATAATCTAGATCTTTGTGTTAAAGCGGGATGTGGCGATAGGAAAGCACAATCAAGATCCCCTCAGACTTTTTTGCATGTTGAGCCGTATCACATATTCACCTAGTATCTATTTACCAACAAAGAAGCCCCAACTCCACCACTTTTTGTGCTGATTTTGTGATTGTGCTGACCAGTCAAATAATTTTCTTGGAAATTGGAAGTTGGTTGTTCTTTTGATTTTTTCAATATATCGGCAATACTAATGTTGTTCTTCAGATACATCTAAGGTATGTAAGATATTATATAAAGGAATCATAGCGGGATATCACTGATTGCCCGTGGGAGAAACCTAAGGGATAGTCTGGCTTTAACTATAATCTAGATCTTTGCTCTAACTACATGTAAAGTAGTTCAACGTCGTTAAACTCAATAACGGCGTTCTTTATTATTAGGAATTTTCTTGGGGCCATTATTGAGTTTAACCTCCTTACTATTCTTTCCTTTGATGCAAGTTCTGAATCCATCGAAACCATTTTTCCGCGATAACGTGCAACTGATACTTGACAATAATATAAAAACACATAACATCAAGCGATTTAACACAATATTATTGTGTTAAATGTTCATTTATACGAGTAAAATGAGGCTACAAATACCAATCTCTAAAGTGACATTTCCGCATGTCCGTCATTGTGTCTGTTCGTCTGAGTGTCCGGGATCGTAAAATTAAACTACCAGCGAAACGAAATTGTTGTCAAATAGATTGATAATTATTATCGCGATTACTCGGGATAAAAAGATCAATTTTGAGGATAACAGGTATCTTTGATTAATTTATATAGCGCGTATATACATGCAAAATAGTTATTAATTGCAAACCAACTGTTCGTTAATGCAGTGCCGTGATGACGGTTAATTCCTGAAACGATTTGCAATTTCGATGTTACCGAAACTGACCGACATTTTCGTCATATTCCAAACCTGTCTCCAATATTTTCGTAATTATGCATCAATAGGGTCTAAGGGGGATACGGGACGGGGTGTATGTGTTTATAAGGTATGTATGCATGCTTGAATCACATTCTTTGTGTAATATTGCCATGTTTTCAGGGTTCAATTAGTTCCGCTTGTCGAAACCTGCTGAACGATTAAATTAACGCATCAAAGGCAAAATGGTCATGGAGGTTAGACCTAGCCGGGCCATAACACATGTCAGATAAGAAACGAGGCCCGGGCTAGGTCTAATGTTGTTGGACTACATGTAAAGCATCATTTAACTCTTTTGGAAGTGAATTTATACAATTTTCTTCATTTATTTGTGGAAAATAAAGACAAAAACTTGTTTTTTATTCAACTTCCTGTCCATTTTTTCATAGTCCCTAGATTTTCCTGCGACTTGCACCACTATTCCAAATGATCAGTTCAATTTATGCAAGTGACGCTATGAGTTGGAAGTCACATTGGCTGCCGGTAGTTGTATGCCGAATACAGGCTTAGCTAATTCTAGGGCTAGTCTAAGCTAGCCTAGATCTCTATTTCATATTTGATTCATTGACAAGCCTAGATCTCATATTTCTAATTATTTGATTCAATGATGGGCAAAAAATTAGACTTGATGAAGGCCAAGACCAAAAAATTCTTAAAAAATGTAAATTGGACCAGATTGTTATACGAGTCGATTCTAGACTCTAGTCGAACTTATTGTTTTTTATACTTTTATCCCTTTTCAGAATAAAAACCAATAAATTTAGAGAAAAGAAGGAATATAGAGGAAAAATGCTGTTGCCATTGAAACTTACCTCCAAAAATGAATGTTGGTCACCACATGTTTACTTTGAGAGATCTTGTAAAATTAGAGTTTGAAGCATAATCTTAGCAAATAATCATATCTTAAATTACATGAGTAAATCATATACATTGAAATATTATTTAAATTAGTTTTTACTGAGTATTGAGACTGGAATATATGTGATTATGACTAGCGAGTATTAATTTATGCGGCGGGTCAATGATTCACTCCGTAAATGTTTTGATTTAAAACTTTGAAAACTTTTAGATTTTGTTTATTTTTCTCGATTTGTGCAAATATAGAGCCACAATGGTCATCATTTAAGTCACAGAATTGTAGAACAAGATATATTGGTTATTCAAGCCTCTTTTCTCCTGGATCTAAGGATTTAAACGTGTGCGAACGGTAAGTAACTCGTAGCTAGATATCTAGCTATATTTTTATTTTTTTTATTTTGAATTTAATTTTTGAAATTGAATATTTCAAGCCTAGAGCTAGAGTTCTTGGAAGTGAATAAAACTTAAAAAATATGTTTTTAATATGGATCTTTTTTTACCCACATCACTCAAGTCATTATTTCAATGTTTAGGGTCCATCTCCAGTGCACAGCAATCTTCTTCTTCTTCTTCTTAGTCCTTTTCAGTGTTCCTTATAAGGTGTTCCGGGATCACTTTGGCATTATTATGCTGCCTTTGATCACTTGTTGCTGTTTTTAAAACTCATGTACTAAAAATATCACTTGTACTTTTCACTTGTGCTTATTTTACTTCTGTTGGGAGAGAGAGCGCTAAAACTTGTTATCTAACGTAGTCTAAAATGCAAGTGTTTTTCCATTAAAATGAGATGTTAAAATAGAGTCACTATCTCACTCGAGTTAAAAATAAGTTATTAAAATCTCTTGGATTTCTGTATAAATGCCTGCAGGCATTTCATAATTTCTTTATTTAACTTATGGTCCAGGCTTGTGTTGAGTCCTGTGATTGTTTGTAGGTCCAGAGCTGGATTGTATTTAGCTCCTAGTAGTATCTGTTGCACTTTGGCCAATAGAATCTCCCTCTCTTCCTGGAACTTAGAGCAAGCAAAGATGTAATGTTCAACTGTCTCTGGCATGTTACAGTGGTCACAGTTGGGAGATAAAATATCGGGGTTAATTCTATGGTAATGGCCATGTAAACGGGTGTGCCCAGAAATAATTTGGTTACATATATTTCTATAATACCTAGTTCCTGTCTTTACAATTGGACTTTTCAATTTAACCTTAGGAATTAATTCCTGAACAAAGTTCACCTTGGTGGAGTTGTTATACCTATTTTGCCATTTCTCTAAAGCGTTACATTTGATATTATTATAAGCTACAGACTTAGATGTTTTACAGTCAGTGAGAGATTTGGCTGCCAATGCTGCTTTCTTGGCAGTTTTATCCGCAACTTCATTCCCTTCTGTCCCTTGGTGACCTGGGACCCAATAGACTTCTAAGGTTTTGTTCTGTAAAGATAGCAGTTTGCAGGCTTTCCTTGTGTCAATAATGTCCTCTGTGATGCTTTTACACTTGGTAGTAATAAAAGATGCTGTTATAGCGGGTTGGCAGTCTGACAAGAGCAGGATGTTGCTGCTAGTCTTTATGGTTGTCAGATATTCTACCGCCATCTTTATTGCTACCACTTCCCCATAATAGTTGTTACCTATGAGGGAGACTGGTTGCTCAAGACATATAGGTGTAGATTTAAGTCCACCCACATAAACCACTGCAGCAGCTCCCGAAGGACCAGGATTCCCATAGGCTGACCCGTCTGTGAAGACTATAGTCCTACCGTCCGGCTGTTCACTAAGCACTGAGCTTATTCGAACACTTTGGGCGGACTTTGTGTTGGCAAAATCTTCGTCATGGATGGTTGCCTTCGTAGGTTGGAAGATGTCTACATCCTGGTGATGGTAATAGTGCTGTATATAATTGTTAGGTTGTGTGGGGCATCTATGAAGTCTCAGTCTGGCTGTTATGATATTAAAGCAGGAGGGGGTCTTCTCAGTTTGAGATGACCCACCCCATCTCAAAAATTCCCTGGCAATGGGGTCTGACTCAGTGTGGGTAGCTATTCTCACACCCTCTTGAGCCTGCCTGCTTCTTAGTAAAATATCAAGCGGTAGTACACCAGCCAGTACTTCTAATGAGTCAGTGCTAGTTGAGTTGAGGCATCCGGTTGCTCTAAGTAGTGCTGCCCTCTGGACTGGTGCATAGGCAGAAACAGCTTTCTCGGTAACTGCAGCCAGAGCACTAATGCTGGTTTCGAAGTGCGGTATCACCAACGCTTTGTACAGCATGGTGAATACCTCTTGGCTACAGCCCGATTTGCTTGAAGTGAAATTGTTTATGCCCGCAAGAGCACCGAATGCAGATTTTTTCTTATTTTCGATATGTAGATTAAATTTAAGTTCGTTATCTATGGTGCATCCAAGAATCTTCTTGTGGGACACCACCTGAAGTTTCCGGCCGTCGATAAAGATGTTAATATCGGGGCTAGTGATACCAGGTGGACTGAAGACCATTACCTCGGTTTTTTCAGGGGCGATCTCCATGTTCCATCTTTTGCACCATTTGTTGGTTAATTGATTCAAGTCCGTGTTGATGAGTTTCTCTATCTCTTTCAAGTCAGCTCCACATGCCCATATTGTGTTGTCATCTGCAAAGCCAGCAACAAGCCTGCACTAAATCTAGTGTTGTCACGATTGATTGATACATCGCGATATACATCCCCAAAGCTGATTCTGGCGATGCATCGATGTTATAAAAAAATTAAATTTGCTAAAAATCTCCCTTTCTTGTCTCATTTTGACGCAACTGTCTTACCTTTCTCATGTCTTAAGGTCAGGGTGCATGATGGGAAATTTTCTGCATTCCTCAATTGAGTCACATGTTATTTTTCAAACAAGAATCACTCCTTCCCTTCATTGTCTATATCTTCCAGTTTTGCACAAAGAGTGCACTTATATGAAGTGAGAATTGTGAGAAGAATGTTTTGATGAAGTGTATAAAAAACAAGAAAATTCAGTGAAGAAAATCAGAAAGTTTTCAGAAATTTTTTTCACTGAATTTTCTCATTTTTTATACATTTTACAAAACAAACCTTCTCACAAGGCTTTTCTAGGCACAGAAGTGCACTCTCTGTGCAAACTTGGAAGATGTAGACAATGTGGGGAAGGAGTTATTCATGTTTGAAAAATAACATGTGACTCAATTGAGGAATGCAGAAAATTTCCCAACATGCACCCTGTCCTTAATTCATTTTCCAATGTTCTCTGATATTCTTTAAAACTGTTTTAGGTAGACGAAATGAACCATTGATCTAAAAAAATTTACTTTACTTTCACTTCACTGTTACCCGAAGTACCCAGATGTACCAGAGTACTATTTTTTATTTTTGCGTTCAGTATTTTAGTGCATTAACGTTCGGTATTTGAGTGCACTTTTCTCTGACTTTTTCTCGATGTACATCACGATTTGTATCGATGTTTACTCCTGAAAATTGCCAATGCATTGATGTATGATTATGGCACATCGCGACAACACTAGCCTGCACTACTGGTAAACAGTGGCGATGTCAATGTGGTATCTCCAAATGTTCCATCTTCCATATGTGAAAGTCTGTAAGTTATCATTTGCTGTGCAAATAGTGGTAGGACTCGCCCAAATTCAATTATTGGGAACTAACTGCCAATGATGATTATTGACTTATTTGAGAAAAAATGATATGAGCTTTAGGCTATTTTCAATTGCTTCAAATGTAGACTTGTAAAGAAACTTTATTCCTCAATAACTTTACAACAGACAAATGATTGACTTTTGTTTCAGTTCAACTCTACAATTGTTCACCAGTTTTGGCCAACATGCTGTTTTCAGAAGAAATTCATTCAATGAATGTCACAATGCAATGCCGTCAGTGGTGTTTAACATGAGTCCTTCATCCTTAACCTGATTACCATACTGTAAAACGGGTATTGTTAGCGAGGGGTAATTGTTAGCGATTGTTAGCGATCGCTATAGTTTCGCTAAAAATTCAATTCGCTAAAATAAACCGGGGTTAAAATAAACCGGGCGCTAAAATTTGCAAATATCCGGGAAACTACATGAATACTAGTATTTAAGGAGCTTTTCGTTCAGTGCTTGGACCGAAAATTCAACGATTTTAAATGCTACCGTGATTTTGTGATTAGTCAGATGAGATTACAGTAGTTTGGACAAATACCATGTGGTTTAGAAGTCTTACATTTTGATAATTCCTCTGTCATGTCCGTTATTCATTCTTCTGCCATAAATGATTAAATTTCTAATGCATTTCGCTGATTTGATTTTTTAAAGATTAATCTTCATTTCGCTAAAATTTCCCGCGCTAAAACCCCCTAAAATTGAAAAATCGCTAAAATTTCCCGGTGTCAAAATTACCCGTTTTACAGTATGTTCTGAAGAGAGGATGTAATAATCCAGATCTTGCTCTCTCTTTCAACTTTGAAAAAATCTTGAATCTAATCAGAAAGCGCCTACCAAGTCCTTCATTTCATTATCTGCCGATATTCTGAACATTCACTCGTCATCTGAAAATTTTATACAAAATGTTTCAAAAGAAAAATGTGTGTATTTTTATTAATTAAAATGTGTTTGAGTTTATATTTAACATAAAGTGTAGTACTCTAATGTAAGCATAGAGTAGTCATGCTCTTGGTTACGTATAATAATTTCTAACCATGTGTGTTTGTAGTTAATACACTGACTGAATCCCAGCACGACCCAGGCACACCGTAGCACCTCACAACATTCTTCATTTAGAACACAATATCAGCTCATGTTATCCAATAGTGTTCATTATACAAGGCACTATGAGTCAATATCCTGTGTTGCATCAATGGCTTGCCAAGTCAGTTCGCAGGTAAGGTAACATGGATCATAATAAACTATATTTGAAAAAGAAAAAAAATGTACAAAGATGGAGAAATTAATTGCAAATGTACATGTACATCATAAAAAATTATTATGTTTCAAGGATGCACTTTTTTAAACTTCTTCTTTCTTTCTCAAAAGTGATGAATATCAAATTACCACAGTCATGTGCCAATTTAACAGTTAAAATTAACCATGTACCAAGTATTTTCTTACTATGACATCTTGGTTTCCATGTTATCAACCATGGATTTAGGAATGGTAACATATACCACAAAAATAACATGTAACTCATAAATCATTGTAAATTCAATTCAATTTTCAGCATGAAGATGACACACAGTAGTTCAGTAGAGAAATGGCTAGAAGAGCTTCGTCCAATGACAGAGTGTGAATGCATGAGTATTCTACAGGGCAAATCTATAAAGCATAATGCAGAGAAGGCTAGCAGCTCATCAGCGTCTTCCTACCTCTCATATACAGCTGAAGGTATATGGGGAGGGGTGGTTGTCATAAAATGAGAGTCCATATGTTAATCTTAAAAAAACTGTGAACTCATGAATTTTCTATGAAATCTTCCACCCAAGTATGATGAAATTGCAGAAGAATGTGATGATAATTGAAGACTTTTTTTATTTGGCGTTTTTTCAATTATTTGATCTTACAAAATAATTTAAGAAGACTAGGCTATAAGGCGAAGTATTCAATTTTCAAACATCCTTTTCTTGTGTTGTAGATAGTATCCATGCTGTCCAAAGTAGAGCTGAGATTATCCATTCTGAATTTAAGAAACTTTACAGGTAAGTGTAATTTGAATAAATTATTAGCAAAAAAGTAAAATGTTAGAAATTTGATTCTTTCATCAATTTCTTTTTAGGGATGCTAGATATATGTTGAAATCTGATTTTCCTGGACATGCAATAGAGCTATACAAATATAAAAATATCACTGAGTTGTGCCTACCTTGCCTCAGTCAGTGTGTTGTATGTATTTCTAGTCGGATTGACAAGGAGAGATGGAAGCAAGTGGGGCCAGGTAGTCTTCGTATAGCCACACACATCCGCTCCCTTCTTCATGAGTGTAACTCCAATATACCTAACCCTCCTGCTGTATTTACTGAGGTAAGTGTGGGTCAAATATAATCATTTTCAGGAGCTAGTTATAAAGTAGCCTCTGAACAATTTAGACTATTCTACAGTTCAACGGCTGTGCCCCACTACAGTTTGGTGTCAAAGCCCTGGTCATAAATCAATTCACACCAACCTCAATGACATTTTCTTAACCAATCAGTGAATAGAAAAACATGTTAAAATAATTTTTATGTTGGTAGGCTAAATACATTGAAAACCTGGGTAATATAAATTTGAGCACTGACTTCAAAGGAAGTGGCCAGGCTGCCATATATAAAAAATCTCTTAAATTGAAAGATCAGAAATAGTGCAAAGATAGACAAAGCTATTAAGAATGTGAAGGGTGATAATTTCAAAACTTGTTCGCTAATGTTATTAGTTTGTGAAATATAAAACATTGTTTTTCTCGGAATTTCAGCAACAGCAGTATGTGATGGAAGAATGTGCCAGACTTGTGCAGTATGTAGAAACGTAAGTTTAGAGCTGAAGTGTTTATTTAAATGAGGATGATTTCTATAACTTTACATCGTGTACCTAATTTTGGTCATTTTTACAATATTGGAGGGTTTATTAACTTTTTGCACTCTTCAGCTTCATGGATATCATCAATATCTATCTTGGTGGTAGTGGATTAGACACACATATATCATTTTTTTCAGCAATAGTAATATCCTGAATTTTATTTTTTAGCAATAGTGATATCCTGAACAATAATGATGTTCACAGAGCTATGCTTAGAGAGGGCCTTACAACATTGAGTCAGGCCTTTAGTGTCCTGGTTGACATGGCAATGGGATGTCTTATACAAGTGAGAACCTTTAGTTCCATCTTTTATACATAAAAATACTGCTATACGATGTAGTGAAAAATTACATGATTTGGGATGCCATGTTTTGATGTTATTTTACGCTTGGAAGAAGTGAGGGAACAAGAAATAATAGATTCAATTATTCATCTAATGTTCCTTGTTTTGAGGAATGTAGATACATTATAAATTGATTTAATAGCTAAGTAATCAGTATAGCAGATGAGGTAATTTGGCACTCAACATAAAAAAAACTAGTAACAGAACAAGAAATATGTCTGTCTTTCTTGCTAGAGACCTATGATTAATATTAAAAGGTAGATGCTGATTCCCATTTTGTGTTTGTACTAAAATTGTGTTTTTAAACTATATTTCACTTTATTTTAACTTTTCAGATCTTATTGAACAATGTTCTTGACTTTGAGGAACCTGAGGGAGTTAAGGAGGCTCTTGGCAACCTTATTGCATTAGGTCTAGAGGGAGAGCAAATGTGCCATATTATCACCAGGGTAATATATTTGCAAGATTAAGTCTATTTCTCTTAAAATTACAGTCAATGTTTTAGAGTTTTGGCAATTGTTTACTAGTAGCTTGTAAATTTATAATTGATGGAATAAATATTGTAGAATCTGGTAAAATGGTTGAAACTGCAAATATTCAGGTTACTTAATCTCTGTTGTTTTTTACCCCTTTAAATGTTTAAATTTATTTTCAGGAAGGTGGAGTTGAAACCCTCCTTGAATTGTGTAAGAATGAGGAACTGGGTAGTCTCAGGGGGAAGTCTTTACGTGCCCTTGCTACATTGTGTTGTACAAGTGATAGCATACAAGAATTAGAAAACGTAAGTGGAAAAGAGCATGTACAAGTAAACCCTGGAAGTAAATTGCAAGTGAAATTTTATCATATTTTATAAGTTTTTTTTTAAGTAAATTCAGATAAGTTAAAACGATGCAAATATTTGTCTACAATTACCCATTTTGCATCATTTTTTATGCAGCATGATTAAAAACAATATTTGATTATGTTTATACAGAATGGTGGCATTGAGATTCTAGCAGAGGTTCTGTGTAGCAGTGACATCACAGAATCTGTCCGAAGTGAGGCTGCGGGTGTAGTTGCTCAAATGACGTCACCAAATACAGAAAATTATGAACATGGGATAGGATTTCTTGAAAATATGGAAGATCTCGTCAAATCTCTCACAGGTGATTTATAAAATTATTTTAATAAGTGAAGCAAAAGTGCTCATTCAATCTATGAATCCAGCACCTTCTTTCAGTTTCTCTACAAAATACTTTCATTCACTAAGTTAAAAATATGAATTCATAGTTGAACCCATTTGTAATTCTTGTAAATTTTTTATATTCCAGTGTTTTGTACTTTCGTAAAGTTTTATTTGCTCAAGTCAAATAATCAAGTTGTTTCATCATTCTAAATATCTTTTGAGCGTTAATCCTGTTCCCTCTAGTCAGATCAGCTGATGAAACAACCTTTTTTGGTTGTTGAGTCGGCTGAGCGGTCTAGAGCATTGAACAAGCCAAGCTTGGCTCTGTGTTGTAATCTGAGGTCATGAGGTCGAGATGTGTGAACTCCTTATGTTTATTCATTTATAAATGTTAACTTGCTTTATTTCAGTGTTGTGTATAGAAGCTTCAAGCCATGAAGTTTTCTTACTTGGCTCTGCTGCTCTAGCGAACATTACATTCACTGACACTCTGGCGTGTGACTTCCTGCTCCAATATAGTACAGCGCAGCATCTCATACATGCTGTTCAGTTGAATAAGGCTGACTCCCTGTTTGCTAAAGACCAGGTATGAAGCATTTTATTAGGTTGACCATAGGATTTCTTTCATTTCTTTCTTTCATTTTGATATTTTTCACTATTTTAGAATTTAGTCATTTTTTTGTTCACAATTATAATGGCTTTTTGAAGAACCATAACAATATCTAAGGAAGATGATAATAAGAAAAATACAGTAAAACCTGTATCATTTGAACACTACTGAGACTAGCCAAAAGTGTTTCATTAGCAGGTGTTCACATTTCAAGGTTTATATGTGATTCTATGGGAGAAAAGGGTGTGTTCACATTGAGCGGTGTTTGGATCAGAGAAATGTTTTAATATACAGGTTACATTGTACCTAACTATTTCAAAATTTTTCCAGGTTGCAACTATTTTGGCAAACATGGCATCAAGTGAATCCTGTTGGCTCGAAATAACAGAGAACAATGGTGTCGAAACATTACTCCAGTTTTTACAAGAACAGCCATATTGTTATCAGAATGAGGCTGAAATATCAGCGTGCGAGCGTGTGCAACAGAAAGCAGCAATAGCCTTGACTAGACTAAGCAGAGATCGAGACTGTGCGGAAATTATAGTTGAACTTCAAGGTATGATGCTTGCAGTGTTAAAATGTGTCATCGATCTATTCATGGATTCATATGATTATGAATCAATCAACTTTACCTGTTAAGTCAAAATAGCTCAATTCCAGGAGAAAATCTAAGAAAATATACTCATGGTCAAAACTATGACTAATGCCTTAAATCATTTCCTTACCATAATACTTGGTATTTTTACATAAATTGTGAGAGGGTATTGTGTAAAAACATTTTTGGCTCACCCTGTACATTTTTAGTCGTTTAACTGAATTGAATTTATTTTACGATGTTCTAGGTATACATAGACTGGTCCAGATATGTAGAGAACCCAAAGAGAGAAATAGCAGTGATGGCATTCTAGTAGCATGTCTAGTGAGTACAAATGTTTATTAGAAGTTCATTTATTTATCTTGGCTAATCTTTTAAGGGGTTTGTTGCCTATTTCTGGCTCTAAGATATACCAAAATTGAAATGGAAATTAAAACAAAGTCAAAATCACCTGTAAAATTGATGCCATCAATGGACTTTGAAACAAACCTTTTTTGTCAATATTAGAACTCGAAAAACTCATTATGATTTACCTATTGAATGCCGCTTATATACCATATTATACATTTTTTCAATCCTTTTTATCTTCAGGAAAGAAGCTTTGTATCAATTTATTTAAATGTTGGTTTTACAGAGCCCTTTTATGATTGCAATGCTTGTATTTTAGCTACTTTTCACCAAAGGGGACATCTCATCTATTAAGAAAAGTAATATATTCTGTCTATAGTAGCTTTAACATTTAAGCCTTCAACTATACATAATTCATACAAACTAGCACAGAAACATGAAAAAGTATGATGTGAGCAGTTTTTGGTTTAAATAGAAATATTTATTCTCTAAATTGTGTACTTAGTTACAAGCTAGGCAAAATATACTCTTATAACAGTATTTTCAGTTTGTATATCGGACTATACATTTTGTAACTACATGTATCACAATTCAACATGTAATGTGACAATGTCAGATGTTATTACAGATAGCAAATTTAAACAGTGTTTAGTACAGAAGGGCAGATAGATAAGGGGATTTGTCAGTGGTCAGAATAAACGTCAATAGAATCATGACGTGATCGATTTAGTTGATGCGATCCCTTACATCATTTTGAAACATTAGATGATACATAAAAACAACTTTTAAAATCTAATATAATTTATATACTCATCTTAAAGGTTGAAATAAAGAAACATAATTATGAATATAAACTGAGTATTTGATTGTTAATATCAATGAGGTTCAATGCAGTCCACATACTGTCATAAGGCCACTAGCCCATTTTCCTTTTTGAAGATAAAATGTCGATTTTACAGGTGTGGTTTGACTGTGATGCTTTGACTCGATCAATTAGACCTCTTATCTATGTACCTCTAATCTATGTACCCATGTACTTCATTATTCTCATCATACTCTCTTGCAAATATAGATTAGGCATGGCCAACTTATAAAATAATTGAACATATAGTCTCAGTATCGTGACCTGCTCTGTTAAAACTCATTTATAATATGTCTGTGTCTCAGTTAATGTCGATTGATAATGAACATTTTGACTTTGACACTGGTAACACTGTGCCCATTTAAATAGGCCTAACCTCATACCTTTGAAGAATATCAGTTAAAGAATTCTTACAAGGCCTATATTTTACCATGATAGGCATGCCCAACTAATATCAAATAGTTGTACAGTATCAGTATCTTGACCGGCACTGTTAAGATTCATTTATAATATGTCTATATCTCCGTGAATAAAATGGGTTCAACCCCTCAGTTTCAAATGATATGTTGGTGTACATTTGATTTGAAAATGCTGTGGCAACCTTCCATTGGCAGCAGACAAGTAGCAATTTTCTATTATTATTTTAACCAAAATTCCTGTTGCACTGCTGTATCTCAAGGTTGGGGGTGCACCAACACCCTAGTGACACCCTGTATATGATCTTTTGTCGTTTTGAGGAGAATTTTGAAACTTGGTTTTAAAGGCTTAAATTATGTTTCAACAATTTTGCCTTTCTTATCTTCTTATCTACATGTTATCAGAAATTGTCCATACATTGTCCTCTACTTGTTCAAGATTTTGTGGAAGTGGTTCAAATCCTGTTTTGTATTATTTCCCTTCAATAACATTCTCTCTGGCATATTTGGTGTGACGAGCAACCAAGCATACTGGCCAATAATGCATTGTGAAGACCACCATAAAAATGTATGGTTTGTGTATTATAGGCTGCCTTGAGGAAAATCTACAGTGTATCATGTGACATAGAGGACTTATCAGATTTAGATGTGGAGGAGTTGATACAACCAAAGCTTCTGGACTCCTTCCTCCTGTGTTCTCAGTCAGATGAATGCTTTGTCTGATCATTGTCACAAGAGGTACAGCAATCCCATGACCAACTGCTACTAAAGTTTTAAACAAGCAACAAGATGAGACAAATGGTATTACAAACATTACAAGAGGTACCACACTCCCATAGCTAATAATTCGGAAAGTACTTCAAGAAGACCAGCAGTCCCATGATCAGTGGCTCCCAAAGCATACAACTATATATGCAGTAATCTAATTAATAATAGATTCCAAAACACTACAGTCCATAGTGCATATAGTCTTGCTTCGAGCCATTGTGATTTCCCCCGTTATATACAGTACCTTACCTCCTTGGGGTGAAAAAGATGGGGTTGGTCGATCCAGAGACTGATTGCAAGGCTACAATGCAGCATATTCAGGAATATTGCATAGTTGCAAAATTGCAATGTGACATTATTAATCAGAGACCCAGGTTTATTAGGCTCATTATAATGCTTGAATGCACTACAGCAAAACATCCAAGGAAACAATTAATGATATACATGTACTGAGTAACTCATACTTGTAATCCAGAGTGATATAATACCCAGGTGACCTAAAGCTACCAAAACCTTGGATAAGGGGTGATGCCCAAATGCCAACATTGTGGAAGAACAAAGTTGATTCCTGGGGGGAAGGGGATAAATGACAATATCATTAGTGAAGTGACTTAAGAAATGTCAACCAACAATTCCTTCATATTGGAGTGGGATTAAATCAGAATGAAATTCAATTTCCATCACTGTCAACATTCAGATACCATTCCCATGTGATACACAGTTTGATTGATCCAATTTTAGCACATTGGCACATTAGGGTGCATTAGCACATTAGCGTGCATTAGCACATTAGCGTGTATTAGCACATTAGCGTGAATTAGCACATTAGCGTGTATTAGCACATTAGCATGCATTAGCACATTAGCATGCATTAGCAGAGCCAGGCATGAGGCATATGCCTCACCAAAAAATTCTAAATTAAAATGATCTAAATAGAGAAATCTATATTTCAGTTGGAAATGAAGTCCAAATAATATACCTCATTTAGTCTTTAGTTTGTTTGCCTCACCTATTTTAGTTTGCCTCGTCTATTTTTTGTATCATGTAGCTTTAAATCCTGGCTTCTTCCCTGAGTATGCTAGAAGTGGATTTAAATAATGTCAAGAAATTAAAGCTACCCCATATGGTGTTTCCAAATGCCACCAGTTGAAATCCTAGCAACTTACACAACCGATAGACTGCAAAGATCATGAGAAAGTTATGAGAATCTATGATATCAGTGCTTTTGTACTTGTTAAATGATTTGAAATGTCGAGATCAGGATCTGATATTTGACCTTCTTAATTAATGTAGTTACATTTATACATGTACTATCAGGCCCGTATTCCAGGGGGGGTTCACTTGTGACAATTTTGGTCCAAAATCACTTAAAAAGTGCTGAGAATGGTGAAAAACTGCATCATTTTGAGATTTTTTGGCCAGGGGGGTCTCTCGTACCCATCGAACTCCCTGGCTACAGGCCTGACTATATATCATCTAAAAATACTACTCAAATTAGTCCAAGGCATGTAGAAAAAATTAGAGCCACTGCTAAGATGAGAACAATCTAGAATATTATATGTTTTACATCGTACATATTAATAAATTTATATTGTTTTGTTGATTTTAAATTTGAGTGAAACACTGCTTTAGTTTTGCTTTGTATTTTAACCCTTATACAGTATTTATATTTAGTTTGTATTTTAATTTTCACTTTTTAGTTGATTTTTGTTGTATTTATTTTGAATTTTAAGCACTGTGAAGGAAATCTCTAATGTGTTGTATATTTTATTTGTTGTGATATTATAATGCCTTATATAACATATCGTATTGTTTTAAGTGATACAGTAAGATTTATTTTTTGATATTATCATTGTTATGTGATAAGGTCTTCTGTGTGATATGTCTTCCATGTGATATATCTGTGATAAGATCTTCCATGTGATTTGTCTTATGTGGTAAGATCTTATTATTATTATTATTATTATTATTATTATTTATTTATTCAGTAAGCTATGTATTAAAATACAGACAATGAGCGGGTGACACGTAATGTGTATATTCCCGACAGGGTAGTGAATTACCTACATAGAAACAGAGGGGGATCTGTTTGTGTGCGAATGCTTATAATGGGTGGTTAGTGAAAGGTGTGTCATACAGCCCAAAATATAAACTATAAGAATGGTATTCAATTATTCATTATTAACAAAGTACCTTTTTTAGCTCTCTTTTCATGATGGGAACACTTCGAGAAGATTGAATCTTGTTTGGTAATTGATTCCAAATTGTTGGTGCTGCGAAAGTTAACATTGAAATGCCATAGTTCGTCCGCACCTTAGGTTTGTCATAAGTATCCTTGTTTCTAGTATTATGTTCATGTCTCGCCTGGACCATTTTGAAAAAGTTAGGAAAAATTTTATGGTAGTTATCAAGCTTATTTATCCATTTATACATAAATAAACATTTCTGTTGTTTGTGTATGTCAAAAATATTTAAAAGGTTTAACTGTTTGAATAATGGTAGGGAATGAGCTCTAAAATCGCTGTTTGTTGCAATGCGGGTGAATTTCTTTTGCACAAGATATAGAGAATTTAATGAACTACATGTTTCACCCCAAATAACATTGCCATATATAAGATGAGAATATATAAGTGAATAATAGATGCTCATAAAACCACTGATATTCAACAGTTGTTTTACTCTATATAAAATACCAATTGTCCTAGAAATTTTTGCATTAACAGAAGCAATATGCCGTTTCCAGTTCAAGTGTTTATCTATTATTATGCCAAGAAAGTTTATATGATCAACTTGTTCAAGTTGCTTGTCATTAAGATAGATTTTAATATTATTTGCGTTAAATCTTTTTTGTCTTGAGGAAAAAATGATATATTTTGTTTTATTAGCATTGAGTGATAATTTGTTTGTGACCAGCCATTCTTCAATATGTTTCAGTTCAATATTTAAAGTTTCTGTCAGGTCATTTAGATTTTTGCCTTTAATCAGTAAGTTAGTATCATCCGCGAATAAGACGAAAAATAGTGTCGGGGAAGAAAGATATATATCATTAATATATAATATAAAAAACAGAGGTCCTAAAATTGAGCCTTGAGGAATACCGCAAGTGATCAAGTCACGATTAGAGATTGTGTCCTTATATAAAGTTTGCTGGAATCTGTTTTTAAAATAACTTTTTATCCAGTCAAGAGCAACACCACGTATACCATAATATTGAAGTTTATCAAATAGTATGTTATGATCTATTGTATCGAAAGCTTTGGAGAAGTCAATAAATAATCCTATTGTAAATTCCCCATCATCAATAGATTTCCTGATCTTTTCAATAAATGTTAATACCCCCATGAAAGTTGATCTTTTTTCCCTAAATCCAAATTGATTAGTATACAAAATGTCAATGGTATCTATAAACTTTGTTATTCTTTTATGCATTAGTTTTTCCAAAATTTTTGAAAAAACTGGTAGTACAGATATTGGCCGATAATTGGTGAAAAAATGTTTTTCATCTTTTTTATAAATCGGTAAAACTTTTGCAATTTTAAGTTGGTCTGGAAAAACTCCGTTTGAAATGGATAAATTAAAAATATGCATAAGAGGCTGATATAGTACAAAACCGCATTCTTTCATAATAAAAGGTTTAAAATCATCATGACCTGCAGCAGAAGGTTTTAAATTAAAAATTATTTTTTGTAGTTCGTTAACATCAACTGGGTCTAAAAAGATTGAAGAAGCCTGTTGTCCTAATGTTTGCATAAAATCTAAGGGTTTTTTATCTGACTTGGGAATTTTTGCAGCTAAGTTTTCTCCAACTTTTACAAAAAAATTATTGAAATGATTAGCTATCTCCTGTTTGTTGGTTATTTTCACGTTATTTTGAATGAAGAAGTCAGGGATATTATTATTTTTATTTTTTCTTTTGAGTATCTCATTAATTATTTGCCAATTTGCCTTTATGTTGCCTTGATTCAGTTTAAATTTGTTATTATAGTATTGCTTTTCAGATAATTTAATTGTACTTTTTAGTTGATTTGCATAAGATTTATATTGTTTTTTATTTTGATCTGTGGGATTCCTGAGATATTTCTTGTATAGTTTGCTTTTATGTCTAATTGATTTAAGTGTTGCTGATGTAATCCAAGGTTTTTGATTATTATTGTATAGTTTAATTGTGATCTGTTTTAATGGGAAGCATTCATCATAAAATTCTGATAGTTTTTCCTCAAATTTATTATAAGATTCATTAACATCGTTGAAATTTGTAATATCAATCCAAGATTCATTAGAGAGGATTTCTTTAAATTTTAAGATGCTTTCATCAGTATATTTTCTAATAGACTTTTTCATTGATGTTGTTTTGTTAACAGGTTTGTTGGAAACAGCAAATATTGGAAAGTGATCTGATATGTCATTATATATAATTCCACATAAGTCAACTTTAGTATCATTAGTAAATATGTTATCTATGAGAGTGGCTGAAGTAGAAGTTACTCGAGTTGCTTTATATATTACAGGCATGAAGTTATATGAAGACATAATGTTGTAAAAGTTTTCAGTATTTTCATGTTCAACAGATTTAAAAAGATCAATGTTAAAATCTCCAGCAATGTAGCTTAATTTGTTGTTTTCTCTTGAAAGTAAAGATAGGTATACATCTAGGTCATTGTTGAATTCTTCTAGATCAACATTTGGTGGCTTATATACACAGGTTATTAAAATATTCTTTCCATTTTCAACAATTATCTCTATGGTTATGACATCACAATTGACATTGTTAAATTTTAAATCAGATCGTTCCTTGATATTAATAGATTTATGAAAAAGGAGACCAACACCGCCTCCTCTAGTTGTTCTTGAGTTGAAAAATCCTCGGTAATTTAGAAATTCAGAAAAGTTGTCTTCTTGATCTTTATACAGCCAAGTTTCAGAGAGAGCAATGACAGATATATTTTTATCGATAGACGCAAGTAGATTAGACAATTTCCAATGATTTGAAGACAAACTACGAATATTGCAGTGTAAAATAGACATATCTATGTTATTCTTGGAATTGAGATTATTATTGAAGTCAGAAAGTGTGACATATTCATTCTTAGCCATGTATTCCTTGGTTGTGTTATCAAAGTCTGGGGCGTCGGGATCATCATCTCTGATTTCGAGCGGATTAAAAATTTTATTTTCAAAATTAATGATCGAGTCACCATTTGGAACAATATCAATAAATTCGGAAGAGTCTATAATATTAAAAAAAGGAAATTCAGACCATGGGCATGACACATGTGTATTCAGATTAACCAGTATCCAAAAGTAGAAGCATTTCACACACAAACAGATCCCCTTTATGAATGTTACAAGATTTGAAAAAAGGAAGTCTCAATATGAATTGAAACATGATGTTCTGTGAACACAGAACTGGGCTAGATGTAAGGGGCAAATACATATTTGTGGCTCAGTTGAATGACATATAAACATAACAGTGAATGTAAGAACCAAAATAGAATAAGATACAATTTAACAGATTTAATAACATATTGCGCATGTGCACTATATACCTGGCAGGTGTAAAAGTGAAACATAAAGTAATTATAGCAAACTCCCTGCCTCCATGATCCTTACTCAAAAGCATCTAAAAATGAAATCTCATTGAAAGATGACCAACGTGGTTACAGCATAAACTGCACATGCGCTAGAAATACGAAAGGTGTTGTTTAATTCATAGATGCATTAAAAGATTATATATAAAATAATTAAGTGTCCTATTCCCTGACTCAATGATCTTGAATTCAGGACAACATTCTCATTGAATGAAGACGTAAGTTTAAATAAAGATGGCAGTGTTGTTACACCAAAATGAATTCATATAGACGTACAGTCTCCTGCACATCCCATGAAAATAATATCTACATCATTAAATTGCTCAACTGGAAATCATCAATACATACAAATGTATATTCAGGAGGATTAATATAAAGAGCAATAAACATCGTCTATAATGGTGACTAAGAATTCCAAAGAGGCTTTCCAAATGAAAGACTCAAGTAGAAAATAAACCATGATTTAAATGTTTGGGCAAATTGGTTTCCAGGGTTGGTTTGCATGCCAAATATACAGTCAAATACACATCGCAAAATAAAATCTGAGTAATGAATTGATTGGGGGATTTGAAATAGCTTGACTGTGAAGGATACAATACCATAAATATTTACATTGGCTAATTGCCAGATCCATAAATCAAGTGAGTGGTCTAAGAGTGATATTAAACTCATCAACTTGAATCTTATACAATACTTTGTATCAGACTAGTCTATTAAAGATATATTTAAATATTTCAGTTATACAGTAATTATACAATATACCCTTACTGCTTTTTGAGGTTATAGCAGATAATGTTGATTATTGTTAATGAATGGGCTTGCTAAATAATTCAGGCCAATGATAGACAACTTGTTACCCAAGTATCTAGAATTACATGAAAACAGACTGAATGTTGATAAGGTAATACTGATCATAAATGTGAGTGTAAGTGTTTAGATGTGTGCATATGGATAATGCACTGCTTAGAGACCCATGTCACTGATTTGGAAGCGTTGGATAGTTCCTGTTTTAAGCTTGCCAACAATTTTGCCATTGGAACTCCATGCAGATTCCACTTCAGGCGATTTCTTAATGTAATCGAGGAGTTGCCTGTTGAGTGGGCTTAAGTCCTCAAATACCAATATGTTGGAGCCTTTCAGATTCTTTTTGTTCTTCATTATGATATCCTTGGTGCCACGGAACTTCAGGCGAGCAATTATGTGCCTTGGTTTTGAGTTATTTCCACTTGTGATGCGTCCTACCCTGTGCGCTATTTCAACATCCATGTGATTTGTCTTATGTAGTAAGATCTTCCATGTGATATGTCTATTATGTGATAAGGTTTTCCATGTGATAAAGAGGAGAGGTGATAATGTAATATTTCATTCATTTTTTACATTCATATTTCTTATTTTTTAAAATATCATATTTTTGGGAGCTCATATTTCTTTTCCCCAATATTCCATATTTTTATCCCTTATTTATTTATATTTATTTATTTGATTAGCCACCCTGTTTAATATGTTCTGTCATGAGAAGCTTTGTATTCCTAGTTTTTGTGTACGTAGAAATGGAGGAGCACATACACATTCTCAATATTAACCTGTATGTTAAAGTGTTAGCAGGTCGATATTGACACATTTAAGCATGTAATTGGAGCCTTTTTTAGACATTGTCGAGATAAGATAGCTCTGTTCTACATTACGTTGCCTACAGCTAAACCTGTGTACTGTGAACACATAAACTCATAGAGAACATGTCCATTTATCATGTGCAAAATGAACATTTTGAATCAGAGTTTTCACCATTTTTTGTAGGTGTTTACTCATAATATGTGTAGTGCTTACCAAGTGTAGTGCTCACCATCACAGTTGTTCACCAAGGGTGGTTTCATGGAATATTGTAGAACACATACTATTTCTGTCATTTAAATGGCAACTGGATAGGTAAAACATGTTAAGATTTGGCTTTTAACTAGTGCTGGGTATAGCCTAGATAATAGGGCTCAGAATCAATGGTCAAAAAGTATAATACTGAATAAAACATATATATTGAAGGTGTCCGAAATCATTTTATTATTTTTCCATATTGAACAGTCAGTGGCAATATCACATAAGAGTACTGGTCTATACAAATATTCCATTATCCATTGTAAGATTAACCTAAAAAGGCTGCCGAAAACCTTGGCAAAAGATATATCTGTATTAAAATGTGTGTAATTGGTCTATGTTCACTGTATCTATATTAAAATAGTAAAATGGCAAAAGATGAAAAAATCTTACAACTGGTGTTCAAGAAATTGACTTCCCCTTAAGATTTGATTGAGTGAATTACCACTGACTGATCTAAATTGACATAAGTAGAAATTCTTATTATGCAGTAACAAACTTCCAAGGTATTTTATATGGAGAGTTGAGGCCAAAAAGTATACTAAATAGCTTACTAATACATATAGTTTGATATTTTCTTACGGAGTGTTACAATATGATGAGCTTCATCATGTAACTTAATATTTACCTCGATAATTTGTAAAATTTTCAGTACATTTTTTTGTTTCCAGACAAACATAAATGTATTTAGATGAACTCCTATGCAAGAAACATTTGTGATATTCATTAAATGTAAATGCAGTCATGTGATATAAAAATGTGTTTCCAGAAATACAATTATGATGTAAAACTGTTTAACATACATTATTGTTGTTATTTTACTGTTTACAAATGGAGCTAAATTCCATGAATACATGTTCAATAGAGGACATTGGGGTGATCTCAGAATGGCTGGGAATGGCCCTATGTCCTCTAGTACTGACCTTTATTTTGAACAAATCATCAAACCCATGCATTTGGAGAGTGCATTCAACAATCTCCAATGCGAGACACGGGATTGAGACAATGGAATCCAGTGTCTAGTGGTGTTTTACGAGAAAATACAACTGTTGATTTCCTATTACAGGGCTAGTAGTTTATAATCAAAAACTTCTAAGGTTCAAGGTTGTCTCAATTTGAGACATTTGTCCAAGGTGAATACTGAAAAATTATACTTTTTCATACTTGGCAAATTTCAACCATTACATTTTCCAAATAACAATGAAATGTACTATGACATTTGCTACTATTACATTTAATGCTATTAATCTTCACGGAAGACAAAATTTTTAAATTACTTTTTTGGGTTTTTCATCAAAATTAGGTCATATGTTAAAATTTTCATTTTTCAGTGATACATTTCGGGTTAATAATTAAACCTTAGAAGTTAAATTGATTTCTCATATATTAATGCTAACAATGAAACATGAGTCTAGTCTTCAAGTAGTGAATCTAGCTCTAACACTAGAATAATTATCAATGACCAAGTTTCAGAAACTCATTTCAACTAGGGTGGAGATGAGAGTCTTGATTCTGTTTCACATAATCATGATTCAGAAACATGTGAACCATAAATGCAATAAGGAGATGGAAATTAATCGGGCCTGTAGCCAGCAGCTTTTGTCAATGTGGTTCACTCCCCAAAAAATCCGGAGGTTCACTTCACATTTGCAACTTTTACCCAAATCATTTGAAAAGTGAGAATGGTGAAAAACTGCACGATTTTGAAAGAATTTTTGGACCCGAACTCTCCCACTGGCTACGGGCCTGTTATTTATGACAGAAATCTTTCGCTCTAATTTTGCATTTGGTGTTACATTTTTTTTAAAGATTATTCAAATAAGTGACATGTTCCAGGGATTGAACATGAAAGTCCTCATTGATGGTTCTTTTTGGTAGTTAAGTATATGTATAACTAAACTATCATGCAGTATTTGAACAAACAGTGCCACACGATTACATGTTCAAGCTAACATTTGTAGTGATTATACTGTTATAGAATACAATACTTAAGCCACTATCAATATACAGTAAACCCTGTTTATATAGTGAACACAACTGGTTGTGAGATATTTTTCGTTGAGAATTTATATTCAGCAAAGTGTGAGGCAACATATTATATGAAAATCAAGAATGAAACATATGTGCTACAATTGATTTAATTCAAAAGAGAGCAATTTATATTTTACAAATTTGAGGTGTTCATCATAGCAACAGGTTTTACTGTAAAGTACACATACATATAGAATTCAATGCAGTCCAAATCACCTGACTATCATAGGACAACAATAGATCAGTTGATCTGAAGTACAGTGACCTGTTATATATAAAGAAACTGCCTGGCATGATCAGACAGGTTCCATTATGTTAGGAAACTGTTTATCATGTTGAGACAGATTCACATTGATTTATACAGCATTTTTCAAAATTCACAAATAAATTCCAGGGGGCAGTTTCTTAAACAAACACACCATTCCTTTAAGAGACCATGACATGTTGATAGAATCATGTTATATTATTATTTTTTGAATGGTTATAGAGTATATTCAAGAAAAAGCCCTGGATTTAGAAGTGACTGTTGTTTTAAAATGAATGTCTGCATTACATCAAAGTTTAGTCCCCCTTTACATATACATGTATAATAAATATCAGGGAGAATGATTCAAATAATTTGACTCAAAACAAAAATTAAATATAAATAAAGACCTATAAACCATAAATTAATCATAAACAATAATACTTCATATGTATGTATTAAAAAATGCTGTATATTTTGAATTCATCATTACAAAACATGGGTTCCACAAAAATGTATATTTTCGGCTACTACATAAAGCAGATAAAGCGATAGCAGAAAAGTAGATTATTTTGCCAGTCCCATAAATGTAACCAACAAGGAAAATACACTAAGCTACATATAATATAATAGAGGATAGAATGAAGAGATACCCAGTCTTATGGAACCCACGCCCTTCTCTATAGAAAAAAATCAATCCAATATTAATGTTATAAGGTAATAAAGAAAATGGAAAAATTTCAAAGTCATGTAAAAATCCCAACCCAATTCCAATAATATTGGATGAAATAGATTATGATGGTTTAACCATTTTTACCCTAAAATTACAAATAATACTACAATTTTCCATTCATTAATTTCTAGTAATCTTATATTGCTCGTACAACAACCCAATTTGAAATCGCATATTTTGGACAATCAATGCATATTTAGTCTATTGTAAGTCAGAGGGGGAGAAACACCAGGGTTCAAAGATGACATACGCTTATAATGTAAATCTGTATTGAGATGACATCGTCGCTGATTGGTCAAAAGTCGACAAACAAATGACGTCATCAATGGCGGTTTCAAAATTTTCGAAATACGCTTCGAATAATATTATGTTCATTTCTGGCGTGTTAACCAATATCATAGCTTCTCATTTCACATCAAGATAAAGAAAGGTGTACGGAATATGCCTATATCAAATAAAACATCCCATCGAAGTGTAGTATTTGATAACTAGCCGATGGAAATTCGAACGAACGAAGGTGGTAAGCAAGAGAGGTAATTATGTCTGTCATCTTTAAACTCTGGGGCTTTCCCTCCTCTTATTGTAAGTGATATAATTCAGAATGTAGGCTTAAGTAGACCTATTGGCTATGGACCCATATAAACATGGGGTAGGGGTTGGGACATTGAATAGGAGCAGTATTTTCTAAATGTGGGGGGGTTGGGATATGGTATACAAGCAATATAAAACTCATATCATGTTACATTAGTGACAAAATCAACAATAAGTATACATTTGACAAATTTGAACGAAGCAAGCACCCGCGATTGCCAATTTTTCATCACATTTTCAAACCATTTCCTAAATTTTGAAAATTGTCCGAAATAAGTATCAATCTCAAGCAGGACACTACAAATAATATAATATTATTATACCATTCTATTTAAAAAGGTTATGAAAAACTGACACTCTTCTATTTGATTTTGCATCTGTTGAAATGCGGGCCAACACCTTTAGGCTTTATCAGAGTCAGTAAACTGAATATCATTGTACTTTAACCAATCTCTATCAGCCTAATTATGGTTAAAGTCTACTGTAGTTTACATAAACAATTTTAACACACTGTTTTCAAAAGCAATGAATGATTCATTTTATTTAGATTACATTTTGTGATTTGGTATCCGGTTATAGATGAACTCAATAACTTGGCTTTTAGTGAGAGCAAAATCACCGATCCACTGTGAAAGGTTATTGTGCCTTCTTTGTGTGTTCTTTATATTGCCTAATATAGAAAACAAATACATTCACTCCATACTTTCTTACAACAGAAAACAGATATATGATTTTTCTATTTTAAGAAGGAAATATCCTTGTTTTCTACATTAGAAGGCAAATACATGTACATCACTCACTACAACAATGACCAAAAATATATCCCCTTCCTACATCAGAAAGATTTTTTCTGCTTAAGAAAGAATATAACAAACATATTTAGTCACTGCATTAGAAAGAAAATACATTTGTTATTTACTCACTATATCAGAAAGTAAACATATTCCTTTGCATATTAGAAAGCGAACAATTCATTGAGAGATGTCTTGGACAAATCTGGCTGATCCTCTGCGTCATCAACGGAATCTCCAAGTTTAAGGAACTGTTGAAGGGCATCAGATAAGTTTTCAATTGGTAGACGGTCAGCAACGATCTCTTCCTTCTTAATAAGGGCAGGTGTTTCATTCACTGGGACAGCAAACTTAGTCATCTTTTTCAACGCTGGACACAACTGCATCCTGAAATTCAGATTTTTTACAAATTAATTTATTTAACAAAATATGTATGAATTAAGTGTTAATCTGATTGTGACTTTTCAGTTATCAAATCCCAAATCCCCGAAGACTCTTGTAACGTAACAGACAACCATTTCATCAATTTCAAGTCGATCTGACCTTTCAGTTATACCTAATTAGTTCATTCATGAATATCTGAGGCTTGTAGCCAGGGGGGTTGGCTTGAACTCAAAAATTCTTTCAAACTCATGCAGTTTTCACCATTTGAGCACTTTTCTTGAGTGATTTTGGGCCAAAGTTGTCGTTTATTGTTTATTATTTATGTGCCTAAGGGACTTGACTACACAATTTCTAGACAAAGAGTTAACATTTTGTTTGTATGTTGATGATAGAAATTGTGTAGTCGTCCTTAGACACACAATCGAGTGATATAATAAATAACATTGCCGAGTAATTACTAGTTCTCATGCAGTCTCATAAGGACACAGGTTAATCAATATAATTATTTGGAAATAACAAAAACATTTTTTCACTTTGTATGCATCATTGCCAAAATTAGTCTTTGCCAAAAAACTGGATATTATAATGTACAATGTAGAATGTCTTGAATTCTATCATAGGCCCTTTTATGTTCTTTGAGCAACACTATGTTATCAATGTAAGAAAACACTTGCTGTGATTTTGTTTAAAAGATTTCATTTATATTATTAATTGGTAAATTCCTGTTTATTCAGTAATGAAACAGCAGAATTATTTGAACTCTGGGTGACAGAATGATTTTGCTGGAGATATGACTGCTATTCCCACAACTGTTTGTGTTTATGAAAAAGATGAATTTCAAATGGCCTGAGTTCATTCAATCTTTGAAGGGCTCATAAATATATCTAGTGCAATAAAGATAGAAAAGAAATATATGATGTACTTCCAAAACATTTTCTCTGAATAATTGAATTATATGTAAATATAAATATAAAAGTTGGTATCAATTATTTGAATAATAAAAAAAGAGATATACTTTATTCAGGTTTTAATGGGCCTTTTCAATAAGAACCAGGATTAAGATAACATTTTTTGGATGGTTAAATCTAAGTTGAGAAAAAGGGCCTTAATAACTCAGTTTCAACTCACCAAAATGGCTCGGCGACAACATGGAAAACAGATGGTTTAGCCATTCCATTGAAGGTGGTTGCAGCCGAAATGGTATAGGCCCCCATATTCTCAAACATCATGTATTCTCCAACATTGAGCTCTGGGAACTTGTATTTCTCCTTAATGCAGTCGAGGCCATCGCACGTGGGTCCCCAGATGGAGCATGTATATGTGGGGTCTGATGATGGCTGAAGCAATTGTGGAACTACCTCTGCATGGTCAAACAACAAGCAGTTGAAAGAGCCATATACTCCATCATTCACGTAGTACATGAAACTGGTTTCTGGTTCCCCTTCAGCTTCCTGCGTAATGACCTCTCTCTTCGCGATGATATTGACGCAAAGTGTAAATGCAGATGCTACGAAATAGCGACCAGGCTCAGCAATGACCCGAACACCCTCTTCTTCAGGGAAATAATTATCCAATGCGGATGACAACTCCTCAGCGATCTCCTCAAATGTGATCTTCTGATCTGGTTGGCCAGGGAATCCACCTCCAATATCAAGCAGAGAGAAATTGAAACCAATTCTGGCCCCAACATCAAACGCATTTCTGGCAGATAAGACAGCTGCGGAGAAGGCAGTTGGATCATAACATCCGCTCCCAACATGGAAACTAATGCCAATAACATCTAATTCAAGCTCCATGGCTTTGTTGAGGAGCTTGGCTACATTATCAGGATGGCATCCAAACTTCATTCCAAGCTGGCACTGGCATTTGGTATCCTCAGGGGGCAACAGACGAAGTATCAACTTAGCATTGGGGTATACTTTCTTCACTTTATGCAATTCATTTTCATTATCGAAGGTCATCATGGCAACATCATGCTTGGCTGCGAAACGGATATGTGATGTTTGTTTACAGGGGTTAGCATACACAATGCGGTCTGAGGACACTCCTAGGTTCAAAATACGATCAATTTCAGACTTGCTTGCGCAATCAAATCCAGTTCCTAAGGCGGCAAGGGTTTGACACACGAGAGTGTCTTCGTTACATTTAACGGCATAGAATGGCTCGACTCTTGGCAGGAGGGACTTCCATTTGGTTAACTTCTTAACAACATCCCCAAGATCGGCTACGAAGAATGAATCCTCACTTTCCATATGTTGGTCAACTTTTGCCTCAATGGTCTTCTTTAACTCTAAATTCTCGTTCAGAATTTCAACAGGTGCAGAAAATTGGTCATTTACATACATGACCGTGGCCTCAGGTGCTTGCTTCATTTTGTCAAATTGTTTATAAAGCTATAAGACAGTTTGGTATATAGTCAGGTAAGAGTTTTATAGATACTAGGATATACGTAGAAGAATATATAGTTGAAATGCGAGTTCTTTTAGCAGATATCAGCTGGGATCCCAAGGGGGCTCTGCATTCACGTCTAGTTTATCGCGATGAAGACAGGTCCCTTCAGGACAGTCGCTTGTGATGGGTCCCCCCTGAAAGCATAGTAAGTAAATGGCATTAATAGAAACATCAGATAAACTACAAATAAAACATTTGATCATTGAGATTAAATGGCATTTAACAAGCTCTATAAGTGAAAATATGTATAAAATAGAAACAAGTATTCCTCATTCAGAAAGGAACAATCCACAAGAGACTATAGTACCAACATATTATATACATGGTGTATATTTCACCTTGTGGCCTCAATTGGTACTCAAAACTTGAATCATAGCAAAAATCACATGTGAATCATAGAATTTTAGTACTAAACACACAATATCTTGCTTTTTGGCAATATCTCTGGATTGTGTCATGACGGATTATCTTATTAAAGATCGCAAGTGTTAAAACTGACTTTTTCTGACAAGTTACAAAAATATGAAAGATAAAAACCATATTATATAACTGATCAAAGCTCCTGACATGTCTAATCTACCACACTTCCAGACTAGTATATAATAGGATGGAAGGTGCAAACTGTAGGATGACAACAGGGTCAGGTTGTGTAATACTTGTATCATGGCCAACTTCTATCAACTTCTATCAAGCACACAACTTCTTACCATTTTTGGAGTTAATTTTTAAAATCACTCCATATCTACTTGTGTATTGAAATCTTGGGGTTAAAAACTTTGTCAGTAGTTTATACAATGCTGAATTTTATCAAAATAACCATAATCAAAATAGTAATTTGAGGTTTATCCGCTATATTATTTTTTCAAAATATCAGAGGTTACAGACTTTATAAGTCACAAGCAATCCAAGATACAAATGTCATTCGTGTGCAATATGGATATATATTTCTATAATATTATTGCACAAGTCTTTAGATTCCTTATTTTTTAGGTTCAATGATGGGCTTTCATGAGAGCCGATGGTTCAACTGGTTGTTTTGAAACCCTGGCCCACGGGTTCACTTTATATAAATCTTGACGGGGATCCTCCGCACACACGGGGTACCTTTTTTGACATTTGGTATGGCAATAGACCCAAATTTTCGGATCTGGTATGAGAATGCCCCCAAATTATGAAATCTGAAATATGGCCAGATTTTTCCACATTCTAGTATGACAATGGTCGTGGAAAATATGTTACCTCACACTTGTGGTATGGTATTGGTCTAGTTTACATTCTTCTAAGGCCACTATATCATGGCCTTCGTCCAAAGATAAATCCCTTTCTTTTTTCTGCTGTATAGGGGTCAATGTCATAATCATAGAATTTGAAATCAAATGTTCGCCATTTTTCCACATCACAATTCTTATAATGCCTCACCAAAAATTCCAAAACAAACAAGAAGTGATCAATGTATTAGTTCACATCTTCTGGATCACTAACTTAGAATTTACAGCCAGTTACTGTCAGACAATAACAGCATTTCGTCCAGTTTTCGAATACATGAAAACATATTGATTTCTGAGGGTTAAGCCTAAGAGGACCCCCGCCAAGATTTATATACAGTGACCCCCCGCCCCCTAGTCATATAAATCTGACCCTCGTATGATGTTATTTGTTGTTATTTTTTCCGATTTGGATATTTATTTTTTCTTATTTTCTTGCATACTAGGGTCATACACACTCCTCGCATCTAAATTGCGGGAAATGCTTTCCTGGCCTGTCTTCCCAACCAAATTCACACAAATGATAAATAAATTTCTTTGCTTCAACTATAAAGTATTTAATCTTACCTTAGACACGTAAAACGCTTGGTAATTGAAGAAATATAAGCATGCCGCTTGAATTAAAAATTTTTTCATTTTGCCATGCCAAGGTCACTTCCGGGTTAATCTAAGTCTAGATGTAAAACTATATCAAACGAAATCATAAGTACTTGTTACACGAAGATTCAGTTGAAAGAGAAGCAGTGTCGTTAAGAAGGGAAGTTATTTGGAAAGGTTATTATTTCAAAATGAGAAAAGTAATAAGTATGAGAGAACGGCTTTGGAATCGATCTCTGTGTAATAAATAATTATGATTCCGTTTCGCTACATGTTTTACATTTAGACTACCGGAAACAACATTCAGCAACATGGCGGGCGATAATGAAAATATAATTCAATTGATTATATTTCGTCAATTATCAAGCGTTTTACATGTCTAAGGTTAGTCCAACAACATTAGACCTAGCCTGGGCCTCGTTTCTTATCTGACATGTCTTATGGCCCCGGCTAGGTCTAACTTCCATGATCATTTTGCCCTTGTTGCGATCATTTAATCGTTCAGCAGGTTTCGACATGCGGAACAAATTAAACCGTAATAAGATGGTATCGTTACAGAAATAATGTGATCAACACATGCATACATACCTTATGAATAAATACAAATCATCACATACCCCCCTGTAACCTCATCGATGTATAATTATGAAAATGTTGGGAGAAGGCTTTTTCTTAGTTTAGAAAACTCTGTTCTGGTTCCGGTAACATCGAAATGGCAAATCCTTTCAGGAATAAACCGCCGTTAGCAACACTGAACGAAACAAGTTCATAAAACGAAACGAACCCCGGTTATCCTATATATAAGTACAAAATATTGTAATACTGTAGGAGGCTTGCGATAAACATGATTAAGTTTCCTACTTTTTTTCCTGTTTTATTTTCAGAATTATGGTAAATTTCTGGCTAAAATGCTAAAGCTTTCAACATCTTTGGACAGACGCAAGCATGTGATACTGAATAATTAGATATTTTTCTTAACATGTTTAAATATATATTGTGCCAAAGTTTTCTCTCCCAGAAAGTCAGTGATTTCCCATTGTAATAACTCAGATGCGAGTAGGTAGTTACCAGTTTCACCACCAGGTGGCTCATTCAGGCCACATAGCATGACATAGTTATGCAAATTAAAATAATGTATCTGTCCAATACAAGAAAACATATTTCAATTTTTGTGACTTTATATGTTGAATCTCCCCGTAGTAGCATTTACATTTTCCAAAACAAAAATTTTTCAAAATTGATCAACAATATTTGAAGCAATATTTCTTGATGTACTTTTACATGTACATTTCAAATACTAGATAGTATGACATCATTTTGACTGAATGTTTAATGACGATCAAGTAAGGTTTTTTAACATTAGAGTAATGAGATCGAAAAAAGCTGAAAAGTGTTGATTTGAAAAAAATCAGATTTGGAGGTATCGAGATAAATCAGGTGTGAAGTATAGGTTAAAAGTACATTTACTTGCTCCAATATCGTGATAAAACACATGTGTTTAAATTTTCTCTCATTGAGTAAATGAAATATCATTGTATATATATAACTTTTATTGACATCTTGTATCATAACATGATTACATTAGTCATAACTATGAAAAAAACTAAATATCTAAACTACAAATACTAACTAAGGCAAAAGTACAAAAATATATACGAGATATACAAAAACCCAAAATAAAGGTAGTATACATCATGATGAAAGGACAAGGTTACATTTAAAGTGTGGTGCACATACCCTGCATTCTGACTACAAATTCTTAAATGAATGATAAATGAATTTTCCAATGTGTCTTTGTAATGTTAAGTTTTTACTTGAAATGAGATTGACAAATAAATTTTCACTATTGAGGTCAAAGTTACTTAGAATTTCGCGAGCCTTAGTGTACAATAATTGTCTATGCTCATCATTCTTTGTACAAGTTAAAAGGAAATGACATTCATCCTCTATATGATTACAGGTATTGCATAATCTTTCCTCTCTAGGTTTTGGTTTTGGCTTTGCATGTCTTCCAGTCTCAATCGCCAATCGATGAGAACTCATTCGAAATCTACTTATCGCCAATCTATACTTTTTATTATCTAATTTCAAATATAATTCAATTCTAAAATCTTTTTTGAACAATTTATACGTTCTCAGTATAGGATAAATGTTCAAATCATTTTTCCATTTTTCTACAAATAATACCTTCAACTTCTTTTCTACCATGCTCACTAGATTGTCAGTATTCAGATTTTGGTCATTCCAATAATCCAATAAATCACATTTTCTGAGTATATCATAGACCTTGCTAGACCAACTTTTGAATCCTAACTCTTGACTATCTCTATCATATAAATAGGCTTGGTTTAATACACTTGATTCTGGAAATGTTAGGAGTCTAAGCGTGTAGAAAAATATGTTTTATAAAATAGCATAAACAAAACTTTAATTTTATTAAGAACATCATACATTTAAGAGCTAGGAATAAAACAACCATGCTTATACATCAGTGTTCTCCCCAAAAAAAATTTTCAACTGGGTGCAAGATTTCAAGTCTAAAAAAATCAGCACTCGCTACGCTCACAATATCTCAGTGTAGGTGCTTACTTCACTCATTCTTTAAATCAGAAGTTGAAGTGCAGATGCCAACTGGGTGCCAACTGGGGGGCCTTTGGTTTCAAGTAGGGGGAGCCCCCGTTAAAAGTGACATGGGGAGATCACTGTACATGTAATCTTATCACAATACATCACCACATTGAAGTTATTAAAATGTATCAATTGTTACAAAGCATGTATGCTGAGTAAAATACATGATTCCAGTTATAAACAATTGAGTGTATCAGTGGAGACGATTAGGTCGTTTAACGTTTATTACGACAATTGACGTCATTGTGCGTTAATTGCCGGGTATCGCGTTAATTGACGTACTTCAAATTCAAATTGATTTAGACGTTATTTTCGTTGCATTTCATACTTTTTGGTGATATTTATACATACAGATAAGCTTAAATTTTTAATTATTTAGCATACAGAAGAACATGGCTTCACTTCTTTCTGTTTCAACCAGGCTTTTAGAAGCAGAAACACAATAGTATAATCATTTGAACAACTGACGATCAAATATCAGGATGGCTTATTTTGCGGTAAACACACGCAAGAGAGGCACCTGGGACATGTTTATTACAATTTGGGCAAGATGTTTTTACTTTTATTCGAAGCATTGGATAGATATCTTCAACTTCCATGTGGGAATTGTGTTTTCTATGATGCAATATTTTTTTATAAAGCAATAATGAAGACGTTGTCGAAATATGGAGTCGCGACTCCATTAAAAAGTCGCAATGACTCTATAGCATAATGATCACAGTCTCATTGCATCGCCAATGAATTTCTATTATGGACAAATTGTGTTGGTATATTTTATTGAACAAAATTAGATTTCCATATTGATGATGAAATTAAATACAACATTTTGAATGTTTCATCCTAGAACGGGCCCGTATTGCCGATTTCTCCCGAGTGCATCTGACTAAATAAAGTCCACTTCAGAATTTAACGAAATATCACAATTAGAAGAAAAAATATAAATATGTTCTTCATATTTATGATGATAAGAACGTATTTTATCATGTCCTTGAACAATTTTAATGATTGTTTTTACATTTAATATGAAATTTAATTTTTTTAAATTTAATTTTTAATTTTAGTAATTGCTGAATATACGTAACACTGCGAGTCGGATCCAATTCATAATTTATGATAATGATATACAGGTTAAAAGTCAGTAGGTCAGACGATTGGCCAATGAGGGTGGCTCAAGATTTATAAGTATAAACATTTAGAAGGTTTAGATGGGGTCTTCCGGGGGCCCGGTCCGGGGGTCTTATTCATGTTCTTATTTGCAGCAGAAATCTACTTCGATTTATTAATTAATCAATCTTTTAATCAGTATAGCCTATCGCAAATATGTACTACTAGTTGAACATCGCATATCATCTGTTAAAAATTGTCACCTCAATATTCACGGGCTTTAATTTAGTAAAGGCTAAAAAGACAAACTATCAGGGGACAGCAGATAGTATCTAACCGATATCGTTTTTGAAAGAGGTCCGTGATTTCAAGACGTAAGTCTGCCAGTTATGAATCGAAATACGCGTAAATAAATTATACAACTGTTTATAATTTATAATAGACGCTTTTTATCGATTCTCACAATTTCAAACATTGACAATTTCATCAAGAAGTACTAATGAGGTAGGTACATTTCGGCCAGTTACCTTGGTAATGGGCGATAATAAAAATACGACCTAGCCCGTACGACAATCAACGTTCCCCCACGTTTATTATACGATTACACGTAAATTGACGCGATTGATTACACATGCGCAATTGAAAAACATAGAACGTCAATTAACGTAGTATCCGTCAATCAACTACAATGACGTTAATTGACGGGATAAACGTTAAATGACCTAATCGTCTCCACTGTGTATTCCTAGGTACGTTTTTGCAAGCAGAAAACCATGAACAATTACCATAATTTAATATTTAGGCACAATTATTCAACACAATCACAATCTAGCACAATCAATGACATCTATATTTCTTTGAGCTGAAATTACCAGTAATCAAATGCATCAATAATGTTGCTTTTTAAAGTTTTTATAAATAACAAAAGAGTAAACTTGGGTGAATACACGCGCTGTTTGAATAAAGCAAAGATTCGTGTCATACTGGATGGTTATAATAAATATCAATATTGAAGAACAATTTCGTTTCGCTGACCAAGTGTACTTTGGCGACGCACAGACAGACATTGCCGGTTGAAATATTCGTCTCATAAATTGGTAAGAATAAGACTCATTTTACGATTAAAAATGAACATTTAACACAATAATATTATGTGAAATCGCCTGATGAAATGTGGTTTTATATTATTGTTAAGTATCAGTGTCATATTAGCGAGGAAAAGTGGTTTCGATAGATCCACAACTTGCATCAAAGGAAAGAATAGCATGGAGGTTAAACTCAATAATGGCCCCAAGAAAATTCCTAATAATAAAGAACGCCGTTATTGAGTTTAACGACGTTGAACTAGTCTAAGGTAAGATTTAACACTTTGATGTTGGAGCTAAATAATTACTCGATAATTTGTGTGACTTTGGTTAGTATGGTAACTATGGTTACCAAGACAGGCCAGAAAAGCGTTTACCGCAATTTGTCAGCAATAATATCTACGACCGTATATGCTAAGAAAATGATAAAAAATAAATATCCAAAAAGGAACAAGGAATATCGAAGAACAGCATACAATGGTCGGATTTATATGACTACCGCCCCCGGGTTTTGAAGCAGAGTAACAGTAGCTAACAATAGCTCACACATGTGTGTTTATTTATACTTCAAGTTTATATCGTATCCACAGACATCGCAGCTTATGATTCATTTTATTTTTGAGAAAAAATGGATTTCCAGTGAGAGTGAAGGAAGCATAAAAATGGCTAATATATAAAAGATACTGGATGTAAACATGTAAACTTACCGCTAATGGATACACTGGAGCTTCGTCTTGATTTGAAGAACACAATATCATTTCCCAAGTCGTGATATTTTGGTCATTATAGAAAAGAAATGCGAGAAATAATATGGTCGTGTGTTCGGCCTGCTTACTAATCCACGCATGCGCAATCGACATTCCAGCAAAATTGCGAACGTTCTATTTTCTACTAAATATTGATCAATGATTTGCAACTAAAAACCTAAAGAGGGTAGGTCAATCGCCTAGAATTTTGCCTGGCATGACCAATGTAAAACGACGAAAATGCACTCGTTTTCATTTTAGAATCACCTTGAGTGCCTATTGTCAGATATTGACTATAAGTGTCACTTGTTTTTAAAAGGTTGTATTCATTGTAGCCTATGTATATAAATGTTTAGTTTCTTGGATCAAATATAGGGTTTATACCAAGCGGTATTCAGTGATTTGGAATTAAGTATATACCTTTTGTATTTTATATTATATCTATTATTTCATTTATGTATAATTATTTAATTTGCCGCTAATGTTGTAAAACTTTGGCAATCAGCTGACTTTGTATATCTATGCTATTATTTGAAATAAATCGATAACATGAAAAAAAAGTTCCACCATTCGTACGCATTCCAATGGCCAAGTAAATATTTTTAAATGAATGAACTTCACAAAAAGAAATTCTTGTGGAAAAGAGTAAGTATTACGAGTCATTACATATACAAGGAATTTGATTGAAATGCAAGTTGTTAAACCGTATATCGATAACTGAAGATGTTAACACGCCAATAATTATATGTTGGCCTTACAGCAATTCGGGTTAAAACGTTTTAATCCGACTCAATTGCAAGTGATATTATACCATTCACAAAATTGATGAGAATAGGCCCTCAATCATGCAATAATTGGCTCAATATAAGAGCGAATAACTCATTTTTGAAAGTCAGGGTTTCATTTTTATTTACAAAATCGTATTTCGCGGCACATTGTTTCAACCACACACGTCACGTCACTTGGCGTAAAATTTCTGCTCTGAAAATGAAATCAGTTTTGCCGCGAAAACAGACACCCGCTGACACCCCGATATCATGATACATGAATGAACTTTTGGAAGTGTTGATGTTCACCATCGTAAAGTGTGGCCTTCATACGGTAAGATAGCGTAAATATATCTAAATCGAGTAAATGGTTTGAGTACAACTTAAAAAATAATTGCCTTGCCTTTTCCACGATAGCACCACCCCCCCCCCCCCCCTGACTGAAAACCTCACCCAAAAATTGAGGATCGTGACCATATTTCATCATATGAGTTATGTTCAGGCAGTCACACTTACGACACCATACGACAGCGGCCTAGTTTTCTAAATCGAGAAAATATGCAGCAAAAATGGGATCAAGGCTTTACTTGACCACGTCCTTAAAGGCAGAATCTGATCTATAGGGGGTAGTACTAGGGTGACAAAATTACAAGCAACATGTATAAATGACCTACCAATCTATTCCTTACAATATCAAATACAATATCTCCCAAAATATTATGTTATAAATTGGTGAAGTTATTAATGATTCAAAGTGCAAAAATGAGTGAAAAATGTTTAAATTCTCCCAAATAATAAGAATGGTAACCATTCTTATAGAAAAATAATGCATTATTGTAAAAATCTTTAGTTTTCCTGGAATAAAGTATGCACTTTTGTGATTTTTAGAAAATAGGCATGACATTTGTTTAGCCTGCTCGCTATATCTGATTCTCTCTTTAAGATATGCGAAATAGCGATATTTTGATTGACCCTTCGAAGTTAGAAATGTTCAACCTTCAGAACCAAATCTTGGGCAAATAATATTCACACAAAACGTTTAGCCCTGATTGATACATTTGCACACTTTATTGCGTTACATTTTGAATATTACATTTAAATTGCACAATGACATAAACTATAACCGTATTCTCACGCCATCTATAATAACATACCACAAGCTTTGAAAGCGCTGTGTGCTTATCTAGAAATAAATTGTGGAGTAAATGTAAGTAAATGTGCATCACTATTCCTGGATATATTTTCTTTAATTAACAGTACTGAGATTGTTGCGTTCACTCGTGCACAATTAAGTTTGACTTATAACGATGTCATCATCTGTAATTAATGTAAACCTCTATACTACTCTTTAACCGATCCAAATCCAGGGTTCAGTTTTGTATAGGCATATACAATCCAACTCCAGTGCATATTTCTAAGTAAGGCATTTACCTAATTGTGATTTCAGCCTCAAAGGCTTTTTAACTGAGCAATTTTTATTCAGTGATTTTGCACTGTTTGATGCCTTCTGATAAGACTCTTAGTACTGTATTCACATTATGTTCTGTGGCATTGTATCCCATAGCGCCTATTCTCCACAGTTTACCTATAGACTCGGGTCCCAAACCTCCGGCAATTTCAATTTTGTACCTGGAATATAACAAACATAATACGTTTTAATGTCTGTCTTTTTCTCCCCTGGTTACGTTTGCAAGAAAACGTACGTAGTCAAACCATTTTCTTGGTCGAATTAATGCATGACGGTTGATTGATTACATGGGATTCCCAGACATGCATTACTAGATATCAGAGCTTTTGATTGGTCCATAACCATTCATTTCCATTTCCCGTTGACACCAACGCGAAATTGCAAATCTCCCGTTCTAATCACAGCTCTCTCTCTCTGAAGCTGATAGGGTATTTGAAGTAGACTAAGTAGCGCTTGTTTTGTATGCGCGCTATATACACTATATTGATTCATTGGCTTTGCGTTCACGGTTACGTTGTGAAAAATACCGCCTAGCTTAAACTCTCTATTCTTATAAATCGTCGTCTATACGTAAGAATATTACACTTATCGTTTAAGCTACGTTCACACCAACGTAAAACGGGATATTCGGCAAAAGCGCCAAACATTTTTAAAACTACGTTCACACCAACGGCGAATGCCACGCTTTAAATCGGCGAGCAAAGCGCTGTCATTTATGTTTACTTTTCCAAAAATATCACGATCTCCTAAGTAGTGTTACGCTCTAATAAGCTCTGATACGCTCTGATTTCCCGACTTGTTACGGTTCCTCACGCTATGATTCCGCTTCGACCAGGCTTTGATAAGCTTTGGTAAGCATTATTACGCTTTGATGCGATTATGACGCTTTAATCATCACGCTCTGATACGATTGCCAAGCTCTGTTGTGCATTTTCGAGATCATGACCTATCATGACCTATCTGAAGAAGACATGATGTTTGTCGCACGGCGTGAAAGAGCGTGATGAAGCTTGTCAAGCGTAACAAAGCTTAACAAAGCGTTTCAATCCTTGATTAAAGCGTCTCAATTCGTTAAAAAGCTTCAGAGTCCTTCATGAAAGCGTAACAAAGAGTGGCAGATATTGATGAAAGCGTCTGACCTCGTGTCAGATCTTCATGCCAGATCGTAGCAAAGCTTGAGACATCTAAACGAAGCGTGTCAAGTGGTAACAGACCGTGAAGAGACTGGGGTCTCTTTGAACCAAGTCTGTTAAGCTTTCCTCATCTTGATTCACAAGGTTTCGATTGTTCCTACCTGTCTCTAGACCCAGTGGAAAGCGACGATGGCTTTCCTACGATTTGGGTCAAGCTTTGCTGAGCTTTGTTACGGTTTGTTAAGCTTTGATACTCTCTCGGCACTTTAATCAATTCGTAACGGAGCGCCCAAAATTTTTAAACAGTTTAAAATTTTTTGGCGCTCTTGCCGAACATCCCGCTTTACTCCGAGCTTTTCTACGACCTATTACGACCCCGACGCTTAATCAAGCTTTGTTACGCTTTGGTGCCGCTTTACAAGTCCCTTTAAAGCGCCATGCTTTGGTGCCGCTTTGCTCGCCGATTTAAAGCGTGGCATTCGCCGTTGGTGTGAACGTAGCTTTAGAGACTTGTAAAGCTGCGCTATAATTGATGACATAATCAAACGATTTATAAGTCACGGGAATAATAAACATATCTCTCATGTCTCTAATGTCCAATCCAATATACAAAAAGTGAATTGAATTAAATATTTCTTCAATAAAATTCTTACTATATCAAATACATACAATTGTGTAGCTCTAAACTGCACTTGTGTGGAGGTTAAAATGAATACAGATGGGCTACTTTAAATCACTTACGTATTCATGGCATACTGGCAAACTTTTTTCCAGTCGACTCCTGTTGGTATTTTAATACCAGTTAGGGTTGGAAGTCTATGTTTCTGCAAATAAATAAAAAGTTGTCAAAAATGAATTCAGCAAGAACATTTTGGAATGTGAAGTTTTACAGCTTCCCTTAATGAAGTTAAAACTAACTTTAACATGACCCATATGAACCTGACCTCATCTTTCACGAAAAGTTCAAGGCCCAGTGCTTCAACTCCTTCCCACATAAGTCTACTAATTCTCCTATGCTTTTCCCAACTTTTTTCCAGTCCCTCTTCTGCAAGAATGGCCAATCCTTCCCTGAGTGCGAAAAGTGTGGAGATTGGGCCTGTGTGATGATAACGCCGTGGACCTGCGTCGCATCCCCAGTAGTTGGCTAGTTCATTTGTATCTAGATAGAATGACGTCACTTTTGTTTTTCTCTTGGCAATCTTATCTCTAGAAATATATTTCAAGTAAGACAATAATTATAATTTTGGGCGTCTTGGCTTTTTACTTGTAGAAAGGGGTCACTGGTTTAGTTTCCTAAAAGATCTGTATACTTTATATTTTCTTTAGTTGTTACAGTGTACCGTTGTTTCTTATTTAATTCTACTGGCTATCTTTAACGCTTTCTAGTTGTCCGTCACAACGTATTTACAAGGTGACACAAAACAATGCAGTTTGTCTTATAATATAATATCCTTTTTTCTGGCGACAGTTTAAACGACATTTTGTTAATTAGTCGGGCAAATGTGCTTGATGTAACTGATATCACAGTTTTCTTCCATGCATTGTGACATGTGTATAGTACATGTTGCGGATACAGCTCACCTTGCACGCTGGCTAAACGATATGGGACTTGCCCCTGGCGGACAGTTGAGTGCTTTTTGTGACCCAGCATACAGAACATCTATTCCCCATTCATCCATGAACATTGGTGTTCCACCCAGTGACGCCACCGAGTCAACCACAAGCAAAGTACCATATCTGAAGTTGAAGATATCTTTTAAGACGTAAAACCAAATTATTGGAAATGGTATCGATGTATGGGTGTAAATCGTCCTGAATATTGCATAGCCATATGAATGAGTACTAAATCTGGTATTAAAAGCACGGATCAAAAAGGAATATTTAAGAGCGAGTCACAGAGAATAAACCCCGATATCCCAAAGATATAGAGTACAAAGAGGCAGTGTCTAACGCCATTGAGGAACATTAACAAGTAATCTAATTATGTTACCAGATGTAATAAGCATAGGTTATAGGATATAGAGATGTCAGTAGTGTAATTCGTATATGAATTATCTCCATAAAAGAGAAGATATGTAACAGACTGATTGAACGGCCATATTTTAGGAACATTATCACAAGCTAAGTTAGCCTTGCTATTTAAGTTAGGGATAAAACAATGAGTCCTGGGTATTAGGAAAAATAATGGCCACGGGGCGAAGTCCCGAGGCCATTATTTTCTCCTAGGACCAAAACGAATTGTTTATAATTAGTTCAGCTTTAGTGCATTGCATGCGACAGTTAAATTGTCCTTTGTGCTACACAGGTTTTGGCTAGCCTGCCAAGTGTACATTCTTTAAAAACAATAGAAAAATAATGCACTCCTCTTTGTTATAGCTGGATATTCTTCAAAATAAAATAGAGTTTATTCTGTTGTGTTGCTACCTAAGTGGAGTTTAAATAAGAATAATCACTGTTACACGAGTCACATGTACAAGCATGATTTACCCAATTGTCAAGAGCATATATCCCATACACGTCCACGTAAACAAAAGTAAAATGCACTAAACGCATAGCGCATGTGAACTCATCTGAACCAAACCATGTTCTGTAAGGGAACTGACTGACCCTTTATCTTAAAGTATATGCTTTATTAGATATGACTTATGTATTGTCCTGGGTTTTATCATACTCTTGTTTTATACATTTTGCCTGATAGGGATTCGGTAAAAATGAAGATGCAATATTTGTACACTATATCACTTTCATCATATTCGAAAATATTGGTTGCTATGTCGTCCTTGTAATATGAAACATATAGATCAGAAGCTTACTCATATTAAAACTAATTAGTTGATGGGCCTAAAAATATACTTGTGACAGTACTACAGAAGTTATTTTCTATTTCATTTATAACATTCTTAAGATTAGATGCTAGAAAATATTGTGATGTAAATTGACATCTACCTTCGGCATAGTTCTCCTATACCCTCAATTGGTTGTAAAATAGTTCCAGTAGATTCACTTTGGGCAATGAACATGACAGTTGGTTTTTTGCTCTTTAAAGCCTATTGTACAAAAAAAGAAAGCAAAAATATATGGTCACAACATCTATTATCAAAAAAGATTACCAATTAGAGAAGTTACTATGAATTAATATACTAGTAACTAAAAGTACTAGCACTAAACACAAAAATACACTTGAGAAACGGTACATGGACATTCTCTACTGGACTTAATTAGTTTTATTTCGGAATATTTAGAGAGCAACATAACAAAACTGATATGGGGTACCTCCTCTATCTCTTCCAAGGTAAACACGCTACCCAGGGGCTTTGATATCCTATGTGTGACTGCTCGATGTCTCTCCCCAATTTCTGCAAACCTTTCACCCCACATACCTGCCACGAATGACACAAGAACGTCCCCGTCTTCTATCAGGTTGCACACGGCTGCTTCCATCGCAGCATGACCTGTAACAATAATGTTGTACATTTTTGGCATGATATGTGTAGAAATCATTATTCGTATAAATGTATGCACAAATGCCAAAGAGAAAGTACCAAAAATGAATGGTTACAGAACACAGCGAGTAAAAGAAAACGTCTAAATTCACACTGTAAAAAGGAAAACAAACCCCAAATATCCCAAATCATAATCCAAAGTCAATAGAAACGGTGTCTAATAAGATAGAGAATTCAGTCTCAAATGATGTGGGACAGAGAAAATCCAATCCGAAGTCCATTATACGCGTACCAAAGAAAGAAGAGAAGAAGGGAAAATACAATAGATTAAGCAAATATGAGGGATTGCAGAAACACATGAAACAGCAACACCATGAAACCAAAATTTCAAAACAACCTTCATTTATCTAAGCACAAATGTCAAAGGGAAAGGACCAAAACGGCAAAGAAACCTAGACAAAGTACTTAAACGAATTATTATAAATGTAAATGCAGCAAATACGATAGAGAAACTTTTTATTGTCGATAAATGAAGTTCTTTTTAATGGATATATATGAAACTAGTGTCCATCATATTACAAATGCAGTAGAATAACTTTACATCATAAGGAAATAGAGAAAAAACAAAAAACGTGTTCTACTCTCAGGCAGATTCTCGATCAAACGATAATTTTTCACTACAATTTTGAAAATTGTATAAATGACAATCTGTACTAAAGTTATCAAAAATATTTTGTTCATTACCAGCTCCAGAGATAGCTAATGTCAGTTCATTTTGGGTTTGAAATACATATTGAATACCGGCCTTTATTTCGTCCATCACCTAAAATAAATAAAGCAGATTTTAGCAGAAAATATATGATTGTCTTTTACGTGACACTATACGGCTAATTGAAAGCATCGGTGGTCCATACTTGACAGTTGTTGATATGAAGGCAGTTTTAGAAAAAGGATGAAAATGGACAATGTCCAAATTAACCGCATCTAAACAAGGTTATTACTACCCCAGAAATATAACAAACTGTCGCTCATTTTGAAGCTTGGAGAATTTGTAGGGAATCATTTTCTTTTTCCAGGACCAAATCCCTTTTCATTATTTTTAAGCTTGAAGGCTTTACTGTAAAACAAAACAAATCGAATTCAAAGTCACTATTAAAGTGCGTTTCTGGTTAAACTGAAGCACACAAAGGTAAAGCTACATTGTAAAACAATCAGATCATATCAAAACTTACTTGGTACATTTCAGGATGCATGTGTCCTATAAGTGGTATCGCACTAGCTGCCAATATCCTAGGCGGTACGGTTGATGGTCCAGGGCCCATTAGCAGCTTCCTGGGGGGAGTCAGGGGTATCTTTAAGCAGGCTGGAGCCTGATACATCTCTTTTGGCATAATTGTATCATTGTTTGAATTATTTTGCTCTTTTCCATTAATGTTGGTATTCGAATCACCCTGAACAGGCCCCATGGTTCACTATATTAGTTTCTGTGCAGTATTGCCGCTAAAATATATTTTTATATATTGAACATAAAATTTATTTGATAATGAATCTTGAAACGACTTTTATACTGTTTCTATATATATTACGCGCTACTTAGTTTTGATTTTTACGTTTTGTTCGTATTTTCGGTGCATGTCTTCTGTGGTCCCTATTGTTTTTATTTTTGTTCATATTTAATCTAAGGTGAAGTGTCTTCTTGCAACAATTTACTACTGACAATTATGATTTGTTATCAACATTCAATATACAATCCCGAAAATAAGTTAATAGTCTAACAAAGAAATCATCTACATTAGATTATAATTTTTTGTATGTATAAGTGGTATAGGATGGTCTTAAGGATACTCGTGCTTTAACACCAAAAACAATAAACTAGCATTTCCGTGTACAATTTGTTTTACATAAACCTCTTTATGTTGTTTTTTGACAAAGGACGAGTGTCTATGGACAACAATGACATACATGGGATTTTTTTTATTTGGAAGAAATTTTAAATTCATTTTGCGATGTTAAAATCTAGATAAATGCTAAGTGTAAGATAATAGAATCTTTCGGCCAACTAGGCGTATTTTCTATATTAATTTTGGGTGAACACTCTTTTGACCTAATGCTTGTTTAGTTGTTTATACATTTTAGGACAATGTCACAATTTCAAGTGGAACTCAGTACGTCCAAAGTATAAAGTAGACTAAGAAGGTCACCTTGCGTAAGTATTTATGAACTATTAAATCTCACTTCAAGATAAGGTGATTTGACATTGAAACATGGCACAAATATTTGGGTCTGAATTATTTCATATAGGGAGCACAAAGACTTTTTCGATGTGTCGAGACCTGGTAGAAATGATTGCGTTAATCAATGGGGCTCCGATATTGCTTTACGAACAACATAATTTATAGAACTACAAGTAGGGCCTACCTTTAAACAGTATATTGTACATAGTTCAAGGATTTAAATTGTTTTCTTGAACCTTTCAAGATATCTCTTTTGGCGTATAGACTGTTTTGCTCATTTCCATTGGCGTTGGTGATAAACTCATTTGATTATTGGCTTTTTCAACCTTGAAACGATTTTTATCCTGATTAATATTTTATTTAATTTTTATGTTCACATTTTGTTTTAGAAACAACAACATTTAAAAAAACACTGGTTCATATTCCATTGAACTACCAGCAAATTGCAGCTGTTCTTAAAAAGTATACTCAACATTAAGGCAGATTACTCGAATCCTGAGCAACTGAGCAATATTTCCGAAATGCAAAAGTAGCAGTAAAGTCTAATTTTTCCTCCATCAAATGATACCTAGATCATTGAAGTAACTGTCATGGATGCCTGAGCAATTGTGACAATTATGCTAGGGATAAACTACAGGCCTCGGCTATTATTCCTCCTTCAATACGAATGGTTTATCTGACTTAAACCCCACACAGACTCTTGTGAAAGCTAAATGGCCCACGATCCAATTTTAGCAAAACTTGATTTCTTTTGTATTGACTATGAGGGAAGAGTGTTGAGAAGTGAATGGATGTAATTAGTATAGCTTCAGTAACATTTGTTTAATTTTTTTGATAAAAGACACATGAAGATGAATGCTATGCATAGATTTTTTAAACAAAAAAGTCCTTCAAAAACCATTGAAATCAAAAAAGTTTCACATATCACATTTTTATAAAACTGAGTAAGACTACAAAACAAGCCAAAATGGTTTAAACTTTATTTGGAGACTTTAATGATTTTACTGTATTAGTACGTCTAACATTTTTTACTAATGCTTTTCGTGATACAAATCTTTATCTTGCCAATATATGTAAATATTGACGCACCTCTGAGTGCCGCTGATATAAATATGACTGTCGAACAAATAATAAATAAATAATCACTGGAAGGTACGTGTTATTACTTGAACCAATCAGAACATTGAATTACAGACCATCCTCTACCATGTTCTCATCAATGAGCTTAGAGTTAACGGACATAATTACGTCTCCTGTTTACCACATTCTTTTGTTCGAATATGTAATACTAATAACTTTTTTATCCTATGCCAAGTAGAGTTTTAGGGTGATAAGTTGGTAAGATATATCCCGTATCATGATTTTGAGGTTTCCATATCCTGAACCTCCATATCTCCCGCCATATCTCCCGCTCCAGGGCATATCTTCCCGCTAAGAAAAAAAAATTTGAAAAAATAAGAAAAAAAGAAAAAATGTAAAAAATTGAAAAAAAGAAAAAATTGAAAAAAGAAAAAAATAGAATTTTTTTTTGAAAAAATTGAAAAAAATAGAAAAATGTGAAAAAATTTATAAAAGATAAATTAAAAAAAATTGAAAGAAAATTAGAAAACTCTACTTGGTATAGGATAAAGCAGTTATGTACGGTCCTTTTGGATATTGGATTCATCCCTCGTGAGATATACACATCTACTTTCGGTCCCTACGGTCCCTCAGGTAGATATGCATATCTCCCTCTGGATAAACCCCATATCCAAAACCTCCCAGTACATAACCCTAATATATGTTATATATTTATCATATCTTGCCAACAAAGTAAGTTGTTATATGAACGATCTTTTCTCAATTAATTCAGAAATATGCATCTCCATTAACAATGCAAGACCGTTTAAGTGCACTTTAGAAATTGGTTTCCGTCCTTCATATTTGTTTTTATCAAAATGTCAAAAATATGTGATGCTAATTAAAAAGTAATTAGGCTCCCAACAAAGAAATTGTATCTTTGATGAATTGGCTTGTAATAAGTTTAATTTTAGATTAGAAAATACAGACATGGAGCATTATACATCCGTAATAATTATTTTGAATGAAAATGATGAGACCAAGTGATTGGAATCAACAATTGTATAAGATTGAATAGTTTGGACGTGTCTCATACTGCAAGGAGGAGACGAACATACCATGTTGTGGTATATTTTCCTTGTACTCTATGCTACTTGTAGTATCGGTAAGTCAATTTGTTACATTGATTGTATGAATATCATCCATTTTGCACTGTTTGATAGAAACTAACAAATACCTGTTCACAACTTCATCGTATAAGGTGCTGTTTGAAACTTGAGGAACAATATTAGAGAAATTAAAAGTCAAATTGTGTTTCTAAGAAAAGGAGAATGAGAAAGTCAAAACATTCATTTTTTGGATGAATTATTTAATAATTGCAATGAGTCAAGATTTGATTTAAAAGAAAGTCTTGAAAGAGCCTTGAAACTAAATATTATATAATTGAGCAAAACTCGTATAAATATTTCATTCAGATTAGGTATTTAAGGAAAACTGATATCTGATTTATCAAAATCCAAACTGCATGATGACATGAGTTTCCCAGGCTTTTACTTCCATATATAACTGCTGAGGAGTTTAATTTGATATTTATTCAGATGTGATTTCATTTTTTAAGGTTGGAATATTTGATTTTAGAGACAGCCAATGGAGATTTCGTTACACCATGTAATTCAGGAGAGCCAAGAAATTGTGCTTGCAGCCTTGCAGACGCCTCGTTACCATGGGAACCGGTTAGTGACGCCTGTTTCAAGGGATGTCTGCATAATGTAAGTAAATCTAGAATTTTGAATACCCAATGTGAAATTTGAAAATATTTCCCACCATTCAAATAGTATTTCGATTGGCTTCAATTGTTATTTGGCAAAAAGGAGGCATTTTGATATATGATGTTTGTTTCAGATTGACTATAATGAAATAACATGGCAAGAAGCTATGGAATTTTGCAGAAGTAAAGGCGGTGAGCTGGTAAGATGGAATAGTCAACAATGTTACGATGACATTGAAGGATGGCTAAACTGTCAAAGTATGTGTCTATTCTAGCGTACATTTTCATGAATTAAGTGCGTACAACCTGTTGACAAAATACTTATTTCATCAGAACACCTCGGTATAAACAATGTTTCTCCTCCCATTGCCTCTATGTTAAAATAACCTTAATCCAAACGAGTTTGTCAGGTATCAGTGGCATTTGGACTACGTTTAGCAACGTTTTACAGTGTAGTACATCATTTGTAAACAAATTGGAGTTGTCGGACCTGTAGTAAATATCTTTATTGATAGATTACAACGACAGTAAGAGATTCTGGAGCTCAGGTGGAGCTGACATTGAACTGGACCAAATAGGAAATGCCAAAACAAATAAAAAAAATTGGGCTGCTATCAGTAAGTTCATGTACAATAATATATTTGTGTTATTGAATTATTAGAATCTGATACTAATACAATTGGTATATTTTCATAGGACATGCGCACTTTCAATGTTAAACATTACCATAGGCTAAAAAGCGATAGGAATAATTCTTAAATAATCAATCTATATTCATTTGATTTTACACCTGCTGCCATCTTTATATCGGCCTAAAACCTATGCATATACAGTGTTCATATCTCTACTTTAAATCAAAATACTGTATAAATCATGTAGGTTATCAAAACAGCTTTGCATTGGTACACACCATTTTCAGTTGATGGTCAGGTTAAATACTATGGTGCTGACCCTACTATGGGAGACGTCAGTGTCATCACTGTGGAGTCTGGAGAAGATAAGATCATCCTACATCATAAAAGCAATGGTGTCCTTGTCCCAGAGAATCAGCCACCACAGTCAAACAAGATGTATATCTGTCAGACTTTTTGTGGTAATTCACAATATATGCTTATTTGATTTGATAAAACATATTGATCTAAAACAAAAATCGGTATATGAGACTTATCTCTGCACAGGTCTAATTTTTCTAACATAATAATTTGTGTTTTCTGAACTCTCTGCTATAATAAAGTTATACTGTTTTTGTAATGTACATTATATGACTGATTAACTGTGCAGTACATGATGTCAATGTCAACTCACTATGTCATTAAGCGTTAACTAAAATATGTACTTTATATGTTACTTTAACTATTCAAAATGTTCAATGATATTAAAGATTCAGAAAGAGATGTTGGTCCACCCCCTCCTCTGCCACCGCCCCCTGGTGGCGTAGCTGGAGATGACCCATTGCCACCCTCTGATTATCCAGGTATGTATTGCTTAATGTAACAGATCCTTTTTTGCTTATAACTTAATCTAAAGGGTAACAGTTTTGTCAAATTCAGAATTTAATTTGTTGTTCAGGTTTGCGATAGAAAAACCCCCTACCCAATGTATTGGCGGTATCTCACCCTACATGTTATCAATTAGACATAAAAAACTTATTTTACCCAAATGATAACGAAACAATCCCACATATGCATTTATTTCAGTTGATTGTTCCCTCAATGTTTTACCTAATCCCATATGTGGTAATATCTATACGTATTGCTATGATCAAAACTGTCATCTTTGTGATAAACATACAAACGCTGGGTGTGCCGACCCCCTCAAACCTATGTGTACCCTACAGAACGATGGGGACTTTGCGGGGCAGTACCTTTGTGAGTAACAACAAATGGAAAAATGAACAAAGTTAAATGTCAAATTGTTGATTAAATTTTCCGGAATTTTATTTACATATATCGTGAGTTTTATATTGTTAAGACGTTAAAAGCATCGTTAGCTCAAATCCATATTAATCGTATCTAGCTAGACCTTTAACGTAACTCCATTCCTTAAAAACATGCCTGGAATACAACACAAGAATGTGCATAGTGTACTATATTATTTATTACGGCTTTAGGTTCCCCAGGACATGTCCTTGAATGTGGCCCCGTTGTACCTGCTTCTTGCACATGTTATATGGTTTCCCCTTTTGCTCTATTTTCTCCAGGACCTATTCTAGAATGTCTCGTAGCACTTGCTTCTTGCACATGTACCATGTGTACTATGGGTTCCCCTTTGCTCTTAGGTTCTCCAGGACCTGTCCTAGAATGTCTCGTAGCACCTGCTACTTGCACATGTAATATGGCTTCCATTTTTGCTCTTAGGTTCTCCAGTACCTGTCCTAGAATGTCCCGTAGCACTTGCTTCTTGCAAATGTAATATTGTTTCCCCTTTTGCTCTTATTTTCTTCAGGACCTATTCTAGAATGTCCCATAGCACTGGCTTCTTTCACATGTAATATGACTTCCCTTTTTGCTCTTAGGTTCTCCAGGACTTGTCCTAGACTGTCTCGTAGCACTTGCTTCTTTCACATGTAATATGGCTTCCCTTTTTGCTCTTAGGTTCTCCAGGACCTGTCCTAGAATGTCTCGTAGCACTTGCTTCTTGCACATGTAATATTGTTTCCCCTTTTGCTCTTATTATCTCCAGGACCTATTCTAGAATGTCTAGTAGCACTTGCTTCTTTCACATGTAATATGGCTTCCCTTTTTGCTCTTAGGTTCTCCAGGACCTGTCCTAGAATGTCTCGTAGCACCTGCTACTTGCACATGTAATATGGCTTCCCTTTTTGCTCTTAGGTGCTCCAGGACCTGTCCTAGAATGTCCCGTTGCACCTGCTACTTGCACATGTAATATGGTTTCCCTCTTTGTTCTTAGGTTCTCCAGGACCTGTCCTAGAATGTCCCGTAGCACTTGCTACTTGCACTTGTAATAAGGTTTCCCTTTTTGCTCTTAGGTTCTTCAGGACCTGTTCTAGAATGTCTCGTAGCACTCGCTTCTTGCACATGTAATATGGCTTCCCTTTTTGCTCTTAGGTTCTCCAGGACCTGTCCTAGAATGTCTCGTAGCACCTGCTACTTGCACATGTAATATGGTTTCCCTTTTTGCTCCTTGGTTCTCAAGGACCTGTCCTAGAATGTCCCGTTGCACCTGCTACTTGCACTTGTAATATGGCTTCCCTTTTTGCTCTTAAGTTCTCCGGGACCTGTCCTAGAATGTCTCGTAGCACCTGCTACTTGCACTTGTAATATGGTTTCCCTTTTTGCTCCTAGGTTCTTCAGTACCTGTCCTAGAATGTCCAGTTGCACCTGATACTTGCACTTCTAATATGGTTTCCCTTTTTGCTATTAAGTTCTCCAGGACCTGTCCTAGAATGTCCCGTTGCACCTGCTACTTGCACTTGTAATATGGCTTCCCTTTTTGCTCTTAGGTTCTCCGGGACCTGTTCTAGAATGTCCCGATGCAACTTCTACTTGCACTTGTAATATGGTTTCCCTTTTGCTCTTAGGTTCTTCAGTACCTGTCCTAGAATGTCCCGTTGCACCTGATACTTGCACTTCTAATATGGTTTCCCTTTTTGCTATTAAGTTCTCCAGGACCTGTCCTAGAATGTCCCGTTGCACCTGCTTCTTTCACATGTAATAAGGCTTCCCTTTTTGCTCTTAGGTTCTCCAGGACCTGTCCTAGAATGTCTCGTAGTACCTGCTACTTGCACATGCAATATGGTTTCCCTTTTTGCTCTTAGGTTCTCCAGGACCTGTCCTAGAATGTCCCGTTGCACCTGCTACTTGCACTTGTAATATGGCTTCCCTTTTTGCTCTTAGGTTCGCCAAGACCTGTCCTAGAATGTCCCGTTGCACCTGCTACTTGCACTTGTAATATGGCTTCCCTTTTTGCTCTTAGGTTCTCAAGGACCTGTCTTAGAATGTCCCGTTGCACCTGCTACTTGCACTTGTAATATGGCTTCCTTTTTTGCTCTTAGGTTCTCAAGGACCTGTCCTAGAATGTCCCGTTGCACCTGTTACTTGCACTTGTAATATGGCTTCCCTTTTTGCTCTTAGGTTCTTCAGGACCTGTCCTAGAATGTCCCGTTGCACCTGCTTCTTGCACATGTATTTATGGCTTCCCTTTTTGATCCTAGGTTCTTCAGGACCTGTCCTAGAATGTCCCGTTGCACCTGCTACTTGCACTTGTAATATGGTCTCCCTGACCACAGGACTCAACTGGGATCCTATAAGTGACTTCTGCTTTGAAGGATGTATGATGAAGGTAATGTTTCCTTTAATGAATATCTCTTGTCTCTCTAACCTTTCTCTCTAAAGAATACACCCGTTCTCATCTTATTAAAGGGCCAACAAAGACTGAGACAAATCGAGAGTAATTTTCCTTTAACTTACGGTAAATTACAATTTAACAATATATTTGTTCACAACATCCATGTCACACGCTCTTGAAACGGACACAACGAGTTGAGTTGGATTGTAGATTTCTGCTTGTTTTAATGAATCTGTAAGATTATTTTAGGTTTTAGGTTTAGCAGAGTTGTAAAATTTTCAAGTGAAACCCATCCGATCCCCGACACTCATTTTTTTGTTTTACGGGCGTGTTTGACCTTTTTTACAAACGTCCAACAGTCCTGACTTTATTTTGTGACAATCCTTTGAGAGTTATATAAGTTCTCCTTAATGATTTCATTATCATTGTTATGCTTTTTGAAACGATCGTCTTGAAGAATGCACGCTCAAGTCTTTTCTGTATAAACTCTTGAGAAAAAAATCAAAAATGAATAGACACCTGTCCTTGTATTGGGATACAATTAACCAGCAGAGTCTCCTTTTTATTCTACATTGAAGCGAGGGGTTATCTGCATTGACCCTTCCTTATTCATAGATTGAAAGTACTCACGCAACATGGGACGAAGCATTTGATAGCTGCTTGACAATGGGGGGTAATCTCGTTAGATGGAACAGCCAGGAGTGTTTCCATGACATTCAAAGTTGGCTGAGGTGTCAAGGTGAGCTGCCCTACATACAACAGTAATACTCATGTATGTACTAAAATTAGAACATATTCCTAAAACACATGTAAGTTATTTTGATTTTAGAAAAATACAGCGGGAAACTGGATGATTTGTATGTAGATTTACAAGAAAATAATTTTAGACAGTACCAATATCTTTTAAAATGGTTTAATTAAATCAAAACATTTTTCTTAAGACTTGTATATTCTCTTATAATCTTGACCTGTTTAAGCCTTAATTTTTGAGAGATGGGAGTTTTGACAATTTTGACAAAAATTCCGAATCTCGATTTTTGCTATTTTTTGTTATCGCTGAATTTTCTTTGGATTAGACTATGTACAGAGTGACACAAAATGCACTCCATGAATAAATCACAAATGCAAAGATACTCTTGTGTCCGTCTCCTTTTATCACTTGCGCCCACGCATTTATTATGTTGAGATGATACTTATGTAAAAGTGATACCTCATTATTCTCAAAAGGGTACAATGACAGCAGGCGGTTCTGGAGTGCTGGTGGCTTCAATATGACATTGGACAGTGAAGGAAATTTCCAAGCTAAAGACAAATACTGGAAGGCGATGAGTAAGTTAACTGAATTGAACTGAACTAATTAGGCACGCCATTAGGCCTAAATATGTCACCAAAATAAGCCCGTCTAATTTTTTCCTTTCGTTTGGGTAAAAGAAACAAGCCTGGTCAAAAGTCCCTTTTCAATCAATTCCCATTAACACACTACCCTACCACGTGACCACGTTTAAAAGGGAAACAGGGTACAGCTTAGTTGCAAATGGAGGACGTGGGTTTAATTCCATATTTCTGAACGTAAAATACATTTTACATATATTTCTAGTGTTCTACCAGACATAGAATTGATTCATCAAGGAGTGTGTAGAATATTGTTGGCAAAAAAACACTATAGGCAAAGATAGATAATAGTGGGCGCAGTGAAGCAAAACCAAATGCAATACACGATACATTTCAGTAAATCTATCAACGTACAGGGAGCATGTAAGTGTCCCTTCGAAAATGTTACATTGATATGTAACAAAAAAACCCAGTTAACTGTTGTTTAAACTGCGTGTCATCGTGTTATAGGTGGATACGTTTTCTAGTATGTTAGTCAACTGTGTTGATATTTAATTTCGTTATTTTATTTCAATTTGATACCCTAGTAACACGTATAATCTAGCGTTCTTGTTAATTTAATGACTAAAATGCATACGACTTGAAAGCCCGTGTCTAAATCTACAAAATGATGTTTACTTTATTTGGATTAAATAACAATTGATGACACCTCAAAGCATCAACAGGCGGCCTTTTTAGCATTACTTCCACTGTTTGCAACGTAAATGTACATGAGGTCGGGACATAGTATGTCTGTATAATCAGCTTACTTTCTCGCTCCCTGTACTATTGAACAATTTACATTCCTTGTACCCTGTATTGATCAACTTTTGCAGCTGTGTACCGTGTACTATGACATATCAAATATTTTAAAATTTAAAACGATATTATTTACATTATTTCTTCAACTATCATATAACTTGGAACATGGACTTCACTATTGCACCACTGAAGTGTAGCGAATAGCAACATTGACTCACTCCGAGCACCAAACGTATTAACCTTTTGACTAAGCAGTCGATATACTCAAAAGCGACATGTTTGAAAGCCAAAAGATTCGCGCATGCGCGATCGAGGTAGGGTAGTGTATTAATGAATAGCTAAACTGTAGAGCCATGGAGGTAGTATATTTGTTGGAATAGCAGCAATAAATAGAAATTTAAAAAACAAGTCAATGATTCCTTTACAATCCATTATTCCAATAAAAACAGAGATATTTGGTTGGATATAGAAGAACCATTCGAAATGGAGAAATGTCCAAAACTCATTAGAATGGTGAAGTGAGATCCACAAAATTATTGCCAATTTGCCTTAAAATTCAAAGCGTTATGATGAAATAAAGTCAGAACTTCTGGCCCTTAAACATTGTTTTACTTCTAGTATTGATCTTTGTTGTTGTACCTTAAGGTTATAATATCAGAACTTTTGTTTTAGTCAAACAGAATGTAGGCTTCTATAAAACACTTTCCATGGGAAACGTAGTGCTCGAGGTACATAACGCGACAGCTGACAAGGTGGTGTTGCATTTCAAGGGCAATCAGAATCTTCACATAGCCAACCAACCCCCGAATGCCAATCTCATGTATATCTGTATGGCCCCGTGTGGTGAGTACAAGAAAAGTCTTGCAACAAACCTCTGCCCAATTATTTATTTCCTACATTGCGTGGATGGGGGAGGATTGCTACATACATATTTGCCTCGGAGAAAACCAGTTCGTTATATTCAAATGAAGTATGTAAAATTATATGTGCACAGACCAAAAAGGTACAAACAAAGACTGAGTTAAACTGGTCACATGTAAATAAATCCCCACCATCCAAAAAGAGGATCCAACAGTGTTAAATACCCCAACCAACTGAAACGCTAAATATAAAATTTCACTTCACTTTTGTGCAATTCCTAGAAAACATTGATTGAAGCATAAATACATTGCAACTTTTGAGTAAAATATAAGCTTTTTGAATTAATAATTTGGATCATTTGATGTTATTTTATTTCAGACCCAGTTGGCCCCCCACCTCCACCACCGCCCCCACCCCCAGGCGGTGGTGGCAATGACCCTCCACAGCTACCTCCAGGTAATTATTAATTATTAATCTATTTGAATAATCTGTATGAGGCACAGGAATACGTTTTCTTAAGTGTACACGTATATCTGGTCATTGAAAGTAAAACGAGAATTACTCTTTTTCCTTCATCGGGAAAACTGAACTTTTCCGACGCTTTATAAAGAACATTTGTTTTCGGCAATTGACACTTAAATTCAATGACATTTGTAAATTACTAACTGAGAAATTAGAGATTTTAGATGACATGATGGCCTTCTCTTACTCCAACAGACCTTCTTATCATGTTGCCCTGCACCATTATCCAGCAAATACCAGCAAGCCCCTTTTTGTCCGAATAATACATATTTTCAAACTTTGCGCGGGGTCTTTAAATTGGCTTTCAAATGACCAAATTTCTAGAATATTCCTTCATCACTCACAGAGATGTTTCATGTTCGTTTCTCGGTATGATTTTTGAGGACATCCTAAATATACAAATAAGAAGATGTGAGTAATTGGGTATTCACCAAAGTATACAACCTAGCCGTTTACGACATCATATTAACATTAACGGCGTTATGTTGATTTTCATGAAAATCTATTGACATTCATAACATTCATGGACATTGCTTCAAATTGCATCGATGTGATTTTAGTTGACTGTAGTATCATTCCGAATTGTCCAACCCATGCCCCATATTGCTATGAGGGTACCTGTCATGTATGCAACGTCACGAATCATGATGGATGTAATGACCCTAACAAACCATTCTGCAAATTGAATGAAACCACCAACTGGTTGATGTGTGGTGAGTTTTCTGTCTTTAAATGCAAATCATCCATGCAGCTGTAATGTTGTGCAATTTCAAATGAAGCTGTATGGTTGCACAATTCCAAATGCAGCTATAATGTTGTACAATTTCAAATGCAGCTGTAATGTTTTACAATTCAAATGCAGCTCTAATGTTGTGCAATTCCAAATGCAGCTGTAATGTTTTACAATTCAAATGCAGCTGTAATGTTGTGCAATTCCAAATGCAGCTGTGATGTTGTACAATTTCAAATGCAGCTGTAATGTCGTACAATTTCAAATGAAGCTGTAATGTTTTACAATTCAAATGCAGCTCTAATGTTGTACAATTTCAAATGAAGCTGTAATGTTGTATAATTTCAAATGAAGCTGCAATGTTGTACAATTTCAAATGCAGCTGTAATGTTGTACAACTTCAAATGCAGCTTTGTCGTTGCACAATTTCAAATGCAGCTGTAAGATTGTACTATTTCAAATGCAGTTGTAATATATACAATTTCACCAAACATATATGTAGGCGGCAATACGTATTTCGTTCAGTGTTTGACATGCGCTTATTTCTCATTGTCCAGTAATAGAACTAAGGCATATTTACAAATGAGAAAAGTCAAGTGAAACAAGGCACATAGATGATTGATATGAACTTATTTGATTTTAAAATTTTCTTCTAGAAATTGAATTGCACATCCCTTGTCTTTATGAATAATACTGGTAATCCAGATCTTTTACCTCTATTTTTAGGGGATCCACATTTTGTTGAGAGTATTACTGGAAGTGACATACCCGTCTGCTATACGTTGTTTGGAAGAGCTGGACGTCATTACAAGCTCTTAGAATATGAAACCACAAGTAGGTCAAATATAATATCTCCAATTTGTTAATATATTTACATGTGTATGCATTATATAACATATATTACATAACCCTAATGTCTGAGGGGGGGGGGGGGGTCAATGCCACATATTGTTATTTTGTATCTATTGTATCTAATGTGTATATTGTAATTTAATAATTTGTATTTTGTATTAATTTGCTCTCCAAATTGGAGGAAATAAAGAACCATACCATACCATACCACAGATATAAGGCACTTTTTGGCGGAAAAACCAAGGTGATTGGAGTGAAGAGGGGCAATATTGATTGTTACTTTGTTTCTAATGCTCTAGAAAATACAAAAAGATGATAATTGCTCGATTTGATAGATGATAATTTGGCATATTGAATTCTCTTTCCAATATGCTTTATTTCATGGAAATCGAGCCACTAATGACTGTGTTAGGAATTTTAAAGGTAAAAAAACAGTCAATCGCCAAGTAGTCGCTAAACGCTCTCCTATTTTATTTATTTTTATTTATTTATTACACCTTTAAAACGGTGGCACACCAATACTGGGTGCTCTTACAAAAATGTACATAAAATACAAAACATATTCATTTTGTGGTATCATTGAGATTAGGGTGAAACAAATGCATTAGATAAAAATTGTTTGATACATCTATCTACTAAAACTTCAATCTCGTGCCCATAAACACTATGTATATCATTGCCCAGTAGCCATTGTAATTTACTCTGAACATTAAGAGATATAAAATGGTTAAAAACATGTTCATTATTGCCTTCAAGTGCACTCTTTAAGTTAGAAAATAAGACAGAACGATGGGAGGTGAAATATGGGCATAACAGTAGGCGGTGGGAAAGATCATCAATCCCTGAATTACAAAATTTGCATAATCCATCACCTTGGCCCCATCTTTTCAAATCTGCACCAACCATGAAACATCCTGTCCTAGCTCGAAACTTTAAAACAGCAAGTCTAAAATCGTTTGAAATGTGCATGTAACGTTCAAGACCCCAATTCGTTTTAACATGTTTATAAACGTTTAGTGAGGATTTTACGTTTATTGATTCAAATATATCAGTTTTCATTTGGCTATTTGTGATTGCTTTATATGTCTTCATCCAGGAAGTGTTAGGTCTGAACATAACATCATCCAGTCCTCTATCTTTCATAATTGAGTGGATGTTTCTCATATATGGCCAACACAAATTTTTATTAAGCCTATGGTGTTCTAACATACTTTGAAAAACAATGTTTAAAAGATCATTCCTATCATTTTTTACAAGGTAGCTAAAATAATTGATCTGTTTGTTTTCAATGCTTGTAGTAAATGGTTCCCAGCCTAATTCTGCCAAAAGAGCACATGTAGCCGGTTTACACTTTAGATTCAAAATTGCCCTTCCAGCATTATATTGGAGGGAATTTAGTATTTTTGTAGTTGTCTTATTAACACACCATACCCCACAACCATGTGTAATGGCTGGTGTAAACATAGAATTATAAATACTTAGACCAAAGTTGATCCTGTTGACAAATGTTATGTTTGGCAAGTACATATCGCATATAAGAATTGATTTTGCATGCTTTTTTAGAAACATAATCTTTAATGTGAGATGTGTCATGGAGTAGATTATCAACAAAGGTTCCAAGATATTTGTATGTTTTTACTTCGTCAATTGCAGCATTACCAAGAAACCATTGCTTGTTAGTATTCATTCTTTTCCCTATCGTCATGACCTTGGATTTCTTTTTACTAAAGTTAAGCCCCCATTTTATTCCAAAGGACGATGTAGTATTGAGCATTTCCTGAAGTTTGTCTTCTGAGTCAGCTATCAATACTATATCGTCTGCAAATAATAAGGCGGGAACATAAGCATTTTCATAACGTATGCCTAATCCTCTAGCTTTAATCATATCAATAAGGTCAGTCATAACAATAGAAAACAGTGTCGGGGATAGATTACATCCCTGTTTGAGACCATACTGACTGTCGAAATGATCGGTTTCAAAATTACCAAAAATTACTTTATTTTGTGCATTAGCGTACAATTTATGTAGAATTCTCCAGGTTTTTCCTTGGATTCCTTTGTTCCATAAGTGGCAAAACAATGTATCGCGGTCTAGCACGTCAAACGCTTTTGATACGTCCAGGAAAGCTAAATGAGTAGCCTTTCCCTTACATTTACGAAGGCAACAAAGACCTTTCAAAATGAAAATATTGTCTTCAAGGCGTCTTTTTTCCCTGAAACCACCTTGGAGGTCGCCAAGTTTGTTTTCCATCTCAATATACTTTTTAATAGACTTTTCAACAAGTGATGCATACAACTTATAAACATTTGAATTAATAGTAATACCTCTATAATAGTCAAGGTTTTCAGTGTCATTCTCTTTGTGGATTGGAATGAGTGTTCCCTCACTCCACTCATCAGGGAAAGACTCGGTATAAGTAAAATATTCGAACATGTTATAAAGTGCGTCTGATAAAGCAATGCCTCCATATTTCAAAAATTCATTTGCAATTTGGTCTCCACCCCCCATTTTACCATTCTTTAAAGATTTCACTTGTTGAGTAAATAGATCCTTATCGAGCTTAAAAATATCAAGACCGTTAGTACCAGCTTCTTTCTCTAAACTTTTTATTCTGGTTCCAAGGTTGGAAATACTTGAGTCTTTGTTACGATGTGTCTCACCTAATTTTCCCCAATAGTTCTTTAATACTTCACATACCTTTTTGGGATCTGTGATAACTTCATCAGGCTGATCGGGGTTCTTTATTTGAATAGGGTAATCTGATTTTTTGTTGAACATTTTCAATGATTTCCAATAAGACCGAGAAGTTTAAGACTTTTTCATTGCATTGGCAGTCATATTTTTAATGTGGTTTTGGACAATATTATCTTTTATCTTTTGCTGAACTTTCTGCTTTCAATCAGAGTAAATTTCCAATAATTCATTTAAGAATGTTGGGTCAGCAATCCCGGATTTTTCCCAATACCTATAAAATTGATTGGCCCGTTTCCTATCTTTAATCATTTTGGCGATTTCATCATCCCAAAAAGACCGGCTGTGAGGGGAACATTTCTTAAAGCCAATGTGCTTGTCGGCCATTGCTAGAATTGAACACTTAAAGTTTTCCCACATTGAATTGGCATCAATAAAATCTGAGGAATTCCAATTATTAAAAATGTCAGTAAGACTAGACTGGAATATGTCCCATTCGGTGTTATCATCGATTTTCCACTTATAATAGGGTTTATTCACAGATCTGTTGCCATGAGTGATATTTTTTGTAGCTTTATAGCAATGAACAGTATTCAAAGTGACAATCATAGTGGCATGATCACTGCCTACAGAAAACTCGTGATCTTCATCTATAAGCAGATTATCATACATTTCCATTGTATTGTCATTCACAATAACATAGTCAATTGTGGATTGCAATACATTGCGCTTCCAAGTGATGGAGCCATTACATTGTTCCGTGAGGTTTAATATAGTGCTACCTGTTACCTCAGTTAACAATTCTATGAGGTCACCATTAAAACTAGATTTATCTTTACTCCGAAATTGAGATATTTTACCATTAAAATCACCCATTAATATAGTGCTACCGGACATATTGGCCAGCTCGGCAAAGTTACTAATGAGTTCATCACATAAACCTTCACTTTTATCTTTTTCGAGGCCATCTTGTGGGAAATAGACAACACCTATATTAAAAATAGAATCATTCAATTTACATTTGATCCAATATCGTTCAAATTCATCTTCCCTCGAGTTTAATAGGTTATCATTCATTAATATAACATCATTTTTGAGAAATATTCCCAAACCACCACCGCCCCTACCTTTACGATCTTTTGGCAGGAAATTATAGTTATTTGGTTTGACTAACAAAAAAGGAAATGGATTTTTTTCAAAAACTACTCGATGAATACCATTAATTATTTTGCATCTTCTTAAATGTTTATGCACACTGACCAGAATTATGATGATACTTTTTTAATTTTCCCCAATAGTTCTTTAATACTTCACATACAAACTGCGTGCCTAATATTTCCAAACTTGCCTATCCAAGCTTGTTTTGTATTATTAGAAAACGTAAGCGCCGTATGTAAGGCACATATGTGTCTAATAGTAGAACCCCATAATTGAAACACTATGAGAGTCCGTCCACCAAGATGGTGATCTGAAAATAAAATACTTTCTTTCGTTCCCAACTTAATTGTCACTTCTATTATACATTTTGACTTTCAATATGAAAATCTCATAAAATCTGACGATAAAGCAAAATTTCCAAAGCTATATGAAAAACACCTTTACGTGCCTCTGTAGAAATTCCAATGATAATATGTAGTTTTAATAGTGTATGCACACAGTTTGTAATTTCTGGCTAAAATAGGCGCGCAGTTTGTGGTTTATTTCTTTTTAATCTCCTGATTATCTGTTTTATCTCGAAATATTTTGAATTATACATGATAAATGCGTAAGGAATTAAATATAAAACGAGTCTAAAGTATTTGTCATTTATGTTTAAAGATCGATTTACGTATAAATTGCCGTTAAATCAGTGACAAAAAATGCCATTAATCTGCTTATGTTTTAAAACTTAGATTCATTTGCACATACAGTCAATATGGTACAACGAAAATGGGACTTCTGCGCATGTTAAAATATTTCGTCAAAACTCAACTTTTGTTCAAGTTGATACGATTGTCTTTCGAACTAGAGACTTACCTCATTCGAAAGATCATAAAAGACTTTATCTATGCTGAAAATCTTAGATCCAAACATAGTAGAATACGCCGTCAGTCCGCATTTGATTTTTTGAAGTGAGTTTCGTAGATCGTCAGATTTCTCCGACTGATATCGGGTTATCTCAAATTGGTTCGTTTATAAATACAAATTTCTTTACCGTTGTAAGGCGCATGCGCAAAATTGATTTATAAACGTGATTGGTTGATGGTTTTTCTCCTGAGCATGCGTGAAGTCTGATGAACACTTATGATGAAGACCGGAGCAAACATTACTAGCTCTCAAACGAAATTCCAAGATTCAGATCATTTCGCCGTGTTTGCTAAGCGTGTATACGTGAATGACAAGCTGTTTTGAGTAGATCAGGTACCTGTTTTAGACACAACATTGATTTAGCTTGACATTGATGTGCACATTGGCACTTTTGAGCATGTTAATACAAGTTTTTACACGCTTAGCACGAGACGTGTTTTCGAAAAATCTGTTATCTGATTCACTCGATTATCGTATGGATATGTATTTCTGCTGACATTTCAACACCACATCACATAGAATTACGATGCAGAATGATAATAAAACACAAAACAACTACTAAATTCCACTTGTTATTTCACAGGAGGTAAAATTGCACACTGCCTAGATTCTTTGTAAGGGTCGTCAGACATCGGATTGGCCGCCATATTTGAAATGAAAATATCACTAAATAGAGGTCTGCGCATGTGTCAACATTTCGACTGCATAGTTTTTGCTAGTATTTGCAAGATTCGTATATTCGCCACAGAATGAACGCATTGAACAAGAAAACAATGCAGGATAAATGTCTTTAAATTACGTTTCAAACTACAGACTCCAACTTAAATGATGCAATGTTGTTAGGCACGCAGTTTGTGATCGAAACAAACTGCGCGCCTAAGTAGGTGCACAGCTTGACATGGGCACCGTGTGAGTGCTAACGACAAAAACAAGTTGAACTTGAAAGTGCTGACTATTCAATTTCAAGTTACATTGATTTCAATGGGATTTCGCGATACCTACTATCTTTGAAAGTATGTAACTTCTGTTCTGGAAAAGCTTTTACCTTGATTTTAGCTTTATTTAAAAAATAATGGATTAATCTTTAAGGAAGTTAAGCATTTTTTGCATCAAAAATTTATTGTGAAAGAAATTTGACAATATATCACAAAATGTCAAAAATGTACACCCCTAGGTCACGTTGACCTCGATTTGACCTATGTTGACCTATTTTTTAAAAACAAACAAACTTTTCTGAAGAGGTAATTGAACAAGGTTTACAACAAACCAACAATAATGAAATCAGACAAGTAATAAAGGGGGGGTCCAAATGACCCCCCTCTTGTGACTTAGTGTTATAAAACAAGGTTGCAGACATTAGGGTTAAGTCAGGGAACTTTCTATTATACCCGCCATGCCATCTGACCCGAATGAGCCACCTGGTGGTGAAACTGGTAACTACCTACTCGCATCTGAGTTATTAGAGCGATCTTCACGTTTGCTATATGCAAATGTTGTTCAGAAATGTTTCTTGCCTAAATCGGAGAACTCATAGAAGATAATTTAGATATGCAGCACATGAACCACAGGAAAGGGAAACCCCAAAAAATGTTGCAAACTTCTATTCTGTAAATATCAGTGCTTGGAAAACTGTCATTTATGATATAACATTTCTGTTTTTAGTTATCACTGGGATTTTCGCCGACTCCAAAGATCTAAATTTTGCACATTTTCTTGGTGCCCTTACAATAACAGCAGGTAGGAAAAACTGTTTCTGGAAATTCATATTTTGTAAACAGATTCATGTGTCATTGTAAGATTCTCCCCTGATGCTTCATTGCATGATTTTTCTCACATATTATCACAAAATTCTCTCTACACTTCTATATACAAACATTTTAACTTATTTTTGCACTGGACGATCCTCTAACTTGTCATTCCTGGCATTACGTCCTTAACGCGCCAATTAAAAGAATATCGTTACTTTCGATATTATCCTGATTTTCTGTACCATGTTAAAATATGAATGTCGTCTGATATTTTAATGGGAGTTGCTAGCAAGTTTGAAATAATTCTGTACAATCGAGCGCTGTGTATATTTCAACCTTTAGGTGGCAATACAATACATTTTACTGGTCTCCATATCAAGATCAATGGAGTGAGGCACGAATGGGGTGCAGCGCCATCTGTGGCTTTAGAACAGGGAAACGCTGATGTTATCTTTAACAATAACCGCCAGGTAAGTAAAATGTCGGATTAAGAAAAAAATAGATTCATTCGGGCCATAAATGTACATAATTGCATTAAACGCAGTTTTTAGAAAGATGAAATTTTGCCTAAATCTAGCTTGGCCAAGAGTACATATTGGCTCCCAGAGTGCAACGATATTATATTTTTACCATATATGGGCATGTCGTGATTACAAAATTCGAATTCAAACAGCCGCCCTTTTGTTAACTTCAACATTTGAATCGTGAATTTTGGTCTTATTTCCAAACGGGAAATTCCAGAACTCACAAGAAATGATCGGGATATTGGCTCAAATATTTTGGACTGTTTATTATCAGAATTTACACTCGGTTATAATTTCAGAAAATAACGACATTGCGACGTTTTCATTGTTGGAAAATATCGAGTTTCGATCCTGGGAGCCAATCCTCCATGTGCGTGAGCTCTTTGCGTTTATTCATTTATCTTCATCTCTCTGAACAACATTTAGTTATTTTAAAAGAAATGTCTATTTTCAGGTGACATTCATTTCTGCTACTTCTGGAATAGAAGTAGGCGTATCACGACGTGGAAGCAGAATGGGTTCAAATTCAAGACTTGATTTAAAATTTACCATTCCTAAAGCTCTATCAGGAGCTAAGGGAATTATGGGTAATCTATTCATTATTTTTATCAATTTATTTAAATGAAGTTACGATTTGCAAATCCAATTTTTAAGAAACAATTTAATACAGATTGTATTCGTCAATGAAACTATACAAGCTCTGTGGCTCAAAACAATATCGGTTCTCTCTAGTTCACGATAGTGGAGCTGATATTGTATTGTATTGTATTGTATTTTGTTTACCACCAATGGAGGTGAATCAACCCTATTGGGTGTATCCCTTATATATAGGGTCATAAATTACATAACTAATCCTGGAAGACAGACCCAGAATCCCCTCCTTGAAGAGGGCCTGTGTCATTTTATGTGCATTCATACATAGATATACGAGTACACACACAAAGTTGCGGACCACTCAGTCAAACACCCTGAAGTCCTTTACGCAAACAAGCAAATTAAACCATTGTCCATAACCATAAATTTACTCAGTTAATTGATAAACTTGAAAATGATGATGTTGTTTCAGGTGATATGAAAAGTGGTACAGTTACGACTGAAGACAATCAGATGGGAACGCTGACTGTTAACGGTGCAGTCGCAGATGTGCATATCGGTTATGTTAAGTTTGGGCCACCTGGAATAAAATGTTGGGAGTTAGATGGCTTCAAATCTGATATCCATCTCAAACTTCTAGCTGATAATCTGCACCACAACGTGATATAAGGATGGGGACTGTATTGATTTTTGGTGGTGTGTAAAAAAGACCGACGACTACATTAACAGTTCAATTGCACATTCTGTATATGATGCACCAGTTTTTGACCAAAAGTATTACATATATTTCTGTTAAGAAGTTGCTCCAGTGCAGTGGATAATAGCAGGCCTCGAAAATATTGCACATATACATTGAGGCCCCTCAAAAGACCCTGCAGAACAGTTCTAATGTAATGAAGACCATATTCCTAGAATGTTACAATTACATGATGATCTTTAAAATGAAATGGATTAAATTTTTCTTTTGCCTTGTTCCAAAGATATTGGCGTTTGAGTTTTGGAAAATCTCCATTGGTTACCGTTATAATCTGTTATCAACGATATGGCTTTATTAGTGTCATTTTCTTAAAAATACCACTCTGAAATTTTCTAATATAATGATACTTTGGTCAAAAATGGTGATTTACATATAGTATGTGCAATTCTAGTGTTGTATTGTCGTAACTGTGTATATATGCAACATGATATTTTATGGAATTTTCCAAGTGGTCGTATATGACAACATGGTTGTATATGACATCCATATTCAGGGGGCTTAGTAACTTTATATGTTTTAACAACTTGTTCTATATTTTATTATATTACACAATTATTCTATGTACTAAGATATTAACAAGCATGAAATAAATGTTTCCAATACGATAATTAAAAATATCTTTCATCTATATGACCCCTGGAATGGTAACTGGAATAAAATAGTCCAATTGAGAAGGTGCTCTACAAAAAGAGACCACGGGTCTTGAGTTTTCTAATGGTCACAAACTTTTATCTTTGGAGCCATTGCAAAGATATTGTCCACATTTACAACTCTAGATTCATGGGCATAATGAGAGAGGGTTTGTGGGTCCCATGAGAACTCCCATTCTCCTTGAACCACCTACATTGTATCTTTATAAAACAAACACCGGTAACAAGCATGAAATAAATGTTTCCAATACGATAATGAAAGATGAACAAACCAAAGCCTTTGGTTTTGTCTTTCAGAAAGGGGGGGGGGTGCGGTTTTTACTGAAAAGACTAAACTGGTCAACTTTTGAACATTAGAATAGGGGGGGGGTGCTAGAAGGGCCCCAGCATAAACCTTTATCCAGGAACTTTTACGATGTTCAAGAAAACGTTCAGTGATTTCTGGACACTTTCAATTGTTTACTTTTTGGGGGAGCGAGGGTGCAGTAAAAATGCCTCTCCGTAAATCTACTCGTAACTGATTCACACGGGCAATCTCACTTCTGACACCAATGTAACGACCCTTGAGCACGTCCGTGGGGGAGCTGTACTGTACCGAGCCAGATACTAGACTCGAAAGAGAGTGTGCTAAATTCAATTCCTCGTACGGGAATCGAACCCAAGACCTTCTGCTCTCGTCAGACGCTCTACCCCTGAGCCATAAAGGCTAGCCACTACAGCTGATACTGTAGAAGCGACTTGTTATCGAAGGTCATTACACTTATAAAACAAAGATGTCGTCACGTATCAGCCATGCATGATCAGCTGTTCAATGATGTCTCCTAGATCCTATATGCAGAATTGCTGTTTAATACATTTTAAGCAGATTAATAGCATTTTTGGCACTGATTTTTTCGAGGACAGACACATCAATCTCACAAGACATGGAATAACTTGAGTTTCGTGTCATAGATAAGTTTTTTATTACCCATTTCTTATGAACAATACAGAAAATCGTGAGATAACAAGTAATAAAACACAATAGTACTATTTAGTCAGAAATCACAAATTGCCTACTGCCTACTCGGGACTTCTCTGTCTCCTATAAGCGATACAAACACTTTTCATCATTGCATTTGATAAAGATATTTTGTTTAAATCTGCCCTGTGTCATGATTTTCGGAGAGTACAAAGTACATTTTGTCATCTGCAAAGTCTAGTATTTTCTGCTAATATATGTAACTTAGATAATGGATATGCCCGGAGTTTGCAAATATTTAGTCTCAGCTACTAGCCCATGTGACCTCGACCCCCTCACACTAATTGTCTACACAGGTATTAAAACTTCTTTAATAAGACGTGTATACTGGGGGACAAAATATTAGGTACTCCGCTTGGGAAATCCTCTTTTCTTCATCCTAGGGAAATCCAAGTGAATGTAGGCACGCCGTCTGAAAGAAAAAATAAATTAAATCACTTTTATGGCTTGTAATCGGTATACACAAGCTATAACTTTAACCAGATGCAGCAATCCCATATCTTTCAGTATATACAAAAACAATGGTGAATTAAAACATCAAATGATGATAAACAGACATAAATATGACGCAACACTACACATTTTCAACACGAACGCTACTTAGGACCCTTGTATTGAGATAACTAGGTTTACGTTAAGAAAAAATTGAGTGCTATTTGTAGTAACTTAGTCTCCACACAATGTACAATATCAGTATTTTGTATCTTTGGGAGCGATGTCCTTTCCCCTGCCATTTTGAAATAGGCGCGCCGTTTATCACTCAGTTTCGAACGGCGTTCCGTAGGCAGGCACGCCGTTTTGTGTACAGTGGCGCGAACTTAGATGATTTGGGGCTTGCTAAAATGAAGCTGCAATTTACTGTGACGTTGGATATAATTTATAATGTTTATCAATTCAATATAAAATTCAATTTGGATATTCTTTTTAATATATCTTTCATTAATTTTTATACAAAAGCCTAATTTTACTCATGAGAATAGATTTTCGATAGAATCATATTCAAGTTATTAAGCTATCAGTGAACAATAGGCCTGATAATTTCAGGTAAATATGTCTAACGACATTCATTATGGTATTTTCACGGCATTATATAGGCATAAAGTACTGATGATTAAATACTAGGTAAAACACCTACCTTAGACAGGCTGAACATACGTCTTCGCCTTTTCTTATGTAACTGACTTTTATGTGATTGGGTGCCTCTCACGGCTATAATAGTCTATGAAGTGTGATGCACCTTTGATCATGGACTCGGGAATATAGATTACGGTAAGGATTCAAGGAAGATTTAATGACGACGACGCAGCCCATCGATATTAATGAGTTATGGTATGAAATCTCCATCATCTATTCACCTGTGATTGCAATGTCATGATGCTACCGTATAGTATAAAGCAGACATAATCGAGTAATTATATACCGGTAGCAATACGTGCTCTAGTATTGCATTTGTAGTTGTGAATAAGGCGGTTGGTAGATCGGGATATCGTGGATTTCCATACTGATAGGTTCGTCGATATTACCAAGGCAACGTGTTGATTTAGCTATACAGCGATTATGTTAAAGAATACAATGTATATATACATGTATATTATAGATACACATGTGTAATCTCATCACTTAATCGATGCTGGAACAGGTGTGGTTGTTCATTGTTACGGGATTAATCTGGGACGTTAACATCATGAATGACGACATAGTGGTATAGCCGACGCGAAATCGGCGTGATTCCAGAAGTAAAATCTAATGAATTTGTCTAGATTACGACAAGATAGAAGTTTTGGGTTGTATGGACTGACGTAGGTAACTACAGTGACTGCTAACAAGTGACGACCCCAGCGATGCGACGACATATAACTGTGCCCCATTGAAATACATTCTCACATCAGGGACTTCCAAGAGATTATATGCGTATCGATTTGAACTACATAAACATAATTCTAAAAAAGATGGGCGATGATAGAATAAACTAAGACACAGAACAAAACAATATTAAGGATAACGAATCATATGATGCGTCGGAATAGATCAATGGGGTGAAAGTCCACTTCTAAGAGTCGATAATGCTGGGGTAAGTTTAACATCGATCACTATGAAGAAGCATTGATTCAGACAGGGAAACCAGGCAGCTGGTTACACTCAATCGCCTGATATAATGAACTCGATAACAATACTTTTATTGGGGATACGTTGCACAATAACCTCCCGCGTTATCATAATAAAGGGCAGGAAAAAGGTGTGAATTGATCCCGGAATTGATATATAGATAGAACTAGGCTAGGCCCATAAAGGGGGTTTATATTGAATCACATTTTAACGATATATTTAACATGTATAATTCGTTAAGACAGTGTAAAAGGGTTAAAAGCTACGTGTACAATATCAATCATTTTAAGTTTAATCAATCAAGCACTTTCATTATAGTACACAAACGTATCGACTCAATATGATAGGCTAAACATTAGCTCAAATGAATGAGCAATCACTGATCAATGCCATGTGACGTATATTCCAAACATATAATATTGATTTTTGAATTGTGGGGGAGGGGGAGTGTTATATTAAATATTGTTATGCATTCGACCATATTTTGGGATATTGGGGTGTCCTTTCATTATTACTGGTAATTTTTCTGTGTTGTCTATTTTTGTATTGTTTTGGAACCTCATGGTCATTGGATATGTAAGACTATATGTAGGCAAATACATTTTATTATAATGAATTCGAAGGTATACTATAAGGTTAATATACTCCTCAAAAAAAGTTAAGGACCAGTCTTTTTCCTCATAGGTTTACATGTTAAACCCAATGTATCTTTAAACTCTACTTTCTAAGCCCGAAACGAAAGAAAACCTGATAATGTAAATGGATATGTACCTTGACTATATTCTCTATATTTCCGGAAACTTTCAATTTAATCTCTCTATTACAATAGGTCAAAAATTGATGTCAAAGTTGAGGAATTTAAAAAAAATGGCAGAACCTATGTTAACCAATGGGGAATGGTGGGATAGGGGCAAATCAGGTTTTTGGATATCTATTCGGTAAAACATTTATTAAAAATAATTTCTGAGTAGACAACTGAATTGTTTTACTTTCTGCATGTTTGGTGTTAAGCTTACTTTGTGAGAATTACAGATATAGAACATCAACGTAGTTTTGACAACTCAATTTTGACCCTTGTGTTATTTCAATGGGAGGTTTATTGAGAAATGATCTTGACTTTTGAGATTCATAACTTTGTAAAACCTGGAGAAGCAAATCAATTTTTTGTTGTAGACAAGTTAGCAAATTCAGTTGTCTATTTATATTCCATTTTTGAGAGCAATTGAATGGATGGATATTTTTTCATATGACTTTTGGCAACCCAACCACTTCCCATTGGTTTACATGGGCTCTGCCATTTTTTTAAATTCCTCAAATTTAACATCAATTTTTGACATATTGTAACGGAGAGATTTCAATTCAATTCAATTTATTTCATAATTCTTATATAATATACACTATAAAAACAAGCCGCTAGACACCCTAATGGGTATATGTTGCGGTTTAACAGAAATCATTAAAATGACATCTAGACTACATATAAAAGAAAACACTTATATTATGTTACATGTAGGTATATAAAAATGATATTAACAATTAATCTAAGGATGTACAATGTAAAAATGTTACAAAAATCTGGTACCAGTATAAAATCAACAGTATAGTATGATATTGGTATTATACATTATCGATAGATGAGTAGTTTTTGATTGAATTGAAAATTTTCTGAAATAAAGAGAATAGAGTCAAGGTACATATCCATTGACATTATCAGGTTTTCTTTCGTTTCGGGCTTAGAAAGTAGAGTTTAAAGATACATTGGGTTTAACATGTAAACCTATGAGGAAAAAGACTGGTCCTTAACTTTTTTTTGAGGAGTATATTTACCTTATAGTATACCTTCGAATTCATTATAATAAAAATGTATTTGCCTACATATAGTTTTACATATCCAATGACCATGAGGTTCCAAAACAATACAAAAATAGACAACACAGAAAAAATTAAGGCTTTGAAAATAAGAGTTCAAATATACATAGGGTTTAACATGTAAACCTATGAGGAAAAAGACTGGTCCTTAACTTTTTTTGAGTAGTATATATTACGCCATAGCACCCGACAGAAATATTATCCTTTAACCAGCTCTTGGGCTGAATAACCCGTATGACCCCTGGGTCCATCAGAAAAATTAATGGTTTAGGAAAAGATAACTAATTTTTACCCCAACTCAAAATATTGTGGCAAAAAAACAAACCGAAAGGACAAATAAGATAGAATGTGATTGAACAGTTCTAACCTCATGGATACTAATGCCTACTTGTTTTATACTCTTTGAATGTCAAATAAAAACATTTACAGCAACAATTCAAATACCGCAGAGCGTATTAGGTATTGATAATTTATTCAACTGATATTTTCATGATACTCTATACATCAATATTCTCAACCACTGGCCATTGTACTTTGATATGCTGTTTGGGCAAGACATGGGACTGGTTTCTGAAACCATCAGAAAGTTACAATCTTTCAACGCTTGGTCTCCAGAATGAAAATCCAGAAGAGCTGGATCTTTCTTGATGGGAGTACGCAATTTCGCGCCTAAATCAGAAGCCACACAGTCCATTCTTAGATCATGGAGATTCGAAGACAAATCTCATACCCAAGAGGAGGGAAAGCCCCAGAGCTTTAGCGATGACTGACATAATACAAATACGTCTCTTGCGTACCACCTTCGTTTGCGCAAATTCTCACCAGTTAATTTTCGATGTTTTAATCGATGTAAACATATTCCTTACATATTTCTTTATCTTGATGTGAAAAATCAAGCTATGATATTAGTTAATACGCCAGGAATCAACATAATATTAATCGAAGCGTTATTAGAAAATTTTGAATCCTCCATTTTTGCTTGCAGAGAAGAGAGAAAGTACAAAGTATTTTCCCTGGTACCTATCGTACATGTAGGGGACACAAAAACAGAATCCCATATCTCTTGAAAGGCCCATCATGGGTATATTCTAAACAAATAGAGACTGCCACATTTCTGGGAAATCGTGCAAAACGCAATATTTCCGTCGTCTGCAGACTCGAGAACATGTCATTAGACAGAATGTCCAACTGGGGAAAATTATTTTGCTTAATTTCCTGCAATGGCAGTCATACTGTGTTTTACAATAATAGATACCTGATTAACACTTATTAGCCCTATTTACACTACACGCGACATTTCAAGACGTCTTAGCTAAAACGTTTTAGTAAAATCATGTTGAGTTTACACCACCATTTTCAAGACGTCTTACGAAATATGATTGAGGTTACACCTGTTTTTCTAAAACGTCTTAGAGATATGTAGGCATACATATAAAATGAAAAAAGCAGTTCAACACTGGTTGAAGGATGGTTCAGTCAACATAGCTATTCCTTTCCCGCTCCTATACTTTCTGCTAAAGAATGCATCCGTTCAAAATAATATGTATTAAAGAGAGCATTGTTAAAAGCATGAAAGAGGGCCGGAAGATTTTGTCCATATATTAGGATTGTGATAGAACGCTCTAGGCGAATTAGTTCCTCTCGATACTTTTTGGATGATATTGGTAACAAAGGGATGAGACAAGAGAAAGAACGTCCATGCTACACATGTAATCAGGAAGTTTCAATTTTTTCGTTCAGCGCAACACATAAAACCGGGCTAAGAGCTCTTAGCTAAAACCGATGGATTTACACTCGCTTGTAAAACATTTTAACGCTAAGACGTCTTGGCTATAACTAGGGTCCTAAAACGTTTTAAGTAAGTTTTGTCCAAAACGTCTTATAAGGGCGCTAGTGTAAATCCAACAAGTGTCAATCTCCAGCTATGAGGTGGCCATCATGGTCATGACAACTGTTTTGAGAATACCAAGGTTACTTGGGAGTTCTGTCAGTGGACAATAAAGGTAGGATCGTGCAAAACTCTACCTGTCTGCCTCGGTTCGATTGATTAGCATACAGGAAATTTGTATTTATAAATTACCCACAACTCACTTATTTAGACCACTTGACTTGTTTGGACTTAACAAACAACTGAGGTGCTTGATTGACTTGAATTAATTACTGCACGACACAAACTAATGCCTTTATTGACGCACGATTTCGAACCTATTTCTAGAGTTTCGAAACGTCAATAGTATGTTATTATGCTATGTGGAGAAGTATTGTATCAATAAAATGTCGTATCACCAATTTGTTAAAGCTCGTTTAGAATATTACATTTTCCGCAAAAAATTAATTTATTACAAAAACGTTTTTATATATAACATGTCATGATTTATTATACTAATGCATTATACTGTAACTTGACTAGACTAGAATGTTGTAAACCTAGTACTAGTATATTAGTATAACTATCCCCATATTCCTATATCACTGGTGATCCGCTCGATTACGCTGGTTACCAAAACGGTTCCTAACAAAATGTCGGAACGTCTTTTTTCCTTATTTCACGCGAAAAATAGCTCAGAAGACAACAGAATCGTCGATTTAATTCCTCACTTAAGTTACATAAACGGTTTGGGTTAAAAGTGCAGATCTTAACCGTTTTTCGAAAAACCGTTTATGTAACTTATGCCTTGGTCACATTTGCTCACTACTTCACATTTGCTCACTACGGTGCCCGGCCGATTAAGTATTTTGTTCAGAAATGTATTCAATTTTGAACAAAATACTCAATCGGCCGGGTGCCGGCCGATGAATTGCAGCAAATGTGACCCAGGCATTAAGTGAGGAATTAAATCGACGATTCTGTTGTCTTCTGAACTATTTGTTCGCAAATATGTACATTTTCTTAAACATATGATACTGATACACACTTGTGTTAAAAATGTCGTGGGAATTCTGCCTACAACGTGTGAAATAAGGAAAAAAGAATCGTACCTTCGATGTTCCGACATTTTGTTACCAAAACGAACCGTTTCGGTAACCAGCGTAATCGAGTGGATCACCAGTGTATATCGATTTCATGAGTTCTGACATGGCAAGGGTAAATTAAAGCACATACTTAGCCATAATCAGTGTCAATAACCTTGTTGTTATGTGCTTTGTATTATCCGCAAAAATATAGATTTAGCCTTATAATTAACAGTTCGATGAAAATAGATGCAGTCGCGACATTCGTTATGAATGAAATAATCAAGCGACCAATCCTCATGCTTTTCCAAACTCCAAATTCAGACCTAATTTCTTTAGAAATTGTTTAAAAAGGCTCATTTTAAAGTTCCAAATCTCCCTGTTGTTTGCAAAGAATGCTTGATAGAAAATGGCGTTGGTTCAAATGACTGTCATTCACTTATAAAAATCATAAGTCAAAAAGGTGCTTATTCTGGTCAATATTGACATTGCAAAATTCCTGCAAAAATATTTCTCGTTGAATTTTATTTTTTGATGATAATTTTCAAAATATGTTGCTGAGTGTGAAAATAATAGTTTTGGTTTGATACCATCATAATTTTAAATGAGGAAATTGACAAAACCCACCTTTTTCTATCATCAGCTATTGCAATAGAGGAGTTTCTATATAGCTTTGAAATCTCGCTAATTCTCGTTTTTGTAAGATTTTAACGAATTTGCATATAAAACACATCTTGATTCACCTCTAGACTCAGCGACAAAGTGGAAAGCGACGATGTATTAACATCCAAAATTACTAACTTTTCCTCTTGTAATAACATATTTAAAATCAGTGTTTTTTCCACAATAATAATTTGATTTATCCAGTTTTGTTATTCAAATCATTTTCCATGACTTTCAACGCGTTGGCCAAATCATCTCCATTGATGCAATGTTGATGCAATTCTTTAAAATCTCAGTTTATTCGTTCAAAAAACAACTTTTTTATGATTAATCACAATATGCACATTTACAGGTTCATCCCATAGTAACACATTCGAGTTTTAGACGGATTCTGTTTTTTACCAATAAAGTCCATGGCAGTAACAACAAAAACAAATAAAAACAAGTGCTGCCATCTATTTATTTAGTTTTATTCAGCTACATTATTGCAACTCCCTTGACATAATGTAATACTCCACTTGCAGTCCCAGAGCTGTTCCGAAAAAATTAAGTGTCGTTGTCCGGTCCTCTGCCACAAGAAAAGAACAAACCGTTTTAAAGTACTAATTTCCCTTATTAACAAAACATTCGTTTTGATTGTAACAAGGGCTTTCGCCTCTAAATGGGGTCACACAAGGCTGCCTTCTAAAAACAACTTTTTGTACATATATTTTTTAACCTTTTTACCACATCACTGCATTTTAATTTTGATATCGATTGATTTTGATAAAAATTGAATACTTTTGATCAACAGGAGAATATAGAATTTAGAAAATGGTTCACACAAGATGCAAACGTCTGCAATAGTAAAAAATCTGCTCGGCGCAATGTTTTGGTGTCAATGCATTTTAAGAAATGAAAAAACTGTCTAATGCTTGAAAAAAGGTAATGTGACATGTATCAAAGCTCCAAAGCGACAAAAATGTTAGCCAAATTAATGTCTTAGAAATCTGATGATATAATATGCCCATGCTCAGTCAAGACTGCATGTCCCCATGTAAAGTCAACACATCCTTGCTTAAATCCTTATTTTCTGAAAGCCCTTGTTACAGGGAAAATGTAACATAGCCCAATGTAGAGCATATTTGTAGGAACACTATGCAGGAGTTGGTTTTTGTGGCGGACACCCGGACAACAAACTCCTTCTCATCGAGAGCTCTTAGAAAAAAACAGATCAGGGACTAACACCTAATGTGATCATGAAAAGACTTTTATAGATTATCTTAACATTGTGTCATTAAGAATTTAGCCATACCCTTAATTCTCAGAAAACTGGAAATCAAAATTAAATTCTAGTGAAAAATTAAACACAGATACAAAACCTCTATTCATTGAGTTCTGGGCTTATATCCTTTATAAATTAATATAATTCGTAGAGTTAAAGGATTGTAGAATCATTTTGTCTGAATATGATATGTTTTAAATGTGTCTCGTGCTAAGAACCAGTGTGAGTGCAAATATGTAATTCAGAATCCAATACGTAACAGGCGAGTCTGGTATAACATCATGGGGAGCCACGCCTTATCCATCTCTCCCCTTCTGCCGCAACAGCGGGCGCAACAGAATGAGAGACCTTGTGCTCTTGTAACACGTGCAGCGTTTTGTAAAGCCTTGAGATTTCCATCGGCAAATAATACATTTATCAGTCTTTTAATTAAAAGCACTGGAATACTTTTCTATTTATTTTCAGACAATGTTAAAATATGTTCTCATAATCTAAAAGGAATATCAAATTTATACTAATCTTTACACGCTTTGATTTCAGTGCTGATTGTTAGTGTTGCCAGGCGACAATATTGAACGGCAATAATTATAAGGATGATGGTACCTACAACAGAATCATGTCCGCCGGTGAAAAAGAAACTGACACGGACCCAGGCCATTGTTGTGACTACTATCCCTTCGACGTTTGCCACTAGCAATACTCTCACCACTAAACCCAGTGGCACACGGAAGAAACTTTTAAGAACATTGTCACTTACATCTGACGCAGTTAGCAGGACGTTAGGTCTATCATCGAGCCGAAGTGACATATCTTTCGACCAACATAACACCCGACCAACATCGTTAACCCTCTCAAATTCAGCGTCATACTCTACGTCTTCGATTGCAACTGAGTCCGAAGAAGGCTCAGATTGCGATGGAGGACAGAGGCTCAAGGTGGAAAAACAAACCCTACGAGCCACTAAATCTAATAGCTCGGCTACAGATAGACGTTGGGGGAAACCACCAAGGCCTCCTAATTTGGATATTTCCCGCAAGAGAAACAACTATCAGAATGTAACTAGCCCTTTGGCGAAGACCGTATTAAAAAAGAAAAACTCCAGCCATATATTAGGTAGTTTCACTGTAGGAGGGGGGTCAACAGAAAACCCACAATTTAGGAAATCGATCTCTTATTCATCATGTCCAAATCTTCTGGACGACGATAAACATCTCGAGCAATTTGATATTATTTCAAAGAGCAAACACCACAAGCGGAAATCTCCCTCACACACTCCAAAGAACATGTCACCCAAAGTGGGCAATTCCCCGGTCTCTTCACCATGCCCATCCCCCAATAGTTTACTAAAAGTACCCGATATTTTCACAACCTCGTATACTCGCAGTAATTCAATGCCCCGAGGTAGCTCTAATCACGGGCCTGGACGCAAGGATTCGTGGTCCGCAAGTCCAATCGAGCTTTCACCGAAGCATAGGGACTTACTACAAAGTGTCGACACTGGTACTGATCTTTCGGGATTGACGATATCTGCTAGGGTTACAAAGGGCCTAAGTGTTCCAAATCTCTTTGACACGCCGGATTCACCCATAGTAAAAGAGCTCATCAAAAAATGCTACTCCGACACTCCCCCAAAGACCAGATCTGATTCCGACGGAAATCCGAACGTTTTCTATCGGGATTCAAACTGTGCCCAAATCATGGAACATTTATTTTTAGGTAACATTGAATCGGCTCACAATGAACGACTGCTATGTAAACTTAAGATAGACGGCATCATTGACATTGCAAATGTTGACATAGATGATATCCCGGCTGAGAAAAGACTAAGCTGTCCATGTTCCTGCCCGATTTCGAGGCATTCTCGCCCGAAACTATACATTAATGTAGATGACAATGAACTTGCCGATATGGAGCCATATTTTGATGAAATCAATAGGTTTATTGAAGGTACTCGGAAGAGAAACAAACGTGTCTTGGTTCATTCTTATTTTGGTAAATCACGAGCTGTTACGGCCTTAGTCCAGTACATCATGAAGATGTACAACCTGCCTTTAAAAACTGCTTATAACGTTGTAAGGAAGGCCAGACCAGAAATAAACGTCAACCCACGGTTTCAAAGGCTTCTAGAAGCTCTCAATCAGCGGTTGACACCTGGAGGGAGGGATAAATTTAGATTTGATGACGTCGATGTGTCATTTGGTAATGTAAAAGAAGCGTGGTCTGATGTGTGACCTGGTGGAGAGGAAAATGTGAATCTTATTATGAATATGTCGACATCTACATTGATTAATACAGTTCTGGGATCTACAACTATTTCCAGGTGTGGAGCTATTCTGTATCAGTGTTATTCTGTCATTGTAATACAGAATATTGGATTTATTGAGGTCCTTGCTAGACCTTTAGGAAACCATAAATGGTTCTATTTGTTGAAGAAAATGTCCCAAACTTGGGTAGGATATCATGAGATATAGCTTTTAGAAATGCATTTTGAAAGAATACAATATGTTGATCTAGTTGACAAAGGAAAGGATCTAAAGGTCCAATATCTGGTGGTATACGACACGAGAAGACTCAATTATGCGTTTGGATATTAAGTCCTCCATCGGGTGTTCACGCCATTATCATATCAGTTGTGCGGAGGCAACATTGGAATGTTGTGTTACCCTTCAACATAATTGTAATGTAAAAATACTGATATTGGATAGGTGTTAATTGAATGTTGATTGTGGTTTGTTATTGTATTCTCATATTTTGATGACGTCAACCTCTGACGTCAGATGATCTTGTGACTGTTTGTATTCAAGATTTACTGTGATATGTTGGAAGCGATATTTTTAATACCAGAGTCACAGGCTGGTATCGAAAGATTTGTCCGCTGTGACAGAGCATGCTGTTTTTCATAAAAACACTAAGAATACTTCACAATTTATTCACAACTCATGTGTTTCGTTATATCAAAGAAAATTAGTTAAGCTTACTCCATGCAATGGATATATCATTTGCGGTAACACTCACGTCTGTTTGAAGTCCAATAACGCTAGGAGTAAAAGCTATTGAAAACGGCGCCAGAGTATCAGATTCTAAAACGTAACATTTCTGTTATAACTTTTTAATGACATGATATAGTGACACGATGATATTTACATATGTTTTCAGCAAACTCCGGCGCCATTTTCAATAGCCTTTCCTTCTTCAAACTTCAAAACAGAAGTGAAGGTTACCCGCAAATGATATATTCATTGCATGGAGTAAGTAATTTTCTTTGGTATAACGAAACATATGAGTTAAAAATAAATTATGTGGTTTTCTTATATAACATGCTCCGTCACAGCTGACAAATCTTTCGATACCAGCCTGTGAGTGTCATTACAATCTCAGGAAATACAGGGCGGTCAAAAAGTGGAAACCCAGCATTTTCCTCACATCTTTGTCATTTTAAGGATTTACTCCCTGATAATTCATACATTTGAACATCATTTGTGCGTAAGGCTTCCCGTTTTTTGACCACCCTGTAGATGTTTATACTAGAGTCTCTAGCCATTTACTTGATACTTGGAGGCCTTAGAAGAAGGTACCCCTCTTTAATTTTTAATGATATGAAGAATCCTGTTCCTTTTTAAATAACTGGGTATATTTGATCAGCTACTGTCTCAGAAAATAAAATTAAGATATGGTTTGTAAGGGAAACATTAGCATGATTTTTAAAAGATGCCCAGGAAAAGATGGCTTCCAACATTTTACACTATCTAGACATTTTTGCCACTTTAAATAGTCGTAATAGTTTAGAGCGACATGTAAATCTACATGTGGCATTTGGAAATATTGTGAAAGATAATTGGATGGTTAACATTCATTTTACGAATTCCCTGGTCTATTGTTATCCTATAATTATGGTTGCCACAGAAACAATTTATTATCATTAATTTCATGTCACTAGAAATATACCTTTAAATAGTATATGGTAACGTATAAGTATATACTAATTTCGATGCGCATATAGATTATATGATTATTAGACGAAGAAAATTGAAACATGAGAACATTAACTCTGATTTTCATGCGTTAAACATGTTAAACCGCTAAAGATTTACTGAAGTAAGACTGTCGATAGATGGCAACATTGTGCTGGGTTTGGAATTCAGTTTGGTATTTGATAACATGCCATGAAATCTAAAAATACAATAATTCAAAATTTAAATATTCTCTTGTCATTATTTGTAAGAAAATTGTTTTCTAATCCGACCTTGGTATATGAAAATGGCGCTTGTGTATCATAAACTAAATGTATGCTTTCCTATTAACTTTTTATTTATTTTTTTATTTCTCTTTTCAAACACCATTTTCCACACCACCTCCATTCATTTAGACATTCATACTGTTAAGTTCTGGTACATATATAGGGGTTATGCACTGGGAGGTTTTGGATACAGGGAATATCCCGAGGGATATACAATATATCTTCCCGAGGGACCGAAGGGATCGAGGGAAGATGTATTGTATATCCCAAGGGATATTCCATGTATCCAAACCGACCGTGCATAACTGGTGTATCTCATACTTGAGTGGGTTTAGGGTAGATATAACCTTTTCCACCTTTTTCAAATGACAAGATATTTATATTTAACCTTTTCGTAATATTCTTTTTGTTTAATACAATGAAATTGTAACATTTAAACTTAAAGAAATTAAATTTTAAAATTAGAAAAATTAAAACTTTTGATATTTAAACTTTTTTAAACTTTTGAAAAATTCCCGGGAGCGGGATGGATATATTATATCTGCCCGCATTTGGCCTGGAGCGGGACATATACAATATATCCTGCCCGCTCCTCAGATACGATATATATTCCCGGGTGATATCTACCCCAAACCCACTCAAGTATGAGATACAAAAACATATTTTTTTCTATTAACTATTTAAAAAATATCACAATATGAGATATAGCATCGTTTTTGATAACTTTCAGTCCTAGATTTTTTGAACTTCGGACAAAAGTGAATTGTAGGGAGTATGTTATAATGAAATATCTTGAGTTTTTTACCTATATTTACATGAATCATGCCGCGAACACCATTACCGTTTAATTTGTTTATCTCAGAAAATCTATGTTCAATTGTTAGCCTGTAGAATTTGTAGATGTAACTCATGCTCACAGTAAACTAGATCTCGCAACTTGGTCCTCTGCGTTCTTCATCGGGTTTGCCTACTAGGGACATATTACGACGTATAAGGAATGAGGTAGAATGAGATATGAGGTTATGAACGAACTAGCATAAGACCCCCTATCACACCAAATTAGACCCCAACTGTTCTTTCCAGCCCTACATAAAGTCGCAAAACGGGCTAAATTTGTCTGTGATCGGTAAAATATGTCTAAAACATTTAGTTACTTCGTCCACAAACAGTCTTCAATCCGTCCTTATTCGCAATCTCGCATGCAGTTCGTTCATCCCTCGTAGGGTAGGGTACGGCAATTACGTTCGTAAGTAGGTCATCTCGTTCAAAGTACGTCGTCACACGATTCTGGAGGACCTACCCGTTCGAATACGATCATGAAGTTTGTAAATGTACCCCAAACGGTTCTTAGTACGTCCAATCCGTTCGTACGTGATAGTAGGAAGCTGCGGTCACACCAAACTGGTTCTCGTCACGTTCTTAACATAAGTTTGTCCTTAATAATCAGTCGTTGTTTTCTGCAAATTCAAAACATCAAAAATGGTTCTTTTCAAGACGATTTCTCGACATTTAAAAACGTTCGTAGTACGTTCTCATTTTATAATCGTTTTTAAAAGGTTTATACTTGTAGTGTAATCGTATTTTAGGACGTTTCAAATAGAATGGAATGGAAAACAAAGGTTTGAAGACTACTTCGGTGTAACAGGGTAAACTGTGGACTCGTAAATGTTTTGTGGACTAGTAAATGTTTTACAAAAAGGACATCCGAGGACAGACGTGTGAAATGTAATAAATTGAGTAAAGCTTCTATTCAACGTCCCAGCTTTACCGATTTTTCCAACTAATTAATCAAATTTAAGGAGATTGAATCTACTCCTCTGAGCAATGGAAGTTCTTTCGCGATCGATGACATGATCTTTCAGAAAGTACCCATGATGCCTCGGTGGATTAAGATGACTTGACAGTTGCGCATCTTAAAGATGCAGTTTCTCGCGCGCGTAAGTTCCTTACCCGGACAATCAGTAATAGCACCATTGTAACGTTCATTCCTTATCTAGTATCGTGAGATCAACTTATGGGCATGGTATTGCCGATATATTGAGAAAACCAACAGCTCAACCAACTTTCAGAATTTTGAATGGAATTTTTCCTCACCTGTCACGTACAATGTTTCAACAAGTTTCAAGTAATAAAACATGCATCAATGATATTTGAATAATAAAAGTAAGAAAATTACTATGAGAGTAAAATGGCCACATATATTAGCATGCGCTGACTGTTTTCTTTTAAAAGAGATAAAAAAGAATTTATTTGACACATTTAGCCTAATATTTGCTCACGAAAAATTGTTGCCTGTGTGAACATAGGATGTATGTAACATGCATAGTTCATACTGTAACATATGGAGCAAAGCAACCATGAATGATAACACAACCATCTCCCGGGAACCATCTCTTGTAGTAGCCAGGTAAGTATTGAAATCAAATTGTTCTGCTTCTTCATTCGTATCTTAAAAGATTCATGTAAACGAAAATGTTTATTCATTAAAAAGATTCAGTCTCTAAAATACCCCTTTTTAAAATTTGCAACAGGCGCCATCAAAACCCCATCAACAGATTTCTATTTCTTGGCTTACTTAAGTCAATTTCCATGTCTGATTTGGGCATGTTATAAAGATTTTATGTAAATTTTAATTCAATCTGTATTTGAAATATGTAGTAGCCTTGTAAAATATAACTTGGTGTTCGTTCAATACTATTTTCTTTTTAAAACTTTGATCAGGCAAATGCCCCTGACTTGGATGAGAAAGATACACACTGCAGTGCTAGCCTTGGACAGATAAAGATGGAGTAATGGGACGTGAGGATCATATACGGGTGGCACCGTTGTTAAGGAAGGTGTAATCAATTAACATATTTGTTTAGGCTCCCTAGGCTCTTTTCCCGATCAGGATCAATTAATAGCAAAGGATGGCGAAGAAATAAGTGAATTCAAATGCACTTTAATAATTAAAAATTGCTTCAAAATCTCCAGATAAAAAATCTCCTAAGATAAACCACAATATTCCTACACATCCCAATGGGACGCCATCTATTTTAAGTCATGGCTCCAATTGGATTTTTTTATAAATCATTTTATTTGTATTCATACACTTTGAAGTAATGTATGTACTGTTCTGAATTAAAACTTTGAACATTAGGTAACTTGACAGGAAGGACAAGCGTATATATAAAGCGAGATATTCCAAGATTTCTGTGATTCCGGGACATACATATATGTACATTTCTCAAGACATGCCTGGTGCTCCTTCACTCGCAAATCAACCCTTGGCACTTTGGAAACACAGGGACAACCAAGAAACAGTTATAATGTGGTTCAATATATTATCAAGAATGTTCCAGGTTAAGTAAATACAATATTAAGGAGACTACCATTTAAAGTTAAACAGGCCCGTCAGATGAGTGGGATGGGTGACATTAAAAGTATCGCGGCTACCTAAAAGTCAAGTTACCATAGTAAAAGTTTTTTGACCAATTAGATTAGAAATGATGATATCGTACGGGTCAATATCCACATATTTTGGATGATGTGTGAAAAATTAAAAGCCTTTGAAATGAGAGTATTTTTCTGTGAATTTATTGAACGACCTGGTAAATACTATATCTAGTATATACATGTTCCATGTTTTACATTGCAAATAATAATTTCAGGCGTTATGCTGAGACTCATCTGGCATGATGGCACTTGATAACTACATGCTATATTGGAACGGAATGGGGTTTGATAAAAGATTTGCACGGATACAGTTCGACTACCTGGATACTGACAACGATGGGTTGACCAGCCAGGAGGATTTTGCCGATGGATTTGTGGATTATATTTGCAATCTAGATGAAAATACTTTCAACCGCTTCCATGGACATTAATATGAAATACAGTATTGTTGCTCATTCAATTGTTATGTCACCATCACCAATAAGTAGTGACACATTGTTAATGCAATGACGATGATGTGTTTTGTGACGGGAGTTGACACCGGTATCCATAGTAAATGTATTCGACATTATCTGCTAAGACAGAACTAACAGTCTCAAGTTTTGATTTATTTTATGTTCTTTATTAGATCACTTGCAACAATAGTAAAACTACTATCAGGTGAATTCTAATAAAAAACAGTAATCAAAAATAATTTGTATAAACAAAAGGTATAGTTGTTTGCAAAATCTTAAATATGTAGTCATTTTAAAGCAGATTTCTCATCTTAGCTTTGAATAGCAGCCAAATCAAATACAAAAGTTATCTGCGCTGTTCTGTTGTTGTTCTGTTTTTAGTCTTCATGGTTTATGAACACATTGCTTTGCAAAATGTCTTACTGATCTCTTTAACCCTTAACCTTGTCAGCCAAATATTCGAGTCCAAATTCTATTAGGGCTTCAGCTAAGATTTCCACTTTGTCACACTTCTTTGGCTGTTTATTCTGCCATTTGGTAAGTGTTTTGAAGCCATACACAACCGAGTCACTTTTGTTATCCTTCTCAAGGTGCTGCATGTCAGCTGAAGTCAGACCAAGATTAATACCAACTTGCATCACATATTCCCCAAGTTCCTCTGCGATTTTTAAAAGGACTTTCTCAGGAATGCGATCGTAGATTATACCTACAATATGCAAACGAGTGTTAAGTTGACTTAATAGGCTATGTTATTTTAAACTAAAAAAATAATATTTGTATTTTAGTCAAATTTAGATCAATCGTGTATTGATATCCGTGTACGAGAAGTAAAAAATAATCACGTGGTGAAACGTTGTATGTGTCTTGCGTTGAGTCACTAATGTCCGCCTGGGTAGATTTGTCCTGGCCAGGTTGCCTGTGGTGAATGCCTTCGGGAGAGGGGTGTTTGGTTCTGAGAATCGCCATATCATCTTTTGAGGACAAAGCATCAGCACACGCGTTATCGGATTCAGAAGATGCTTCGACATTTACATCATTTGACCCAGGGCCTCTTTTATCGAATCTCAAGTGCCCCTTTGCAACAGTTGGTGGAGGTGTGTTGTCGCAGGCGTTACAAACTGTAATGAAAATTCATTTTGTATTTTAACAATTTAACAACTAAAATGATTATATAAAACATATGGAATTACAATGGTAATGCTATACAAATATATTAAAATCGTCATAAACTAATATAAAGTACGTCTGAAGTGTTAGCTTTTGGCGCTAATTAGTATTGAGTTGGTGTTATTTACCATTGAAAGTTGGCCTATACAATCCTATATCCTTTTCTGTTGGCTGCTGTTGCGAACTTCTTGTCGTCGGATCGGGCTTTTCAACCTCCTCATCATGCTGATAATCTATCAAAATAAAAAAACTAATTACGCTATGTATACCTTACTCCTGGAATCTGAAGTAAACCAGACTTTGTGCATGAATGAGAGATGAAAGATTACAAGGAAAATTCTTCCGATTATTTTCTTGAACATATACTTCGGAAAAGTACTTCGTTTAAAGTAGAAATACCTGAGTGTAACGGAATGTTAACAGTTGATGTCGAAGACTGTGACTTCGTCGCCAATAATGGTTCTTCCAATCTTTTTTCGATAGTACTAACATTAACTACTTCATTCTGGGTAGTTTCTTCCAAGGGCTCTTTAGTTTTACCTAAAATTTATTATATAAGTGATGTACTAAAGTTACATATAAATAAAACATCAAATCAATATGATTTTTGAGAATACAGAATTAAATGATACAATGTTATTTGAATAAAATATACTACTCAAGGGGCGAGGAGGAAAATTCTCAATAAATGGTGTATAGTTGGTTTGGCAGCATATTCAGGTAGGGGAGAGTCTTGGATGAAAGTTCCACCTAGGTGATAGCTTCGCAGAGTGGTAGGAAGTTCTTTTTTTTGAGGAGTTAGACCCCCACCCCCCCCAAAACACCCCACCCTGGGGAAAAAAATTGTTCACACTATATAACCTTAGATATTCTGATGTTTGTAAGTGACATACATAGATATTATATATATATGAATCATTTGTAGTATAATTGATGCTAATTACTCCTAGAGAATTTGAATATTAGTACAAAGTGTGTACCCTAGGGGGCAAATTCGTGACTCATTTTCTTACTATTTTAATTCTAACTTTTCAATTAGACACTGTAAGAGGTTGAAAAAATTCATATGAAGTGCCCAATAGCAGGGTTAGTGACCCTAAAAGATGCAAAGCCATGGAAGAGGTAGGAGCTGAGAAAAAAATTGTTGATTTTTCGAAAAATTTGACATTTTTGACAGCTGGATTTTGTGTACGACTATAGCTGACCCCTATAGTTTCTAGATCCATCCCTCTATGATGATATTTATGGTTTTATAGTGTGGAACTAAGATGTAAAACATAATTTAGATGGGTTTTAAGGAAGTTAAAGGTTTTAAACAAGTCCAAAATTTGAAAAATTGTAAATTTAAGGTTTCAAATTTACGAATTCCAGGTATAGCCATGGCTGACCCCTATAGTTTCTAGATCCATCCTTCTTTGATGATATTTATGCTTTTATAGTGTGAAGCTAAGATGTAAAACATAGTTTAGATGGGTTTTAAGGAAGTTATAGGTTTTAAACAAGTTCAAAATTCGAAGAATTGTAAATATAAGGTTTCAAATTTACGAATTCCAGGTATAGCCATGGCTTACCCCTATAGTTTCTAGATCCATCCTTCTTTGATGATATTTATGCTTTTATAGTGTGAAACTAAGATGTAAAACATAGTTTAGATGTGTTTTAAGGAAGTTATAGGTTTTAAACAAGTTCAAAATTCGAAGAATCAGTAAATATAAGGTTTCAAATTTACGAATTACAGGTATAGCCATGGCTGACCCCTATAGTTTCTAGATCCATCCCTCTTTGATGATAATGGTTTGCAGTATGAAACTAAAGATGTAAAACATAATTTAGATGAGATTTAAGGAAGTTAAAGATTTTAAACAAGTCCAAAATTTGAAAAATTGTAAATATAAGGTTTCAAAGGACGATTCTCGGTTTGGAGAACAGTCTCCCGGGCTAATAATTTTTTTCATGAAAAATATAGAAATACTACCCAAATTAAACTATGAATATTCAAAAGAGGACATTTAAATCTACAAGATGTAAAAATAACAAATTGGTCTGAAGTAGGGATAACGCTCAATTAGACCGATTCGATAAAATACAAGTCTCGATTTGGGGAAAAAAGTTCATCGGTGTACTGCGCTAATATTTTTTTGTGAAAAATCTAGAAATATTACCCAAATTAAAAAATGACTTTTCAAAAGAAGACATTCAAATCTATATTATGTAAAAAAATCAAATTTGTCCGAAGCAGGGATAATGCTCATTTAGATTGATGAACTTCGTTCTCCAAACCGAGAATCGTCCTTTACGAATGTTAGGTATAGCCATGGATGACCTTTATAGCTTTTTCATCCATACCTCTATGCACCCTATGCAGACAGAGCCTGTGGGAAATATTGGGTGCGGAGCAAATGAGCGGAGGGTGCGGAGCTAACGGTCATTTTTGAATTTAAATTTGGGATATTTCTGAAACTAAGCCGTTTTGGGACTTCAAATATACCAAGATATGTGTATTTGACACCAAATATCAATAAAATTGTGAAAATAGTAGTGCAATTCATTTTATAGCGACGCAGTATGCCTTAAACATTTCCCAGACCTATATATTTTGAGACTATCCTTTTAATACTGCGTCCCCAGCATTCATAAAAAATGGTGTTCAAGATACACTACCCATGCAAATTATTTTTGCATCTTGGAAGCCAGGCAGTATCTGTGTGATTTTATAAAAATTCGGAAATGTTCTTCAGATATGAGCCCCTCTAAATATTGGGTGCGGAGCTACGTTTATGGAGCTGCTCCGCACCCAATATTTAGAGGGGCTCATATCTGAAGAACATTTCCGAATTTTTATAAAATCACACAGATACTGCCTGGCTTCCAAGATGCAAAAATAATTTGTATAGATAGTGCACCTTGAACACCATTTTTTATGAATGCTGGGGACTCAGTATTAAAAGGATAATTTCAAAATATATAGGTCTGGGAAAGGTTTAAGGCACACTGCGTCGCTATAGAATGAATTGCGCTACTATTTTTACAATTGTATTGATATTTGGTGTCAAATACACATATCTTGGTATATTTGAAGTCCCAAAACGGCTTAGTTTCAGAAATATCCCAAATTTAAATTCAAAAATAACCGTTAGCTCCGCACCCTCCGCTCATTTGCTCCGCACCCAATATTTCCCACAGGCTCTGTCTGCATAGGGATGAAACTGAATTTTTAGAGTGTAAAACTAAGTTGTAATACATACTGAAGATGAATTTTAAGGAAGTTTAAAAATTAAAACAAGTGCAATATTTGAAAAATTGAGAAATATCAGGTCTCAAAGGAGCACGAAAAGCATCGCAACAGATTTCAAACAGTCATATGTTGGATTTTGTCTGTTTTCTGAGGATTTAAGCAGGTGCATATGTTAGGCCATTGCATTACCTATGGGAAAAGAACTCTTAGAGATGATAAAATAGTTTGGACTTTAAGACAGCGACGGTGCAAACAATCCACCCACATGTTTTCGGAAATGTTGTCCTGATTTTCAACCCCTTTCATCCCTGCTTTTTCAATTTTTCTTGCGTATGTTGCGTTTGGAGACTTAGTTAACCCATTAAAAGGATAATGAATTTCTTTTAGATGAAGCAGAAAACAATATTTTCCTGTTATTTCCCATAGGGAAAATTCATGTGATCCATTGCTTTCAGCTTAATTTTGGTCACCCATATTTGACATCTTTAAAACCCCTGATGGAATGCATTATTCCTTTAAAGGGGTTAACTGTGTGCCAAAACACAACATATTGATGCATGTGGGTGGGTTGTTTGCACCTTCCCTGTCTCAAAATAGAAATTATTTTATCATCTCTATGAGTGCTTTTCCTGGAGGAAATGCATTGTCCGAACACATGAACCTCCTCAAATCCTCAGAAATAGCCAAAATCCAACATATGACTGTCCGAAATCTGTTGCGATACTTTCAGTCCTCCTTTACGCTTTCAGGTATAGCCGCCCTTGGATGTCCCTCTTTTTTAATGCATGACTTTTTAGCTTAGAAATTAGATGTTGAAAATATTGTGGTCAGGTTTGATCCATGTAACAAGTATTGTTAAAAGAAAAATCATTAGAGATGAAGACCTTACCCTAGAGTTCCTAAGGGGGTGAGAGGTTAATAACCACTCCCCCCTAAAGTGTAACTGCTCTTAGGGATCTTGTATACAGTGTAGTAATTGATTGATTAAATGGATTATAACTAATTAATTATTATTTGATGATATGTATTATGTGATGTAGCATTTTTACTTTTTCACATCAACATGTTCGATGTTATGTTCTACACTGTCAAAATACATAAAGACATGGTTAATTAAAAGAAACATGATTTCTCTATATTTTGGTATACCCCTACTGTAATTAAGCAATGATCATCTCCTAATACAAAATGTTATTATAAATTATCAAATTATAATCACTACACTCCCAATAAAACAACTTGTCATCAGGCAACAGTAATTATTTGGGAAAATAAGGAATATAAGGATTATACCCCCAGGGCCTAGAAACTCCCGTTAGTGCAGTGAGATTAGGAACTCTACAGGGTCGTAAAAGGGTCTTGTCACACTAAAATCTCCATGTAGATCAAAAAAAGTACATTGTAGAAAATGTTTAGATACTGACTTATCAGATGACATTTTCTAGCATAGTTTATATTAAGAATTTTTTACATTTATTGAAATGATAGTCCCAAAATTAGAATATCAGTGTCATTTGATGCAAATTACTGCAGTCCCAAATGTTCTCCTGCTGAATCCTCTTCAAGAGTAGAATTTAACAGGGATTTCAGTTATCATTTTCAAAGATATTTGAGTTCTCTCCAATAGTTCCACTTACAAAAATCTTGACATTTGGCACACTTTTAGAATGCTGCTATTTGAATTTCTTTGTAATCTATGAAAATTTGTCTTATATTACTTGGCCAAAAGGCATTCATATTTTTAGGTAATGGTGTAATTTCTTCTATGGATTAAAGTTCAATAGGGGAAGCATCCATTCTTCGCATTCTTTCAGAATCCTTTACCTATGGAGGCTACTAGGAGTGTAATATGAAATCTATTCTTTGGGCTCCTTCACTAGATTTGATGGAGTAGTCAAATAAACCTTTCCAAAACTCCAAATTTCAACATATAAATTAATCTTAATTTTCCTTTTGTCATAGCCATTGTATTGATCACAAAAGTTTTATCAATTTGTGGTATGGGTTCATCGATCTCCATTTCAAACCCCTTTTTAAGTTCTGATTTTACAGGATAAGATAGATGATCATTGTCAAACGAAATGTTTGTATCAATATAAGATCATAGTTTACTCCCACATAGCTAGGCAAGGTGTGTCCAATTCCAGCCAATTCAATACTTCATATAACTGCATTCCAATTTACTACTCTCATAAACCCAAGGTCAATTTTAGATTCTAGAGAAACTTATATGAAACCAATAAGCTGATTAATTTCATTGATTAAAAATCTATAAATAGCATCTTAGGGAATAGCATGCCAAGTGCTTGTATTTGAATTTATGTGGATTACTCATCTGGTAGACACCTTTATTAAATGTTATAGTGTTGTTGATTTTCAAGTTGTACAAGCATAGTGTCATGGGTACTTTCTTTTCCTGACATACCCCCCCCCCCCAACATCTGACTATTGTGAACACCTACCAATCATCCCAACACCTGACTAATCTGAACACCCACCAATCTGAACACTTTTCCCAGTCCATTTTCCTCCCATTGACTCCTATGTTTAAAAAAATTGAAATCTGAACACCTCTTAATTCGAACAGTGAACACTCATATTTGAAAGATTAACCTGTCTAACTTGAACCCTTTTTACCAAACATCACATATTTCTCACAAAATTGCTCAAATATTGTCAGTTTAACACCGAATTGTTATGATATCAAAACGTTTGAATTGGATTTTGGAATGCTATTAAGCTTTTTATGTGGTCAGTATAAATATTATTAATATTTATTAATATTTTTCATTGAGAATGCATTCATATTTCTTCAAAATTCAGAATATTGCAGATGTAAAAACCTCAAAATTCAAATACTCCTTATTAGAATGCTTTTAGCTGGTCCAAATAGCATTCAGATAAGGGAGATTTTACTGTAGTTCATGACTTTTCACTCCATCTATATGCAGCAGACTAACTGCTGCAACAGGTATTGTTCTACACCTGGTCTCTAAGCTATATCATAGTTGATACTAATATGCTCATAACCTTTGATTATCAGGGCTCACTCAAGGCTGAACCTGAATAATGTGAATTTGAGACATGATATTTCTCAACTTTCCAAATTTTGCACTTGTTTAAAACCTTGAACTTCTTAAAACTCATCTTAGCTATCTTTTACATTTTAGTTAAACACTCTAAAACTATATATTTCATCACTGAGGTATAGACGTAAAAACCATAAGGGTCATCTTTGGCTATACCTGAAATTCGTAAATTTGAAACCTTATATTTACAATTTTTCAAATTTTGGACTTCTTAAAAACCTTAAGCTTCCTTAAAACCCTTCTAAATTGTGTTTTACATATTAGTTCTACACAACAAAACAACAAATATCATCATAAAGGGATGGATCTAGAAACTATGGGGGTCAGCTATGGCTATACCTGGAATTCGTAAATTTGAAACCTTATATTTACAATTCTTCGAATTTTGAACTTGTTTAAAACCTATAACTTCCTTAAAACCCATCTAAACTATGTTTTACATCTTAGTTTCACACTATAAAAGCATAAATATCATCAAAGAAGGATGGATCTAGAAACTATAGGGGTCAGCCATGGCTATACCTGGAATTCGTAAATTTGAAACCCTATATTTACAATTTTTCAAATTTTGGACTTGTTTAAAACCTTTAACTTCCTTAAAACCCATCTAAATTATGTTTTACATCTTAGTTCCACACTATAAAACCATAAATATCATCATAGAGGGATGGATCTAGAAACTATAGGGGTCAGCTATAGTCGTACACAAAATCCAGCTGTCAAAAATGTCAAATTTTTCGAAAAATCAACAATTTTTTTCTCAGCTCCTACCTCTTCCATGGCTTTGCTTCTTTCAGGGTCACTAACCCTGCTATTGGGCACTTCATATAAATTTTTTCAACCTCTTACAGTGTCTAATTGAAAAGTTAGAAACAAAATAGTAAGAAAATGAGTCACAGATTTGCCCCCTAGGGTACACACTTTGTACTAATATTCAAATTCTCTAGGAGTAATTAGCATCAATTATACTACAAATGATTCATATATATAATATCTATGTATGTCACTTACAAACATCAGAATATCTAAGGCTATTTAGTGTGAACAATATTTTTCCCTGGGGTGGGGTGTTTTTGGGGGGTGGGGGTCTAACTCCTCAAAAAAAAGAACTTCCTACCACTCTGCGAAGCTATCACCTAGGTGGAACTTTCATCAAAGACTCTCCCCTACCTGAAATTGCTGCCAAACCAACTATACACCATTTATTGAGAATTTTCCTCCTCGCCCCTTGAGTATACACAGGATTAGTTATTACATTTCTTTCATTGATAAGTATAGTGATATCACTTTGGCCGCGTCAGATAAGTGTTGTTATCAATTCGTTGTTATTATGACATCATGTATGGTGTCATATAAATTCATTGGGTATCAAAATCCCAGTCGACATCCATGTACTAAAAATGATGATAGTAATTCAATTATTCCTTAAATCTGTAAATATAAAACTGACATACCGAGGTTTTTGGCTCTTGTCCCTTCCCAACCATTGCACCAGCAATTACACTTCCACAACGTAAATACACATATCACTACTGACATTTGACCAGACACGAATACGAGAATGAAAAGCCATGGTGAACACTGTTGTGTTGCCTCTCCTGCAAATACAGAAATGATAAATTACAAATACATCGATATACATGCTTGACATTTGCGCTGTTGAATTTGATGAAGTGATTCCGCATGCAACTAAAAGTAGACTTGGACAAAATATCATCGCCAATTGAATCATTAGATTTGACCCGTCGTGCATAAGACACATGATATCAAATTTGGTTAACATATTAGTCTCTTCATTATATTTTAATCCAAAATCCAGATTTTTCTGAAAAGAGCAGTGAAGATTGCTTCGAGAATTGTTACAGGGTGAGCCAAAAAGGTAGCACAAGCAAATCTTGATAAATCATATATCATAAAGTCATATTTTGCTAAAGAAAGCCTTGTTCAGTGTTCTTTCATTCTACCAAGTTTCATTGGTCAATTATGGTCACAATTGTATGGCCATTATACAAAACATGCTCCAAATGCCAACATACCAAAATCATCCAATATGGAACCCCAGAATTTTACCTTTGGGACTATTCCAAATATAATGTATATAATAAATAACAACCCTAGTACCATCAGAGGGTTGAAACATGAGATTAGAAGAGAAGTGAGAACCATTACACAAGATATATGTGAGCGTGTAGTCAGAAAACTTCACCTGGTGCGATGAAGTTTGCCTCCGAAGGCAAGACAGGTGTAAAAGGGTAGGAGGTCCTATCAAATTATGGTCCTACTTTCCATTGATTTATATGGTGACCTAAATACAACTCTTTCCCTCATTATCTTATACACAATCAGGGCCAGTAAGGGCCTTTAAGAAAGGGGACCATAATCCCCAGGGGACCATAATTTCTTTTACACCGGCATCTTGAACATGTTTTGTAAAATGACCATAAAATCGTAACAGTTTAGAATAGACCCATGACACTTCGTAGAATGAAAGAACATTAAACAAAAGTTCAATTCTTTCAAATATGACTTAAATCCCATACTGGATGACTGAGTTATTAAAATTTGTTTGGGTTACGTTTTTGGCATTCCCTGAACAAAGTCAAATTACTTGATTCTTGGAATGCAGCCTGTGCCTGTTCTGAATTATTTGGTATCATTGTTGTTTGAAGCCATGATTGCTGATACGCAGAAAAGTTGACCCATCTAAAACAGACCTTAACATTGCATCTATTGTCCTAATATACTATGTGTACATTAGATACAAGAATATTGATAGATTTTAAATCCAACAAATATTGCAACTTTCAATTACACAATTTGCATTTTATTCCACAGGAGTATACAATTATCGAACCTACCTCTTTGCTTGCTCCTTCTTACAATACGAATTGTGTATTTCTAGCATTCACTGTCAATGTCAACGAGTGTTGATGATTAACCAAGAGTTAATGATAACAAAACAACGTCAACGCCAACGGGTGGCAAATGTCATCACTCAACTTGCATGATCAACCTGATGAGTACCATCTACAATAAACTAGACTGGAAGTATGGTAACTTAGAAATAATTTTTTGATTAATTTTCTGATGCCAGGAGCTTTGATCCGTGATGATTTTTCAACATATATTATGTAACTTGCCAGAAAGTCAGCTTTTTACATTTCTTAGCAATCTTTAATGAGATATGACTTCATGACGCAATCCACATATATTGCCAAAAAGTGCTTTAGACTGATTTTTTATAATTTGCAAGTGACTTTGGCCATGATGATTCACATATCAGAGTGTTTGAGTTTTACTACGCAAACCTTAACTACTTACACTAATATTGCCACTATGTGCTAACATCCACCATTGAATCTATCTATGGCCAACTTCCCGGGAATTTCTTGAGCATATTACACTGTGCACCCCCGCACAAATGCCCGGATATTCCTCAATTATTCCGCCATTTTCCTTCTGTAAAGACGGAAATTTTAGAATCGCAATAAATTTACAAATAACTTGTGACTATGGACACGGAACTGGGAAGTTAGTTGTTCTACAGGTTCATCAGTTACAAATGAAAGTAAGAGGACGAGGAAAATAGATCATATGGAACTATAAGACAAGTTTTCAAGGTTTTTTCTTTGGGTTGTTAGTCCACAAAGAAAACATCTGATCTATAAAATGTCGAAGATCTTACCTCGTTCGTTTTATCTTTGCTTGCTCCATATAGGGTTTTCAGTCCCGACATAGTAAGCATATGGAAAAGGTCTCTAGTGTCAATTGACCTTTTTTCCAGACAATTTGTCATATTAAATGACAATTTCTCTGGGGTCATTAGACCATCAGAAGACATCATGTACAGAGAACGAAATAGTACATGTTCTTCTCTGTGTTATGTTACATGTGAGAGGTTTTCAATCCAGATAAGAAGTAAGGAAGCCCGAAGAAGGTAGACACTGTGTTTATGCCTTGCAGTACCTTGCCTTACACTGAGGTGTTTTCTTTTGGTTGTCAGTCCATAAGAAAACATTATCTGTTCAAGTTTACACAGCTCTCAATTTTTCGTCTCTGTATTCATCACATAAACGTGTTCTGTTCCAGATGAATATGAGAAATTTGAAAAATATCTATATCTGAAGATGGCTTCAGACAGTCAGGGGTGTTTTTGGTTGTCAGTCCACAATCTGACAATGAAAACACATACGTGTTCAGGAGAACGCAGACGAAATGGCTTCTTTACTGCTCATGTGTTTTTTGGTTGTAAGTCCACAATGAAAACACATACGTGTTCATAAGAAGTTATCACCTCTTTTCTTCATGCACAGTTTATAAAAGGACTCCAGTCCCGATATGAATTATGTAATAAACATGAAGAAATAACTACACCAGTAAATTTGTCTTCCGGGATTTGACATGTGTCGAGCATGGACTGCATGATCCTAGGATGAAGAAGATATTTCTTCATCTTACAGTAGCGTGATCACAATAAGATGTTCAGATGAAGACACTTGGTTCACATACATTTAAATGTATTTAGAAAATAACACCGTATGTTGTAAAATCTGGTGTAGTATTCATGTAATGTTGCATACATCTGTACATAGAACACGTATGCTGACCACAGCTGTATAATTGGTTTATTTAGTCCATTCAGTTTTATACTAGTTCTGCGCAGCAGGATAAGTTTGTCACTTATCCATTTGGTTCAGTTATTTCTGGACTGAGTTGTTTGTCTACTGTTCAGAAAGAGGATAGACTAAAGATTAACAAGAGTAACTGTAAGTTTAACAGTAGGTCTACTGTGAAGTCGTCATGTTCTTCACAGAAAAGACCAATATCTTGAATATAGCATTTTTAGCCTACTCATCTTCCAAGTAGATGTAAAATCTTTTCGAATCAGAGACCTATAAGTTATGGTCTCTGATTGAGCGTTTCTGTTTTCTCCAAGTAATTGTACATGTTGCTATTAATATATGCTGAAGAAAACGATTCATGGATGCTCACAATCATCCTGTTATTGGTTGATTCAGTCTCTTCAACAAAGAAGTAGAAGGTGACTTAGATTGTTTTAGTTTTTGAGTCTCTAGACTAGGCCTATCCTTCTAGCCTTATTAGCCAACAACTGAACAACACAAGTACTTATTCATATAAGAAGTGTTGTAAGCGTTGACAAATGACAATGTCATGAACTTGTCATTTCTGACTGAAATCTTTTTTTTTCTCAGGAATCATTTCTGAATACTCCTTTTTAGACTCTATTCCTGGAATATTAACATTCAGAATTGAGTTGGCGGAAGTACCTTCGACATAGGTTACTTTCTCCAGATGCTTCTCATAAAGCATTCAACTCAGAGTTAATTGTTTGAGGAATTAAGATTACAGTCGAGGTTTTTTGAAAACTTAAACATTTGGCGGTTTTCAGTTTGCCAGATAAAGTAAGGTTATGTCTAAAACATCACCTCCGTGAAGGTTTTGTTTCCTTTATTTTACTTGGCCTTGGCAGCTTTTGAAGTCAAAAGTTGATTTTTGAAGTCTAAGATTACTTTTCAGATCTCTTGTAAGTCAGTTCAAGAGAAAGTAAATCAAATTCTGTGCTTTCCCCTACAACCTTGGGTGTTATTCCAAAGGTTTTATTTTGTGATGAGGGGAAGTAGTTATACTTACTTATAACAAGTCCCTATATCTGTATTCCAGACCATGGGCCTGTTTGCTACCACATCACACACAGAATGAATATTTGTTTATTTTGACCTTGTTCAGGTTGCTCAGAGTATCTGGAGTATAGTCAAAGCATGGTCAAAGTGACTTTTAAACACGGTGTTTTACTTAGTGTTTTACTGAGCCAGTCTCAGTCATGACAGTATCATCTTCAACAGGTTCACAGTCGTGCCGTGCTTCTGTGTAAACTTTTGTGTCTTAAATAGCCACACCTTCACTTTAAGTCATGGTATCATCAGTGTTCAGTTCAATCACTATTTGAGAGACCTTACATGTTGTTTAGAGGTTTATGTTTTTCACCATGGAATCATTGTTACCATGTTTCCTTGGTGGTAGAACCTCAACACATCATTTAGTGGTACTGAAGTACTATATACTCGAGAGCTAGTGTACTCTTTGTTATAGATATGTTTTCGTTTGTCTTGACATGAGCTCTTCCAAATAAGAGATTCAGACTTACCTTTTTACACATTGGTCAATTAATATTAACAGTGGCAATTTTTTCACACATATGTCTTGTTGTGACCAAATTTTGACCAAGTTATTTTTGTAACAGTCTCATGATTTTAAGAATCACAGACATCCTCTGCTGACTGTTATACATATGTTCTTTAACGGAAATCTCAGTTTTCCGTGTGGTTTTGGAGATATTTCTATACGAATTATCTTCAACTCCATCTATACTTTATCAAATAGTTTCATTTTTGAGACAGTACATTTTTTAAGATGTTGTTCTGAGTAGAACACTGAGTTAAGGAATCGTCCTGCCCTGAGACTAGTAATGTCACTACCCCCTTAATAGGACAAATATACATCTAAGGTTTATGATGTCAAGATTCCAAGTAATTAACTAGGCATTTTGGTGCCCTGTCACAGGAATGTTATTCTCAGG